TCCACTGACATACAACTATAAATCTCTTAAGCTATACAGTAGTCTCTATATTTAAACTAGCTCTAATCCGATTCTTATAATGAATAGTAATTGTCGTTTATTTTACCTATTTATACTATATATTAGATATATCTTTATTAAGTTCTATACTAATAGGAGCTTTGATAGGTATTTTAGCAGCATATAACCTGAAACTCCCTTAATAAGTTACTATAGCTAAAGTAGATTATAACTTGATTCTAAAAATGGATGAATACTCAATACTATACATATATTAAGAGGTTTTGAATATGTAAAATCAACTATATACTTAGCCTAGATAGGTACAATTTCTCGGGCGAATTATATCTACATAAGGTCTAATATTTATAGGTTAGATTTAGTAACTATCATGATAAATTTTATAAGAATATATAGATTAGATTCTAAAATAGTATGTATATAAAGCATTTGATGAGAGAAACTTAGCAGATATAGCCAAGGCTACTAAAGATAGTAGAACTTATCTATAATAATATAGCAAAATAAGGTAGTTAGAATATATATCTATTCCAGTATTTACTTATATATAAACAAAAGTTCTATATTCGCGCTACAGATAATCTCTCAAAGGGTTAGGTAGGTCCTAATAGCTATTATACATTTTATAGGAGAGCCATACGATAAACTAATATATAAATAAAAGCCTATAGCTAATAGTTTTATATAATTTATATAAAACTAACTTCTTTTAATCTACATACCTTCTTCTATATAGCTATAATATAAAATATTGAAGGAATAAAAATAAAAGTATTAACGTAATTTACTAGCGAGCTACGCAGTCCGGAATATACATTAAGTATAATAAGCAACAACCTAATAACTTAACGATATTAGTCTGTAGTTATCTCTCCTTGTACTCGTAAGACTACGCTAGTCTCCGGGTTTTAGATTGGTAGGCGAGATAAAAATCAATAAGTCCTTATAATAATAATAGATATATATTGTAATAACTAGACTAAATGCTAATTCCTAGAATTAGTATAGGACTACTATTTAAATATTATCCTTATAATATATATAACTACTATCTCAGAAATAGGGTAGTTCCTATAACTAGTAACGAAGATCCTAGTTACCCGAGTCATATATCGGGTTCCGAGCCTCCTAATAGACTTAGGAGCTAGTCCTAGCAATACTATAGCTAATTACTAACTATACTAAGATTATATAGTAGGGAAATTGCCTACTAACGTATCCGGTAAGCGAGTGGTCAGTGTAAGCGAGTGGTCACCCCCGCGTCATGTTCGCGCTAGCTTTTAATTACATCAACTTCAACCACCTATCATGCCTCCAATTCCTACTGAAAAAATCTCAAAAACGTACCCAGTAAGAGGGTAGGCTTTTATTAGCCATTGAAGCCTTTCAAGATGCAAAAATCACCCTATTTGCGCGTTTAGCGCGTGATTTTGACGTACCGGTCACAACCCTTCGACGACGCCTAGCAGGCATTAAAAGTCGCGACGATACCCGCGCAAACAGCCATAAATTGACAATTACGGAGGAGATAGCTCTTGAAAATTGGATTTTCTTATTGGACGATCGTGGAGCAGCCCCTAGACCGGCTACTTTACGAGAGGCAGCTAATTTACTACTTGCCGACCGTGGGCCTTCTCCGACCGTGTCTATCGGCGAAAAATAGGTCTACAACTTTATCTAACGGCATCCAAATCTCTCAATGCGATTCTCTAGGGCTTACGACTATCGGCGAGCTCTTTGTGAGGACCTAATTGAGATTAGGAAATAGTTCCAGCTAGTCAAAAACATGATTGGGAAGTACGGTATTACCGACGCCGATATCTATAACTTTAATGAGACTGGATTTGCCCGCGCCTATAGCAAGGTCATTAAATCGTAGACTAAACTCCGCCGGGTAAGTATTGATAAATCCGACTTTTTAGACACTTTTTTGATAGTAAGAGAGGAAGCATTTAAAAAGGAGAACATTATTAATAGCTTTGCCGGCGCTAGGCTTATTCCTTTTAACCCTGACCGCGTTATATCGAAGATTAACGTACGGGTTACTACTACCCCCCCCCCCACGGCCGACTAGCTAGGGGAGCGATTTAAGCAAGAATTTCACCCTAAAAACGCCTTAATCATCTAAAGATCTACGGAGGTAAGCTTCGGCTATCAAGAAAATAGCTCAAACTAACCCCTAACGCCTAGCCGAAGCTATAGATCAGATAGAGAGAGGGTGTCAGATCGCGATATATAGCTTTACCCTAGCGCGTCAACAAATCTCTGATTTATTAGCCGCTAATGCTAAGGTCACGCGTAAAAAATCCCGTACGAAGGCTAGATTGGCGCATAAAGGAGGCTTACTAGTTAAGGAAGCTTTATCGCGTTTTAACGTTGATAGAGATATCGAAAATACTGTATCTAAGCAACCTAGCCCTACGTTGCCGACACCGATTCAGACCAATAAGAGGCGGCCGCAGCGTTATGGGTTATATAAATTACCTAGCCATAAGAGAAATAGGTGCCTAGATATGTCTAAATAGCCTCATTTTTTAATTAATTGGCGTTTTGGTTAAGAAATCGCAGTTTATAGTACAAAATTGGTTGGGGGGTGACCACTCGCTTACCGGATACGTTATATAAAGTAGCGGTCTAGGGATAACTTTGCTCTTCATAATATATGTAAGACCTCTCTATATGTAGTAAGATAGATATATTCTTCTCTTTAGACCACCCCTATATAATCTCCTTTCCTATAGTTCTACTCGACCTCTTATCAGGCTTTGCCTATACGACCTCTTCTTGGGTTTCTCTACTAGTATCGACCTATCTACTTGACTAGACTACTATCGCTCTATCCCAATCTCAATATATTATTATATACGCTTTATCGGAATTTTATGTCGCTTACCCGTTCAACCACTTAGACTAGCGTGGTCTCACATATCACCACTATTATTTGATATATATCATTATGATTAAAATTAAGAAAACCTTAATTAGGGCGGAATCGATTTATCGCTTAATATTTTACATAATACCCCCTAGCACTCTGTACAGCTGCTCAACGTCTCCCTATATTTAAAACTAGCGTATCTAGGTTCTTTTAATCCAGTATATTCCATATAGTCACTAAATATTACTCAAAATATGCCTAATCTCTATTGGACTTTCCTATATTAATGATCTCCGGAAATAGCCTAAAAAGCTTCCTTTTCAACGACCTCTAGGCGGGCTCAATCGGGTTTAAATTAAATAAGTGTAGGGGTTAATCTTGACGTATATATCCCGGGTTTTAAACCACTCTCTCGTCGGCTTTACTATATAAATTCTCGCGTTATCTTATCAAAAGACTACCCTGAGAGGATAGAAGGGCAATTGACGTTCTTCGAGTATTTTAATATAGGATTTTAAGAAATTTCTAAACTTCCCGACCGTAAAGAAGGGTCTCGTTCTAAGTAATCAATTTTAATCGACATCCGAACTAGATTAACGTTATTATGATTTTTTTAGATAAACACTATAAAAAACTAAGATTTAATAAAAGAATAAGAATGCGAAGAAATATATACGAGAACTTAAACTAAGAAAAAAAGAGATAGCTGAAGTTTTAAACATAAATACAATCTAATACTAGAACTATAAACCAAGTTTGAAGAGAAAAGGAATATATACAAACACCATATAAAATAATTGCATGAAGACTCTAGAACAAGTAAACCTATAAAAAGAAGTAACTTTGTAAAAATTACAATATATATTTAAGTATTTAAAATAAAAGCAAGGAACTATAAAGAAATATAAAAAGCTTCCGCATGTAGAAAACCTTATAAATACGGATTGCTACGAATATAACGAAATCTCGCGAATATAATAAATAGATACAACGAAATATAACGAATATACTATAAAAAGGAAAACAGAGAAAACAATTTAAATAGAGCTATATTACCTAGCTAAAAAATTCATTAATTTAGATAAAAATTATCTATTTTCTGTCTTTTTGTATTAACCTCTCGTATAGTCTTAATCTCACTTTTATTAAATCATTATCCTTAATAATCGCTACCCCATTAAGCTAAAAACTATAACCTAAACTATTCACGAAACATATTTAACGTTAATAAGGTCATTTTAAAGGCCCCTAGTCGACTTCAGGACGCACTATTATAGTCTAAAGTTCGAGATTCGTTACACCGAACACTCGTCCGAAAAGATCTACGATTTAAAGTCACTCCGCCGCTATTTTCGAGTGAACTTTAGTCTCTTCCTAGTAATAAGGGGCTTAAGAAGGATCTTCGGTTTCGACCGACGTTTCGAGACCCTAAATCGCCGCAAGACTCGGCGTATCGTAGAGGTAGATAGATAATCGGGCACTATAGCACTAAGAAGCTATTTATACATCTAAAATAGACGTCGGCGGGTTTACAAATAAAATAAATTAGTAGGGCGTTAGGTAAGAAGGGGGGACATACCGCTTTTTTCCCGATTCTTAAGCCGGTGGCCTTATAAATCACGTTTGATCGTATTATAGATTATACGCCGGGAATAGCCAAAATCAGCAGCTAGCTATACCTGCAATACGCCGTTTTTATAGGCGTATAAAATAGCAGCGCGTTAAACCGTCGACAATTGAGCCGTTTTGCTAGACTTCAGACCAATTTCTAGAGTTGTCGCACCTTTGTGGGAGGTGAAAGAGAGAAAAGCAAAACATGGATCGGTTGTTAGGGCAATTTAGCGGGGTGGGGTGGGAAGTGACTTATATCTATATATGTCGCTTCACTTGTAACGAGTTGCCAATCAGCCTGGGGAGTCTCGAGGTTATTATCTCAAGCAAGAAATGTGTGATTACAAGAACGATCACTAAGACTAGCGCCAGCTGAAAGTATGATGAATTTAACCACCCCACAAGACAAGGAAAATAGATGAGACAACTATGAAATTTCCCATCCGGAGCACACCATGCCACACATGAAAAGACGTAGATATCTATTATTCTAAACTCGTGTGAAGAAGTACAGATACGCGGTTTTTTTCATCGCTTCAACGTCTTCAGATTTGACCACCTTTTCGTCATTGAACATGACCCATGATAGATGGCTTTGACCGGGTAACTGTTTGCGAATGAAAGCGACATAATGTCTAGCAATAGTTAGTAAGCACCAAACATGGAGATTAGAATGGATCGCTCACCCTGCATGGACAGAAGTGCCCTTGTGGCATACAATCGATCGTAATTCATAACGAGCAGGTAAGCAGTCATAACCAACCTGGCTACCATGAGCCTGTGTGTTATCACTTGCATCCGCGCTTTCATCTTCCACTGGCTCATCAGGATGACTGAAAACCCAGTCAAGGGCCCGATTGACATCACCATCTGTTGCAGCCAGCGCCCGTCGAGCCCGAGGCTCCTCGATACCCATATCACCTAGTTGAGCAACTTTTGCCATATCCTGTTCATTATCATTAGATAAACTGCTTTGTTGACCCAGAGTCACCGGCTCATCAATATCTGGATCTTCCATGTGTGCAAACAGCCAATTCATGGCAGCTTCTGGATCCGAGTTCCCAGTGGCGTGGAGAGCTTTTTCACACCTGACGGCAGGGAAGCCCATGCCTAAAAGCTGATCAAGGAGCTGAGGATTCGGTTCAAATGTTCTGGGTTCCTCCACTTCTGGAAGTAGCTGCTCACTAGAATCATGCTCAGTAGCCATATAGTACCCAAAGTCAAGTGGCTTGTCATCCACCAAGACAGGGATGTCGAGCTTTGTAGGGACCCAGTTGACGAGCTTGAATCGACGAGCGTTGACAGCTAATTCATCAGGTAGCGTCTTGAATCTTGACTGTTTCATGAAGCCACTCTGACTAGCACAGGCAGGGCATGTAAGCTCGACGACCTCATCCGAAGTAAAGATATCCAGACACTCCGACAGAGTGATTGACTCGTAATGATTTTCAGTCTCGTCTGAAGTAGCGATACGACGTGCGGGAACCGCAACAGAGATATTGTCTTGCTCATCCACCCGATAGCGGACTTTCTTACAGTGTAGACACTGTAGACGCTGCTCAACCAGGAAACGGAATAGTTGCACTGGATTATCCCGTCCATTAGAGTGCTTTGACAGGCTGATTGTCTTGAACAGGTGGAGAAGAAATTCGAACGCGTCCTGCTGTCTCATGGTTGCAAATTCCTCGTGGCCCTGTCCTATGAGATACTTGAACATGGTGGGCGCTAAACCCTTTTGGTGGGCCGCTTCTGCACCCGGAGACGAGAGAAGGCGGGAATCAGGTCGAGAGTATCTTCCCGAGAGGATCCCATCAGCAAGTTTCCGTAATTGAGTCTCTAGGTCTTGCGCTGGTGCTTCACAAAGCGGTGGTTCTTCGGACGGGTGATAGTATCGCTCACAAAAGCCAGCCACCGAGAAGATACATTGCATGATGCTAGACAGATAACAACTGTTTCCAAGGTTAGCCAGACCGGTAAAGCCCGAACCAAAAACAGGGGTCAGCTCCCGGCCATCCTCAGTCGTCATTGAAAATTCCCATTGTAGGTTGTGTTCGACCTGCATCTCCATCAAACTCTTCTCAGTTTTTTCACGCCCGGCCAGATAAATTCCCCAATGCGCAAGATGTACGGCTAGCTCTGGATCCACTCTTTCCTCATTGCACTTATAGCAGTAGACGTCAGCCGAGCCTTCTGCTGTGATGGAGCCTAGCTTGACGGCAACTGCATGTGATGTCGATTCGGCGTGAGTGAGACCGTGTGAATTCCCGCGACTGCCACCGAACTGGCTTCGTCCACAAGCTGTATTTCCGCATTCTAAACACAACCAGAGATTCTCGGATAGATCGCACTCCGTACAATGACTCGAATCTAACAATTAATTAGCGTCACAGTCAAAATACTGATGTGAATGGTGATACCTTTTGACGCTGCTTGCTCGGACTCTTGTTGAACCAAGCAGAGGGTATGCTCACAAGGAACAAATTCTTGCTCCCAGGCCTTGATTTCCTCTCTTTTAGAAAATGTCATTGCGTTCATAATACCCTCAACCACCACAGATAGGTTGCCAATGGACTTGTCGACATTTTGCTCAGAGCATTCATAGCAAACTACCGAGGTAGCAATGTCATACCTATCTTCTTCTGTTTCGGCAGCGATGGCAAGCTTGGAAATTTTCAGCGGAGGCTCATCACGCTATTCCAAGGGCATTAGCATGTATATTCTCAATCCGGGAATGGGATTGGAAGTCATACCTGTATCTTTTTGGGCGTTCTCCGGATGTTGAGAGCTAAGGAGTGACCAAACCGCCGAGAATGGAGGAGAGCATGGCCCCTTTCACCAGAGCATCCACCATTGAAACAATGCAGACAGACGTTGAGGCCACTTTCATCATCCTTGGGAATCGAGAGTCAGATCAAGTGTGCGGTAGACAGAGCAGGACGCGATACCACATACGATAGAATCAAAGCACTGGGTGCAATCCTCTCGATAAACAGCCTGGGAAGGCCCAGGTGGAATCAAATCTACAGCGTAAGAGAACCTGTCAGTTCATTATATTCAGATCAATACACAGATTGTATTATCACAAACCCGCAGCACTGGCATGGACGCAGGAGGCCATATCCAGAGAATAAATTCAGATGAATTCAGATGAGAAATGAGCGGTGGAGGCTCTGTGTAGGATTTTGAGGGCGCCTGTCAGAGATTGAGGCAGTGATGGTAAGAAAGGAATTCCCAATGCAAGGCAGAGCTCAAATGCGTGGGGTAAGCTGGGCGCTCAGCCTGAGGCACCGAGGGTCATGTGGTGGGGTTCAGCCACTTAACGCGTTATTTTTCTCAACACGCGTCGTGCATCCTTCACCCAAGCCCCCAACTCGCTTTACAAGGTTTCTGTCATAGTTGGTTATCTTCAATTCTTTCACACCTATCGGGTTCTGTTTCCTTCGAACCTTTCTCTATCTTCATTGCAAGCCATAATATCATGGCTTCTGACGCAGCATCCCAGGTCACTGTTGGGGCTCTCAGGTTTGATTGCCACCCCTTACCCCAATAAATTATATTCTAATCATATATACCACAGTGCCATCTTTGATGAAAGCAAACCCCAGGTCCGAGAACCGATCGTCCAGTGTGTTCAAATCAAGGCGTTGCCACCCCAGCCAAACCATCCAGACCGATACAGGGCTGTTTTCAGCGATATTGCGAATTATGTGCAAACAATGCTTGCAACCCGTATGTAAACCCCATTCCTTTTACTTCTCTAAGCTATTTGGGGGAGCTGACCGGCCAAAAAGAAGCGAACCATGTGGTGACAGATGGTTCCCTAAAGAAGGGTTCATTTGTACGACTGAAGTCATTCCAATCAAACTCTGTCAAGGGCAAGAAGTGAGTTTATTCAAAGTTCTGCCACTGGATCATACTTATTAATGGTAGAATTCTCATCATCTTGGACCTGGAAGTTTTGAAGGAACTGGGCGAGGCTGATAAAATTGGTGAACCTAAACCTCTCGAAGTCAAAGGGGAGGAAGAAGAAGCCAACCAGCCGACAACAATTTCCAGTAATGGATTTTATGGCTCCAAGATGGAGGGAGCGCAGGCCCAGCCTGCCAGCCGGGCCCAACCGATGCGACCTTCTGCGGCTGCCACTGCCCATGCCACAATTTATCCCATCGAGGCTATCTCTCCGTATTCCAACAAATGGACAATGAAAGCACGATGCACTAGCAAGTCCAATATCAAGACATGGCACAACAAGAATGGCGAGGGCAAATTGTTTAGTGTCAATTTATTGGACGACAGTGGTGAAATCCGAGCTACGGGTTTCAACGATCAGTGTGATGCCCTTTATGAACTCTTCCAGGAGGGAAGTGTTTACTATATCTCGAGTCCTTGTCGCGTTCAGATTGCCAAGAAGCAATTTACTAATCTCAACAACGACTATGAGCTTACATTTGAAAGGGATACCCTGGTCGAGAAGGTAAGCATACTGTTTCACATTCATCACGCGATCTCTCCTTGCTTTCTTGCTTGCCGTTCGGCTGACTTTCATATACTCTAATAGGCAGATGAACAAAACGATGTCCCTCAAATTCGCTTCAACTTCACCACAGTTGCTGATTTGCAGACTGTTGAAAAAGACACGACCACCGATGTCATTGGCGTGCTGAAGGATGTTGGTGAGACATCTCAGATTGTGTCAAAGAGCACCGGCAAGCCATACGACAAGCGCGAACTTACGCTGGTAGACAATACTGGATTTTCTGTTCGTTTGACTATCTGGGGTGCAACAGCGAAAAGTTTTGGTGTGGCGCCAGAGTCAGTCATCGCATTCAAGGGAGTCAAGGTATCGGACTTCGGTGGAAGGAGCCTGAGTCTTTTGAGCTCGGGCTCAATGACTGTCGACCCTGACATTGGCGAGGCTCATCGGCTTCGAGGCTGGTATGACGCTCAAGGCAGGTCGGAAAACTTCACATCCCATGCTTCATTGTCCAATGCAACAAATTCATCCACCAAGACCGACAAGTTCAAAACTGTTGCACAGGTTCGGGAAGAACAGCTGGGCATGTCTGAACAGCCGGATTACTTCTCCCTAAAAGCCACCGTGATCTACATCAAACAGGACTCTACATGGTGCTATCCTGCCTGTCTTTCTGAAAACTGCAACAAGAAGGTAACAGAGCTTGACCCTGGTCAGTGGCGCTGTGAAATGTGCGACAAAACCCATCCTAAGCCCGAGTATCGTTTCATTATGCCTCTAAGCGTCAGCGATCATACTGGTCAACTTTGGCTCAGTTGCTTCGATGACACCGGACGAAAGATTATGGGAACCACGGCAGATGAATTGATGCAACTTCGTGAAGATGATCCTATCGCCTACGGCGAAGTTTTCCAAAATGCCAATTGTCAGACATGGAGCTTTAGATGCCGAGCAAAGATTGACAACTTCGGTGAACAGCAACGGTAAGAACAGCCATTTTTATCTAGAGTTACGAACCTTTTCTAATGTGTCTCTAGTGTGCGATACCAGGTCTCATCTTCCCAGGGAATCAACTACTCTGAAGAAGCTTCTCGTCTTGCCGACATCATCAACTCCTACGGCATTGAATAAGTGATGACAAGAAAACCAAGGGCATTACCTGATACCTAAATTTCCTGATTTGTTGCCAGTATACATGTACTACGCAGTTGATTTGTCTAAATGTATTTCTTTTCCCTTATGTCGTTTCAGAATACTATGGTGTGACTGGCAGTGTCTCTCTGATTATTATCTTCTTGGGCTCTTTGATCAAATATCGCATGCCCAACAGAGGGATGTCTATAACATTATTTGTAGTCTTGTAGTAATACTGTGGATGCGGTGATAACCACTAAAATAGGAAGGCGGTACACATCTTCACCAGCCTTGGAATTGGCTATGCGAGAAGTTTGGAAGGCGGAGAGTTCTGGCAATACAGAGGCATACTTTTTTTTTCTTTTCTCCCGCTGCGGGTTCAATCAGGACAATTTGCATTGGGATTGCACTTTTCTATCATTTCGAAAAGTTCTCGCATCCTAGGACCTATCATGGGTAAACGCCACCATGACTCAACGGAGCAGCGACCGTTGAAGAAGTCAAAGTCCGAGAAGCCCGCAAAAGCTACCGAAGACAATGAAAATGCAGACGAGAAAGCAACACAGAAAACTTCTTATACTGAAGCTCCTGCACTTTCCAAGTTACCTCAATCGGAGATTGACACCTACATGACCGAAAAGATTATCAAAATCACTGATCCTCTAGTCGATGCGCCCAAGTTTCGTCCTCTCCTCTCTTTCGACTACTTGCCGCCATGTGACACTGCACTGTATTCTCAACTGAAGGCCTTCCCTGCACCAACACCAATTCAGTCCACCACCTGGCCACTTTTGTTCGCTGGTCGGGATGTGATTGGCATCGCAGAGACTGGAAGTGGCAAAACATTGGGTTTTGGCCTGCCATGTCTCAAGAAATTGCTTGAATCCAAACCAAGCAAGAAGCCCTGTCACCCGAGGGCGGTAATTATCTCGCCAACTCGAGAGCTTGCCATGCAGATCTATGACCAGCTCATTAAGTACGCCGGTTCTGAGAAGACCACGGTGACATGCATCTTCGGAGGTGTTGGCAAGGATGAACAGCGTCACGCCCTTCAGAAGGCTGCCATCGTTGTTGCCACGCCTGGTCGTTTAAAGGATCTGCAAAACGATGGGTCTGTAAACCTTAGCAAGGTCAATTACCTCGTCTTGGACGAGGCAGATCGCATGCTTGACAAGGGTTTCGAGCAAGATATCAAGGATATTGTCCAGCCAATGCCTGTCTCCAGAAGACAGACAGTCATGTTTACAGCAACATGGCCTCGGTCGATTCAAAACCTTGCAGCAACATTTATGAAGGATCCTGTGACTGTTACCATTGGAGGAGACCCATCCGCAGATCCCCGTGCCAACCTAAGAATCAAACAAGATGTTGAGGTCGTTGATCCTCGAGACAAAGAAGGTCGACTTATTCAGCTACTCAGTCGGTCTCAAAAGGGCCAGTCGCCTGAGAAAGTTTTGGTGTTCTGTCTCTACAAGAAGGAGGCTATGCGGATCGAAAACCTTATCAGAAACAAAGGGTTCAAAGTCGCTGGCATTCATGGTGATCTGAACCAGACTGACAGATTCCGCAACCTTGAGTCCTTTAAGAAGGGCACTGCTACTGTTCTTGTGGCTACCGATGTGGCGGCACGTGGTCTTGATATTCCAGCCGTGATGCTGGTCATCAACGTCACATTCCCTCTGACCGTTGAAGACTACGTGCACCGCATTGGAAGAACTGGTCGTGCTGGAGCCAAAGGACATGCTATCACCATGTTTACTGAAACTGACAAGGGACTGTCTGGCGGGTACGTTACTCACATTTCAATCCAATTTAGACCAGATTACCAGTACAATGCTGACTTTGAGTAGATTGATCAATGTTCTCAAGGCTGCCAAGCAGGAGGTTCCAGAAGCTCTGTTGAAGTTTGGAACTACAGTCAAAAAGAAGCAGCACGACTCATACGGCGCTTTCTACAAGGACATTGGCACAGATAAAGCGGCGACGAAGATCACATTTGACGATTAGTTGCGCTAATGCCTCTTGTCTTTCTTGTGGGAGGAAATTGTTTCACGGATCCTTGCCAACTGGCCCAGTATGTATTGCTTTTCAATGTAGAATCTGTCATTTTTGTTAGGCGTTAGGAATAAGAGCAAATAAAAGCGAGATAGTAGAAGCAGCATCACTTACATCACAAGAACATATATGATACTGACTGTACACGATTGGAAAAATCCAAGTCGCGAGTTTTCAGATGTTTGTCGAGTCATCGTCATACTGGTCAAGGCCCCAATGATGAAGCTAGCAGGTCGGATGGTTGCTTCACTTGTAGAGAGATGTTCTCCTTGTCGATGGAGGTACGATTTGATAAAAGTGAAGCTCCAGAGAGTCCGAACCGCCATATTCACAATGTTAGCCAGGACCAATCCGTAAGCGCCCAAATTTCCTAGCTCAAGGAACATGTAGGCTGCTACAGCATAACAGGCAGAGAAGACACCCATCCATCCTGTTTGTTGCCGTATCTCACGAGGATTGGCCGCGGATGATACGAATGCTTCAGTAATTCCATTGAGCGCCAGAAATGGAATGTAGTAGCAATAGACAGAAAGTAGACCACCAACTTTTGGTGAAGCCCACTGGCGACCTCCTAGGACATGCAACAGATGGGGAACCATCATAGGGCCCAACGGAAAAAGAAGAACTGAAAACATCTGGTAGGCGTGTAGAATATCTAAAAGATGTTTTTTGGCCGCGCGGATTTGCATATTGCTCAATTTCCCACTCTCATTTGGACTCATGAGGGATGAGAAGAGATTTCGGCTGCTCTCCTCTAGTGGCTGGAAGATGATACGTGCAACAAGACCGCCGTAGTTTGATGCAAGAGAGTAAATACCCTGATCTTCCAGCCCCGAAAGGGCAGCAAGCATCATGGTGTCGCCTTGCGTGAGCAAATGCTTCACCAGAGATTGAAAAAAAACATTGGCAGCAAATGTCGTCAATTGGCGCGAGAACAATCCAAGTATGAATTTTGATGGATCACTATTGCTTGTTAATAAACTACCAATAGTGCATCATCGGTTAAGGAGAGGTTTGCCTTACCTAGATTGCACGCGTGTCAACAAGAAAGAGAAGTGTTTGTTGTTTGGTCCCGTTAGTAAGACCAAAGAATAGCCAGACAGGAGGGTTAACGAATGGACGAGGTGACCTAGCGCAAATGGAACCACGCCAAGGTTATAATTGGCCCGAGAGCTGTAAATAAAGGCAACAGATGTTACAGCACTCCTCAGAAATGCTGCTGGCATTTCCACGGCAGCACGCTTCTCATACAGCATGTGTTGTTGAACCACTGCAAAGAATGGCTCAATGCTGAGCTCAATGAGAGCTGCAAGAGCAGTGACCACCACGCTGAAATGGAAGAAGGCGATATTTGAAGCTTCATTTGACACAAAGCGCTGATATAGAATGGTGAAAAAGAGAGTGGCAGGAACACCAAGGGCAAGACTCAAATAAGACACATTCACCACCACCTGAGATGCCAAAGATTGTGTATGTACTGATGCATTGTTTGCCTGACCGGTGTGATCTTTGTTCTTCAATGAAGATGACATTGGCTGTCTTTGAATGGCCATTCGAATGCTCTCTCTTGAGAAATACAGGATTGAAACTTGAAAAAGCTCGAGCTGAGCAGCTATGCCCAGTACAACTGGTGAAAGATTGCGTAGAATCAACTGATTTGAGGCAAAGGTGAAGATTCTGGAAGCTAATTGAATCATGATCAGGAATGTTGTGCCCGTCACCGACGAAGCCAGAATCTTGCCCGTACGGGCATCACCAAGTTTAGCCATATATCTGGCGAGACCAAGTTAGAAACCGGGAAGTTGAAGATTTTGAACAGAAATGGGAAGGGAGTGTAAGGGATGAAAAGGGTGTGAAAGCGGAGTGGGGTCCCAAGTACGGAGTGCGCAGTTCGTCTCAGTGTTATTGGCTTCTAGCCATCTGAGCTACATTCAGGCTTTATACATTGTATAGATATATTGTGTTGAGGGACAAGTATACATTGGTCCTATTCTATTGGATATTCCTTGGACTTATTGGATAGGGCAAAAGACATGCAACATGTCAAGCGAACTAGAGCTACTGGCCACGACAGTCACCATAAACATATGGGACACGCATTGGCATGTTAGTAACCAACCTAGCAATGCTATGTTCTCAGGAGTAATTGTCCTGCTTTGATCAAGTTGGTACTAGAATGGAGGCAGATAGAATGGATAACCACCATTCTTAGTCTTGAACACACTCAGAAGGAAGCTGTATGTCCCAAAAAGGACGGCAGCCCAAATCAAGACAGCTAGCTGTTGACCTTTGACATCTTCCATGCGAGGAACCTTCAACGCAAGTGCGATTGTAGCAAAGGATAAGACAGCATCTAGAGAAGCGATTAGAATCAATCAAGCAGCACATGCGGAGAGACAAAATTTCAAGACAGAACAAGCATTGCAGGGTCACACTTACAGATAGCAGCCACAATTTGGGTCTCCATCCCGAATTGATTCTGGAAGCCACCGGCAAAGTAGCTAATGCCACCCCGTCCATCACCTGCGACATATGGAACCTTTCGAATGTGATTGAACATTTGGCCACTCGTGAACAAAAGAATGGCAATCAAGCTGATTGCAGCCCACAAGTTCCGGTTTTGCAAAATTGGCAGCACGTATGGATACAGTACGGCAGAGAGTGTGACGGAAGCCATCAGGATGGTTATTGTCGTCACAATGCGCATATAGTTGACAGGTCGAACAAGTGGAGGCTTTGGGCCATCAGGGAGTTGACGTCCGATCCAGGAATAGATCTGGTCGGCGGAGATCGGGCTTTTCAGGTTGGACCTGTTAGTAAGAAACAAGTATAACGATATAAAGGTGAGAGACATACCCGGTAAAATCAAACCGAACAGGGGTTCCTTCTACCTTGGCGAATGGGCCGATGGTTGGAGGGAACACAAGTAGCACTGGGGCAGTTTGGAGCATGAGCTGCTTGGGTCAGTCAAAAGTTCCACGATTCCTGAGTATAGTCCAATTGCCTACCTTTTGGAAGACTTCTTTTCCATCATCAAAGTCAAGTGTTCCATAGACAACCTTCAAATCATCAGGTTTAGTGCCCTTATTCCAGCTTCGGGCGATCAGATCCCATTCTGGTTCAAAATCACGGCATAGAAGGCAGCCAAAACGAGAGTCTATGGCTGTTAAAATCACCACAGCAAAATAATCTCGAGGTTCTGAAGTGAGCTCCTCATATGATGCGCTATCCAGATCAACAGGCCCTGAGCGAGACAGGGATTGATATCTTGCAAACTTGTCCGGTGTTGACTTTGCGGACAGTACGCCGGACACGACCGACAGGAGCAAGAAAAGGGCTGTCCAGAGCTTCATATTGACATGACAAGGACCTGGACAGCTTTGTTAAAGTTGAATCTGAGCTGCAATTGAGAATTCTTGGTTGCAATCGAAGATGATCGAACACGTCGAGCAGTTGAGTCCAGGTGTCCACTATCATATCAACCTGGAACGGGGTGTTGCTTACATAAGGCACATCGGGGTAATCGCTCCAAAACACCGACGCGTCTTCCCTTGCGTGGACATGATTGCTTTTGGATAACTGAAGTTAGCTTATAGCATACCACTTATCTTAGCCAGCTTGACTGGTGGCCATATTTTTCTTATCCCAAGCTTTTTACCCTACTATATCCTGCCATTGTCATCATGGCAATGGCTCAAGAAGCTTCTGTCGATGTATGTGGATACCCGAAACTCACGGATACATTCAAGAAATGCTAACTCGCTTGTGTAGTGCGAGATGTCTATGAGGACTGTGCACCTGGAGAAGGAGTATGAGAAAAGCTTGTCAGACTCTACACGTCTTTTGGAAGGCGAGAGAGATCGAGTGCGACGCATGGAGCACTTGTTTTTGGAATTTGAAAACGAAGCCCTCCGGTCACAATTAAATGAAGCGAATGACCACCTCCTTGGGTTCATAAATGCTGATTCCGAGGCCTGTTTCCAACTTGAGGAAGCCTGTCAGGAAATTGATCGCTTGGAGCATCACGCGCAAACTGCGTTGAGCGAGATAGACCAACTAAAGGTATGCTGCAACCTTCTTACCGAAGCATCTTGTGGAATGTGTCTCATTAATGGCAACAGGAAGAACTTGCCAATAGAAAGAATACTTCGACCAACTACAACGCAGTCTTTGCTGAGAAGGTTCGCCTTTCCAAAGACCTTGTAGCCCTACAATCAGAGGTGGAGCGGATCAATGCACAAAGCTCATCGCAACAAGCCATCAACGCCGAAAGACATAAGATGGAACGACAACTGAATTATCTGGAGATTCAACTTGAGAACGAAAAACATGCCCACGAACGTACCCAGGTTAAGGGATCGCAGCAATCAACGGAGATAACCAAGCTATCTACAAGAGTAGATGAGCTCCGAAATGAACTAGCGGGAGAAATACGAGCAAAACAACAGCAAGAATTGGATAAACGGCAACAGAATTCGGAGTTCGAGAGTGAACGAGCAGCGCTCGAGGGAAAGATTGACACGCTAAAACAGCAATTACGGTGGACCAAGGACAAGCTACAGGAAGCCCAGACTCAGTCACTGCAGCAGCGCAATAGCAAAATGGACAAAGGAGATGAGTCGGAACCATGCTCTCGGACTATCCCACTCCAGCGCCCGGGACCCAGCGGTCATGTGGGTGTGACGATTGCAACCCCCGGAGCGGTTAGAGTCCAAGAGAGGGTTAGAAAAGATTCGGCCTTACCTGGTGACAAATCGGCATTCTCCATTACTCCCTTCTTGAACCGCACAGGTGCACCGGCAGATTCTCCGTTGAGTTCGGTGGCAGATGAAGATGAAGATTGCGAAGATGCCGATACCACGCTTGAAGCGCTTGACACGAGAAAACTGATTGGACAGTCGAAACGCATTGGTTCTGCTTTGCGGCGCCAATTATCTCCAACTCAGGATCGCATCCCCATCAGTAAATCAGTGAAACCGAGGGCGCGTGATCTCCCGGCTACTACAGTTAACCCCAAGAAGCCCAGCAACCGCCTGGATCACCGCATGCTAGCTGCTGATACTGAAGATGAACAACATAGTGAACCGGAGCAGCCTAAGCCTAGAAAACGCAAGCTCGGTGGCCCACGAGACCGGAGTTTGCTGGAGGAAGAAGAAGATGAAGAAGGTGATGGAGAGCTACGCCTAAATAAGAAAATCGGGCGGAAAATCGGACTAGGGGCTGGTCGTACGTCAAAGCTGGGTGGTATGCAGCAACCAAGCACGTCCCATGGCGAGCGACTGCAACATGGTCTTGGGTTCGGGGCACCTGTGGGATTTTCTCCGTTGAAACGGGACCGCAAGCGACTATAACGATAATTGGACTTGAATAAATGTTAGCGCTTAATTCAACTGTCTTACCAAAAGTGAATGGGATTCTGAAATACAACCTATCAGATCCGGCGATGCACACTAGTACCGGCGGTCCCACTTCGTTTTGCCGGCAGAAAGCAAAAGCTCCTTGTGAACCTTGCCCTGAACAGTACTTCTCTCTCGACCTTCACGCCATGTTCGCATTATTGCCATCCACATGGCGGCATGCTTTTCGCCCGGGTAAATTATACCAGGCAAGAAATGCCTCGTCTAAGCGGTGGCAAGCTCGACAGCAAAAGGATCAGTTTACAAAAGAAGCAGCAGTGCAAGGGCTGAAAAGCAGAGCTGCTTTCAAATTATTGCAGGTTAACAGCACTCACATTTCACCTTTTTCTCGATGAAGATACTGACAATATCTTCGCCGTCAGATTGACGAGAAATATCGAATTTTCAAGGGTGGGCAGACAGTTGTTGACCTGGTAATGCAAATCGTCTACCTTCGGATTCGGATTTACAATTGATTCCATTGAATCACATAGGGATATGCACCAGGATCTTGGTCTCAAGTGTGTTGAACCCCAACCAATGTCCTGTTTTCTATCAAGGTTGAAATCTAACACCAGCAGGTGGCCGCAAACCGCACTCAACCGCACGGGCGAGTCCTCGGTGTCGATATAATCCCAGCCCAGCCACCTAAGGGAGTGTCTACGATCCAAGGAAATTTCCTTGCTCCCGAAATTCAGACTTACATTCGAGACTTTCTCCGCAGCCCCGAGCGAGGCAGACCGCGCCAGCCCAGCCTTGAGGCCGATTCTAGTACCAGTCTCTTGGAACCAACTACAAAATCCGAACCCTTCCAAAATACGCGTGAAAGTGATCAGATACTTGAAAGAACGGTGGATGTGGTTTTAAGTGATATGTCCGCTCCCTGGTATCAGACATCCGGATTCTGGAAACGAAGTCTAAGTGCTCCCTATAACAGGATGATGAATACCAGCGGTCTCAGCTTCAGGGACCATGCTGGCAGTATGGTATGGACCCCTATATTTTCGGGTTGGATATTTCTAATCCTCACAGGATCTCTGCCATGCGGCTTTACGCTTCAGTACAGACGTTTTGAAGACAGGCGGTCATTTTGTCTGCAAATTCTACCAAGGTGCCGAGGACAAAGAGTTGGAACAGCAATTGAAAGACCTATTCAAAAAGGTCCATCGGTTAAAACCTGAATCATCTCGCAGCGTAAGGGTGGCACACCAAACTTGAACATGCTCAGCTAAAGCAGTCGACAGGAATCGAAAGAAGCATTTTTCGTTGGTTTGGAGCGAAAACCATGAATTAAGCAAGGAGTATCAAGTTTCTATAATATGCAAATATCCGTCCAAAACCCTACGCCTAGAGGATCTCGATCTCTTCGTTGTCAGATGCCTCGTCCCATTCAATATTCGCCAGTGCTGCTTCCGCCTTTTCATGAACCTTTTCTAATAGTCAGTCTCCAAATGCGTTTTCCAGGGTATTTTTGCTGACCTCCTTGAGTCCACTCAATTCCTCGACGTAGCCGGGTTCATTCAAAGCCCTTCGCACGAAATTCCAACCATTCTCGCGATATGCACCAACTACTTTCTCCGAACAGGCACTGCAGCTTTGGTAACTTTGGCCAGTGACGGATAAATTCTCGAATGTGGATAAAAACCCTCGAATTTGATGGGGTACAATGCCTAGAGGATGCTCATCGCTCTCGGTGTTTTTCGCCATCGGGGCTGGTGCTGCAGCGCCTTGAGGATGTTGAAGAAGTGACACCAAAAGCTCCACAAGGAGGGCAGATGCTATAGGAGCAACTCCTGGACGGGTCACGGTACACTGCTGGTCCAGGGTTTGGTCCTTGATAGACTAGGCATATTCGGGTCAGCTATGTATCAATTTGGAAATCATTTCGGTCTCACGTTGGCCGGTGCAACAACATCATTGCAGAAATAGCATCCGAGTTCCGATGATGTGTTGTTAGTTTTCATGCCATGCCGCATGACAACGAATGTGTCAAAGCCTAGGGCAGCATTCATAACGATCTTCCCTGCGCTTTTTCCCATTACCGTTGGTAGCCATCGTGATTCCCGTGTGTCCATGAGAAGAAAAATAGCATCATGATCATCGATTAACTTCCTCAGTGTCTCGAAATCGTCCTTTGTTGCTTTCTCGTCTACAATGGGGTGGCCTGCCATGGGTACCGACATGGCGTGGCCTTCGGAATCCACTCCGGGGTAAATTTCGGCTAGGGCTTCGGACGCTCTATGTGCTTTTCGGACTCCACCATTCAAGCAATCGGTAAAATTGAATAGAGGCTGTCTGACGGGGTTAGAAAACGAAACAGATCCATTGTCGACAAACGTGATTTTCTTCACGCCCCAGCCCTTGAGATCTGATATTAGAACAATTTGTTGTTCCCCACATATATACGTTCCGATTCACATACCAGCAGGTTTCGAGCCACATAGCTGCCCAGGGTGCCGGCTCCGAGTAATAGACATTTGGTGTTTTTGATTTTCTCGAGGTTGAGAGTTGGGCTAATTCGCCATTTGATTAGTTTGAGGTTGAGATCAACCGACTGGTCAGCCAATCTATAGACATAATAGGTCTTATTAGCCGAGTGCAAGACGAAAAAGATTGCCAAAGCAGTCTGTCTACCTTTTAGGATCCATGTAATCCGTGAGATTAACATTTCTTCCAGACAACTTTCCTGCTGGGTTGCGTTCCCATCCGGTCACCTTTGGTAGTGGTGATACTTCTGTGATTGATGCTTTTGGTGGTTGCACCTCTTGTGTTCTGCTTGATTCAAGTTGAATGACCATGCTGCGGCCCTGTTCACGCCTTGAGTGCACGTCACGATACCGTAGGATTTGTACTCGATCAAGGCCCCATCGCTGTCTTACCAAAACGAGTAAATTTCGTAACATCCACCCTGGTGCTTGTTCATAATTCGACGGGTCTGCAAAACAAACATAACGGTCCTCATCGGCTGTGTTGTTGAAGAACCCATTTTCGTATTCCGAAAGTGACGCTATTTGCCAGTTGATTTCCAGTTCGACATCTTCGCTATATTGACCATTGTCCCTTTTGTGCTTTCGAGCTAGAAAGAAACCTCGTTGTCGATGATCGACAGCATAAGACCAAGTCTCCACGGCTTCCACGATGGTCGTGCTTTCACACGGAGATAGGTATCTCCCGTTGACAGAATCAATGCTTTGGCTTTGAGATGACTGAGACACTTGACTAGCTGTCTGCACTGGAACCCATGGGGGTCGGAGTGAATTGCCGGAAAAGCAAACCAGTAATGAAAATTGTATTTCTTGAGGTCGGCAAAGGATACGATAATGAAGCTGGCTAGTAATGACGGACATGAGAAAATTGTTCCGTCCTTGATTGAATCCCAAACCTTGTAATTCCCATCAGTAACATATCGAATGGCTGATAAGTGCTCTTCTTACCGTCTGTCCAGCTTGGTGAAGCAACTGGGGCCTATCCATGTTTCGGTATTCTTCGACCGTATTGACATTTTTGATCATTCCTTCCGCCCTGTAATAGCCGGTGGGTCCCCTGGGTAATTTGTAAGTGATTGCAGAGTTGAGATGCACCTTTCATCTGATCTTACTCGCTGCCAGTGAGGGCATTTCCATGTATCTGAATTCGACAAGATGCGGCCTCAGGATCCGAAGGGCGGATCTCATATAGGCCCAGCACGGCCCGGGCGGAGTCATCTAGCTTGTCATGGTTAATCTTATGGGATGCTAGAGATGTATAGAAAGGCAGTTCGATATCGGAAGCAAAAGGTGTGAACTGCATCTTGAAAAAGAGGTGTTATGGGTGATGTCAACGCGGGACGCGGGCGGGGAAGGTCTTAGGTCTATAAATCCTAACTTATATTCTATAGATACCCGTGGACCATGACTTTGTCAGCTGACTCTAGCCAGGTGACTCTAGACAGGTGACTCTTTACTAACCAATCGATCCAATATCACGTCGTCAGAAATTCTTCCTTGTAATTCTTTGTAGATACCCAATGTCCAAAGTTCTCCTATCAGGCTGATAAGATCGCGACTTGAACGGCCCCACTACTTTCGCGTGTCTTTCTTTTCTTCTCTTTTCTTTTCCTTCTACTTGTGACTTGCGGACTTTGTATTTTGTGTTTTCTTTTTGCTCTGCTCCCTTTACCTTGAAACAACATGCTCATTGGATTATGCGGAGGTCAGCAGACATATGCTGAAACACACCACGTGAAAAGCTAACGAGCATCAGGCATATGTGCCGGCAAACATGCGATTGCCGAGTACCTAATTCAACAGCAGGGGTTCCGACTTCTTGAGCTTGTCAGCAAAACTCCCCAGATTACCGACCCGGAAGATGACCTTCGACTACAAGCTTCAGAGATCAGAAAGAAAGGCGATACCCAACCAGAGCATACGTTTGAGAATGCTGATACTCTTCTCGACTTCGCTACCAAAAGATGGCAAGAATGTTGGGTCACTACGGATATTTCAGATGCGAGCACTTTAGACCGATTCCTGTTGCGCCCATTCTTTCTGTTTGTGAGCGTTGATGCCCCGGTCAGCCTTCGATGGAAACGATTTGCGGATAGGTCTGTGATAGAGCAGTCTCATGACTTCAATTTAGAGACTGACTTGACCATTCAAAAGGTGCTGGAGAAGACAACTAGACCCGCCTGATCTCGAGAAATTTGTTCTCTGGAATGACCATAACTTATACGACAAGGATGTTGGGCGTGTTTACTTGACCGACAAAGCACAAGTGCGCTTGTTTAACTCATCATCGTCTCTCGAAGAGCTACACTCGGCGCTGAAAGCTCTCGACCTGGCCAACGAAGAACGACTACGACCAAATTGGGATCAATATTTCATGCAGTTGGCCTCTCTGGCCGCCCAAAGAAGCAATTGCATGAAAAGAAGAGTTGGATGTGTGCTGGTCCGAGAACGCCGTGTCATTAGTACTGGGTACAATGGGACTCCGCGCCATCTTCGAAACTGTAACCAAGGTGGATGTATGACCATGGCCAGAATCAAGTGACTGATAAAAATTTGTGTATCGTACTGACTCGAACGCGTTGTCTCAACAGGCCCTCGTTGCAATCGCGGAGATGGAGGCGGTGTTGGCCTCTCAACATGTCTTTGCCTGCATGCGGAAGAAAATGCGTTGTTGGAAGCAGGCAGAGAGCGCATTCGAGAGGGCGCTATTCTTTACTGTGATACGTACGTTCAATCTACGCTTGGTACATGATCCCAAGAGGAAAATCTCACTCTCGATGATAGATGCCCTTGCTTGACATGCACTGTGAAGATAGCCCAGGTTGGCATATCCGAAGTTGTTTACTCGCAAGGATACAACATGGACAAAGATGTAAGCATCGTATCTGCCTGTGCTGTGCGTTTACTAAGAACCATTCAGAGTGCTGCCATCTTGCAAGAAGCAGGTGTCCGGCTACGGCAATTTCACCCGGTATTTAATCCTCATGTCCAATCTACAGTGAATTTTGCTAAGCTGACCCGATCACAGCCTTCAAATGGTCTCATATATTTACAACAGTTTGACACACCACCCCTAGATGGAAACTGATCTAGATGTGAAGCAAACACTACATGACTTGAGTAAAGAAATGCTAAGACCTCAAAAGCACCAATCAGCCAAAGAAATACTCAGACAACTTAACCACTTGCGAGTGGATCTACATGAAGCCCAGTGCACTAAAAGTACCTAAGAATACCCACGATACGCCATAGATAAGGGTAGTGGGGAAGTACCCGGAAGTACCTTTAATCGCATCATTTTGGCCGGCAGAAAAAAAAAGAAGTATGACTCAGCGCGCGAATTTTGGCGGGGCCCTGGAACAGCCCCTCGAAGGACTCAAGTTCTCCCATTCTTTGCTTGCGAGTTGAATCTCCTGAATCATCCGTTCTACCTGCAGCTTTATCTCAGCCTTGTGGGTTGAGAAATCGAAGCCATGCCTACCGTGCACTTACTGGACTACGTTGCGGGAAACATTCGTTCCTTAGTCAATGCAATCAACCAAGTTGGATACGATGTCGAATGGGTCAGATCACCAGAGGACGTGAAAAATGCTGATGTTAGTCTCTTACCCAATGGCAATTTTACCATGTCATAGCCACAGATAGCATGAGATTGCTAACGAGGTCACACTCAAGAAATTGATCCTCCCCGGAGTTGGCCACTTTGGCCACTGTCTTTCTCAATTGGACAAAGGTGGATTTTTAGAGCCGATTCGACAGCACATTGAAGCTGGAAAACCCTTCATGGGAATCTGTGTTGGGTTACAAGCCCTTTTCCAAGGCTCCGAGGAAGACAACGACGTCCCGGGACTTGGCGTGATTCCCACTCGCATTCAAAAGTTTAACGACACTTCCAAGAGTGTACCGCACATTGGATGGAATTCGGCAATGAATACTGGATCTGATGCTGCGAAGGGACAAAGCTTTTTTGGCTTAAGGCCAACTAGCAAGTACTACTACGTCCACTCTTATGCGGCCCCTTACAAGCCGGGTGCACTGGAAAATGAAGGCTGGTCTGTGGCCACGGCTACCTATGGAGAAGAGGAATTCATTGGAGCTATTAGTCGTGGAAACATCTTCGGCACACAGTTTCACCCGGAGAAGAGTGGCTTAGCCGGTCTTCGCGCCATTCGCGCATTTTTGAACGGCGAGCAATTCCAGTCCCTCTCAAAGGACCTGATTACTGGCAAAGAAAACGGACTCACTCGTCGGGTCATTGCCTGTCTTGACGTGCGAGCAAACGATGCTGGTGACCTGGTTGTCACTAAGGGCGACCAGTACGATGTACGCGAAAAGGACGGAGAGGACGCCGGTGGTCACGTTCGAAACCTCGGAAAGCCTGTCGATATGGCCAAGAGATACTACGAACAGGGAGCAGATGAAGTTACCTTTTTGAACATTACATCTTTCAGGAACTGCCCCATCGCCGACACGCCTATGCTTGAAATTCTACGACGGACATCCGAAACTGTTTTTGTGCCTCTGACCATTGGCGGAGGAATCAAAGACACCGTTGACACCGACGGCACACGAGTGCCAGCCCTGGACGTGGCAACGATGTACTTCAAGTCGGGTGCGGATAAAGTCAGCGTCGGTTCCGATGCCGTCTTTGCCGCCGAAGATTATTACAACGCTGGCGAAAAGCTGAGCGGTGAGACTGCCATTGAGACGATATCCAACGCTTACGGCAAGCAAGCTGTTGTTGTGAGCGTCGATCCAAAGAGGGTTTATGTTGATAAACCAGAGGATACCCACCACCACACACTCAGGACGCAATTCCCTAACTCCTCGGGACAAAGCTACTGTTGGTACCAGTGCACCGTCAAAGGTGGCAGGGAAACTCGTGACATAGATGTGCGACAACTTGTTAAGGCCGTTGAGGCCATGGGCGCTGGCGAAATTCTCTTGAACTGCATCGATAAGGATGGAAGCAACAGTGGATTTGATTTGGAATTAATCAATGACGTTAAAGCTGCGATCAAGATCCCCGTCATTGCTTCAAGTGGAGCCGGAGTGCCTGCACACTTCGCCGAGGTCTTCAACAAGACCACCACTGATGCAGCACTAGGAGCTGGAATGGTAAGTTTGAATCAATATGCCACTTTGTATGAAGTTATTAACTAGGCCTTAGTTCCACCGCGGTGAATTCACCGTGACTCATGTGAAAGACCACCTTCAAACCGAGGGATTTTTGGTTCGTCAATTTGAGGCTGATATTTGAGAAATCGATCTTGTGAAAGTTCTACAAATTTCCATACCACCTGAACATTCTTTCTTAGGGTACAGTGTTTGCCTTCGCCTTTTGTTGCTTCAATAGAGATCATAGACCCTCAAATCAAGATGTATAGTGAGAAGGAAAGAAAGAAAAGGTCATTGTTCAGCAAGTAAGTACTAGTTTTGGGAAAAGAGCCAAGTAATGATACAAGAATAACTATAGATTTTTCAGTCTTTATGCTGCAAGTTCTTAAATAGGTAAGCCCCTCTGATTATCAATGCGCGGCCAAGGCGGCGTGAAAGGCGGTGAACACTAAGTAGATCATCTGACTTTTCCTCACTTGCCACTTCATCTCTTCCTTATCCGTCGATGCCAGCCCATTGTCACAGGACTTCATTCTTGCATCATCTCTGCTCTTTATCTCCAGGCTATTAGTTTCAGTCGCGGTTGATATTTGCACTTCTTTCCCCCCCCTTTGACCCTTTGATTTGTCTTCCAGTATTGTCGACTTGCCCGAATCGTGACCGAACCCACGAACACCGGCGATACTCCGATATCGATTCACTGGCTTTTGCGACGCTCATTACTTATAAATAGGTAATCCTTTGACAGACAAAGGTGTCTGCAAGGATATCCAGCCAGCTAGTCCGCTAACAGGCCAAGGTGTTGGGGTGGCTCTGCGAATCACTTGAAGGACGGGGCAGGCCATCAAATCTCTCTTGAATGCACCATTTTTCTTCCAGCGCCAGTGTTCCTTCCACAATTGTATTCCTCAATTCTTTGATCTACATTTGTATGCAGTGACCTGAACCCTCACTATTCAGCATCCAAGAAGATTCATTCACAATCCATTGTCTCCAGCATCCTCAGTCGATAGATACAAGTCTATCGGTCTCTGATTCCATTTCCCTAAATACTTCTGCTTTGCCTGCTATTGAGCAGATATTCATTTCTTCCCTGATTTTTTTTTGCGACTGGTGAACCAGTACACCTCGATTTCACAAACCGTTTCTCTTGTCATCCCTCTGGCTCACTGTACAAGTTGCTGGTGCCATAAACGTGGGGTTTAATACAACACTCATTCTTGTTGCACCCCTCAAAATTGAATACAATGTCATCGTCTGTTCATTTCAAGTTCAAATCCCAGAAAGAACCCTCACGGGTCACCTTCGATGGCACTGGTATTTCGGTCTTTGAGCTCAAAAGAGAGATTATCAGCCAAAGTAGATTGGGCGACGGAAGTGACTTTGAGCTGTCAATTTACAACGAAGACACCAGAGAGGGTATGTTGCTCTTTCACCACTTGCCCTTCCTTTCTGACCCCTTCTCATAGAATACGATGATGACACGACAATCATTCCTCGGTCCACATCGGTGATTGCTCGCAGACTACCTGCAGCACGCCCTGGTAAGGGCGGTGCTGCTCGTTATGTCTCCGGAAAGATGCCAGTCAACGCTCGCAGTGCCCCTCGCAACGAACCTTCGACAAACAGAGCGATACCTGGGATGGGGCAATCTGTGAACAACAATGTCTTGGAACTCAATAATGCTCAAACTGAAGAAGAAAAAATCAATGCACTTTTCAATTTACAAGCTAGTCAATGGCAGGAGCAACAGCAGGAAATGGCCAAGTGAGAGCTCGCACGTCCTTTGCATATCGATCGAGATGCTGACCTTTTCCAGTGCCACACCCGTGTTCGGTCGTGGCCGAGGCAAGCCTGTCAACGTACCAGACCACCCTCCTCCACCGGGATATCTCTGCTATCGTTGCAGGGAGAAAGGTAACCATTTGTCTACTCGAGTGATATTACTCCAAATTGCTAACACTACCATTCAGGCCACTGGATTCAAGCGTGTCCAACTAACAACGATCCAAAATTTGACGGTAAATACCGAGTCAAGCGCTCAACCGGCATCCCGCGGTCACTCCAAACCAAAGTCGACAAACCAGAATCACTGGCGCCTGATGGCTCCACTGAAGATGCGAGGAATACAGGGGTGATGGTGAATGCTGATGGTGACTTTGTGATTGCAAAGCCGGATAAGGCAGCGTGGGAGTTGTATCAAGAAAAGGCCAAGGCTTCGGCGGCGGCGGCAGCTGAGGCGGCGGCGGTCGAGGAGAGCAAGGCTCTGCAAGCTCGTGGCCTGGAATGCCCAGTTGACAAGAGAATGTTCTTAGAGCCAACAAAGACACCATGTTGTCAAAGAACATATTGCAATGACTGTATCTCAAATGCCTTGATTGAAAGTGACTTTGTTTGCCCTGGTTGCTCCACAGAAGGAGTTTTACTTGACAACCTCACCCCGGACGATGACTCTGCGTCTAAAATTAAGGTCTACGAAGCAGAGAAGGCTGACGCGAGGAAAGAAAAGGACAAACTTTCTGCAGGTCCAGATGGGACTCTTCCCGAGGCACCCACAGCTGAATCCAAGACTTTCACAGCAGACAAAGAGCAAAGCCCGCCCAATCAAGCCCAAGAGCCAGCACAGACCCAGTCAAAGAAGAGACCCGCGGAGGATGAACTCACTGATGCCACTGAAACTAATCACACTGAGTCGGGTAATGCTGCGAAGAAACAGAAGGCCGAAGATCACCAGTCGGATTCCCAGGGTCAAGATAATAGCAACAAAGAGGGCGCGGCAGGTGTTCCTCCCACCCCTTTCAACCAAGAAATGCCCTTCAACGGCTTTGGCGCAATGCCGGGCATGCCGGGCATGCCGGGCATGTCTATGATGCCATTCTCCGGTCCAGGATTTGGTGCCGATGCCATGGGCTTCATGAATCCAATGACGATGGCGCCCGCGAATGGCTTCCAAAACGGTATGGGCCCCGGTTGGAACCCAATGAACATGCAATTTAACCCCGGTATGTTCGACCCGAACAATGGTGGAATGCCCAACGGATTTCCCAATATGTTCAACGGAGATCCTTCAATGTCTATGTTCCCCATGGGCCAAAATGGATTCCAAGGGTCAGGCCCTGGCATGAACAATTTTTCCAACCAGCAACGGACAGCTTTCAGCACCCCGTACTCCAGGGAGGAAGATTCGCCGTACTTCCGACAGCCTGTCAACCCGCAACGCCATCAAGCTAGAAATCGGAGGGTTCGACCAAGTGATTATCGGGAGCTTTAGAGTGCCGACTTCGTTTATTATCTGGTGTTGTGATCTTCGATGGTGCACTGTGTACATGCATATTTAGAGCGGCTGCATTTTCCCTTCTTTTCTGTTTCTTTGATTTACTCTTTTTTGCGTGTCATCCTGGGGGCGTTTCTTTGAATCCTGGCAGTTGTACCTCCCCTTCATACTTTCTGTGTATGCGATAAATTTTTCGGGTGGAGATGGACAACTGAAGTGTGTACTTTTAACATAGTCTCAATACAATACGATAAATCCCAATCGAAACCCATCCTCAAGCTGCAGAAATACCCAAGGTATAGACTGTATTGGAATCGGGCACCAAACGTAGAAAGAATAATATGTAGCAGTTGAGTCAGGTGACCTTGGAAAAGACGCTCGTCCCCCGTCCTCACCGTCTGATCTCTTCTCTCTCGGACATACCCTTGACTGCTTTTCATCACAACCGTCTTCACCGTGTCTTCTTTGCTTATTCTACATCATTACTCTTCTCAATCCGTCTCGATACCCTGACCGGCCTTTGACTTCCACCGTTTATCAATTCCCCCGAGACCCACAACGACCGGAATCATCGACTATCATGGCGAAATACATGAGTAACCACAGTAGTAATTGCAATCAAATGCAGCAGTTTCTGGACCAAGAGTCCCAGAGCACTGTGCTCGCCAGCTGCTACAGTGTTGAGTCGTCGACCTCCAAGGTTCACGGTTTCCACTATTGCACTACGCTGGGCGCCGGTAAGAACCTCCACCTTCTTGCTCAACAAACCCAAAACTTACTTCGAATTTAGGAGTACAGTGGTATCCCTGAGGTCCCCTCGGGGTCTAAATCGGCTCTCTTAAGTCCTCCCCTCGACATATCCGCTTCCAGTGCGGAAAGAACCTGGCCCGGCAATGGCTGGCCAGAGTACAGAGGGGAGGCAACACATACTATCCCGGAAGAGTGTGAGAGACTCTTCTGTGACAGACTGTCTACGACGTTCCTTGGTGAGGGGAGTTTCGTGCGACAGGAGTCGCTGGGGATGGATGTGTTCCAAAACACCCCAAACCAAATCGGGCACCGGCATGATCGAATCCGGCGATGGGTTGAGGTTTGGGACTACTCTGGTGATGCGATCTACCGAGGGTTCGTCGCTGAGCACAACGGGGAGAACACACTGTTCGTGTTTTTCGAAGACCGTGCACTTGATCAAGGACTCAAATCAGGGTATGTGCTGTTAAAAATCTGTGCTTCCCAGGCCACAGAATTGTGAGATCGCTCGCTAACTTTTCTTTTGAAGACTGATCGCGCTTTTCGAGCTCGCTGACATCACTACATTTGGATGCTCACAAATAGTTGCGTGTGTTGGTCGCTGTGAGCGCACAGATGCAATAGAGCTTGTCCGAAGTCTAGGATGGTGTGGATTCAGCCTCACGACCTTGGAGCCCTGGATGTCAAGTAATGATCAAGGAGCCACCACCAGCGAAAAGTGGCTTTTCTTGGTCGCTGAAGTCTAGCAATAGGAGTAATGATGGGGGGATATTTTAAGTATGTGAAAGATCATCAGATGAAACCTTGGAAGCAAATGGAGAATCTCCCCGCATTTTCTAGATAAGATAAGATATAAGATAAGACATGACATGACCTCAGGTCTCTCTCCTCTTGACTCTCAACTTTACTCTTCACTTGTGTGACCATATTACACTACTCAAAATGCCTAAAGAGCGCAAACTACATTTCCCTCAGTTTCTTCTCCCATCCACTGTGTTCCCTACACATGGGCCTTCTCCGGACTCCAAATCCCGTAAGCCTAAGTACTTGGAGGGACATGTTCCCTACCTGTGCTGTGCAGAGTGCGCATCACACCTTTGTTTTGCTTCTCAGGTGATTAGCAAAGGGTTCACAGGTCGCCATGGTCGTGCATACCTCGTCTCAGCGGAGCCGGTTGCTGCAGCCGTGTCAGTCAGCGCGTCCTCCTCGCCTACACTTTCACTCCCCAACACCATATTACAGCGCCCAGTTCCTCGCCAGCTAGTCACAGGTGCCCACACAGTCAGTGACGTGAGTTGCGCATTTTGTGACAGTGTTTTGGGCTGGAAGTATGTTGCAGCCGAGGAGGAATCACAGCGATACAAGGTTGGCAAGTTTATCTTGGAAACTAAGAAAATCACAACTTCTTCCTGCTGGGAAGCCCCGCCTACTCTTGATCCGTCTATGCGATCGTCTATGCAATCAGAAACCCAGCCAGAAGGGATCGAATCTGCCTCCACAGATGCCGAATTCGACAGCCATGATGAGGACGAGTGCGAGGACTTATTCGCGGGCATCTGGAGTCCCGGACTCGCCACACGTCGAAGAAGTCGCAAGATTGAACGTCGACCTGGCATGTTCGGATTTTCATGAGGAGAGAAGAAACAACGACGAGGTATGGCTGGGTGTGGTCAACGTATTATGTGTTATGATACCCTTGAATGTTTGCATATCTTAATATAGCTTAAAGGCCGCATTGTTTCGTGAAATCTTCATTAAGTCCTAGAGAATTGAACTGATTTCTGAATTGTAAATTTAACCATATGAAAGATTGTGCCCAGAGATGCGGATTAGGCAAGTGACTTCAAGAAGAGGTATCATCGACGCGGGTCCGTTTGGAGCCATTATCAACAGCAGGTTCTTCAGCAGACCGCTTCGAGGTACAGCCGGGCTCTTGAGTTGGCTGCTTAGCAGGCTTCCGCTTGACCAAGGCAGACAAGTCTGTTGCTCCCTGGCTTGCTGCCTCAAGTTGCGCCTTCTGATCGGTTGCTGATTGGCCGACAATCTGACCCAAAATACCTTTCAGCATAGCCTCGTTAGATTGGTCGTTTTCTTGAACAGACACAGGTGGCCGACGCAGATCAATAAGCTGCAACATTTGTCAGTCAATACTTCAAGTACTTCAATCAAAGGTGTGGCATAGTCACCCGTTGCTCCATTTCAGCAATGATCTCTTGGACATTGGCGATCTTCCTCTTTATCGCAGTCGCTTTGTCTTCATCCATATTCATATCGGTTTCAAGTCTCTTTTCCTCCTGGGCCATTCTGACCTTGCAACTTTCGATCGCAAGCTCCATTTGCGTAGCAGCCTCATTTCTCATCTCTTCATCAACTTTGTTCTTCTCGTTCTCGCCGCTTTCTTCATCTCCTTGCTGAACAGATGCAAACTCCAGGGCGAGAGACAGTTTATAATGGCACTCGGCAACTAAAGGATCTTCAAGAGGATATAGCGAATTCCTCAATTCAAGGACAGTTCTCAGATCGGTAACTGCATCGCTGAATCTCTCGGCTTCCAGCGAGATTTCAGCCTGAAGATCGTGCGTGTCGGCAAGTCGTTCCTTAATGTTCTTGGCGTCTGTGGATATAGCGGTAGATTTGCCCTTGCTCTCATCGCTTCTCTCGATAGCACTCAGCTTTTGGAGATAAAGAACACGTGCTAGATCGAGAACTTCAAAAGCGTTGGCAAAGTCGTCATCATCATCATCGTCCTCTTCGTCAGCTTGATCGCCATCTTCCTCATCCTCCGAGTCGGAGTTGACAAAGTTTTCGTCTCCTGTAAACTGGAATAGGGGTTTAGATCCTGCAGATTCAGACTCGTTGTTTGCGACTTTGCTCGATGGCGAGCCTGGGGCTTTCGATGAGGCAATCGTATCTTTGACGAGATGTTCACTAATGGGGTTAGACCCAGCAGAAGAGGAAGCTTTCTTCGGAGCTGGGTTGCTGGGTTGGGGTTGTTCACCAGCTACCTTGGACCCTAACACATCACTTTTGCTCACTGCCACGTTGTAAAGTGATTTTCCATAGGCATAGAGCAAGTCGGCATTTTCTGGAGAAAGTTCGCCGTTAAGTTCGGCCTGCAGCTCGGTGGCCTGGGAATACAGCTCGGAGGCTGCATTGTGGTCTCTAGTCGCATCTTTTGCGGAGGCTCGTGCGACCAAGTCTTTGAGGTGAGCTTGCTGCTCTTGCGCAGAGAGTTCGGGCTGGTCTTGCATGGTAGGTTGGTGGGTATCCGTCATGGCGTAGGATGTAGAGACAATTGGGTATAGGAGAAAGACAGTAATGAGAAAGAAAAAGATGAATCAAATGAGGATTGTCTGATAAATGAGAGAAGTGAACCAGTAGAAGTGAACCAGAGGTGAGAAAAAAAGAGGCGGAAGAGCTTAGTTTGGGGGGCGCGGCGCGTTTGTCACGCGTCTCCATTTAATTGATTTCTGGCGACCTTCTTCCTCACGTTCTCCATCTATGACCATCTATGACTTCAATCTTGTCAAACAACCGGACAGATTTCTTCAATTTTGAATAACTACGGTTTCCCTCTTCACATTTGACTTGCCAGCAGACCCTGCTACATTCTTTGCTACATTCCTTCCTAGGCCGCCAGCAAGATGGATGCATCTACGCCGCGACATCCTGACCGATTCAAATCAGTGGATCCAATTCCTTCATCCTCACCTGCATTTGGGACACCAGCACGTCCATTTCGGATAAACAAATCAAATGCGCCCCTTACAAAAACATCAATTCTGCCAATCTTACTTCCTCCTTCGACTCTACGCCCAGTGGCTTTCCGAACATTCACTCGCAAACACAACTTGACAATCTCGTCTGCCGCACTTCAAACGTTGGCGGTGTTTGTGGGAAAGAATTGTGGCTCAGGATGGCGCGAAGAAGGACTAGCAGAACGCGTTCTGGACGAGGTTGCTAAGATATGGAAAAGAGCCGGAGGAGGTGTGATCGTCGAAGAAGGCAAAGGTGCCTCACTGAAAACGATACTCCAGACACTAGAAGGTAGTATGAGTGGTGGAAGAGTTGTTGCTGGTAAATCAACGAGTGTCAGTTCAAAGCCCTCCACGCTTGGTATGGATGATGGGCGGATGGAAACCAGTGGGGAGAATCCCCAGGGACCAAATGATGAAGATGATATGCAATTGTCTTTTCATCCAAGACATTGGCTCAAAGTGATTGATGCCTTCAGTCTTCCACGCTTGACTTATAATGTCGATAAGAAATACTTCGAAGCTATCAAGTCGAAGCCGTCATTGTTTCCTTCGCCCTCCCACAAAACCGCACTTTTCCGAGATCGATATAACCTTGTATACCAGCGATTGCTCCGAAATGAGTCATTTCAAAGCTCCTTGGGTGTTGCTGGTGTCCCTTTACTACAACGCGCATCATCTAATATTGCTCAACGGCAATCCTACAAACTAACACCAATTGCGAACTTGCTGGGCAGAAGTGGGACCTCACATCTGATCCTAGGGTTGCTTTCTATCTCTCCTACAGGAGATCTATCACTAGTCGACCTGACTGGAAGCTTGGCACTAGATCTGAGTCATGCGCGGATGATACCAGAAGACGGCGCATGGTTTGCACCTGGAATGATTGTACTTGTTGATGGCGTTTACGAAGAGGAAGAGATGGTAAAAGGCGCCGTGTTGGGCGGAAATTCGGGGATTGGAGGTGCGATCGGAGGCCAATTTGTTGGCATATCAATCTGCGGGCCCCCGTGCGAACGACGAGATATTTCGCTAGGAACAAGTAGTCGCCACGACAGTGGACAACTGGGCACCAGTGGCGGTTTTGGATGGGTCGATTTCCTCGGTCTAGGAAGTGAACGCGCACAAGGTGCACGCATGAGAAGAATCCAAGAAAAATGCCTGCGAGGTGAACTGGAGGCCGCTGAAACCACTACTCGCCTCAAGATTGCAGTCATGAGTGAAATCAACCTCGACAATATGAAAACTTTGGATGCTTTGAAGAAGGTCTTCAGTACCTACAATGATTTGGCTCTATCCGAACGCCCACAAGCTTTCGTTTTAATTGGCAACTTTGTGCGAAGAGCTGTCATCAGTGGAGGCGGTCGAGCTGGAAGCATCGAGTACAAGGAGTATTTCGACTCTTTGGCGTTAGTCTTGTCTGACTTCCCAGCATTGCTACAGCACTCGACTTTTGTCTTTGTGCCAGGTGATAACGACCCTTGGGCATCAGCATTCTCTGCCGGTGCAGCCTCCACAGTACCGCGCCAACCTATCCCAGAGCTTTTTACCTCCCGTGTCCAACGTGCATTCGCAACAGCGAACTCGGAGCTGGACAAAGCACAAAATCCTGAACCCACAGGTGAGGCAATATGGACCTCCAACCCGGCCCGCCTCACATGGTTCGGGCCACTACATGATATCGCCATCTTCCGTGACGACATCTCAGGAAGACTCAGACGGAGCGCTGTTAACACCTCTCTTGACAACGAAGAATCAGACGTCACCATGGATGAGCCATCAAGTAGTGTGGCTGGCGACGCAGGCTTTATTGCACCAGAAAATCCGAACGATATGAACCAGGAAGACAGTGCCAAAACTTCCACTGCTTCATCTGGGGTGTCGATGGCCCGCCGGCTTGTCAAGACAATCTTAGACCAAGGGACGGTCTCACCATTCCCGTTACCACTGCGCCCCGTCTTATGGGACCATGTCTCCTCCCTGCAGTTATACCCGTTGCCTACAGCATTGGTATTGGCAGACCCCGAAACTGCACCATTTTGTATGACCTATGAGGGCTGCCATGTTATGAATCCCGGAAGATTGGTACCTGAAGGTGGCGTTTCAATGGCGCGGTGGGTAGAGTATGATGTGCTTCGGAACCGAGGAAAAGTTAGAGAAGAGCGTTATTAAGGTCTATGTGAAGACTCGACACATGGATATTTAACGGTAGCAACAACTTAATTACACATGAACTAAGATGATTTCAAATGGCATGTCAAGTTGAAATCTAGGAATACATCGTGAAGACAACATTCAAGTTGCTCTCACGTTAAGTTAAAGTAGGGAAAAAGACCCAACAGGTATCAACTCCCGAAGAAAGATTATTTGCCTAGTCAATTGTGATGACATCGGTATTTCCCAAACCACTGGCTTGGTTTGAAACGGGGTTTTTTTGCAAACCAGGAATCTGAACTTTGGTTGGTAGCAATCCTGGCACCACGGCTTTCTCTTCGGCTTCTTTGTCGAGTTCAAGATGGGGAGCACTGAGGCACTGGTGCAACTCGGTCAACAGGTTCCCGACTTTGTCGGGCACCCCTACCGCTCCATCACCAAGTCCGTTCCATCCATGGCCCTTTGATTGGTAGAGCCTTTCCCGTATAGCACTTGCGATCTGATCACGGCCTGACTGGTTGTCTCTGTTTGCATCCCTTAAAATCCAGACCACCTCATCCTGGTGCTTGATTGTGTTCAACCTGAACCGCGAATTCAGTCGAGGGTAATGGATTTGATATTCAGTTGGCCCCCGAACAGTGATGTAGGCCATTGGCGAGTCCGTCTGGTTTGGAGAGTTCGTGATGTGGTCAAATGACTGTAACAAGGGGAGTGTGAAAGACATGAGGTATAAGATAGACCCCACCCCAGTCTCGGTAAAACGGTGGTTTAGAGCCACCGCCAGGGCCTCTTGGATTCGGCGATGAGGACTGGACCTTTCAAACTTGATACCCAATTGGAGGTGGAACAGAGGCTGAGATTTCGATAGAGCTGCCATGTCGACGAAATCGGTCAAAATAGGACCCGAGACACCAATATCAAAGGAGGCCAAGGATTTAGCCTCTTTGCCGTACGCGAAGGCAATCTGGGACAAGGATAAAGAGCGAGGCTCCATTCCATTTTGTATAAGGGACTGGAGGATGGAGAGAACACACTCGAGCCGCTGTAAGCGTTCGAAAAGACCAACGATAACAGAATGCCCAGCTGGCACAACCAAACGAAGTGCGAAACCAGCTCCCTTGTCTTCAGTAATTAACACAGGGTCCGTCTTTGAGATAAGAGGGACAAGGGATTTGATGCGATTTTTGAATGTGCCATGCGCTACCACTATGATGGAACGACTGTTGCTGTCAATTCCATGGAACGCGAGCCTAACCATTTCTTTAAATTGTGACTGCCTGTTCACCCCCGAAGGCAGCGCGATTCGCAAGGCAGTAGGAAGCGTAGACGGGTTGTAGCTGATAAGAAGATCCGGTACTGTCAGATCAGATTGCATTTGCAGTTCTCTCAGCGGTGGCAAGAAACGCAGACCAGGTAGCTCGGCCAAATAACATGCATTGGCATGAATAGCCAAGATTCCGGTTAGAGCATGAACTAGCTCTGCGCATGTTGTGTAGTCGAGTCGTTCCTGTGTAGGAACAAAATTCTCGCTGATAACATGGGCGCGAGGAAGAGTAATCCCATTCTCACCAACGTTATAAGGCGGGGATACCTTTGCTGTCCCATTTGGTCGAAGTTGAACAAGCCACCATCGGTCACCGTCCATGCTGCTGGTGGCTGCTGCAACCCATTGCCGGTTCCAGAGTTGATGAACGAAGAAAACGGATCTCATCACACCCAGAGGGAATAGCTTACGGGGATCAAGCCCAAGCACTCTCTGGCTCACAGTCTCAAGGCCAAGCGCCTTGGTACCGGACTCAATTTCGTCCACCGCAGTAGTGCATCGCAGCCGTGAGACGCGTGATAGTATCTCTTCGATGGATGATTTATGGATTGTTCGATCAGTATCCAGGCGTTCAGGTACGTTTGGTGTCACACAGAGAATGATGAATCCCGACATTGGTTCAATGGAGACTCGAACAGATCGTGAGGCTGTGAGTTGAACATTCAGGTGACAATCGCCGGGTTCTGTCGATGATAGTTGAGCCTGAAGTGATAGGGTGTGTTTTGCGAAAAGCAAGTGCCTTTTCAGAGTGGTGAAGGCAGTGAAGAGAATATGTGAGGTATGTAGGGCGACGACACTTCTGAGGATACGCTCCATGGAAAGGTCATCCGTGTCGAATTTAATGGCATCAGTGATAGCCGATTGACCATCTCTCATCCACCGGAGACCGAGGTGTGATGTCCGGGATATCGGATTGCTGGACTTGCTGCCACGGTGACCGCTGTTAACTCCTATCTCTAGCCAACTCTTGGGCCCAGCTCTCTGAGGCCAGTATTGAATGACAAGTGTTCGGTGTAGCAGTTCGATACGTAATGCATCTGACCAGAGTCCACGCGCAAGGTCTGTGGCTTGTCTGAACATAATGTTGATTTTATTGGTGAGAACCAGTCCGTGTAAAAAGTTGAAGCACCCCATCAGCCCATCATTGCGGAGTATCTCATTGATCTTGGCATCAAGCTCATTGAGAATCCGTCCCTCTGGAATTGGCGATGATGGCGAGAAAAGAAAGCGAATATCGACGAAAAAGAACTGTGATGATGTCGATATTTCTGCCACCGAGAGGTCAAGTTCAAATTCACCAGGAACAGTAAACGTGACCCGGCCATCATGAACCCGATAATGTCGTAGTGCGTGTGGAACCGAGTCATGCAATGTCAGTCGCACGCTGATAATGCGGTTGAGCTTGAGTAGCTTTTTGAGCGTTGCTCGCGCTGTCAATGTTTTGAGAGGACTGTAACCAAGCTAAAAAAAGGATCAGAGCATGGAACATGGCAAAACAAACAAGAAAACTCACGTCAGGTAAAGATGCTACCTGGCCCTTTGATAGAACCAGTAAAGCCGTTTTTAAGTCAGGGTTGGCAACTTGAGCCCGAACTAAATCTCTTTTCACTTCGCCAACATACTGAAGAGCTGCATCGTATGATTGGTGTCGCGTGCGAATGAAACCTTGAATATCAATCAGTCTGCTCACATCGGCAGCTTGTCGACTCCACTGTGAAAGAACAAGAAGCTTAATGAACTCCGCCCTCTTAGCATGAGCAAAATCCAAGAGTCGTAACTTTTTGTGAACATTTTCTGATGACTGATTTCCAGGCCCTTTTCCATTGGTTGTACTCAAGGGAGCTTGGTGAGGTACTTGAATCGCTGCCAATTCAGTTATCAACTCTGAAAGTTCATTCCAGCATTGCTGCACTGAACGATTGACAAGTATTCCAAACGGGAAAAACCCTTGGGTAATATGAGTGAGTTCAAAGGGCGTTGTTGAAGTTTGATTCCACGTATCAACCGCGCCTGAGGAACCATTGACATAAACTGATCCATTCAAAGAGCCAGATACTTGAGCCGCTTTGTCAAGGTCCCCCAAAGAGTTGGATGCACCATTTCTAGCCCCATCGAGGCCTAGTCGCCGGACAGATCCATCGATGTTGACATTGTCCATGATGACACCGGGCATTTCTGTAACCACAGCCTAGCTGTTCGGTGACTCTCCGTAAGAGCTCCCCCCTCCTTGGCCCTATGCACGGCACAGAACAAGTGACCAAGCACCGGCACTGTTCTGGGCTCGACCTGGTCGGCTCCGGGGTAGGAAGGGAAGCAAAAATCAATGTAAAAGACACAAGTAGGTCCTCAGTCTATTGCCATGCGTATCACGGGCTACTAAAGGCGATCGTCACGCTCATAATCGGGAGAGCTGGGCGCACGGCGAAGGATCCAGGTGGGCCTATAACGGTCCGTCGAAGATGGGACGGATATGCTAATAGGTCACAATCGAAGCAGTAAGCCTCAACGCAAAATCAGGATCAATCTAAGTCTCGCAGCGAGGGATGACGAGGGACACCGGGTAGATCCCTAAGATTTGCGCGACGATAGAGCGAAACCAGGTTGTCGCAATGCGAAGGAATAGAACACTGTAGGGAGAGAAGGGCAGCGAGGGCGAATGGGATTATCGAAGGGAAGGTAAAGGAGAAGTTCAATATAGAAAAGAAAGAGCCCAGCGAGGACTGGGTCAAAAGGCTAACACTTGATGATTTGATGAAAGCGCGATGCGCTCTGCATGCCATGACTTACCGCCTTGTTTGTCTGCCTTGGTGCCTGATAGCGGAGAAGGTACACGCTACATTCGTTTCACGCTAGTCAACTAGGATGGCTTAGGTATCCTGTACTTTCCCCGGCATGTGCCTACAACTCCGATGATCTGCCCATCTCATGACCTCACTCCTTTGACAACTCTCTAGGCTGAGATCTACTCACAATCCTGAATTGCCTTCTGTTGATTTTATTCCCGATACTGAAAATAAACTAATCTCGCAACTATCTATGTCCGAGTCTACTTACGTCTGACCATGAGTCTAGACTGCTCCTACCAACCATGAGTATACCCGAGAATGAGTCGAGGGATGTCCCTCAATATCCTGGCGATGATACCCGGTCGACGAGCAGAAGGGAACTTGCTGGCTGGTACTGCTATGGTTGGGCTGCAGAGGTGTTTGTCGTTTGTGCCATGGGTATGTGTGCTCATAATCCATTGACCCTTGGAAGCTTCACCTAATCCAAGACAGGCTCATTTCTTCCGATAACATTGGAGCAGATGGCCCGGGATCGTGGTGTCCTTCTGTCAGACAAGACAACACCGTGCAGCGCAACTTGGAGTCCCTCTCTACCACCACCAGGATCAGACACCCCGGGATATCAGCTCCAGGGGTCAGATGGCGGACAATGTATCATTTATTTCCTCGGCACTGAAATAAATACCGCAAGCTTTGCCTTGTATACTTTCTCACTGAGTGTCTTGGTTCAAGCAGTCCTGATTATTTCAATGTCAGGTGCCGCTGACCATGGAAGTTATCGCAAGACCCTTTTGGTCACCTTTGCTTTCATCGGCTCAATCTCTACGATGTTATTCCTGGTTGTTGTTCCCAAAGTCTACCTTCTGGGTGGGCTCCTTGCAATTATCTCTAATACTTGCTTTGGTGCGTCCTTTGTTCTTCTCAACTCATTCTTGCCTGTTTTGGTCCGGCATCACCCGTCATTGTTAGGAGAAGATAATGAGGGAATGACTGCTGGAGATTCCCAAACACAAGCCACAGAGAATTCTTCTTCTTCCTCGACTGCAAATATTGACAGGGCGCTCCCGGATGCTACAATGCCGCTACTTTTGTCTGAAAGGGAGTCTGAGGAGACTTCCGCCGCTGTGACTTCCCTAGAGCTCAAGCTTTCAACCAAAATCTCTTCTAATGGCATCGGCATCGGATATATCGGTGCAGTGATCTTACAGATACTTTCTATACTGGTTGTGATAGTCGTGCGCCCCCCAACTTTCTCGTTGCGTCTTGTTCTGTTCCTAATTGGATTGTGGTGGTTCGTTTTTACCATACCTGTAGCGGTGTGGCTGCGCCCTCGTCCAGGTCCACCATTACTGGGGGGCGATGGAAAACCGCTTCATTCCTGGATCGCATACATGGCCTATGCCTGGAAGTCTATTGGGAAAACCGCATTGCGGGTCCGTCACCTGAAAGACATCGCCATTTTTCTTGCCGCTTGGTTCCTTCTCAGTGACGGAATTGCAACCGTCAGTGGCACCGCGGTGCTGTTTGCAAAAACTCAATTAGATATGAAGCCGGCTGCCCTAGGACTGATCAATGTGATCGTTATGCTTGCAGGTGTATTTGGTGCATTTTCTTGGAGCTATGTATCAACCTGCTTCAACCTTCGGGCCTCGCAAACGATCATCGCATGTATCGTCCTTTTCGAGCTCATTCCGCTTTATGGCCTCTTAGGTTTCATCCCAGCCGTGAAGCGCTTGGGGCTTGGTCTCCATCAGCCCTGGGAGATGTATCCACTGGGCGCAGTCTATGGACTTGTTATGGGTGGGCTCTCATCCTACTGTCGAAGCTTTTTTGGGGAGCTGATACCTCCCGGCTACGAAGCAGCCTTCTATGCCCTGTATGCCATCACCGACAAGGGATCCAGCGTTTTCGGTCCGGCTATTGTCGGAGCCATTACCGATCGCTACGGTGAGATCCGACCAGCGTTTGCATTCCTGGCCGTGCTTATCATTGTACCGCTGCCGCTTATGCTTTTGGTGGATGTTGACCGCGGAAAACGAGATGCCAAGGCATTGGGGGCTGAACTGGATGGCATACCAATATCCTCTGGATATGGCTCTATAACTGAGGCACAAGTTGAGGGTGGCGGATTTGAGTATAATTAGGCTCGACATCTGTGATGTATCAAGAAATTGCTTCTGCTCTTTCTCGGGTCATTGGAAGTATGCAGAAGCAATCTAGAAATTATAGGTCTACTTAGGAATGCTACATGGATCTATATTATTAATCATATTGGCAAGGGCTCCCGAGGTCTCAGGTGTCGAGGCCACTTGTCAACTTCTGAAGGTATGACCCGATATGGAAAGGGATTACGGCGATACTGTTTTGGAACGGGGGAGACAACGTTCAACAGCAAGGTTCATGGGGGTGTTCAAAAACAAGTGTCCTGTACCCGTTGTTGCCCCATAATTTAGTGCTGGGCCAGAGGTACCAGGTACATGGCGACAACACAAGTCCAGGACCGCCCTTGTTACCCTGCATAGCCCAGTCATAAAGCTCCACTCTCAGCCTTAATGAACAAACTGTCCTCAAGCTCATCCCTCCGCCCCCCTCCTCCGTCGATAAATAAAACATCTCCCCATTCCAATTCTTTCTCTCTTCAACCTCTCGGACGTAATATTGGTAAGCCCCACCGTCTATTTAGGTTCCTAATTTCTCGTTTCAGCTTCTAAGTCTCTTGTCTAGCATTGATCGAGCATTTGGGCTCTTGTTTTTTTGTTCGATTTACATACACGATGCGGTCTTTCGCCCCCCTGGTCCTGAGCCTCCTCGGAGCTACTGCGGCTGTCCACGCCGCTGATGCTGAGGCCGAGGCTACTGATGCCAATGCCAATGTCGTCACGCTGACAACAGACACCTTTGATGAGTTCGTCAAGGAGCACCCGTTGGTGCTTGCCGAGTTCTACGCGCCCTGGTGCGGTCACTGCAAGTCTCTTGCCCCCAAATACGAGGAGGCTGCAACTGAGCTCAAGTCCAAGGACATCCCTCTTGTCAAGGTGGACTGCACTGCAGAGGAGGAGCTGTGCCGGACCTACGAGGTTGATGGCTACCCTACACTCAAGGTGTTCCGTGGTGCCGATTCCCACAAGCCTTACGCAGGTGCCCGCAAGACTGACGCGTAAGTTGCGATAAATCTATGACACCGCACGCGATGCTGACCACATACTCCCGCGATAGTATTGTTTCCTACATGACAAAACAGTCGATGCCTGCTGTCTCCAACGTGAACGAAGACAACCTGGAGGAATTCAAGGAGCTTGATAAGATCACCATTATCGGATACGTGGCCTCCGACGACAAGACTTCCAACAAGAGCTTCACTGCCTTCGCCGAGTCCCAACGCGACAACTACCTCTTCGCCGCCTCGAACGACGCCGCCCTCGCCAAGGCCGAGGGAGTCAAGCAGCCCTCTATCGTCCTCTACAAGGACTTCGACGAAAAGAAGGCGGTGTACGAAGGCAAGCTCGAAGATGAGGCCATTCTGGAATGGGTCAAGACCGCCAGCACTCCTCTGGTTGGTGAGCTCGGTCCTGAGACTTACTCAAAGTACATGGCGGTAAGTACACACTTCACTGTTTAGCTACTATTATAGATCAGACTGACCATTGCGTCTCATCAGGCCGGTGTTCCCCTAGCTTATATTTTCGCCGAGACTGCCGAGGAGCGTGAGAAGTTTGCTGAGGAGTTCCGTCCCGTCGCCGAGAAGCACCGCGGAGCTATCAATATTGTCACCCTCGATGCCAAGCTGTTTGGTGCCCATGCCGGCAACCTCAACCTTGAGCCTGAGAACTTCCCTGCCTTCGCCATCCAGGAAACCGCCAAGAATGCCAAGTACCCCTACGACCAGACCAAGAAACTCGAGGTCAAGGAGGTTGCCAAGTTCATCAAGAATGTCCTTGACGGCAAGGTTGAGCCTAGCATCAAGTCTGAGCCCATCCCCGAGACCCAGGAGGGCTCTGTCACCGTCGTCGTTGGCCGCAACTACCAGGAAGTCGTCATCGACAACGAGAAGGATGTCTTGGTCGAGTTTTACGCTCCTTGGTGCGGACACTGCAAGGCGTAAGTTATATTCATCCCTTTAGTTTGACATGTCTAACACCCGCTTTCCAGTCTTGCTCCTAAGTACGACGAGCTCGCTGCTTTGTACGCCGATGTCCCCGAGCTGAACGAGAAGGTCATCATCGCCAAGATTGATGCCACTGCCAACGATGTGCCTGACTCCATCACTGGCTTCCCTACCATCAAGCTCTTCCCCGCTGGTGCCAAGGATTCTCCCATCGAGTACGCTGGCTCCCGTACTGTTGAGGACCTTGTCTCCTTCATCAAGGAGAATGGCAAGTACCAGGTTGACGGTCTTGCTGACGGTGCTAAGAAGCCCGAGGAGCATGGCGATGTCACCTCATCTGCCGCCAAGGCTGCTGAAACTGCTTCCGAAGAGGGCCACGACGAGCTCTAAACGTAAAGCTTGAAATTGTATCTCATCTATTGTATTCTCTATCCGAATTTGATATCTGTTCGAAGGCTGTGTGCGATTGTAGCTTCTAGTATTGAGATGCGTTGTAAATGAGCCTGTAAATGAGCCGAGGCTTATGATGATCGCAGTCGATCAGCTCTTGGCACTTGAGCCTAAGGCGCGTCGCGCGGAACGCGTCGATTCCTTATCGCTCCCGCCTCACGTCTTGGCTTCTGGGGAACCTTCATCTTCAGCCTCTCAGCCTATCATACATTCTACCATCCTCTCACGTTTGCCTTCAATCTCAATCTCAACCCCACTTCGTCATGGCTAGCCCTGGGCTCAAACGAAAATCAGAACATGTCTCGGCTCCAGACTCGAAGAAGCCCAAAGGCGGCAGCATCACTGCTTTCTTCGGAGCGCCAAAACCCAAACTTCCAGGCAACCAATCGATCAATGGGTCACCGGCTGTGATCCAGCGACCAACCACTTTCAACAAGGACAAATGGGTAGCATCATTGACAGCTGACCAAAAGGAGTTACTACAATTGGAGATCAATACCCTGGATGAAAGTTGGCTGGCTCATCTGAAGGATGAGATAGTGACCACTGATTTCCTTAACTTGAAGCGATTCCTCAAGAAAGAAAAGGATACCAATGTCAAGGTCTTCCCGCCAGAAGAGGACATCTACTCCTGGTAATTGTACTTGTGATGGCAAGTGATTACCACGTGCTGACCAGACTGCAGGTCCCGACATACACCTTTGCACAATGTCAAGGTGGTCATTGTTGGCCAAGATCCATATCACAATCATAATCAAGCCCATGGCTTGTGCTTCTCCGTCCGCGCTCCTGTCCGCGCCCCACCATCGCTTGTCAATATCTACAAGGGCATCAAAGTCGACTACCCTGACTTCGAGGCGCCACCTGACAAAGGTGGACTTCTCATACCTTGGGCCGAGCGTGGCGTTTTAATGCTCAACACGTGCCTTACTGTTCGCGCCCATCAGGCCAACAGTCATTCTAATAAGGGATGGGAGAAGTTCACACAAAAAGTTATTGATCTTGTTGCTCGGGTTCGAACCAATGGGGTGGTTTTCCTTGCTTGGGGCAGACCCGCTGGAATGCGAGTCGCCAAGATCAACAAAGAGAAGCACTGCATCTTGCAATCTGTGCATCCTAGCCCGCTAAGTGCGCATCATGGCTTTGTGAGTAGCTCCGTTCTCAAGACTTGAGATTTGTCAGCTAATGAAATTCATTAGTTCCAAAACGGACATTTTAAGAAGTGCAATGATTGGCTTGCATCGCGGTATGGTGAAGACGAAACCATTGACTGGAGCTTAGTACCAACCCCAAAGGTCGCCCCAGCCCCGACCTGTATTTCAGACAAGGAGAACTCAGCTACATCAGTCAACAAGACCGTGGTTGGGCCTCAGCCTGCCAAAGTTGAAGTCAAGGCTCAACCGGCTCAAGTTGATGAATTTGACGATGACGATGCTATTGAGGCTATGGTAGCAGCTGAAGCAGAGTGACCTTCTTCAGATCCGGTTTAATTGATATGTGTGTCATTTTCTGTTGGATCCTTTACACATAGGTCTCGCGGGTGTTTAAAGAGGAGTTTTGGAGTTGGAAGGTTACACCCTGGGCTACAGTCTTAGGCTCTGTACTGATTCTTTGGATCATAAATGAATTGCAATCTTCTATTTCTCTTTGTGAATTAAATCAGAAACTATGAGAATACACGGTATACTCAGCAGATGCCAGCGAAGTAGAAAATGCTTGGCAACTTCTTATCGATAAACTTATCGCAACCTCCGCACTCAACTTCTTTCTCCCTCTCCAACCGTGTGAACCAGACCTCATGGAACTTACCTGGCTCCCGGATATTCCCCAGTCGCGAAGTCGTACTCGAGCTTTGCGTGCCTGTCCCCAATGCCAGCGATCAAAGGTGCGTCCAGAACTATGCACAGCAAGTCTTGAAGCCAACAAACCAGAAACGATGCCGACACCTCAACCCGGAGGGAGAGCCCTTCAATCGTAATATTTCAAATCGCCGGAATATATCTAAGCCCAATGAAATCACCGCCCGACCGACTCGCCGAGATGGTTCGAATCGCTACCGACCTTATTCGACTGCAACCATAGATCGACCACGGGCAGCGTCAGATGGCCCAAACTTGTCGGATCCCGCTACCGAACGATTTGTGGGGGATCTCAATCCGGAATCTGTCATTCGTGAGAGGCTGCATGAAAGTGGAACTCCTCTGCGGGACCGTATCGGGCTCTGGATCAGCTCGCCCGCTGCACAGAAGTCCAAAGTCCAGAGATTGAAAGGGACAACTCCTGGTGAAGACTCTACCTCTATCTCATCGGCAACAGCGAAAGTTAGTGAGGCTGCAGCAGCATCGCTCCACGAACTATTTGCTGCGGGGCTACAAGCATGTGAACCTTTGCCCTCGGAAACCAAAGAACCGTTGACTGCTATCTATTTTTCCAAGGTCAATCATATTGTACCGATATTAGATCATGAATCATTTCTACGGTCACAGTCCGATGGCTCGACTTCTGTGTTTCTTGAGAAAGCTATCTGTCTCACTGCAGCCAAGACACATGGAGCGAGTTCTTATTTGCGTCTTGTGCTAAAAGGCCCGGTGCTTTCATCACGTCAGTTCTGCTCCGAGCTATATAGGGAACTTGTGGTGGCCATGGACGCAGGACTTGAGCCAGATCGATTGACCCGGATTAGGGTGCTCGCGTTGATGTCCTTTCACTGTGAAGGATATGAAGGCGCCGAGGCAGCATCTCTACATCTCTGTCAAGCCATTCACCAAGCCCAGACTGTAGGGCTGCATCTTGGCCGGCCAAATCAGACATCTACCGATCCCCTGACCAAGCTTTTCTGGTGCCTTTGGACGCTGGATAAGATGCATGCAAGTATCGGTGGCCGACCAGTCCTCCTAGCAGACCGCGACATTGGCGTGGTGAAGCCTGATGTCAAAGCTCAGAGATCTCGAGGAGCTTTTGAGGTCTGGTTTGCGGTATCAGATCTCCTGGCAACTGTGATATCATACTACCGACCCTCTGCAGATCCTTCCAGCGGGTGGGAAGAAGGATTTCCCGCTTTTGAAGACATCGTTGGGGAGGATGCTAAGGAGGACCTAGACTACGCTACACTAGGTAAGTTCCCAATGGCATCCATGCCATCAAGGTCCACAGTTAATCCCAGACAGGCTTCTTGGAGCTCTATTATCACTCCGTCGCTATACTTTCATGTCGACACAAAGTAGCCGAAAACATTGACGGCACCAGACTTTCAACGGTCCGACAAGGCCTATCAGCCGTGCGCATCCACTCCATCGTCGCATCAGAGTGCGCAGATGATCTCCCACCTCTCCCAATCGTGCCATATTCCATCACCCTCTCAATGGGTGTCTCCTACCGTCAACTTCGCTCAAGTCGACTAATTACACACCTCGATCGCGCCAAAGCCAGTCTAGAAGCATGTTGCTCTTTGCTGGAGAATCTCAGTCCATACTGGTATTCCGCAGAAGCAATGGGCCGGCTGGGACATAAAGCCCTACATCAAATCGAGGGCCATCCGCAACCTTCTACTCGGGATACCATGCACCAACGGCAACTAGAGTCTGCGCGTAAACCAATCACTGATGTCACAACAGTGGAACAGGGATTAGAACCAATGAAGTTTATGCCCGGCAGTGTTGAGCATAACCAAGCTCGGGCACACCAGCCCACATACGATCTCCCGGTCGATCCTCCAGTCCCAGAAACATCCATCGACACACTCCAGCCCCGACTGAGCGAACTAGATGCATCGTCCATGCAAGACGGGTTCGCCGATATCGATATGCTATTTGGAGAATTTTTAGATCTTTCGTTGCCCACCAATTTCTGGGATCCTATCTTTATGGAGGAGCAAGGACAAATGGAGGATTCGCAATCATAATCATCATCATTATAAATATGTACTGTATATAAAAAAGGGAAAAGAAACTGTACATGATGCAGCATATATTTTAGTACGAGGCGGTTCCTTCGCCAGTGCCTCGTAGGCAAAAAGCAAGTTCCAACAAGCAACAAACCCAGTCATATAATTGAGCCATTTTAATCCGAAACTCTTGCAGTCTCGGCCTTGGACATGGGTTTGTCGGCCAGATGGGCGAAATCAACCGCTTTAGGCTCGGTATCAAAGCCCGGGATGGCGACATTGTCAACGCTGAAACCGAATGTCTTTTCTTCCGGTTCGTTGTTTTGCGAATCATCAGTTGCAAAGAATTCGGTATTGCTTGCCTCGTCGAAGTTGATCAATGCATCAAAGTCATTCTGCGTGACCTCGGCGTCATTTGCCAGATCCATCAATTCAGTTAGACTCATTTCAGACGGCATAGTGAAAGGATCTTTAGCGTTGATATTCGGATTGAGATTATTCGTGCTTCCATTCTCGCTTTCGTCCGAGTGCGGTGGTGTAGAAGCGAACAGGTCGCCCGTAGACCGTCCGCCCGCGGAAGGTCCGGTATGGTTGGGGTAAGTGAGGTCGGGTATCTTTTGGGCGAGCGAGTCTGGAGGTGGGGTGAGGGTGTTGAGGCGGGAGGGCGTTGAAGTGAATGGATCCGCGGTGGTGGCATGGGTTGACTTGCGGGGGCGGGCGGAGCGGGAGGACTGGACGTCCTGTGGGGAGACGGTGAGCTGGATGCCTGCTTTGCGGATTGCTGCTTCGAGGAAGGAGGTGGCGAAGTCAGCGGAGGCGTAGATCTCACGCAGGCGCTGGAGGATGCGCATGCACTGATAGAAGCGTTGGAGGCTAGTCATGCGGATGCTTGGGTCACTGGACTTGATGTCCAGAAGGTGGATGATGACTGCGGGGAGGAGGACGGTAACTCCGGTTGTAGGATAGTAGCGGGTCAGGTCCAGGCAGTGCAGATCCTGGGCGATGGCGGTGATCTCAACAGCAGCAGAGCGGACCTTATTGCGGGACATGTCTTGGAGTTCGGCATCTGTGGACGGGTAAGGGATGGCTGGGAGAACTTGTGGACGATGCAGAGCGCTCGATGTGGTGAGATAAACCATCTTGAGTAGGGCACGGTGTGAGTGTAGTACTTCGTCAGCCTCGGGCAGTTTTGAGCTGTTGGATGCAGTATACTGAGTTTCGATGGGGAGATTGGCCAGCCAGTCCTCCAGTTCCTGGTCACAGCGACGGACCTCAAAGGTCTCTGCGGTGGACTTCTTTGGAACGAGCATCATGGTCGTCTCCATGGTACCGCCGAACTTATGGCTCAAGACCGAGTACTGAGCAGACAGCACATGGCTGACGCAGAGACACAACTTGGCCTTTTCAATAAACATCAATGCAAGCTCGCGCTGATGGGCGACATTCTGGAGAATCTCCGAGTTGCCAACCATAGCCACGATTTCAGGGGAGAATGGATGAAATTCAAAGTCGTCGAGGGTGAGCATGGGCACATCACAGTCGTCGTCCTTGACACGCATCGGGCGGCGCATACCCAACGCAATCAATCGATCACGAGTATAGGTACTCCACCAGATGCGTTTCCACATCCGCTGGCGACGCACATCCATCCGCGAGTTGCCGGGGTCCCGGTGCAGGCCGATAGTATGGGCCAAAGATAGACTGACACCCATCCAATGCCAGGTGTCCTTCTGGTCATCAGGGGTCTCATACCAATAAGTCATCAGCAACAGCGATTGGACCAATGAGATACGGTCCACCTCGTAGTCGAAGTCATACAGTAGCCGGGCACGCTGGAAGAAAACCTTCCGGGCAGCCTTGCGGGTCTGATAGCCCGCAGCATGTAGGTGCTTCATATCAATGAAAGCCACGCCGGCGAACATGACTGCCTGGAAAAGTAGCAAACTGATACGGTGGATGCCGTCATTTTGGACGATGGTCTGTAGGAACTCTTCCAAATCGAGTAAAGGCATATACGTATGCACATAGTGAATATAGCTCTTGATCAGTTCATTGCGGAGGGTGGCGTCAGGAATAGTGAGGGCGCCTTTAATAGCCAGGTAGTCGATATCATCTTTCAGAAGTCGTCCCGGGAGTCCTCGGATGTAGTCTGGGAGGAAGCCGGCTCGGGCGTTGCCAAAGCTGGGATCTAAGAGTTGTTGTATTTGAGAAGTGACGTTGGCTAGCGGCATAGACGCGGGAACTGCAGGATTGTTGGCCATGTGGCGTTGATTCCGGCCATCGGAACCGATACGCTGGGCCTGGGTTTGATCTGTGTAATCAATTAGCCGGGGGGATTTGCCGAAGTCGAATTGGCAATACGAACAGAGCAGATGCGGCATATGCTGGCCTTGGTCCAGGTCTACTGAGGCCTGTGATGGTGAGGTAGGGACCATGTCGGCAAACCCTGCTAGATCACTCAGGCGGCCATGGAAAGGATTTTCCTCCGACACCTCGCCTGGCGATTCCGAATGGTGGTTATCTGCTTCCACGCGAGATTTTCTAGACGCCGAGTCAGTCTTTTGCATTGGAAATATCTCCCTCTTCACATACCTTCTCCGTTTGCTCTCCGTCACCACACACTCGACCTGATCTAGGCGGCAATTGGTGCACGGAGAGCCATTCTCTACCACGTCACAACGCACCTTGCGGGCACGGCAACAGCAACAGGCCTTGGAGGCCCGTCTCTTCACGGGACGATTATTCCCAGCAAGGCCAGAGGCCTTGCGTTTCCCAGATTCGGTATCGGTCATTGTCGCAATTGTAGTATGATATATTGAGGACACATTCGAATTACTTGGGGATATACAAGCACGTGAGAAATGGAAGATTCAAGAATATCGAAAGAAAAGGACAAAAAAAGCCAAAAAGAAAAAGGGAAAGAAAGGAAACAGGGAAGAGTGGAGAGTGGAGAGGAAGAGTGATAGAATTCTATCCCAAGCTCAAGCGCGCAGGGTGGGGGAACTGAACTTAAGTAATAAAACAGTCACGATGCCCCCAGGTCCGAGACCAGCCAAGGTTTGGGATCACGGGGAAATAAATTACGAGCCCCACTTGTTTGAACTGCGTCACCGTACTCTGGCTTGGCCCGAACGGGTTTAGTCCCATGCCCGTATACCGTCCCTCGGCCCGGTCATCTTGCAGTGCTTCTCTGCGGGCATTCTAGTGTGGGTTTAGTCTCTTTAGGATTTTCTATTATGTGAGAGAGTTTATTTCTGCCTGATGACACGTGTGTTCCCATGTGAAAAATGAGAGCTACAGTATTCTCCCAAGTCGCCTATATCAATAGGCACTCGGCGGGACCCTGAACGGTTCAGTCGGCTATAAGCCATGCTAAAGTCTAAACACGAACTCTGTAGAAACACACACACACACACATTTATTCCATTCTTATTTTCAGGTTTCCTTGGAAAATAATGGACAATAATCTCAGAGTGGACCTTGGAAATCCGAAATACGCCGAATGAGAAAAAAGCGTGACGATCCTAGGAACTGAGCGGGTCGAGGAATCAGGGGACTCGCAAACCTGGATTCTGCAGTGGATTGTCACGGAGAAGAATTTCAGTTAGGCGGTTTAGGCGATATCTACACATCCACTCAGATGGAGAGATATTCTCTATCGCTCTGGAGCCATGAAGATCATTCAATATTGATTTGAGGGATATACCCGTATCAGACCCATTCATTAATAATACCAAGTCGAGGCCTTCAGCTCGAGGCCAGTATCCAGTCAGAAGCCGTGTAAATGTCCAACGGGATCGCCTCCACAGCCCCGGAATTCCGGCGTTCCTCTCCCCTGAGTTATATCCCGCACTTTACGGCCTGCCGATTCACGTGGGTAACTTCCAAGGTTCCGATACTCGGATGATTCCTCATTACACTGGAAGTCACATGCAATCTATGGATAAGTTGCATATCTAGCATATTCAGATTCATAGTTACCGTACAGTGTATCTGTACAGGCCTCAAATTCCCATCTGGGTGGGACCGTGAAGTCATAGTCGGAAAATGGAGAATTTTCTACACTGGAGCACCACGAGGTGGGACTCCAATCATGACCGTGGCAAAGGTAAGGGTGTATTGTATTTTCAACCCATCCCCCGGCCTCTTCCGCCCCAGAAATCTCAACGAATCACCAGAGTCTGGGGTAGACGGCATTCTGGCTTTGAAACCTTGCCTTGCCGACCTTTCTTCCGAGTCGGATTTGCCTTCGGAAATCCGGATGACGCTTTAGGCATATTGACACTGGACACACTGACAGATACTACTGTAGAGCCACTGAGAAAACTAAGAAACCGGATGATGCGTACTGGGTACAAATAAACACTGTCATGTCTATCTCCACCGTCAAAGTGTCTAACTTGTTGTAAATCCCCCCCCCACTCCACTTGCGTTAGTGTTGGTATTTGTCTTAGTCTGAGGATTAGACAGCGGGGATATAAATGACTCAAAAAGCCACACCATCGAGGCTGGGCTAGGCTGTGTCACGTCTTTCTTTCCCCGGCATCATTCACCCCACGTTTTCTAAGTTCGGGGGGAATGCCGAGACCTGGGGGGGAAACAAAGGAGAACGGAGAATGGAGGAAGTATCCCCACTGCCTGTCAGGTTATCAGGATAAATGGCAATGGCGGTCGAACCTCGAAAGAGGTCATGGCGTGGAGGGGCAGAGGGGCAGAGGGGCCAACAGATGTTTTCAGGCGAATAAATGCGTTGAACTTGCAGACGTTTCAACTACAATTTTTAGTTGGCGCGTGACTCGGAGCATCAAGCCCAATCGGGCAGTCTTGGCGTGGAAGTCGGCACCGGAGCATTTCCGGTTTTCGGTTGCTTTTACTCCGGGGACATTTTGATAACTTCAAGGTCTTGTCTAGCTTATAAGTTAACTGAGATGGACAGTAGACCTTGGAAATAAGACTTGGAATCTTGAAAATCGTGAAATCATTCATATCACTGTACAATAATCCATTTCATAATAACCAGCATTGACCGAATAATAGACATAAACGTAAACTCATAACCAATTTCCAGAACCATCAATTTGCACGAGGGGAATCAAGACCAAGATGAATACAAGACACAGAAAACAACTCCAACCTGAATAACTTTTAAACAAGTCTATGCACCACCACGACCCATCCGTTCAATGGACCCCATGATTCCACGCCCGGGAGTTGGCATCGCGATGCCAGACTTGCCACCACTATTGCCGCGAGAATGTCCACCGGGGGCACCAAATCTTGAAATTCTTTTTTCCGCCGTTGCAGGGGGACGGATGCCACCAGACACAGAGCGACTAACACTGCGGTTGAACTCATCCGGGGTGACTTCGCGAGATGCTTGACGCTGGTCTTCCAATGAATCGTGGTGCACTGAAGAAACCACGGAAGTCTCGCGGCTTCGAGGATGAGACGGGGCCGGAGCCTGTTGCATAGCCAACCACTCGTCAACCGCAGCAACGAGCTCACCCTTTTCGGCGCGTTCAGTCTGCAGGTCTGAGCGCATACGCTCAGTATCATCCCTGAGAGCAGCCATCTCCTGCTGCAGACCCTTTATCTGAGCTTCCATGACACGCTTCTCGGCCTCGTGCTCCTCGTTCTCGTGGGCGATTTGACTAGTGCTGGCTGCTGACATGGACTCAGACTGTGCATTGTCTAGCTCAACCCGGAGATGCTCGTTTTCCTCGCGGGAAACTGTGAGTTTCTTCTCTACTTCACGCAGGCGTTTCTCCCAGCGTGACTCGTAGCTCTTTTTTAGGGCTGTGACTTTGGTCTCATGCTTGCCCTTGTACAGAGTGTGTAGCTCTCGGGCAACCTTTTCAACTGCGTCTTGGACTTCCCGAGCCGTATCTTCAGCTGAGTTCGAGGATTGTTCAGAACCATTAGGCTTCGCAGAAGTAGATAGAGAAGAAGCGCGCACAGCAGACAGTTGGCTTTCAAGCTCAACAATCTTGCGCTCCAATCTCTCCTTGCTCTTTTCAGCCGATTCGGCCTTCTTGGTCAACCGTTCCCGCTCCCGCTCGCCCTCCATCAACTCAGTTTGGACCGATCGTAGCACACTTTCCATCTCCTTGGCTTGATGACCCCACCCAGCTTGTTCCATCTCGAGCGCTTCCTTGTTTGCGACTTCATTGCGAATCTCTTCCAAAGCCTCGCCAACACGGCGCTCCGCATCGGTCACTGCTGTCTTTAGGCTAGCGACTTCGGCCTCTTTGCCACTAAGAGTGGCTTTGAGCGAGGAGATCTCAGACATGAAACCAGATTTTAGTGACTCCAGTTCGCGGGGAGTGACCGTGGGAATAGACCGAGGAGTAGGCGCAGGCGGGATGTCAAAGTCCAACAAGGACGACATCTTCCCAGGAGATCGAATGGAGTGTCGGGCAGAACGCAAAGGTGAACGCCGTGAGGGGGAGAAACGTGAGCTTTGCATCGATTGATGAGGATGGAAGTTCATCTGATCGGTCAAATCAAGCAAATTGGCCGAGTCAACGGGTTTTGGCATGTCTTGAGAATCTTTCCGTCTGGGTGTGGGTGACCCTGTGGGCGAATTTTCTTCGAGGTAGGCGCTAGCTCTGTATGCTCGACGTGCTGTGCTCGGGGTGGTCGGATCATTTCGTCGGGATTCATCCCTGCCATGAGCTGGACTAAGTGCAACGCTTCCTCGTGTTGACTTCATTGGTGACCCGGCGCGGAGCTTTGCGAAGGTTGTCATGTCTGGCACGGCGGAAAAGGCGCTCAAGCAGGTGTCATCCATCGAGTCATCCACCATAGAGTGCTCATTTGTGTCTTGACCGACGTTCTCCTTGTCACCATCTTCGTGGAGGACTGTACTCATGCCTTCATTCTGTTTGTCTTCCATCATACTGTTTCCAATGGCTGATCTATCATGAATGGCACTACCAGTGGACAACATGCTGTCATTGTGCATAACGCTAGATTCCTCTTCGGCATCGATGTGTATCTCCGGTGCTTCCGATACACCTGCCCGGCTGGTCATACCCTTCTTACAGCGCTCGTTCATCTGCAAATTGTCTTCATGGTCTTGCGGTGTCTGGTCGTAAGATCTTTTGCGAGGTGTTGCTGTACTCGAGCTGACGAGGGATGCACGAGAAAGTTGACGTGGCTTATGAACATCGAGAGTGTTCTCCTTCGAGGCACTTCTGGATTGTGAGCGAGGGGCGACAGGGGAAGAATGTTTCGAGACCACGGGCGAGTCGCGGGGCACTTGTAACTTTGGAGACTCGGTGAACTCCCGGGCTAGCTTCAGGTGGAGCGGTGAACTTGGCTCCACTGCAGGTAAATGATCCTCGTGGACACTTTGTGGCTCTTCCATGGTCTCATGTACTTCCGACGAACCAATCTTCTCCCCTTTTTCGTGGGTGCTGAGTGAAGACTCCAGTTCTACGGCAGATGAAGAATGCTTGGGAACCACCGGAGAGTTGTGTCGTGTTTCATGTGGACTATGAGACTCAACAAGTTCCATCTCTTCGATGAGGAGCGGTGAACTTGGTACAACAGCCGGTGAGGAATTCAGATGTACAGCAGGCGCTTCCGGCTCCATCTCATCGTCCTCAAAAACAGGCGTCTCTTCTCTTGCCACGGGACGTAGAGGAGAGCTTTCAATGTGGTCAATTGGCTGGGTCAACCGCGGCTGTTCAAGTGTGGGCGATGAGTTCTGCATCTCGCGCAGACGGTCAAAATCAACTGTCTCGTCCCGCGCATTAGGGCGGAATGGGGAGCTCTCTGGGTCTTCCAGAGCCAGCCGCCTCCCTATTCCGGGCGACATAGGCTCCACCTCTCGCATCTTTTCATAATTCATAGTTTCTTCCCGGGCATTCGGCCGGAATGGAGAGCTTTCGGGGCTCTCTTCTCCCAGTGGCTCCATGCGCGGCCGTGACAGAGGCGACTCTTGCTGTGTTTGGTGCAGCCTTTGGAAAGCGACTGTCTCATCTCTAGCATCAGGACGGAATGGGGAACTTTCGGGGTCCCCTAGGGCTAGCCGTTTGTCCAACCCAGGTGACATTGGGTGTGCCTCACGTAGATCCTGGAAATCTACTGTGTAGTCCGTTGCTGTAGGTCTAAATGGAGAGCTTGCAGGGCTCTGCTCTTCTAACGGAGCGAGTTGTGGGCGCGCAAGCCGGGGCGCCTGCCGCATTTCGCGCACCTTCTGAAAGTCTACTGTTTCTTCGCGCGCATCAGGCTGGAATGGTGAGCTTGCTCCATTCTGAAAGTACTCAGTATCGTTGTAATCGTCATTCTCGTGTTCGTTTGCCATTTCAGGCTCGTTGGGGTAGTAGTTCTCGTTTTCGTCGTAAGGGTTCAGACTCGGCTCGGTGTAGTGTGACCATTCCCTCTTTAGGGGACTCGATGGAATCGCAGACTCGGCCGGAGCATCGGCAGTCTTGTGGAGGAAGGGCGACGAGTCTGCTGGAGACTGTGCGCGCGCGTTCTGGTAGGAGGATGAGAGGGGCGCAAGAGGATTCGACATCGTAGGAACAATGTCAACGGGACAAGTCAAAAATGTAGTTAGAAGTATTCTCTGGCCACTGTGTTAGCACAGCTCCCAGTCTTGAGTTGAAGAGTCAAGGTTGAGCGGCAAGTTTTGTGTATATTGGAGTTGCCGTGTTGACGTTGCTGCGTAAACAAAGCTAGTCCCAATATGGAAGTGCCCAACTACGGTGCCTTACCTTAGCCCTAATACCCTGTCATTGTAATTTGCTCTTTGGTAGCAAGGAGTTCTAATTCATTGTGACTTTAGTTGACTAGTCTTGTTTTTTGGGAAGCATCATTATCACTTTGACTACCAGATCTCCAACCTACAGCACTCTACGAGTAATCTTCAAAGATATATAACTTATAGGTTAGGTCCCGCATAACGTTTTGACCAACACACCAACAAGTAATACAAAATCAAATCCAGAGGTTAAGTTATAAATTTCAAGTTAACAATCATAACATAGTAAAGGGTAATTTATTTGAGAAAAATTCATTCTAAACCGCAAAATCTAAACTCCGCATAGTGCAATCGCTCAGTACGCCATTTGTTTCTTATTGATAAACATACCTCCACCTTGTAACTTTCTACAAGTCTCCCCATATTTTGAAAAGTGACATCTCAATTGGCTCTCTCGTAGTCGGACACAATTTCCGAACATCCTCCATCACCTCCAACAATGTCGTCGTTCACAATGATATGAACAATCTCGTCATGTGGATGTTCTGGAACTTGATCATAACCAAAAGGTGTAGCATGGTGCACGGTTGCCCAGACATGCCTGTTGCGTTGAATGAACCATAATTGCAAGGCACCAAGCAAAGCAATCAGACTGCTACCCCACCAGGCGATGGCCGTACAGCCTATCTCAACGCCAGCGCTATAAAGAAAACCAGCGATTGGAGGAGCCAGAGTCCGAGATGCAGCACCAGCGGAAGCTGTCAGGCCATTGATTTTACCCATGACAGAGTCTGAGGGACTGGATTGCTTGATAAGGATCAAGAGAACGGGATAGGCGATGATTGAAAGAACATTTCGAACAATCAAGCACACATAGATCCCAATATAGACTGATCGACCGGGCAAGAAAGCAAGGAACGGAACCATGAAGTATGAAATTGGATGGAGTACCGTGACAACGATGAATAGTCGCCAAAGGCCGAAGTAATGTGCCAGCAGAGGGAATACGACACTCTGGATGACGAGAGCGATAATACCATCAGTGGACATGATAAAACCCACTGTCCGGGTTGAGAGACCCAATCCTCCTGAGATATCCAAGAGTCCACAAGACAAAGTAGAGAGACCTCGTGTGTTCTTATCCTGTAAGAAAATAGGGAGGAGGTGATCGTATGTCATGGAGTGATAGGTGAAGATAGCTAACGCCACGACAAGCATTGTGACTTTCCACGTGAAGGCTTTAGGCTTAGGTAGCCCTTTCCAAGTAGGTGATGAACCATCAACTTGCACATTCCAGCTCTCTTCATGTAGATGAACTTGATTGAATGTCCCATACGACTCCGCTCGAAGATCTACCCCAGCATTGGCAGTAGCACCAGATGTGGCGAGAAGAGGCTGTTCAACAGCGTGGTGCCCGAAAGACACGTGTGCGTCACTGCCGTGTTGCATATCCGGATGAGTCTCCTGCAAGAATAGCCAGGTGCATACAATGCTAAGGAGAAGTAGAAAAGAGCAAACGAGATTAGGCAAGAGAAACGGGAATTTCCCGAAAAGACCGTTGGCGGGGAATAAGGAAGGATATCCCTCAGAAGGCTTTGCAAGCAACCCACCAATAGCTGAAGTAGGTTAGTAGATGTTTTCAAATGGCATTATAAAAGGTTATACATACCCGGTCCGATGATCGTTCCGATTGACCAGACAAAAGGCATAATAGCATATGCTCGAGCTATATGATGCAAAATCAACACCTGTTCCATGTATATATCACCTGGAGAGGGCACATAGCTTACGCTCATATTCAGGCCGTTTAACCAGCTCACCGACCATCGTCTGGATGACTCCGATGTTCCCATTCAGGGCACCACCAAGGGCTCGACCGGCAAGTGCAACCCAGAAGGTAGGAGCCAGTCCGACTAGAATCAAAGAAGCAATTGTGCCAAAGCAGCCAGAAAGGAGAACAGGTTTTCGGCCAAGTCGATCCGAGAGTGCACCCCAGAACATACCAGTGAGAGCCTCGGCCAGCGAGAAGGCCGATATCAAAATGCCAGCATAGAAGGATGCATTTTCACCATCCCCAACGTGGAAGTCCTTGACCATCACCCAAGAATATGGAAAAATTGAGGTCAAGGCGATGGGTTCGGCAACACGACATATTGCTGGGGTCGTGTTAGTTACGGGATCTGTATAAGGAAGGGATCAGACGTACCAAGTAGGAAGAGTTGGGCGGTAGGAAAGCTATCGTCGGGCGATCTAGGAGATCTTGCCTGCTGTGTCAATGCCATAGTCCTCCAGAAGTAGATAAGGTCTTACGGCTATCCACCCCCGCAGTGTCACTTTTAAGGGTCCTCCCAGGCACTGCGACGTTGGACCCGAGCGTTAAAGTAGGTTGAAAAAGGTCGAAACAGGCCGAAGCAGGACTGGCCTTTCCGATCTTGAGACTCCTCAGATCTTCCCAGTTGAGATATGATGGAAATTCGATTCGAAAAGAGGGGGAAAGAAAGGAAGAGTCTTTTTCCCAGGTTGATTTTTTCTTTCCACGCAAAGCCAAGCACGGGACCTGAACCCTAACCAGGGATACTCAATCTCCATCTTAGTGCATCTTTCTATTCCAAGGTAGTGCCAGACAAGTTGGCTATGACGTTCTATTGAGAAATCCCTATTGTTATCGTTTCATGACACCTTCATACATTCATTTGCTCCTTTGGGGGCTGTTCATTTGATTTGATTTGTACCGGGTCAGGTACGGTGCCATTGAAAAGTCTTCGAGGTGGCGAGCCGAGTAATTCGGAGGTCATATCCAGCCTATCATGGACAGCTCGTGTTCAAGTGATCAATCGATAATACATAACACGTATTTCCCCAGATGCTGTCTTCTCCACTGAGGCGTCGAGCCTACTTTCTTAAACTGTGATCGACCAATTAGAGACCCGCAAAGTATAAACCAAACTGCTCGTCCCCCGGGCAGATCAGCGTGTAGACAGAAAATGATCAGTTAACTCATGTAAGCTTGTATTGACCTCAAAGTTAAAAGCAAAGGATTTCTAGAGAGAAAATAAGAAACAATGCGGTGGAAGAAACTCGCCATGACAAGATATGAGAAAACAACACAAGAAAATAAAAATGAAAGCCTTCATCAGTTACAATCAATCCCCTGCGCCGGCTAATCCATACGTGCCATGCGGCCCGGATTGTATTTAGATACCAAAGAAAAAGACAAAAGTGAAAAAAAACTACAGAAAATAAAACAAAACAAACATGGGGGGTTCAGGTAGCTTCAGGATGCGTTGAAGGACTGGTGATCTCAACAGAGCGAGTCTCAAGCTCCTTGGAATGCATATCGGTGTGATCATCCTCAGTCTCTGTACGCGAGTCAACAGCAGGTGCTGTTTCAAGGTTTGCCTCCGGTGGGGGCTGATGAACTGAGGGAGCTGCACTCGAAGAGGATCCTTCTGCCTGTGGCTTGTTCGAGGTATCCTCCACATGGTCTGCAGATTCATCCACCTTTTCTTCATTTCCAATGACGGCAGCTAGGCTGCGGAAATTGAGCATTGGTTCGAGGGATGTGTTGCTATCAGCAGCGGGATGGCTACCAGTACGCTCTTCTGGCGTGTTATCGATGAGGGACGAAAAGGACGAGGAGGCACTAGAGACATGTCGTAGGTGGGAAGGTCGCGATGGCTCAGAGAGAGTCGTATCGGGCGGAGCAAGGCTACTCGAAGGCAAAGGGGTTGAGTCTTGTGTACTCAGCGATGCTCGGTCGACTCCCTTGCCCTTGTTCGCGGCAGCTGCTTCTTCACCAATGATATCCTCGCCTATGACAGACGATGAACTACTGGTCACCCTTCCTGAGGCAGACTCGCCTGGGACGTCCAAAGCAGAGGCGCTAGGATTATTGCTGTACAAGCCGGTCTTGCGAGCCACCTTATCAGCTTTCTTAGCTTCTTTCTCTTTCTCCTTCTCCCTCTTCTTCGCTTCCTTTCTCGCCTCTTTCTCCTCCCGCTTGAGTCGCTCATCCTCGCTAGCCAAGCTCAATCGAATGGCCTCCATCATCATCATTTCTTCAAGATCATCAATTCGATTCCGCCTTGAGCTGGACCGCGGGGCCGTCAAATTACCAGACCCCTCCTCAGCGGAAGCAGAATCAGTGTCCTGTGCCGGTGCTGGTGCACGAGGCGTTGTTCGATCTGTACGCTCTGTCAAGAAAGCCAGGGCATTGAGGGCGGGTGATCCGGACCTGCCGGTATAACCTTCTCCATTAGTAGCCCTTCGAAGACCTCGTCGTCCAATGCCAAAGCCACGCGAGTCACTCGCAGATGCACTGGGATTGATCAAGTAAGCAGCTGTGTGGAGAGCAGTTGCCGCGGCTGATCTTCGTGCCGCATGAGCTCTGGCGTTGGCAAGTTTCGTGGCCCAGTCAGGGCGAACCCTGTCTGTTGTAACCACTCCAGGGTCAGTGGTGGATAATGAGGTGGCTCGACGGCGACCGGGAATGGCTGCAGGTGCAGATGACAGAGATGATGTGGAAGATACGGGAGATGTGAAGTTCGGCGAGCGTGCGCTGGGGTCCGCGGCGTAAATGAGACCCCGACGGAAAGAGGGCGGTGCGTATGTGACACCGAACTCTGGCTGGACACAGAAGGGACACGAAGAGGGCCCCGAAACCAGCTGTGACTCCTCCGGCTGTTCTCCTTCAGCGGGAGCAGGGGCATTCGGATCAGGCTCTCCGTGCTCTGGAGGATGCGGGTCCGGACGCTTAATCTGCACAAAGCACTCCGAGCAAATAGGCTGATCGCAGCATCGCGTACGGTTCAGATATGGCGGGTAGTAGAGGAAACAGATGGGACATTCGCTTGCGTCTTTGTACAAGTTCACTTCAATCGGTTGTCCATTAACAAAAGGATCCTTGGGAAGCTGTAACTCTCGAGGTGTGAGATCTGTTTGAGAGTTGTGTTTGGAGGATGTAGTCAGCGCGGCCAGAGTCTTCGCTCTTGTTCGGAAGAGAGGAGAGGTGGATGTCCCTGATGCGATCGGGGACGCGGTGGGTAATGACTGAGCGGGGTTGGAAGATTGCGAATGATCTGAATTGTAGGATTGTGATCTTGATGTGATCGGCACCATGAGGTGCTGGATAGTCGTTGCATCGGCAGGCGTCTTGTCCGCAGCCTTGGGTAGGGTGTACTCTAGCTCGTGCGGGATTTCATCGGGTGGAGGGATAGGTATGCCTCGGGCAGCTGCCATAATTTGATGTTCTGCCCACGACTCCGAGAAGTCGTTGAGGCCCCTCCAGAAGGGAGCTAATCGGCGTTCGATCTAGTCGCTGTCAGTCATGGCCCGAACGCATCGCGGAGGTCATCGGAAGCCTACCATCAGTTGGCGCACCACTGCCTTGTTGAAGTCTTCTGTTCCAACGTACACGCCCTGTGTCACTAGATAGCCTCCATCGACATGCTCCTCTTTCATGCTTCGCTCGCGTTCCTTCAGACGAGCCACTCGTTCCTTCTCCAGGCGACGGGCCTCACGCTCTTGTTTTGTTTCCCGCCGATGCTCCAATGTAGCCACATCTCGATCATGACTGCTCCCGATCCCTAGAATCGAGAGGTCCGGCCGGCTTCCTCTTGCCGAACGAGACCCTTGATATGGGCGACTGGAGGCTTCGGAAGTGCCGGGGGACCATTGATGACTTCGGCGACGGGACGGGGTCGAGGAGCGCGACTCCTTCGTCTGGGAGTTACCCATCTTGGGCCTTGTTAAGGGGATAGGTAGGGCGTCTGGTGGCGAGACTTGGTGCTCGACACGGGCGATCAGTCCGAATGAATTACGGGGAGAAGGGCCCCCAAGGGGGGGGTATAAGAGGGGCAGACCGAATTAACAAAAGACAATGCAAGGGGAAGAAGAGATGGAACGAGCTAAAGTGTGGAGGAGAGGAGTAACTTTCGGAGCGGGGGTTGTGATCTGTCCGGAGTAACTGGGGAAGATCGGTGAACAAGAATGGTCCCGTGAAGCCGAGGAGACCATATCAGTTGGGTATAAGTTTCATTGCAAGTTATCAGAGTTAATAAATTTGAACAGAAACCGACACCGGAAGTGGCGGAAGGAATTTCTTATTATTTATAGATGAGTCGAGGCTACAGGGCTTTAGAGACTGGAGTCTGGACTCTGCATAACATAAGAGTAGTCAGGTGTTAAGATGAATACGTAGGGTGTAGGGTAAAGTGGGTATATGATATAACTTAAGTTACACGCTCTCAGCATTGGTATGTTTAAGCACAGGGTATAGATGCCCAAATGCCTGAAAGCTAACCCGTGTGCTCCGTCATTAACAGGTCATGCGCATCGGATTACATCAGGGCTGTTTTCAAGGAAAGTTGAAGGTTGCCTGCAGATGCAGATCCCATGTATTTGATACATGACTGACACCCACACCGGCCGGTGGGATCCAAGTACCCTCTACTTGCCGATACCCGGTCTCCAAGGCGGGCTCTAAGGCTCCAAGGCTCTAAGGCTGCAAGGCCAATTCAGGCCACAACAGATCGTCAACGTCGACCACTCAATGTCCACTTTGAGAAGGCGGTGGCATAAACTCGGTCTGTACATTATTTTTCCTGCAAAAAAAAAGTTGGAGATTGTCGAAAGCTAAGCAGAACTTCTAATGATACAGACCATGCATCTGTGACTTTTTCAACCTTTCCTATCTTACTCATTGGAAGTATCTTCAGCGCGGCAATGACTGAAACGACTAGACTGCATATCACACCCTTCACCCCAGACATTCTTCCTTCCGTGCTACCAGCATCCATTCGTAGCTTGGCCACAGAAATCTCCTTCCACGAAATCGCTACCTTTCCTGAAAAAAACTACGGATACGTCACTTTACCGACTATGGAGGCCGACAAGATCAAGAAGAAGTTGAATGGCTCAATTCTCAAGGGCAAGAAGTTCAAAGTGGAGCCTGCTCGCCCTCAAAAGAGACACCGGGACGAGGAAGAGGTGGTTCCTGAAACATCCAGCACCAAGAAGAAGTCGAAGAAGTCGAAGAAGCAAGAGCCAGAGGATGGATTGGTAGAGGGCTTCGAGCTTCCCGCAGACCGAAAAGTGAAGAGAGGCTGGACCGAATCCAGCGATGCCAAGCAGGAGCGACGCAAGAAAGAGAAGAGAGACAAGAAGGACAAGGAGGAGAAATTGCAACCCAAGTCCAAGTACACCGACAAGTCCGAATGTCTGTTCCGAGCAAATGTTCCCCCCAACCGAGTCTCCGATGCAGCTGCCGACGACAAGAAATCCAAGAAGAAGAAGTCTTCCAAAGAGACTGTCGTTCATGAGTTTGCGAAGACAGTGACTCAACCAAGCTTCTTGCGCACTGTGGAGGAGACTGGACCGCTCACAGCTACCTTTGAAGAAGGCAAAGGCTGGGTGAACGCCGATGGTACTCTGAGAGAATCCGCCAATGAAAAGATCAAGAAGGACAACTACCGACCAGGGCAAGTTCCAGGGACCAAGGAGAAGCGCCGCGCTGTCAAAGAATCCGCCAAGACCGACAAGAAAAAGCGTTCGCGGAAAGAAAAGACCCCGGAAGATTCATCAGAGTCTGAAGATTATACTTCATCAAGTGGATCATCTTCGGACGACAGCAGTGACTCGGAGAGTGATGATGAATCCAGCGTTGAGATTCTAGATGAGGCTTCCAAGGAAGAGGATACTACGCCGCAAGCCACCACGGAAGAGAAGGAAGATTCCCCAGAAGCCGCTGACTCTGATGTTGAGATGCCCGAAAAATCGGACTCGGATGATGTAGCCAGCGAGGCCGTGAAAGAACTGGAACAGGATTCAGCACCCAAGGAAGTCCATCCACTGGAGGCTCTTTTCAAGCGTGCCCCCACAACAGCAGCTGAGGCGCAATCAGCCCCAGAGACCGATGCTGGCTTTAGTTTCTTTGGCAACGACGTTGAGTCAGAAAATGAATCTCAATCTGCTGAGCCACAGACACCGTTCACACCTTTCACAAAGTATGATCTGCAAGACCGGGGCCAGCGCAGCGCAGCCCCTACCCCTGATACTACAGCTGCCACCAAGCACATGAAATGGGATGAAGAGAACGATTCAGATGATTCATCTATTGATAGCCCCGTCAAGCCTCGCACAGAAGCTGGCGCAGACAAAGATGAAACCGAATTCACCAAGTGGTTCTGGGAGAACCGTGGTGACAACAACCGCGCCTGGAAGAAGAGGAGACGTGATGCTGCCAAGGAACAGAGACAGAGAGATAACCGCAAGAAGGGAATCAAGGGCAAGTCATGAAGTTGATACCAACATGAGACCTGACTGGAGTGTTGATCTGATGTTTACATGTAACGAGATGTTATCCTTAACTCAGCCTATTGACACATATAAGTAATTTGGAACAAAAGCATCGGGCCTAGTAATTTCTAATCATCTCGACCAAGCATCATAACTTTATAACCCTAACGCGACGTACCTCGCCGTCCTTTGTCGGTCATGTGACCAGCATGGCGTCGTCACCGCGTCCAGACCGAGCTTGTCGCATCTTCAACCAAGCATGAATTCTACATGGTCTTCACAGCGCAGTGTAAAGCTGCTGCTGCTACTCTTTACATTTCTCTCCCTCACCTCCTTAACAGTGGCATCAAGTAAGTGCCAGCTGGAGCCTCCCTGGCGTCCAAGATCCAAAGGTCCATATCCGTAATCGTTTAAGCTAATGCTCTATATTTCAGCACCAACCTCCTTCTGCAAATGCACCTGTTTCTCCAATAGCACGATCATTCCCCTCGACCCTTCCAAGTCCGAAAAGTCCTCTGGTATCGACCACCTTCTTCACTTTTACGAGCGCAATGTTGCCAGCTCGGAACTCGAACACACCGATGAATATATCAAGCGAGAGCAAAAGTACCGATCTTTGAGCTGCAATGACTGCAATCGAAAGTTCTGTCTGGACTACCAGCTACCAACCTGCAAAGGTGCTAAGGAAGAGGACGTATTCACCACCTGCTTTCGTAAGTGATCGACCCAGCGAATCCGCTGTCAGAATTGAGCAAGGAGAATCGCGTGGCGCTATCAATGCTGACGCGCTTTGCGCTGCAGAACGAGACTCCCGGAAAGACGAGGCAGTGGTGTTTATCTTCCTGTTCGCCACGGGTGGATTACTTGGTTGGGCACTCTGCAAGCCATGGATTGGGCGATACGTCGAGGCAAGTCCACGATTTGAGTGATACACAAATATTTCCCGACTAATCATTTCGCAGGCTGCACGAGAACGCAGGTCGTACATGCCCGTGGCTGAGCCCGATCATTAAACTGGAACATAATGTTATACCCTCTCGTCTTAAACTAACCTGTCCAATCGTATGAGGATATGTCTTGTATAATTTCCAATTTTACCATTTTCGATTTACAACATCAGCTGCACAAACTTGCCAAGGGGCCAATATGATGACATTCGGAACTTGGGATCTCCATACTGTAGATAGTGGCTGAAGTCGATCGATGATATCAGGAAGTATGTGGAATGTAGAAGCGATCAGGGGTAATTGGGGAACCGAACACGAACCTTACAGTGTAGAAACACTAGAAACTAGAAACACTAGCCAGATCTATTGAATTTGGCCAGTTAGCGCTTTCAGCCGTTCGCAAGTGTAATTTGCGACTCATCCAATGGCCCCCACTCTGGAGGGGGACACTGAAACAAGGTGAGTTTGTCCTATGGCATTCAGTTGGGCAACATCGTGCCTACACGGAGGGAATTAGGGGGAAGCATCCCGGTTGGAATGTACAATAGTTTCTCCCATCTCCAATGTTTGATCTCTGGAGCTCAGGGGATCATCATCACTGGAATTGACTTAAATTGGAATCTCCGACTTATCATGAAATTTGTTGGAACGAGTGGGTTCAGGGAAAACCTGCTCAATTTAAGATTGCTTTTTCACTATCTTCAGCTTGCAGAATATTTATACACATCGGACTATTGCGATTCTTTCTCTTTTCCTTTCTCTTGATCTCAGACCCATCAAGATCGGCCCGTGCTAATCAAACGGTGGCGTCGATAATCGCAATATCCACCGAGTGCAGAGCACAGTGTACTGTACACTGTTGAAATCGATTCGCCAATGGCGATTTTCGACTCCGAGAAGCGCCCACGGGGCCTGCGCGTTCCATCGCTCACCGCGATGAAGTCCAGCGCAGCAGCCAGGTCACAATTCTCCTTCCACAGCAAGAAATCCACCGAATCTGTTCCTTCCGACGAGTCAGCACCCAAGTTAGCTCCTATTCCTCCAGCTAAGCCGGCGCCTCCGCCAAACAAGGAATTGCCCTCTCCACCGACGGAAGCCCAATCCCCGAACATCAATCCATACTTCCCTCCAATCCCCTCCCACCGCGATGGTGCCCAGGAGCGGCGCCCAATTGAGCGAGTCCCAGTGCCAGCCCCAACCTCAGCTCCAAGCCCTATCAGCCCAAGCCAACCTCGTACAACGGGCATGCGCTCGCAACCCAAGCCCCAGCCCCAGCCCCAGCATCAGCCAGATCTGAACACTGTCCAGCAAGCACAAGCACAAGCACCACCAGTCATACTGTCACCACCAGACTCCCTCCCAGCACAAGAACAACCCCCTTCCCCAGCTCTGGAAGACTTCATCCCAACACCAGACAGCACAGAACCACCACTAGATGGGCAAGCCATGACAGCACGTGATTTGGCACCGTCACCATTCGTCCCGCCGGAGGTTGAGCCCGTTGCGCCAAAGCTGAACAAGACGCACTTCCAATGCCATCAGGCACATCGCAACATGCCAGTTGCGCAGAACTTGTGGTGTCCGATGCCATGCTTTGCGTGCCAAAAGTTTGATATTGAGATTCGACACCGCTGCGTCTTCTGTTGTCTGCGTGTCTGCGAAGGGTGTTATCAGACGCTGCAGACCTGCAAGAATCGCTCTTTGGAGGAGTTGCTCGAGCGTGTCTCTTGAAATCGGTCTGTTTATTGAATTCAATTGGATGATTTGGACGAGAGCGCTGAGTATATGATGCATGGGTCTCGCGCGAGGAAGTGAGGCTTCCGAGGTCCTATTGAGACCATTAGTATAGTGTTTTTTTTCTCTTTCTCTTTTTTTCTTCTTTTTGTTATGTGTGATTTTTTTTATATGATACCAAGGACCTCGTGTGTATATCATGGTTTAACCAAGAAGATCAAAGCTGCTTGTTTATAATGAGAATACCTTTTGTATACCTGTGAAGATGTTCAGTTCGTAGAAGTCATCAACGCCAGTCAGGTGGTGGCTGCCATCAATTCCAATGTAATACATAAGCATCACCGAGAAATCAGTCGTGATCCTCCTCCGTGAGGCCAGGACAGCCCTCCAAGTCTTCATCCGTCTCATAGGTATATTTGCACCAGAAGCAATACCTGTACTTCTCGCGCAAAAATAGGACGAGTTTTGCTAGCTGTTCAGCAGGCTCGAGGGCATTGAAAGCATCAAGTTCTTCGTCCTCTTCCTCGAGCTCGATCTCCAGCGCAGATGTAGTTTGGTCAACTTGCCCAAGGGCCTTTTTGTCTTCGCGGTCCATCGTCGGATCGTCATATTCTGGCAGCCGCGCTCTGGGGAAGAAAGATGATGGGAGCGATGACTGGAGGGCATGGCGGCTTTGACGGTCGCGATCGCGTTCTTCGCGCTCACGGACAAGACCGCGGTAAAGGACGTTGATCTGAGAGGTGGGTTTGATAGGGACTGGCTTTTTGGGCGCGGCGCCGGATGCTGGCTCACTGTCACCGTGAGGCTCTTCAGCAGAGTCCTCTTCGTTTCCGGTAGACTTCTGCTTCTGCTTCCCCCCGTCTCCATTCTCAGTCGTTGTCTCAGCTTCAGCCTCAGCCTCAGCCTCCAGCCTCTCCGCGACCTTCTGCGCAGCGCGCACTTGCGCCTCGGTCCGTTTCAACTCACGCTCTTCGCGGACGCGATCCCGATAAGTGCCCTCCTCATGCTTCACCTTTTTAACTGCCTCTTCAGCTTCCTCGCGTATCTTGCGTTTTTTTTCTGTATCCAGTCCGATACCTCCGCGATTCTCTTTGAAAATAAGATTTAGCGGTTCAGAACGCGCTTTATCCGAGTCGGAGGTGGTCTCTGTATCAAGGATGGGTGCGCGTTTTCCAAGTGATTCGCCAGGCTTAAAACCAAGCTTGGCCATCATCTGGAAACCCTTGTTGGTAGGGTTGAGAGTGCTGGTCGCCAGAGCTTCATCGCGACGAGCGGCTTCTTGTGCGGCGCGTTCTGCCTTGGAGGGGACTCTGCCTCGGGCTTCAGCCTAGTTTAAAATTGAAATGTTAGGATAAGCTCTTGTGACATGGCTAGCTCGAGATCCAAGCGGCGTTGAGTTGGGGGAAGCAGGCTTACCTCGCGTTGTTCGCGGCGCTTTTTCTGGGTAAAGCTCTCTTTCTGCTTGGGCTCCTCTATCACCATGGACATGTAATCATCGTCGTCGGACATGACTGAGGGTTCGGCCGAGCCCTGGAAGTGAGGAAGAAACGGGAGAAGATTGCGCCGAGTTGAGCTCTCTTGCGGGGAAGACAGTGGACCTCCGCGCATCACTGAGCCGATTCCGCGGGCCAACTTGCCAAGCTTCCAACTCTACACAGCCCATCGTCAGTGGATGATTGTCCCGTGTCTGCCCCCAGCTTCGGCCCTTGTTTTGAAATCCGGGAGGGGGCCAAGGGCGATCGTTCTTTTTATAAGCCATGGCGTCGACTCGAAATCGCTCCGTCAGTCATCATGGCGCTCTTTTTGTGTACATTCGCACTGCTTTCCCTGGCCTCTGCCACTTCTCCAGTGGCTAAGCTGGGATATGCTAACTATGAAGGCCGCTCACTTTCTACCGGTGTTTCCCAATGGCTCGGCATGCGGTTTGCTGCCCCCCCTGTGGGAGCGAGACGGTTTGCAGCGCCGCAAGACCCCTTGTCTGTAGCCGGAATCCAGCAAGCGACCGAGGTATACATGAACTATAGATACATAAAACTTGGGGTTGAACTCTACTGACCAGCCACTAGCACGGCAGTATATGCATCCCTACCGCATCAAGTGAAGGGTCAGCAGTTCCAGCAGGAACCTCGGAAGATTGCCTGTTCCTCGATGTCTATGCTCCTACTGAAGCAATTGGATCTAAGAAACTGCCCGTCTACTTTTTCATTCAAGGTGGCGGCTTTGCCCAGAACTCAAATCCCAATTACAACGGAACTGGTCTAATCGAAGCATCTGGAAACAACATTGTGGTGGTGACATTCAACTACCGTGTTGGTCCATATGGCTTCCTTGCTGGAGAAGAAGTTGAATCAGATGCAAGCCTGAACAATGGACTCAAAGACCAGCGAAAGGCCTTGCAGTGGGTTCACAAGCATATCAGCAAGGTAAGCAAAGAGCCAATGAGGCTTCCTTGTCCATCTGCGGAACAAACTGACATTGTCAAAGTTTGGCGGTGATCCCAATCATGTTGTCATTGGCGGCGATAGTGCAGGTGCTGCCTCAGTGACTCTCATGCTGTCAGCGTATGGCGGCAAAGATGAAGGTTTGTTTGTTGCTGCTGCTGCTGAATCACAGAGCTTTGCCACGATGCTCAATGTCACCGAAAGTCAATTTGCATACAACGAGCTTGCGAAGGCGACTGGTTGCAGCAGCAGCAAAAATACACTATCGTGCCTCCAAGGCCTCGACATCAGCGCTCTACAAAAGAAGAACGTCAATAGGCCCTATCCTGGAGCACCAGGAAATCCATTATACCTATACGGTCCCACAATTGACAACGACCTGGTCCCAGATCATACATATAGCCTATTCCATAAGGGCAAATTCATCAAAGTGCCAGTGATATTCGGCGACGACACGAACGAAGGCACAATCTTCGTGCCTAAAAGCACCTCAAGTGTTGCCCAAGCTGATGCATTCATCAAGGACCAGTTCCCATACATGACAAAAGCCCAATTATCCAAGATCAACAGCATGTATCTCACCCAAGACCAAACAAAAACTTTTCCAAATGCCGGAGACTACTGGCGCCCAGCCAGCACGGCCTACGGGGAAATTCGATACATCTGCCCGGGAATCGACATGTCAACCGTGTACGCAAAAGCTGGAGTTCCAAGTTGGAACTACCACTACGCAGTCACGGACGCAGAGCACGAGAATTCAGGAGTAGGCACATCCCACACAATCGAAGTGAACGCCATCTGGGGTCCTGATAATACTGGCGGTGCACCAACTTCATATACTACCTCCAATGCAGCTATCGTGCCCCTAATGCAGGCTTACTGGACGAGCTTTATCAGGTCATTGGATCCGAATAGGCATCGATTGAAGTCAAGTCCTGAATGGCGGACTTGGGGGCAGGATGGCGGACATCAACGCATCTTCATTCGGACGAATGAGACTAAGATGGAGACTGTGTCCTCGGATCAGAGAAGAAGGTGTGATTATTTGATCAGTATTGGAGTTGATTTGCATCAATAGTCTAGGTATTGGTCGGTAGTTAGATATGTTACTTGATGAGGAGAAAAAAGAAATCAAATATAATCTTTTCTTCCTTCCTCTGAGTGACCTGAGAATGGATACAGGAATGATAATGATAAATCTACTAAACTCTTCTACTGATAAGATGAATATCCAATGAACATGACTTTTATTCCCAGCCTTGCGCCAGATGAACAATGTGTATATACCAGCCCAACAGGACGTACAATATAAGATAGAAGAAAGAAAGAAAGCGCAGAAAAACGAAATGCAAATGCAAGATTACCGCTTGCCACGACCATTCCTCTCGCGCTCGTACTCGTTCGCAGCACGACCCTCCTGGCTGTTGATCTCGGCAACAAGACGCTTGTACTTCTTCTCGTACTCTGCATCGCGCTCCTTCTTCTCGCGCAGCTTCTCGCGGGCAACGAAGCTGGCATCCTTGCGGAGCTCGCGCATAGCACCCTTCTTCTCGCGCTTGAACTCCTTCTTGAGACGGTTGGACTCGGCACGCTCGCGATCCGGATCGTAGTGCTTGTCTGGGTTAAAGTTCTCTTCGAACTTGGGGATCGCGGTCTTGATGGCCAGGGGCTTGTGGTCATGCAGGAAGAGTGGGCGACGGGCGAGGTGAGCTTGCTTGAGATGAGTGTCGACTGTTCCGACACTTTTTGCGATGGGTGTCCAAGCTGCGGTGGAGATCTTCCCCTTGAGGGATTTGCGGAGGTGGTTCAAGACAGCACGGGCTGGTGTGAAAATCTCCGTGAAAGCGGATTTCTCGGACCAGATGCCGGAGGCAGTTTCGAGGAGAGACACAAATGTGGTGATGAGAGAGATCTTGAGCACTTCCTCTGACTGGGAGTCGGAGGGAGAAGAGGTCACATCGCGGAACTGCAGCTTACGCGGGGCGAGCTTCTTGGAAGGCGTGAGCTGAACGGATTCCTGTGACTCTCTGTAGGGGAAAGCGCCAAAGGTGGGAGTAGATTCCGTGGGAACGAGGTTGCAAAGGGCATTCAGAGTGTAGTTGATAAACTCAGGCATGTATCTCTTGGAGATAGTCTGGTATTGGAGGCAGAGGCTTGCGGCGTATGCGCCCTTCGCAAGATCCGCGAGGGATGTAGTAGAGCACTGGCCCAGGTACCGCGCCAAGCACAAGTGAGCTGGCGTGGACACAATGTGGAAGTGATCAGATGTAGGGAAAACAGTTGAGATACCGGTCAGAATGATAAGGTCGCCAGGAAGAAGGTCGAGAGGACGTTCCTTGGAAATCTCACGAAGACGTGCCCGGAATGCGAGAGCGACATTAAGAGGATGGGTCTTGGCCAAAGAATGAATGTGACGGAGAATGTTCTCAATAATGGCAAATTGAGGCTGCTCATCTTGGTTCGCCATGTAAGAGACATGCTCAACAAGGACTTCAGCAAAGCGAGCGAGCTTTGCCTTGTTGTCAGGGTGAAGTCGAGAGTGGTGCAGGGCTCGAATACGCTGAACAACTGTAGGAACATCCTCCACAGGAACGTTCTTGATAATGCTCAAGAACTTTTCGTGGTCCTTAGGGCAAGGGTAGGTGAATGCGAGCTTTCCGTTAGCAGTCTCGTTGACCTCAACAGCGGTCGATGCGGCAGCAACTTCATCTGATGGTAGGTCAATGCCATTAATGAGTTCGTCCTCTCCATCGGTACCTTCAGACTCGTCTTCCGACAGCTCTTCTTCTTCAATATCACTCTCGTCAAATTCAAGACTGGCGTTTGATCTCGTCTCAACCAGATCGTCATCAATGACAAAGTCATCTTCATCTTCAACGGCAAGTTCCGGACGTTGACCGGAGTTGACTGGAAGACCAAAGTGCATGGCATCATCAATTTCTGACTCGTCATCATCGGGCATTTCTTCGTCGAAGTCGTGAGCTTGCTCCTCCTCTTCGTCATCGGTAAGCTGTTCGCCGCGCATTCTTCGAAGACGATCGTTCTCGAGCTTCTTGAGGCGTTCAGCCTCTTCCTCTACCTTCTCCTCTTCGGTCTTCGTACGGTCCGTGGGCTTTGAGCGCGTATCGAAGGTCAATTGTCGAAGTCGCTGGTCGTATTCTTTCTCGGCTAGTTTGCCATCGTCCTTCTCCAGCATAGCAGCTCGTTCAGGGTTGATATCCGAGAAATCTTGCTTAGGTGCTGCAGGCTTGGGAGGAGCCTTGAAGCCTCGCAAGGCATCGAAAAGGTCAGGAAGTTCCTTGTCCAACTCTTCACGAAGATCCTCATCATCGTCCTTGAGTTGTTGTCGCTCTGCCTTGTAGAACTTCGATTTGGCAATGACTTCCTTCATAACCTCAGCCTTGGTCTTCTTGCGTCCAGGCTGCTCTCCATCTTCGTAGTCGATAAAGTCTTCCCGTTCTTCGCCATCACCTGCTTCATCCCCTTCGGGGAAACGCTTCCTTTTACGCATATTTTCGTCGTCAGATTCCGCGCCCTCCATGTTTTCCGCATCGAAGTCGTCTTGAATCGGCCCGTCGAAGGTCAATGATTGACCCATGTGAGTAAGCTGCATTTCTTCCTCATCGTCCTCAAGGTTGAACATTGACTCCTTGCGCATCTTTCTCTGGCTTTCTCTGGCGAATCTTTCGGCGGCTCGTTCCTCGGGTGTCATGGTAGGATCATTTTCACCGAAACGGCGATCAACAAGTCCACCGATCTTGTTTCGGGTGTTCATCTCCTTCAAAAGGGTGGCACGGCGCTTTCAAAAAAGGTCAGCCAAAACTTCTCTATCTGCGGAAGCAGACAAACTTACTCTCTCTTCACCAAGTGACTTCGTAACACCGGGACGAGCGCCTGCTCCAGCGGTTGAATTGCCATCTCTCGTGGTGACATCGAATTTGTTCGATTTGTTTGGCGCCTTGATTTCAAAGGGGTTGAACCGGTCTCGAATAGCCTGTAGGGCGACTTCGCGCTGGTTGCGATTCTTCGCACCAACACCGGTCTTCGCATTTTGGCGCTTTTCCTTCTTGGATTTTTGAGGACCAAGAACTCCGTTATCACGAAGGGAGGCCTTCAGCTGCTTTAGCTGAGAGGGCGGCATTATGTATGGGTGTACTCAAAATTGAAGAGTCGGCATTTTTTTCCTGGTCTTGATCCTCCTCAAAAAAATCAGGTTCACCGCCTCCGCGGCCTCGCCGATCGGGAAATTCTGCCGCGGCCGTTCTCCGCATCTCCAACGCCCACAATCAATCGTCATGGCTCCCTTTTCTGGAGATGGTGTACTGTGGCTTTGCCTAGGTAAGACTGAACTGATTCGAGCATGGCTTTGTGGATCATACAGCTAACCCACCCAGGCGTTTCATTGTTCTTTGCCGTCCGCGGCATCGCCACAGACCTGCGTCAAGTCGTTGATCTGACAGAACTCAAACAGGTCGAGAAAGACGACAAGATCATAAGCGAAGGAACTGAAGAAGGTGAGGAATGATACTAGATATGTATATCATCCTTCTAACAAAATGCAGCCCTCAAATTAGACACCCTCTTGAAGCTATCTCAAAGCACAAGTCATGACCTCCGAGCTGCGTATGATGACACTACAATCCTGAAATCAAGTACCTCTACTTACCACTTGCAGTGCTTTGCGCATTATATCCGAACGATCTACCAAGGGTGACACCCGCGATCTTCTACTGGAACAGCTGGCATCGAAACACAAAATCACTCAAGGCCGAGCTTTGAATGCATTGAACTTTTTGGTTTCCAACCGAGCTCGTATGCCATCAACACCGTCCCTTATTTTAAAAACCCCAGTACTTATTTATACAGTTTCCAGAACTTCGATTTGCAGTCGGCTCGGCGACCTTCCAACCTATACCGCCCTCGTTAATTGCTTGTGCAATTTCCTCTCAGAACACATGGAAAGAACATCATTGACCAACTCTCCTATCCTGCCGAAGACAAGACCCATGGGAGAGAAAAAGGCTCTATCTATCATGAATATACTGTTGCCAGAGAATGTACCAGAAGCTTTGGAAGCTGGGATAATCAGCCGATGGCTCTGCAATTATCCTTTCCCATGTGCGCAAACCGACCCTTCTCGCCGACGGGATGTTGTTATTCTCATGAAAACATGGTGGTCAGATGATACAATCATGAGCTCGATCTTTAGCACTCTTTCCTCGCATCCAGACGGGATCAAGCAGCTCCGGAAGTATGGATTGATGGGTAGCATGATAGAAGAAAATGACCAGGATGATGACGACGAGGATGCAGACAGTGACATCTGGATGGTAGATGCGGATCAGACTGGGGGCACATTCGGACGATCTTTGCGTAGGCTTCAAGAAGGTACCCCAAGAGAGCAAGCACTACGGCGGCGAAGAAGAGAGGCCATGGTGCTGAGTGATGGCGGACGGCCTCTTGGGAATGACGATATCATTCAGCGACCGATCGAATGAACTCAGTCATCCTGTCTATCGAATACCGGAGAACCGAGCACCACGACCAGCTTCTTAGTTACTGTACTTTATGTCCATGATACCCCCTTTACCAGACTTATGATACAACATGATGCGGCTTGAGATTGAATTCATTGTAGAATCTATAGTCCCATCCATGCTGATTTGGCCAAATGGTCAGCCTTCTTGCGGCTGTTCTTGATCACACCAAACATCTTGAGTTCCGAGAGAGCGCTATAAAACAGAGACATCACCACACGATCATCACAGCTGTCACCCTCTTCATTCTCAAAAACACCACTGAAAGCCCGCCAAAGATCATGGACGTTCACCAGTGCACCTGATTCAAGATACAACTGATACAAGATCGCTGCGGCAGGTTGCTTCGCCGAGATGTTTGTCGTAGTAGCATCCAAAGACGAATGTAAGTAATCGAACGGGGTAGCTAAGGCGCGTTCAATTGCAAAGCGTGGACGAGGCGCGAATGTCTCTTTCAAGGGATTCCGTAGATCAAACACGAAAGCTTCATGAAGGAACATATCTTGTGGTCTGATGAGAGTATCCGCAAGATATTCTTGTAAGAAGACAAGCAACTGGTCGATGATTTCGGTGTACTCAACGTCTTGTTCGGATAGCTCAGCTTTGCCTTTGTTGAGCTGGATCCGTGATTGAACCACCGTGGTAGTTGTGACAGTAGAATTGATGTTATATCCACTGCGTAACGACCCAGATTCTGGACAAGTTTCCAACAAAGTCTGGAGGTTTGTTTGAATCGCCCCCAGCTGCTCGTTGGACATGACATCTTGCAGCCGACCAATAAGCTCATTCATTTTACTAGAATCCAGCGCCTTCGTTGTAGCTATCATTTCGTCCACAAGAGTGGAATCAGCTAACTCGCCAGAGAAAGCGCGGACGGAAAGGTCAGGCACTGTAGCCTTTTTTGTATTTTGTGTGTATTGAAGACAGGCATGCACAGCAAGGATTGCCTGGAAGATGCCTCGCATTCTTTGCTGTCCAACATGAAGGCAACTGATTGTTTCTTGCAGGAGAAAATCGTCGTTTTCTAGCATGTCTCGGACTTGCTTGATGGAGCCTTCTTCAACCAAGTCCTCGCAGAACCTATGGCTATGTTAGATCATGGAGGAATGGTCCATTGGAATTGCTCACATTCTGAAGGATGGCAGATTTCTGATCACTTCACAAAGCTTCTCTGCAGAAAGAACAGTTGGATCTGGCTTGGCAAATAGTACTGCCAGGGGGTTCGCGAAAAAATGAGACATGTACGCATACTGTAGTAGATGTTAGAATATCGTTCCAAAGAATTGAGAGGTCTGCTTGCTTACCTTGACCATGCGACTAAATGCTTCTGGGCTTTGGAAATAGTCGCTGGTATTTTCAAACAGCGTACTCGTGATGTTACGTCCCAGCCAGAGTTGGGTGTTGGAGCCAGTCTGAAGAGACTCATAAATGCGGTCGACACAATTGCCAGCATCTTGCACTTCGAAATGTTTTCCTTGAAGAAGAGCAACACACGAGCGAGGCAACCGACCTTCAAATAGCTCTACGGATGTAGAGATGCCCAGAAGAATAGTGAATGGTATGCGATCAATCCATGATCTATTGAGCAGTTAGTGGATGTTCAAATGAGGCAGAACAAGGTTTGTCGCACTTCAATAAAGACAGGAGATCTGTCAATAGGCCTGTATCAAAAGCTTCGCTGTCACGAAAAGCTAGTACCAGCTTTTTAGTTCCTTTTCTCTGCACATAGTCGTGAAGAAGGTCCAGATCGTAACCAAGAAGGCGAGGTCCCTAGAGGGGGGTTAAAACAAGAATGAAGATTTCATGGCGCATGAACATACAGCACGATCTGTGAGGAACCTCTGGTAACCGTCATTGCCATCGGTATTCGTGACAGTGGCTCGGATGATGTTCTTCAAGGATGTTTTCAGATTGGGAGCATCCCCTGATTCCAACACAACCACACTGCCTTCTTCGTTCGATATCAACTGCTCGTTGAGTCGTGATAGTAATCTGCTGAGCGAGGAGACATTGGAACCGACTGTTACAAGAGCTGTTGGAATGCAGCCATTGCATCTGAAGCCCAAATTAGAGTTAATTCTTGTTTCCTGTCGGATTAAGGGCATACGTTTGTGATGAGTTCTCTCTGACAAAGGACGAAACTTCGGTCAAAACGCCGGCATCAACATCTTCAAGAATAGCCTGAAGTCCATGTGAGCACTTGGTCAACCCAGTTTCGTATCAACTCATCTAACCGACCTGGATCTTGTGTTCCTGTTCTGACCATAGCTGTTGATAGCAATGGTATCGCAATTGGACGGATTGGGCGTTCTCGTTGCCGTTCAAAAGGGGCAGAAACCGTTGTCTGTCTGTCTGTCCTTGTTCAATGCCGGACACTGAAACTTTTCGGCGCTTTGAGGGCCGCTCGCCTGCTTTCCCGTGTTTTGGGGGTTGGTAGATGTAGGCTGCCTGTGTTTTGTTAGCGCCGCAACCTCCCAAAGCAATGGCAGATTCAGGAACTCACTAGATTCTGAGACTTGTCATCCGACAAGCCTAGGGCATCGTTAAACCCATCTGGATCCATGTTGACACAGCACAGAAAGAAAGTTGTCGCAACTGGGGATGACTTGCAAGGCGGAAGCGCGACAGACGCTAAACCAAATCAGGCGATAATTGCATCTCTTCCGAGTTCGAACATCTTCACTCCGCCCACTTCTCTTGTCTTCATATCTCCGATGACCGATTGACTGCCGTACTCATGCTGCGCCAGGCCATTCAAGGAGCCCGATGGTGTCAGCATGTGGCTCGCAGCCCATCGTGCGCTCCACGCCGGGCCTTCTCCGCCGCAGCTTCGCGGCATCTGAATTATGGCGGACCAAACGACAAAGTCACTTTTTACGAACAGGAATCATTTCGAAGCAAAACACGACGAAAAGTAAATCCCGAAGCCGAAGAATTTGGGAATCGAGACCAAGTCGAACAGGAGCTTGTGAAGCTTCAGGATGAGCTAAAAGTTTTGGAAGAAGGGCCTTTTGGCCCCAACAGCGAGTTCATCACCAGTTTGCCGGACGCGGAAAGAAAAACCGCATTGGAAGCTCTACGAAAGTATGACGAGGAACACCCCGAGGAAGCCAACCAGCCTGGCCTAGAGCAGGTTTTCGATCAGGAGCTTGACGACATGGTGCGGCAAGAATTTGAGGGCCTCGCAATGGAACAAGAGAACTGGGAGGACGGAGCTACGCGACGGCGTAGCCTGGCAGCTAGAAGATCTGTTGCTGCAAAGCGTGCCGGGGCAGACACTCACCCATACGCTGTCAAGTTCAACAATTCTCTACGACAATTCCAAGGAAACATGGCAGACGAGCGGGCTCGACAAGAATTGTGGAAGTGGTATCGAAGATGCAAGCAAGTGATTCCGCACTTTTTGACCATCATGCCCACGGATGCAATGGAAGCTGTATGGAACTCGCAAGCTACCGGAGAGATTGAACAAACCACACGTTCAACACATTTGCGAGTTTTGGTTCAGGACGCTACATCTCTCGGCCAGCCTCTCACAACTCCTCAAATTTTGTCTTATATCACGTCTTTACATGAAGACGGCGCCACAAACCTTGCATTAGAACAATGGGAAGCATACCAAAAAGAGCTTTCCCAGGAGAAAGAGGACCTGGAGGAATACTGGAAACTTGGAGTGCGACTATTCGCTGCGGAGAGCAATCCACAACGAGCCCAGGATATCGCGTTGGCCTTTTTGGCAAATGATCGAAACCGCCAGCCGCGTGTGCTTATCCCAATTATTATAGCATGGGGCAGACTCCCTGGAAAAGAAGCGGAAGTGAAAGCCTGGGCGCTTTATCTACAGCTCAAGACATTCTTGGGAACAGAGATGACTATGGACGACTATGACCAAGTCAGCATTGGTCTTCTCACGGCCGGTCGATTGGATACAGCGGTTGCAATCTTCAAGGATATGATGGTCACCGGGCAAGACCCAAGCAATGATTCAACCGCATTATACAAATCTGCTCTTGGTCTAGCAGGTAATCTCCATGCATCAAGCATCAATGAGAACGATGTGAACAAAGTATCGTTGTCTGTACTCAAGGTACTGCCTCGCCGCTTCCAAAACAGGTTCTTCTATGCCAGTTGGATGAAGAAGCTTATTGGTATGGGCGATGTTGATTCTGCTGCCCTTGTCATTGAACTCATGTATGAGCGAGGCGTCAAACCTGACAGCAAACATTTGAACGGACTTATTGCGGGCTGGCTCCGCGAAGGAAACCAAAGCGCACGCAATAAGGCAGAGCGACTCGCCTGGTCCATGATCCAAACACGTATCAACACGGTATGGGAACGTTTCCAGCCAGAGTACAATTCTCCACAGCTTCAGGTCAAGCTTGAACAAGTAGAGGACACCCGCCTTCCTCGATTCATGCAGAGAGCAATCCCACCTGCCAGTATCGAGACATTCTCCATTCTCCTTTTACATTACACTCGCCGCGGTGATGATGACATGGTCAAATATCTGGTCAAGTGTCTTGGCGATGCACACATCAGACCAAATTCCTATTTCATGAATCATCTCCTGTACGCAGAGCTCCGCAAGCAAGATGTCAAGTCTCTCTGGTCCAAGTTCCAAACCATGTCAGCCGCCATTCGGCCAGATCTAGAGACATATGCTTGCCTTTGGGATTGTGCTAAGCTTCAGTACGATCGCGGACGGACTGCCTTTGACAAAGACTTCCCATCAGCACGACAACTATATGCCAATATGATGTCTTGGTACTCGCAATTGTCTCCTCACGCCCAGAAATTTGCCCAGACCCAGATGCCTAAGGCTTTGTATGATCAAATTGTGCGATGTTTCTGTCTCTCCAAAGATGTCCCTGGCACACTTGTCGCCCTCCACTCAATGCGGTCTATCTTCGGATTCACGCCAGACGAAACTACGGCACGCATGATTGTTCTGCAAATCGCCCGGATGGCGGCTGTCCCGGTCGACACACCGAAACGACGTCTCCGCCGCATGTCTTCCACCCCACGAAGCAAAGAGAATATCAGCCAGGTCACTCGCCTGTTGGAACTGCTAGGTGAGCGCCAGGCTGAGGCTTTACGAGTACAAGGCTTGAGTCTGGATGAGCTGGATCCACACGAGAAAGAACAGCACCAGATTGAAGTCATCGCTAGTCTACTTCGCATCGTGTTGAGTCGAAAGGATAACCTGGCCCCATTGCAAGTTGAAGAAAGACTTGCGAAAGCGGCAAGGGAGATGAACGCTGCGCAAACCGAATTGGGTTTGCCCTTAGGTGTCGATGATAGCAAGTTGCTCTAGCATGGCATGACTCCCGGGTGTTGATTTTTTTGTTATTACGGTACGGGACCACTGTTTGGCATTGAGAAAGCATGAGTGGCGTTAGTCCAATTTAGGCCAATGGAAGGGCCATGTATAATACTCTTCATATCTGAACAGACAACTCTGATCAATGTACAATACCTTCTCTACTGCTCTTCGATGGTGATATACAACCAGACATAGTCAATTGAAAAAAAAACCAGGTACAAAATGCAATTCCTCGTAATGCAAAAATCCCTTAGCCCAAAAACACCAATCAATGGATGTGTATTTTGAACACTAATAAAAAGTACAAATAGCACCGAACAGCAAAAAGGCCAAATCTCTATTTCTTGCCCTTGTTCTTCTTCTTCTTTCCCCCGCCTGCTGGTGAGGCAGGAGAAGCAGGGGTGTTTGTCGAAGGATCAGCCTCAACAAGCACCGCATCGTCATCACTGCCTTGAACAGAGGCAGCAGGGGCAGGGGATGCCGGTGCATTTTCAAGGGGCTTTGCCGGGGTTTTAGCGGGGGTAGCAGGCTCAGAAGGGCTGTCGTCCAACTCCTTCATGAAGCTTTCCTGGATGCTAGTCTTCTTCTTGGCCCACCATTGGCGTTCCTCCTCGGTCTTGCTCTGTTGCTCTTCCATGCGCTTGCGGTAGATATCATTATTCATCATCTCGTTAGCAGACTGGAAGATAGTCTGACCCCAGCCAGGAGCGTATGCGTTGGCCTATTTCATCATGTTAGCTATGCACATTGCTTATGTGACGTCCCCTTTGGATAAAGCGGCGAAATATCAAGAGAGGAATAATACAAGCATACCTCTGAAACAACATCCTTAACCTCATCTTCCATCTCCTTCTCCGCGCGCTGGAATCGCTGCCAGAGATCATCGCCAACACTTCCACGTTGGAGAAGCATAGCAAGCGCCTGCTTCTGGCTGCGGAGCGCCATAATGCGACGGATATCTTCAGAAGCGCGACGAAGGAGAGAAGCCTTCAGGACGGAATCGGGGATGGTGGGGGCCTTCTTCTCTTTTGTGGAGGATGCCGAGGGCTCGAGGTGGAGGAGGGAGAAGTAAATGTCGCGCTGGAGGTGAGCGGGGAACCATGGTTCTAAAGTAGCAGCCTTGTCTGTGTTCAGGTGCGGTATTAGTCTATGCGTTCTGAAGACAATTGAACACGTTGGGGCGAGAAGTGATGTTGTAATGCGGATTCACGTGTTTGTGACAGGAACATGATTCACGTACGGGCCTTGCGCTTGCGGTAAAGCGAAGAGAATGTTGCTAGCGATCCCAGTAGAATACCCAGGTAGACGAGGGGGACGGCTAGACTGAGCCAGTCTATGTCGAACATTGTGGCGTTGTGGTAGGGGTGGTTTGTGTGATGAATATAGAGTCCGAGGAGCTGGTTAAGTAGGAGTGTAACTCAATAAATCAAACTCTCATGGCTGAACAAGAATGGAGTCTAATAAGGGCGCGAGAGAGTTGTGTGGTTAACAAGCTTGAAAGGCCAGGGTGTTTAGTGGGTCAGGTCACATGTGCAGATCTACAATCTTTTTTATACTTCAACGCTTTCTTTATGCTCCTCTTTCTTTTCCTGCCTTTTGCTTTTAGTTATTCTTGTAGCTTAAGATATTATTTTAAGCTAGCTCAACTTGTAGATGCATCAAGGTTCCTGTCAGTTGATTTCCAAGTACAACAGGCAAAGAGTTTACATAGTGCCTGAAACAACGTCACTGGATGAGTTCTATATAGCCTCGAATCAAATATTACATTTCCTGTATTACTTGCAGGCTACCTGGCCCCTTCTCCCATTTTCACTTAGTTCCAAGTACCTTGAGTTACTCATCTAGAATGTTTGACGTGGAACTTTGAGAGTACCTGTGGAACTGATTTACTATTAATTTAAGAGCGACATGGAACATTCAGAATACTCTGGTCTACAATTTCACGAGAGAAGCAATTTTTGGACATGAGTTCCATAATTTACATACATTTCCCTAAATCACCCGCTTGGAGAACCTAGAAAAAAAAGACAAAAACACAACATTGGGTAGTACACGCGCATTGCTCCCCGTCCATCCAGCCACAAAGAAAAGAGGAAGAAGAGTATGAGTTGAGTCAACATATTGACAGAAGGGAACATAAGAATAAAAAAGACAAGATTGAACGATCGTCATATGGCCATTACTGGAAGCTCACTCCCTGGAAGTGATTCCTGGTCTTCTGGCTGGGGGATTTGATCTCCTGCATTTCTTGCATGTCTTCCAGAACATCATTGAACCGCTTAGAGAGGCCCTTGGCCACGTTGTTGCGGTTCCACTCGGCACGCATGTGCCATACAGTGTCCATCAGGTTCGTGTTGACCTGCTCAAGCTGCTCCACCGAGAAGCCGCTTGTCATGAGCGTCAGAGAGTTGTGAAGGTCTGCAACGACGTCGAGATCAAGAACCAACGGCTCGTGGGGTTCTTCACTGAGACGGGGCAGAGGATTGGCTACAGAATCGTTTGTCGGCATGCTGGGCGCATCGAACAATGGGGGCTGAGGCTTGGACTGGCTTCCAATGAAACCACTGTTCGCCAGGGTATCGTTGCCATCGAAATCGTCACGAGGCTGAGGAGAGGGCTGGCTGCTGCCGCCTTGCTGTGTGTCTGGCAGGTGATCTTCTTGCGACACACGGTCGGGATAGGAGGTGAGGTCGGGGTATTCGAATTTAGAGGCATTAGGGCTTTGCGTGTTGTATTGCTGATTGGAAAGATACTCGGAAGATTTCTTGTCCGAAGTTGTTTGAGTGGTGGATGCTTCGTTGGTATAGTCGTTTGGTTGGGATCCAGGAGCCATGGGGGTCATGGGACCCCGCTGAGAGAAGCTGGAGAGACCCGATTCCCGGCGAACCTGTTGGGACGGCGCAGTGTGAGAGTAAGGTGGCTTTGGCTGGGCAGAAGGCCCGAACGAGCTCCCCTGGGTATCCTTGCTTCCAGAGTGACCTTCGGAGTTTGACATGAAGACATCGCCATCAACATCTGGTTGGGTATCGTTGCTTATGCCAGCGCCATGAGAGCCAAACTCATTGAGGTCTGAACCACCGCCTTGACGATGTCCGTTGACATAGCTGAGATCCGACTGTTGGTTGGGCGTCACAGGACGCGACGATGGGTTTCGATGATCACCATTGGTGGGGAGCAACTCACCGGCGCCGGTCGATAGACTGACTTCAGTGTTGTCTTGCTTATCGTGGTCAGGCTCAAGACGAGGGGGATTTTGGCTCTCCTCGGCAGCTCGCCGGGCACGCTCTGCAGCATCCTTCTCACGAGCCTGTTGACGGGCATACACTTGATCCAATTCAGCTACAAGCGCTGGCTGATCCACGAGGATAGTGTTAACGTCAACTTCGACATTTGACAGCATTTCGTTGGCACGTAGTATGCGCTCTTGATCGCCAGCTTGACGTGTATCCTTTACAATGCGCTTGATGTCGGCCACGAACTCGAGAGGCCGCTTGTAGTATCCGTTGGAAAGACGCTTTTCGATGGTTGCGAAGTCCAAGTTGTAGAAGAACTTGCCCGTGGCAGTTTCCCGAAGACCCAAAACACCATGCTTATCAAATGCTTTTTCGTACGGCCGGTATGTGTTCTGCTGGTCGGGTGGAAGGTCACTTGTGATATGGTCTGGATCTTCCTCTTCCCACAAGTAGCGAATAGTTGATTCTTCAATCGAGGGGAATCTGAACCGCTTGTATCTCTTTAGCTGATCCATAATGGGCTGGATCCGAAGCTTCAGAAGGTTCAAGGTGTTGTTGTCTTTCTTCTTCTGGGCTTTGATCTCTTCTTTGGTGAGCTGCGCCTCAGGTTTCGGGGGAGGTGGTGGCGCAACTGCCAATTCCTCCAGCTGACGGCGCTTGCGGTTGTCCGGGTTGGGGAAATTTTTGGGAGGAGTCTTAACGTATTCAATTATCTTTGCAAAGAATTCACGGCGTGCATCGCCGCTTGGTGAAGTCAAATCATAGAAATTCTTCTTGGAGTAGCCGAACAGATTCTTGAGAAGGGCAGCGTCGACATCATCCTCGGCTGAATCAAGAATACCGAGCAGCAACACCGGATCAGAAGGTGGAATTGATCGCAGAAGTCCCACAAATGTAGAAATTACAGCAGGACCAACGGTTTGAACCCACAGCTGAATGTTAGGAATGTAAATCACACTTGGCTTGTGTCGTTTGACCTCTGTGAACAACTGGATGATAGTTGCCTCTGGGGAACGAGTAGAGTCACTTAGCAGTGTCGGAAGATCAAATGCTTGCACATGCAGGCCTTCAAAAACATGCAAGAGTGCAGATGCCAAGTATTGCTGACCCATCCCGTGGGAGCCACGGAGTAGTAGTCGTGGCCGGAACACACGGGAGCGATCAAACTCTTGCAGAAGAAGTTCTCGACTGAAACTTTCACCATCTTGGGGCTCCTCAAATTGTGCTTCCTCGAGGGCAGTGAGCTTCTTTCGCTGAGGTAATATCTCAGACAGCAACTTTCTGATGTCGGCCAGTGGATCACGAAGCAGAGGCTCAATGCTAGGAGGGAGGGCAGTTGCTCCAGATGAAGTAGAACGCTCCGAAGAAGGAACTAGTTTCTTTATCGCTAGCATGAAATCTTTCGGAGCCACCTCAATTGATGTAGGGTCGATGATGAGCTTCTGGTCGGACTTGTAAATCTGGGGGTACCTTCTTTGCACGGCATTGATTGCAGCTTCAGTGCACAACGCGCGCAAATCGGCACCACCGTATCCCTTGGTCATGTCTGCAAGCTGATCTTTGATGCTCTCAGGCAAAGGAGGATCCCAGTTTTTGGTGTGAATGTCAAGAATTGCGCGTCGAGCCTCAGAATTGGGCAGCGCGAAGTAGAACTCACGATCGAAACGGCCCGGGCGGCGAAGGGCAGGGTCAACTGAGTCTGGTCGATTGGTAGCACCAATCACAACCACTTGACCGCGGCCATCCATGCCGTCCATCAATGCAAGGAGAGTCGAGACAATGGATGAATGGATCTGGTCTTGCTTACTCGATCTCACGGGAGCCAGGCCTGGAATATCTCGTCAGTGGTTGCGAAATGAAGATTGAAATGGGAATTCTTACCATCAATTTCATCAAAAAAGATAATGCTAGGCTGGGTCTTGCGAGCTTCATCGAACAGAAGTCGAAGTTGTCGTTCAGCTTCACCCACCCATTTGCTCAGAGCATCCGCACCCTTTCTCATGTAGAATGTGACTTTCTTGCCTTCCGAGCTGACGCTGTTTGCAAGCGCTCGAGCCATGAGCGTCTTTCCTGTACCGGGAGGGCCATGGAATAGGACACCGCGAGGAGGTGTGATTTTGAATCGCTGAAAGATTTCAGGATATAGCAACGGCAAAGAAACCATTTCTTTCAACTGATCAATGTGCCCTTGTAGCCCACCGACACTGTCAAAGTTGACATTGACATCGACTCCTAGAGGGTCTGCGTCCACCAAAGCTTGTTTGTTGGTTACTTTGCCCAAGTTTGCAGGCGTGCCAGACAAGTGTTGAGCAGTTTCTCCTGTCTGGGCATGTGTTGTTGGGGCAGCACCACCAGAAGTAAGGCCGGGCTGTTGTCCGCCTTCATCATCACTGCTGTCGCTGTCCACTCCTCCAGCCGCAATGGGATTACCAGGAGCCCCGAGAAGCGCCGAAGCACCTTGGCCGCCAAATGGGCCCGAAGTTGAGAACAGAGTGCGCTGCCACCCTCCAGCCCCCTTTCCACGGCGGGATGGGGAGCCGGTAGCCACTTCCGGATCGGAGTCTTCGTTAGGGAGAAGAATTTCAGGACGAATCAAACGGTAATCAACATTCTTGCGGTTTCGACGCGGCTTTTCGTACACAACTTCTTGTTTGGCCCGGCGACGGTAGCGGCCACCACGAAGGTCTTCGAGCTCTTCGGCTAGTTCTTCGGCCTCCTCGGACGGCGCACGGGATTGGGGAATTCGTCTGCGAAGACCAGCGCGTCGGCTGGTAGAGCTATCCTCTGCCTCCTCACGACCTCGACTTCCTTTGCTGGGCGAAGCACCAGCTTCAGAATCCAAATCCTCTTCTTCGTCATTCGACGCTTCTTCTTCTGGTTCAAAGTCGCTTTCCTCTCCTTTCGCCTTGCGCTGTGAGCTCCGAGATGGCTGCTTGCGGCTGGATCGGCGTAGTTGAGATTCCTCGTTAGGCTGTGTGTCCCCTTCCGCATCCTCCTCAATGGGCTCTCGGGTAACATTGCTTCGTCGGCGGAGCTTAGGACTTTCGTCCTCGTCGTGGGAATGTGTGTTCTTTCCGTCGCCATTCTCTGACTCAGGGACGACATCTTCATCGGCCATTTCCTGATCAATTGGTTCGTGAGTGCTTTCAGTGCCTGTTTGAGGCAAGTCGCTTTCCACGACATCCAATTGTGATCCTTGAATGGTGGTTTCTTCAATGACTTCTTCGGCTTCCTCATCCTCATCGTCGAGAACAGTGCGATTTGCACGGCCACCTCTGTTGAGCAGACGACGGGTAGGGGTATCATCTGGGCTGCGAATGCCTCGCTTAATGGTTTCCATGTGGCGTCCAGAGGTAGTAAGAGCGTAGATATCCTCTGAAGCACCACGAGCACGGGTCACACGATGGTGCTCAAAATACTGAGCTGGAAGTTTCAACTTGAGGACTGTATGATTTGGTGGAGCGGATCGAGAATTTTCGACTTCAGCATCATCTTCGTCCTCGTCATCGTTGACCGCTTCCTCTGATTCAGGTTCTTCATATTGTGGGCGACGACTTTGGGTGGTTCTGCGACGCGCCGTTCCGCGAGCATTGCGTTCAACATCAGCATCTTCCTCCGAATCCTCTTCAACTTCATCGAAGGAGAGATCTTCGGACAGCTCTTCTTCAGATGTGAGACCGTCGTCGTCAGAGTCGCGCCGTCTCTTCTTTGCAACAGGCCGCGACTTTTTCTTGGGGCTTGGTTTCGATTTTCGCCCGGTCGAACGTGGGTATTGGGCGTGGTCACTGTAGTCCTCGTCGTCGGAGTCGGACTTGTTGGCGACCTCCTCGAGGGAGCGCTTTGCGCCACGGGCCATGGCGCAGTGTTGACGATAGGGGAATCACTTTTTTTGAGGCGGCAGAGTCAGAACGGCTAATTTCAAAAAGAATAACATAGGATGATCATAGAACGCGGATTGAGAGAGCAGGCACCGGTGCAATAGACAAAGACAAAAGAGGACAGAGCCTCGACGATGCGCGATGCGGGCAGGAGGGACAACAACTTACAGACAATACAGTTGTCGCCAGCGACAGCTGGATCCCCTGATGAAAGAGAAAGGATCTGCTTGTCAAGGCAGCAGGTCTTGAGCAAACCTCCCGACAATTGCTGATCAATAGGTTAGCGGAGACGGCTTGGTGGTGGAGCGCATTCGGGGAGGTGGAAGGGTCTCACTGACTCGGGAACGCGTGGGAAAACAAATGTCCTGGAAGTCAGGCACGGAGTTAGAGGCCCAAAATCCAGTAAAAATTGTGAAGGAACACGGCAAGTTGTAGACGACGAAGACACGAGCTTTCAAGACTTCAAAGAAGAAGGGCGGAAAGGACTCGCGCTCATTGGGACTGCCTGAATGCACCAGCCACTATTGTGGCGCCCATCAAGCCCGCCCACACACGTGACGAGCCTTGGCCAATGAACGTGCACGTGCCGCCCTTCAATTGCTTCAATGCCCATTGTCGCCCTCAGCGCATGAATAGAGCGCCCCTGAATAGAGCTTTAATAATGCTCCATTTAGCGGCTAACTGCGCTGGATCGACTGTAATGGCCATTTTCAAGCCCCGGAATAACATAAATCGGGGATGACGAGGATGCGGGGATGACAGGTCACGGTGATGGGGAGGAGATGTCAGAGAGCAATAATGGACATGAAGAACAGCAGATGGGAGCCCTTGTATTTTCCCTCTGGTTCGCTGCCATTTTCTGCCCCGGACGGGCAATGCTGGACCTGATATCATGTGACGGCTGACTCAGCGTGGCTTACATCAAAACAGATCCCCGAACTTGAACAGTTACTTATAGTTACTTCATTGCATTCCAGTTAACGTTACAATCTGGATTGACCATTGTTGTCAATGACACCGATTGCATCCTTGACAGCTTGCTGTCCTCGTTCAATTGCTCCATCAACAAATCCTCTCCATCCATCTGCCCAATCAGCGCTCGCGAAGATGACCCGCCCATGAGGTTTCTGGAGCTCCTGAAGATACTGCGAAGCATGATTGGGTCCCCAGCAAGCCCAGACACCCTTTGAAAATGGATCATTCATCCAGTCATGAGTTGCATAAGCTACAACGTTGGCAGTCGGATGAATGGCATTGTGAAATTGGTCGACAATGTGCTTGTGATCTTTCCTGTCGGTCAACTTGCCGTTGTATCCAAACCCAATGCACCAGGTTCCTGATGGACCAGAAGCCTGGGTGCCATTGTGGTCTGAAAATGCGAAAACGTAAGAAGAATCGCCGGAGCTATTTGCAGTTGCAAACCAGCCTGGCTCTGTTTCTTCCAGTTTGAAATGGATCTTGGCACCTTTGTTGATATGGCCCTTGGCGATCGCTGATTGCCGAAGAGGAGACAAGGGAGGATTGAATCTAATGTCTCCTAGACAGTTGCTTCGAGATATATTAGTATTGATAGTAAGGGGAATGGTGTATGGAATGGCTCACAGCGGGATGGTCGAAATGACTGCCTTTGCCCTCAAACACTCGCCTTGCGAAGTCAAGATCTTCACTCCGGACGCGAAATTGTTGATCTCTTTCACGGTAGTTCGAAACAAAACATCCCCACCATAGTCTTGCAAAATTGCCCGTGCGAAAGAAGTCATACCCCCCTTCCCAATCTTATATATTCCTGCCAACTCGAATATTCTCGCCATGCTATGTCCGCCTAGAGCGTACCACCGCAATGCTTCAGTAAATCCGATGTTCTCACCTGGTGCACTGCCAAATGTGCTAGCGTTCGACTCGAACAAATCCTTTTCACGCTGAGTAAATCCATCTAAACGATCCAATCGGTCCTTCACTGACCAGTTGTCATACTTTCTCCACAGAGCTGGTTCCCTGAATGGCTCATGGGGATATGGCATAAGAGAACGACTATCATGGCCATCGACAGTGAAGAAAGCCTGTGAAATCCGCGTCAAAGCTTCTTCGGTCTCACCAAGTGAAACTTGCTCGGGTGAACCACCAGCAGGTTTGAAAAATTGCTTCTCTGGGGCGATTGTACCTGCCGATGTCTTCAAACTTTTGTGTAGTCCATATCTATGAAGCTCACTGTAGAGATGAGGTTGGCCCCAATGGACCCAGGTGCCTCCCATTTCAATGTCTTCCCCGAGCACTTTGGCAGTCCATGTGCGACCCCCGATACGATCTCTTGCCTCAAGGAGAAGCACACTCAAGTTATATCGCTGGCTTAGGTCGCGTGCTGCAATGATCCCAGCAAATCCGGCGCCAATGACGATGACATCGTACGTCTCTTGGATAGAGGACGAGCTGTTTAGTACAGCGTCTGTTGGTAGGCCTTCTGTGGACCCATGAGGGGTCCAAAGATATCCTTCCTTGGAAACTGGAGACATTGGAGAAAGTCAAAGACGGGGTGTTTGAATACTCCCTAGTTCGGGGATCCTCCTGTGGTATATATATACATCATGGAGTCAGATAAACAGAACGAAGGGTCAAAACTGTGGACTTTTTCCGGGCATACGTATCTTGTTTGAATCACTTCAGCTGGGGGATAGGATGATCGCCAATTGCGCACTTAATTGCCTAATCTGACTTGCGTAGAACCCAGTACATCCAACGCAATTTATGCAAGTCCTAGTTAGTGAACTAACTAAAGATTGATTAGCGGTCTATTTCTGCATCTCTATACAATAATTTGCTGCTTTGAAGAGGATATGATTGTACTTCGAAGCAGACATTCGGTAACTTATTAACTTAACCTCCAAAGTTTGAAACTTCAAAGATCCCAGCCTTTTTTGACTTGAAAGACCACTGTGAACGCAGATGATTGAGACAACTGAGATATAGTTATCCAAGTCTTGATTGCCTTCTCGTCTGTTGTAGTCCTCAAATTTGAAGTACTTTTCAGTGGAGCTCAGACGGATTGACCAATCGTGTTCACTATCGCACTAATTTCCTGATTGGGATAGAAAGCAACGAAGTCCGCATAAGCGAGAAGTTTTTCTTTACAAATCAGAATCCTAGAAGGCGTCGCAAAGAGAAGAGAGGCTGTGAAACTAGATTAATTATTGTTTGCAGTGGGACGGCCCCTTAATTGTAGAGTGACAACATCTTAGATAGCATCTCGTGGATGATAATACGCGCTTTATCCGAAGTTTTACATTGAAGAATAAAGATAAAAGTCATCATAATTAAAATAGGGCCCAAGAGCGCCATAAGTTTGGTGATAGTATTGCATAGTTTCGTTTCTCATTAATGGCCAGAACCATCCATAATCGGTCCTTCGTATACCCTTCGGCCCTTCCAAAACCAGTAAATCATGCTAAAAATTAGAACAACACCAAAAATAAGAGACGCATAATTCATGTTCACAGGTGTGACTGGCTGATATGAAGGAAACAGCATAAAGATACAAGTGAATCCCAGATAAATCAAGGAGATGATGTTGACCGGTATGCCAAGGCTTCCCAGCTTCCATGGCCCATAGGTCAATATCTCTGGTGTACACAAGCGGCGCCAGAGCATGAATATAACTGGCAGCATATATGAAACATGGAGTCCGAAGACTGCAAGAGAGAGGATTGCGTTGAACGCCGTTGTCGAGCCAATGTTGACGAAGCCCAGAATGAAAAGGAATACAAAGACAGTTGCTACCGACCATATAGGAACACGATCTTTCTTACTAACCTTTGATAGCTGCTCCGAGAATGGAAAGGCTAGATACTCTATGTTAGCGTATTTGTGATGAAACTAAAGTCTTGAAGACTAGCATACCCTTATCGCGAGCTAAGCACCAAAGCATACGTGCTGTCGATGCCATCAACGGAATGGTGGCCAAAGCAGCCACCACAATGAGGGTGCAAGTCATTGCAGTTGCAGCAGCCGGGCTGCCAGTAACACTCTTGAAGATCTCAATAATTGGGAACCCTGTCGTCGAGTTGAGCGCGGTCGTCATATCCCCCATGCAAAAGAGAATTGCCAGCAAAAATGCAAATCCCATAACACCGTTGACGGCGAGGGATCCCAGCATACACCATGGTACAGAGACCGCCGGGTTGATCATTTCTTCACAGAGATGGATGGCACCATCGTATCCTATTGTCATATTGTCAGTTTGCGTATCTCTTTCAATTGATCAATGTTACTTACCGGCCAAGACATAACAACTTGAAAGCATTCCGATGCTCCAGGAAACACCATCACTGGACCAGCCCGAGTTGTTTTCGAACAGAGTAAACACGAAACTGGCTGAATGTTTGACTGGAGCACACACCCACATGACGACGAATACGACAATGAATGCGACGATATGAATGATGAGAGAAGCATTCTCAATCAAAGCCATCAGTCGAGTTCCCCATATATTCATCACGCCTGAACCCATCAATAATGCCCAATATATCATTGTACCGTGCCATCGTTGGAAGACATAGGAATCGGAGTTGAGGGTGATGAGACCCTGAACCATTGTTGCGGCTAGAAATGGTGCACTAGCTGTAAAGGCAACCCAGCCAAAAGTTCCTATAGCTGATTAGCATGTGTCAATCTAATTCTCAGGTTGAACCTTACCGATCCAGCCTGTCAGCCAACTGAGGAGGTACTGCCATTTCTTCGGGGCCAGCCGTGCGATGAAATGATACTGCCCGCCAGCAGTAGGATACCTAGTGACAGTGTTAGCATGTTCTGATCATTTCAATGTACTCCCAACTTACATTGAAGTCATTTCACCCAGCGATGCAGCAGTTGATACAGCCCCAATAAAGGCAACTATCGATCCACGTCAACTTCCCCATTCCACCAGTGATAAATTGGTCCATACTTACCAATGAAACCATAGAACAACGAGACCGGTCCTCCACTGACCAAGGCCGAGACCATTGTACTGTCCGCATCGATGAGCCCAATGCCATACAATTTACCCGACAGACTTACCTCGACAAAGCTTCCCATGTTGCCATCAGAACTGCAGCCATAGACAAAATAGTCAAAGCAGAATAATTTTGCTATCCAAAGGACGAAAAGTCAATAAATCAGCATCCCCAAAAGAAGAATCGACTGATTACCTTCAACCGCACCTCACTCACAACCCCTTCACCCTCATCTTGATACGAGGCTACCCCATATTCAAGGCTTTTCTTCGCCATTTGATCCATTCCAAGTTAATACAAGTAATCTGGAAGATAGGCGTCTTGGACGTGGAGTCTGGGTGGCTGCAATACTTATACGAACATCAGGTATCCAACGTGGCAAATCTATGCTGCCTGACTATGACCTGCGAATGATAAACGGAATCAACAAAAGCGTGTTTAGTCTACTATGGGGCTTATCTCCTGAATGCGGGGATTTCCGAGATTCCGAACCGGGTCCAGAGTTGATGATGCCTTCTCTATTATGGAATGCAGGTAATTGGTAATATAAGCTCTGAAGGTGGCTGTCTGGCTACTCTCTCCAAAAAATTTGCAACCAATGGCCTGTTTCAATTGACTCTGATTCTCCTCATTTATACTGACTGTCATGAGAGGAATTGGGGTACCGAATTGATACTGCGGAACTAAACCTAACATTCATGACTAGACCCTTCTGGGAGAGAAAGCACCTAGAAAACCGATTGGTCCAATGTTGTGTCTTGGTAATTGGGTGATGCTGCTGGTTTAGTCTAAGACTGTCAGCTCTTTTAGGTCCACTTATTGGGCTGATCGTTGCCATGTTATAAGCGCAACGTTTGGTCATTTAAGCCAGGTGACCGCGGATTATCGCGGATCATTCCGCTCAATGATATATTTGTCTCTCTTCTAGCCGAGGGAATTGGGGGTTGGGTCGGCTTGAAAAGCGGGAAAGGAGTGGTATTCCCATGGCATTCTTTCCACACCCCCGCCTTTATACGATCTATATGATGAGCCCGAGGCACACCAAAATGGGGAAGAGAAATTAGAAAGACTGAAGGACACACACCTGTGAGGAATTCGTTGCCCGATGCTTTATCAGTGGAGGACTACCCACATCTCTGACCCCCCTGATGGAGCATCTCTCGGAATGGCCTTTGTCAAAGCTTCTGAGATCGCGATATAAGATAAGATACCATTTCACAACATCAAATCGCATTGTGTCGCTATCTCCAAAGACAGCCTATCCAAAGATAGACTCTAAACGCGCCTCAATCATGACCTCCATCCAATGTATCATTCCCAAGGAATTAGATCTCAATGTTCGATTATCATAAGCCGAAGCATCGGACTGATTCCATACGAGCTCAAGTAATTGACTGGCACGCGAGATTGGCTCAAGAGCGACGAAGTTGTGCAGAAGCTGCAACCTGTTTCGGACGAATGAGCGCCAATGATGAATCATAAAATCGGAACTATACGCAAAGCCAAGTTCCCGTTCAATTGTTGGATTTGGAGTAGTTGTAGGATGGATGGGTTCCGAATTGCAATGATCGGAATTGGTCCGGAGTTGAAGTGCACTGCCAGCAATGATCAACGGTAGTGTTAAAAAGATATTAGTACGGGAATCTTCAGGTATTGTCGCCATAATATTGAGGATAGTGGCTGCTAATGTGATCGTAGAGTTTTGATGGGTCTGGGTAGTTTCTTCTTGTTGCGGATTTAGTATTGATTCGTCCACCGACACATTCGGGTTGGTTGTCATCAGTTCCGGGAAACTGAGAAACAGTTGAAGGAGTATTGACAATTTGTAAACTTGGGCTAAGCGTAAAAGATGGTCCAACGGCGTCAGATTATCCCCTGGATCTTGGATAGAATGTTGGCTGGGTGGACGAAACTGCCGTACCCGCTGCACAAGCTCCAAGGCTGCTCGGTGTTGCTTAGAAAGAATTTCCTCTCGCGCGGTCGAAGAAATGTACATCCACAGCCTATTCGTGAGAACTTTTTGACGTGATAAAGCCCCCGCTTGAGCCATGTAGACAAAAAGCCGATCTGAGATACCGGACCAAGGGTTTGGGTAGTTTAGTTGCTCATCCTGGTCATGACAGAGCGATAGGAGATATGTTATATCTTCCGGACCTTGATCAAAGAGGAAAGATACTGTAGCTTCCCAGTAGGCCATCATCCCAACTGTGAAACTGAAATGATTTCTCGAATTGCTGTTTTCTAGCTGTGGGGTTTCTCCTGGTTGACCTATTGCATACTCCTTGAACAAGATCCGGGCCGTTTGCAGAGGAACCAAATCAATTGACGAGGCATTGTGCCACGACTGAAAATGCAATCATTAGCTCGGTACGAAAGGTCCACTGATCCTGTGCTTACCGAGGTCATTCCAAGAAGAATACTTCCAAGGAGGGAGACTTCTTTGGAGAAATTTGATGTCAACAATTCCATTTCCGACGTCAGAAGAGCAATGGCCGTTTTTCGGTGATCCAAGACAATATGCATCATGTCTTCCCTTTTCTGAAAAAGGTGGGCAGCTGACATGGCCATGACGCATTGGAAGATCAAGGGGCAAGTGTACATGACAGCGCCAACATAAGAACGTAAGGGATTCCGAAGAGAGTCAAAGCAAGAGTTGATTGGACAAACAACAGAGAAGTAGTAATCTGACAGTATGGATTCTTGCGTTTGGAATTGCGTGGGTGGTGACGGAGAAAGATATTGTAAGAGAGAGCCTGATGGCTGAAAGGTATCCCAGGAATCAGATAAATTGGTTAGAATTCCCTTTTCGGTCAAATAATGTTCATTTCCAAATTGAATAGCATGATTTGATTTGTTTGATTCAGTCTCTGCTGACTTCCGAGCCGGTTCGTTGGTCGGAGCCGATAGTGCAGTAGATTCCACAGAGCTGCAGGCCTTGTTCAAACACCTATTCATCAAAGTTTCATGCTTTTGCGACCACTGGATCAAGCGTAGGAGTCCAGGGCACCGTAGTCCCTTCTTTAGGCAGGGACCACAGCTTGGAGACTTCTCGTCACATTTGATGCGCTGCAGGAAGTCAGAGAAGAAGTCATCGACAGCAAAAAACTTGGATTCATGGCACACACCCGCTGCTTACAAGACGAGCATCCTGCTGCGCGTCTCAATGTTAACTTCAAGGGTTGACTAATGATATCAGACCCTTTGGTCGTAAACCCTTACCTCTAGACTTTGCTGATCTCCGACCAGAAGGAAGGATAGAATGGCTTGTTAATACAGACATGGTCGAATATCTCCATGAATCCCAAGTTGTCATTGACTGGCCGAAACAGGAGAAAGAAAAAGAGAAGCTTTATCTAAGTGAAAGCGGGGAAAAGCGGAATTGATAGAGCGTTGTTGACTATTGAACATGGTATTCCTACTAGACAGTAATTCAAACTTCTGCCTCTGTCAAATCCGAACATATCAGACAAATGGCAATTTATTGAAAGGAAGAATGTCAAGATATTCGAATGATTGGAGCCATTTGAAGCATTCGAAGTATACTGAAAGACCGTCAACACCTGAGGAATCAACGCCAAGACCGCTATACCCGAAATGGACCGCCAACGTCGACTCTTTGACTCCTTCAAGTTCTCCTGTGATATCTAACAACCTCAGTCTTAGTCGGCAGTGACAATGCTTCCTCGATCAGCCCGTCTGCTGACACCGGCCATTGGGGCTTTCCAATCTGCTCGTGCTCCCATCAGCCGCAGCTTCACCTCCACACATGTCCCAATGAACTCATCCCAACAGTCCAGTGCCTACAAGGACGGGGTATGTATTTGACCCTGTGATGCAATTGAATGAGACTGTACTTTCAGCTGCTGATAGTTGCCAGATGAAACAATATAAGACTTTCACAGGCCCCTTCGCCAAAGTCTTTCTAGGAGGCGTGTTCGTCTACCAGGTGATCTATTGGACTTGGTTAAAGTTGGAAATGGATGAGACAAAAGTGCGAAAGAATGGTCAGTTCAAAATCCCTACTTGGTCTTTATTAAGCCGACAATTTGCTAAACCTACGCAGAACAAGTTGCCGTGCTAGAAAAACAAGCCCGAGAAATCGCCGACAGCCAGAAATAAGCTCAATCTCGAATTTTTTGTACAATAGATGTATTCATAAAGCCCAAGAGCATATCCTAGTGTGTCTAATTCAATTCGATTGACGACAAGTAAAAACCGAAGAAACAAGGTTCAATGTCCCCCAAACACCGACCATTGCAGAATAATCTATATTAAAACCCATCCAATATGCAACTTTCCAAAACATCATACAGCAGCAAGCTTCCGTTTCCTCGTCCCAAGCACAGCCGCCTTCCTAGATGGATTCTTCAAGCCAGCCAGGGAAGGCCCATCCAACGCCTGATCCATAGCATCAACCGAGGACGCAGAAGGGAACCGCCAATCAGCGCCCCTCTCCCCCTTCTTAAAATGATCCTGATCAATATGATTAAAGCGCTCATCTAGCGCCGCCGAGCCACCACTCCGCAGGGGGATCCTCCGATCACAAAACCCACACCAAAACTGCGAATCATCCGCCAGATCAAGCCTATTCTCGCTCGCACCAGCGGCAATTTCATACTCATTCACGCCATGCTCGCGCACATGCTGCGTATACATGTCCACTTTGCCAAATAAGCGCTCACAGGGAGAACCCTTGTGCGCATCGTGGGCTGTGCAGATCCAGCTGGGCACGTGGAGATGCTGCGAGGTCTCATGGCGTTTCCAGTCGGCCTTGCTGCCGAAGGATTTGGCGCAGTGGGGGAAAGTACAGCCGTAGGGTCTTTCGTGGCGTTTTTGGTGTTTTTTCATTTCGCAGCGGAGGCGGGTTCGTTTGGGGCAGGCGTCGCATTGGAACCAGCTTCTTTTTTCTTGTTCTTGGGTGGAGTCTTGGGTTGTCGTGTCGGGTTCGTCGGAGAGCCGGTCTAGGGCTGCGGAGAGGACTTTTTGGAGCATTTGGCGTTGGAGTTGGGTGAGTTGAGTGTTGTCTGATTCGACTTCGATTCCTTCGTCAATTGTCTGGCTTGATTTTCTGTTGCGGTTGTTCATCATTTTCGTCATTGCGTTTATCAGATTGTCTGCTGCGTCTGTGACGGAGCCGTCGGGCTTTGTGTTATTTCGTTCCGTTGGGGATTCCTGACTTGTTGATGACATGCCCCATGGGCTGAAGGCAGGGAATTGAGATGGTTCTGAATCGGCGATTGAGGTGCTGTATTGGGTCGGCTGGGTGGCACCGAATGTGAAGAGATCGCTTTTCTCTTGGAAGACGGGCTCGAGTTCAGTGGTGGATTGGACAGATGATAGATCTTCCTGTTCTTCGGACATTGATTCTTCCCGAGAGCTGCGTTCTTCGAAGCCTTGTCCTGCTTGGCGACCGTTGACCTTGTCATACCAATCCATGGACCTGTCATTGGTTAGCATTCAGGTCATTCATAGAGACTCGACATGAAGGTATATTTACTTCTTTAGTAACGCATCTCCATCTTCTTCATGATGCATGCGGCTCAGATGTTGCTTGAAGTTGTCCAGGCGCGGCCAATTCTTGTTTGGCCTTGGGCAGCTTGAACCAAAGCACTTGTACATCATCTTCGGCCCACGCTCAGGCTCCTTGTTGTGCACGCACTTCTTGTGACGGGCAAGATCATTGATAGTTCCGAATCCTTCCTTGCGAGGACAATTTGGCTCATCGCATTTAAACAGCTTGCGATGGCGAGCCTCATGTTTCCTATCACCACAGCATTAATTCTCTGATCAACAAAGACCAAGACGAGCCAAACTTACCTCTTATCCGAAGGACACTTCCCACTCCACTCACAAGAGGGATGGTCACACTTGAAAACACCATCAAACATCTGCGACGGCGACCCAGCCAAGTCCGAAGCAAGCGAAGAACCAGAGGCATAGCGCGAATGGGTAAAGAAAGGCGCGGAACCAGCCGCATTCTCCTTCACACCAATTTGCGGTGACGAATCAACACCATAGGATGAAGCGACCACCGACTGCGTCGCACAACTGGTGCCGCCATACCCAGAATCCGCCGAGTAACTACCCATATATTGACTCCCATTCTCAGAGGGATCACTAAACTGATGGTGTGACAAGCAGTATTCCTGCTCGGGTAACGGGGCTGACATATTCATATGCGATAGCGACGACGAAGCCGGGATGCCGGTGAGTAGCAGTGGATTCCAAACATCTTGATCGGCCGTCATGCGGGAAGGGTAGTTTGAATAGTACAGATCTCTGGGGTTCGACCAGCCGTTCAAGAACGACGATGGGTCGAGAGACAGGTCCGATCCGCGGTGGAGGTCTAGGAGAGGCTGAGACGAGTCGAAAGGTAGATGTGACTTGAGATCATGCGATCTATCCATGCCCTGAAGAAGGTCTGTGGAGTCATTCCAGCCGGAGTCCTGGAGGGGATTAGCAGCGTCCAATATAGAGGTCATATATCATTGGTGTTTGGGTGTTTCGAGGTGGATAGAGGAGAGGGGGGGGGCACGAACCTCCATAACTTTGTGTAAGACGTTGGGACTAAACCAGATAAAGTATACCAAGATGGGGTGGATAGATGGAGGAGAGAGAGAGAGAATAGATCAGAACATGAAACCGAAGCAGAAACAGGGGAGGGGTCAAAGGATTAAATGTCTGCTCTCATGCATACAAATGCCAAAAACCAACACGCGAGAGACACGCTCCACTTCGCCCCGAGCCGGCCACGCGAAGGGAATGTATAGAGAAATAAAAAAGTAAAAGGGAAAGTTCGCCCTCGCGTGCTGAAGCGTGGAATGCATCCCTTGATTTACACAGCCCGCTTATCCGACCCTATTTACAGTACTGTTTACTGTTTGCTGGGTACGACTCGCGGCTCTACAGTAGTGTATCATCCTCTACAGGATATCAAGCTAATGGCTGATCACCCATCATAAATGAGATCATTCCCATTGACGATCCCCGATATTCCTGGGGATGGATCAGCCCATATCATATTCCAAAAAACGAATAAATATCAAAAAAAAAAAAAAAACCGACCAGCTTACCCTGGAAGTATCCTACACGTACGCACAACGTAAGTGAGTCCCCTGCACGAGGTATGCAAGACAAAAAAAAGGGAGGAAAAAGGAAAAAACAACTCTACCAATCCGAAACGACTAAAGAGCGTAAAAGCAGGGAAGCAAGGGCCTCGGAGACTGACAGAGCGATCGGCATGGACTAAGATCGGCGATGCCATGTTGCAAGGGATGGAATAGTGCACGTTTAAGCGAAGAATACGGCGGGAAGGGATTTTGACTTTGACATTGACTCTGAGACCTGAAACGAGGCGCAAGTTTGATTAAAGCGATCTCTCAATTGTCATCTTGCTCGCTGTTGAACCAGTCACTATTCGGCTTATTTTTCAGCTATCCACGGGTGGCGGTAGTTCGCGTGGCACTAAGGAGTGGTTCTTGATCGGATTCGAGTCTAGTACTATTTCGGAAAAGTCCTATGAAGTCCCATCTGATGCCTCATATGTCGCTGTATACTAGTACTTAGACCGGATTTTACAGTAGGCCGTTGCCGCGACTTGCCCGATTAGGGTGCCGCTGCTTTATCGGTCTTGCAGTACAGTACTCAGGGAGCAGAAAGCGGCATGGGTGGAACACTAAAACAGAAAGGGTAAACCAGGTCGGCCTAAAATTCGATGTATACAGTATGCTAGCTGTGCCCTGTTATGCGCGGGTTGTTGGTCTGAAATGGTATCTTCGTAAATGACAGTACTGTCTTAGCACTGGTATGTAGTGATGTAAAAGGGGGTTATCATGGCCATCATTCCGACATAACTCGCTAAAGATGGCAGATTCCGTCTCTGCTCATGTGCCACCTGTGGCGCTGTAGCCGATGAAAAATTGAAAGTGATGCAAATTGCCTGCCAATGACAAGAAGAGGGGGAATAAGAAAAGACAATGAGAACGAGTCGATAAAAATAGAAAAATAGGAAAAGAGATAACAATAAAAAAAAAACACAAAACGAACAGCATGATAAGAATCAAGGGAGAGAGAATCACATCCTGGAAGGACAACCCGAGGAATAAGTGGAAGAATAGTTCACCTCGGGTTCGGCTTGATAAGCATAACTGCCATCTGCGGGGTACACAGACTGAAACTGATACGAGTTCATTTCGGACTCTGGAGTCCTCGACCTAGGAATGGCGTAGGGCGGATACGTCAACGAGCTTTGATGCAGGGGATGAGGCTGGGCCTGGGGGGCCTGGGACAGGTGGGGCGCTGGGCCGAACTGGCCTACCCCGTACGCATACTGATCAGGGGTGAGCGAATCAGTCATGGAACCCGGCATGGACTCGGGCTCCTCGATGAGTGGACTGCCAGAAATAGTGGGGAATTCGACAGGCGGGCCGTTAAATGAAAAAGCAGGGATGGGGGTGCTAGTGTTTCGAGTGTAGTTCGATGACGCTTGAAGAGGTTCGTGTCCATACGCAAGAGAGGGCGAGGGATAGGTTGCCGATGATCCGCGAACCGGTTCCACTTTGAGGCTGGTATGGCCGGTGTGGACAGGGCTTGGGGCGCTCGGCTTCGCGAGATGTAAGACAGGCATGGCGAGTTGTTCCATGTGTTTTCCCAGGTGGACCGACAATTTTCTCCAGTCGCTACAGACATTCCCACAGAATCGACACGGCTCTGATTGGGGCGTTCGGTCCGTCTCATGCCGACATTCTTCGACCATTTGCCATAAACGTTTCACATCATTTTCTCTTTGGCCATTCGGCAAAACATCGGCTTCCGAAGACTTGCCATTCTTGAGTTTCGGCTCCGGCATTTTATGTTCTCGAACCAGATGCTGCACAAAGTTGTCTTTTCGGTAGCACTTATGATGGCAGTCGGGGAATGCACAGGTCCACCATTCCAGCTGTCGGTGTTTCTCGTTCTCATGGCGGACCCAATCGGCCTTGCGCTTGAATGACTTGGGCTCGGTGCAGTGAGGGAATGTACATGTGAAGGGTTGAATATCCTCTTGAACATGTTTAGACCAGTCGGACGGCTTCTGGAACTTCTTAACCTCGAAGCAAATGGGGCACTCGAACTGGGCAGGGAGTTGATTCACCGGCGGGGGAGGAACTCCAGGTGGATATTGTGTTACAGTTCCTTCCGCTGTAGCATGTTGCTCTTGTCCTGGACTGAGGGGTTTGACTCGGAATTGACTTTGACCTGTCTCCGATTCCATGGGAGCCTTGGACTGTGGTAGAAAAGAGGCTTTCCCGCCCGACGCGAAACAAAATGCCTGTGACTTGCATGTGTGATTGCCAACCGCGAGAGCGTGATTTCGCTGCAATCCAACCAAAAGCTTAAAACGGCGATCCTGTTCACATGCAAGACGCTGAAGCAAGGCCGGCTCAAGTCTCGGATTCAATTGCATGATCTGTGACTTGAACCCTTCAATTGTCGGCTCTGGGAGATCTTGGACAGCTGGGAATTCCATGACAATGCCCTTGCTATCGCCCATGACATTGTTATCATTCTCGCCAATTGTTTCAACGCCTAGGAATGGACCTTTGGGGGGATGGGCTGCATCTGAGCTGAACCTCCCTGGTAAAGTGATGTTCGGGACAGGCGGTCCACCATGAGCAGTCATCAAGTTCATCAACCCAGGGTTAGAGGGTCGGGGAACTTCACTTCTGCTTCGTCCTCGGCTCTTAAGCGGGAGACTTAGAGAATGCCTCTCTGGATTTGGCGACGGTGCAGGCGAAACTGCTTGGACAGAGCTACTGCCCCCAACAGCGGCCATTTGACTAGACATGGAAAGAAGAGCATTGGTCAAGCTCGGTGACCGTGAATGTCGACGAGCGGAGAAGACATTCCGGGGCGAGTACGGTTTTGGCGAGGGTTCTGATACTTCATGCGGCTGAGGTCTAGGGTAGGTACTGGATTGACTGATGAGAGATAAGTCGGAAGCTTGGCGCTTTAGCTTCGAAGACGCCTGCTGGATCCAAGGACGTTTCATAAGACTCATGCGCCTTTTTGATTGAGCTCCAACAGAGAACTTCTCAAGAGATGTGGTGACATTGATAATGCTGTTGTTATCAATAGTCGCAGTAAGTGATGCCGTTTCCAGATCTCGAACGCGTTTCTCAAAAGCTATCATTGCATCAGTCGAGCTAATCGGTTGCATCGCATCTGATCTGGGCGTCGAGTCGCGAGGTGAATCGTGCCAAGGGTATAAACGGAGCCCTTCATCTGGTTGCTCAAGCGATGAATAGATTTCGGGTGTGCTGCGATCATATCTGCCAGGCTCATCGACATTGGCCGGTATTGAGTCCGAACCTGTGGCTATACTTTCCTCATCCTCGCTCAGCATTTCATCGCTGCTTTCGTGCACCAAAACCCCAGGCCCAGGACATGGGTGGACCGCAGAGTGACCTTTCAAACTGAAGTAACCCTCTTCTTTCAGGGGACGGTCCCCCGTGCTCCTCGCTCGAAGTCTGCTAGGGACATGGTGTCGGCGCGGAGGACTAGGCGGCTCATCGCCAGCCTCGCTATTAGCCTTGCTCACAGATACAGACCAGTATGTGATATCTTCGTTCTTCTCCTCCCTTTCCCGCTTGACTTGGATATCGTTGGGACTCGGCCCGTATTCGTTTCCACGAGCTTCTGGGTCGAGTCCGGCTAAATGGGTGGTAGGGTGTCGGATCCACGCGCCGTTAGGGGATCGCGAAACCGAGACAGACGAGATGGATTTGTGATCGTCGGATTCACTGCCAGACTCGCTCGATTGATCATTTGGGTCCGCTGCCGAGAGGTGCGCAGAGGACTGACTGCGATATCTTTGGTGATCGGTTGTGCGTCCTTTTGGTGAATCGCCTCGAGAAAAAGTCTCAATCTTGAAAACAGGACTTCTTCCCCTGGTTGTGTCTGATACCGACTCATTATTTGACCCCTGGATGTTCGTAGCGGAGAGTCGAGATGGCTCATTCAATGGAACATGCGAGACACCGAGACCGGCTTTATACGAACTGGGAATCGACTGCACTGTGTTGGTACTGTTGAATTCCAGAGTTGGCATAGTGCCCGATGGATTCTGATTTTGCTCCAAGCTTGTCCTCGTCCACTGAAATACATTTGGGGCCATGGGCGAAGACCACGCGGGATCAACGGGAACAGAATTGTCCGTCTGGTAAGATGAAAAGCTCTCATCTCGCCAGCTACTCGAGCCACTGGTTAATTCAATCGCCTGCGGTTCGACAAATGCATTTTCCGAAAGTGGAGAGGTGCACGCGCTATTATAATCACTTCGGGGATCCAGGTAGCCCGTCTGCAGTGTGGAGTCGATCCGCGCGTCCTGAGGGGAGCCCAGTATTTGCCCAGGACTCGCCGACGGTGTTAATCGAATGGCGCTGGCTTGGAAATAGATTTCTTCGGGGTCGGATGTCGCAGACAAATAGGGATCTGGCGCGTGAGGATCCTGGAGCGCATTGTCTGGCGAAAGCCCCTGACTGCGTGGTGAGGCTAGTGACATATTGGAGTTGCTGTTCATACCCCGAGATCGCGCACAAATATTTGCCATGAGCACAGGCGACTTCAAGGCCGATCCACGGTAAAGTGGTCCATGCAGGGTTGTGGTTATATAGGCGGTTCTAACGTGTGTATCTGGCCCTGAATAGAGTGGGCTATGTCGGTCAAATCTCAAGAAAAAAAAAAAGAGTTGGAGATATGGAAAGAGACACAAAAAGATTGGGGGGGCGGGCGATTTCAGAGAGATCCCAGGATGTTAGCGAGATGAGGGGAACTGAGGCTGAACAAGCGCCGGGCGCACTGCAAATTGAAGGGGAGTGTCCCACTGTTCTTAGCCTGTCGATTTGAAATAGTACTCAACAGTAGGAAATAGCAGTCAAAAGAGAAAACAGGAATCAAGTAGTCTCTAAGCCTCCGAGGGCTGTGGCTAGTACGAAGATCGCATGATTAAGGCTTACTCGGATTGCCTAAAATAGCCTTCGCTCGAGAATGTTCACGGTGTCAACTGCTTTGGATCCGGGCGAGTTTGGCGCCCCAGCCACATGTGTATCAGATATTTCTATTCTTGTCCTCAGCCTCTACAGTCGACTTCCTCTGTCCTCTATAGGGCTGAACTGTGAATCTGTGAGCTTGGTGATATGCGACCCGGCGTTTATACTTGAAACACCGGTATCTGTCTTCCGAGCCTCATTGATATCCACCTGTTCGTTGAGCCTCGAGTAACATAGAGGTTAATTCTAGTCCAGTCCGTCCTTCTCAGATTCCTGATCATAATAATCAAATACTAGACAGTCTGATCTCGATCTGTGGATGTGTACAACCCCACAATCGCTGGACAGAAAACGGCCCCCACTACTCAACCAGAATAACTATAGCCCCCAATGCTGAGTTTTCTTGGAACTGGGTGTGATACCATCCGAAACACACCGTCCCGGTCCACGGGGTCACTAGTGTCACCAGAGTCTGTCTACGGGGGCACTGCAATATGCTGATATATTTAAGAAGTATCAGACTTGCCCAGGCGGTTTGGGATGACATCACAGATGGTCCACGACAACGTTACAGTGTACTCCACTATGTTCCACAATGAACAGTCAATAAATAACTCCGTACCTGCATCTCAGTTAAGTAATATTGGGCTACATGTGCATTTGTACCCCCGAACCTTTAACCGTCAACGACTTTCGTCACGGTGGGGACCCGCCACCGCTCCGCGGCCCGAATTCTGTGGGGTCTGAGATATTATATAGCAGTAGTGTGGCGGAACATGGACCCAAAATGACACAAACATGGCTAATAATTAGCCATAATATGTAGACCAGACATCTTGTATATAAGGCTAATGCCAGCCATGGAACGAAGTGAAGGTGTATAGAGCAGACCCATGGAAATGATGAAATTGTACCCGGAGAATCGACCCATAGATCATTCAAGCTAAGAGGATGTCCAAGCACTTATACCCATTGGTGTCCCCATGTATGTGCAGACTGATAACCGATTAACCAGACACGCATCAGATAACCACAAATAGTCCATCAAGGCTATGTCTTCCAATACAAACCAAACAAACCGCCAAGAAACCCCAGATAAGGAAAAGAGCCTAAACCCTAGATGGTTGTAGGATCCGATCATAAACCAAACATAATTGGACACTATCCTATCATTATCAGGGAAATATCCCACAGTCATAGAAATCACAGCATTTCAACTAATAACCTCAAACCAGGTCCGATAAATCTACGTTCAAAGCTTCCCATTGCTGGATTCAAGGTCTTGGCCACCGTCAGATCGTAGATAAGAGGCTTGGTACTCGTGTTTTGCATACGAAAGATCTTTTAACGTTACTACAACCATGGAGAATGTTATATTTGATATTCTCCCTTCCCCCTCGGCTCTGAAAGACGGAAGACAGGGCTGGATAGAGGCAAGCTCTTACCATGGCCGAGTCTGTTAGTTTCATGCCCCTAACAGTCGAAAGATCGTGTTTGCTAACACATCACAATTGACAGCCAGTATATAACGCATCCACCCCTACGGGGGGCGATCCTCTTCAAGTCGATGTCAACGCCCAGTATGCAGGTCTCGAATGGAACTATACGTATATCGTCTTTTGCGGGTTCATTGTTTGGTTGATCATACCCGGAATCGGTCTACTATACAGTGGATTAGCACGACGGAAGTCAGCTCTCGCCTTGCTTTTCCAATCCATGATGGTTGTAGCCGTGTAGGTTGAAAATCTCCGACCTGTACCAGTGTGGCTGGAGTTGACGCGCATCCTAGAACAACATTCCAATGGATATTTTGGGGATATTCACTAGCCTATGCGCGGGACGCAAGCCCGTTCATCGGGACATTGAAGAACTTCGGCTTGAAGGGTGTGATGGCGGCGCCGTCGCCTGGTTCAGCCGATCTGCCCGAGATTGTGTTCTGTTTCTATCAGCTTCTGTTCTGTGCATGCACAGTCATGATCGTAGTGGGCGGCGCCTTCGAACGAGGAAACATGATCCCCTCACTCATCTTCAGCTTCTGCTGGGCAACCGTCGTCTACTGCCCGCTAGCTTGTTGGACGTGGAACAGCAATGGATGGCTATATAACTTACCCTCGCTCGACTTTGCTGGCGGCGGCCCAGTGCATATCGCCTCTGGCTGGTCAGCTCTTGCTTACGCCTTTGTCTTGGGAAAGCGCAAGCACCTCGATCAACCATCATCCGCCAAACCACACAACACGACCCTAGTCTTCCTAGGCACGACCCTGATCTGGTTTGGATGGTTTGGCTTTAACGTAAGTCACGCCCGAGTTCACTGTGAATTCCGTCTAACTATCTGCAGGGCGGCTCAGCCCTCAACGCCAGCATCCGAGCCATGCTGGCGGCATTCAACACCAACACGGCCGCCTGCACGGGCGTCCTAGGCTGGGTCCTCGTCGACTACATCAAGCACCGCGGTAAATTTTCGGTGGTCGGCGCCTGCGAAGGCGCCATCGCAGGCCTGGTAGGAATCACACCAGCAGCAGGCTTCGTCTCAATCTGGCTAGCCGCCGTGATTGGCTTCATTACCAGCGTCGTTTGCGCCTGTCTACAAGATCTGAACGATTGGTTGCACATTGACGAGGGAATGGACGTGTTCAAGCTCCACGGCGTCGGAGGCATGGTAGGAGCCTTCCTAACGGGGATATTTGCGTCACAGTCCATCGCAGCGCTGGACGGTGTCACCGAGGCGACTGGGGGGATTGATGGGAATGGTATGCAGGTTGGGAAACAGTTGGCGGAGGTGTGTGCTATTTCGGCGTATTCATTCACTGTCTCATGTCTTCTGCTCTACATCTTGAAATGGATTCCCGGCATGCAGTTGCGTGTGCATGAGGAGATGGAAATGGTTGGGTTGGACCAGGCGCAATTTATTGATGAGCAGATCGGGGAACGTGGGATTTTGGATGATCTGTGCGGGTCACCCTCAACGGCTGTTAATGAGGGGGTTGTGGTTTCAGAGAAGAGATAGGGTCTGGAGGCCGGGAGGGTCTGGATCTCGGGATCGTGCCAAGACTGTTTTCTATTGGGGTGTGACTTTGAACGCGCAAGCACGGGATATTTCAACCTTAAAAACATCCAGTGGAACCTGTAAGGTTTTCTTTCTATTTTTATATGGGACACAGGATACCGTTGACACTTGACAGTGGCCACATTCTTCCCAGTTAGACACGGTAAATGTGTAAAAAAAGGATCAGACCCTTAAGACCCTGAGCGGCATCAAGGGCCGATGCCAAGAAAGCTGACGTATGCCTGGGGCTTTCCGGCCTGCATTCCATGACGAGGCCTGGAGTAAAGCTGACATGCAGATGCAGGGAAACACAAAATAATCCAAACGCAATTCCAATATTGATCAACTTTACAGACTGATTTATTGATTTGAATGGAATAGTTGGATACTCAAGAAAAGAAACGAAAACCTACAAAATTGCCAAACGGTAATACCTCGTAAGAATACTCTCCTTTCCCTTTTCCGGCCATTTTTCGCCCTTTTTGCCACTTGCAAATTTGGTCTCACCCGTCACGTTTTGTATCCCCGGAGCCGTCGCGTCCTCCCGCTTTTGGCTCCTTATCTCTTCTCCCCTCTACAATCTGTCATTCGTTACGTCTTCTTCTTTGCCTTCGCTTGAACTTGCTTTCGCCTTAATTAAGAAGTCACTTTCTCTTACCTTTCGGCCAGTCTGTCATGATCTGCGAATAATCGAAATCGAGTCCAAATGGGCAAATGTATGTGCTTCCACTCCCCGACTGCTCCCTCTGCATACTGACCGGATCAGGGCGTTATGGTATCGTCCTGGACGCAGGCTCGTCTGTACGTTCGACCAGTGTCGCAGTATTGCTCACTTCCACTAATGCACACAGGGGACTCGCGTACACGTTTACCGATGGCTACGAAATGCCGCTGCACGAAAGAAGGCCGATGCGGAGGAATTGAAATCGTTACCGGAAATTAAAACCAAGGAAGAATGGACCAAGAAGATACACCCTGGTAAGTCGATGGAGACACTGCCACCACAAATGTTGCTAATCTCGCCCATGAAAGGTGTCTCTTCCTTTGCCCAAAACCCCGAACTGGTTGGATCCGATCATCTGGCCGGACTTCTGGATCACGCAAAGGGAATCATTCCGAGAGAGGATGCAAAGGATACGCCGATCTTTTTACTTGCCACAGCAGGCATGCGACTACTTGGAAACCTCGAACGACAATTACTTCTGGATCAGATCTGTTCGTATGCTCGTGATAACACGGAGTTCCTACTGCCCGATTGTGGAGTTCATATCCAGGTGATTCCGGGCGTGACCGAGGGACTCTATGGGTGGATTGCGACCAATTATCTCATGGGTGCGTTTGACACACCGGACAAGCACGACCATGGGAAGGGACATCACACCTATGGATTCCTCGATATGGGTGGCGCATCTGCTCAGATTGCATTTGCGCCGAATGCCACGGAAACGGAGAAACACGCCAACGATTTGAAGCTGCTGCGGTTGCGAAACATTGATGGATCGGTCCAAGAGCACAGAGTCTTTGTTACGTCTTGGTTGGAATTTGGTGTGCATGAAGCCCGCCGACGCTATCTGGAAGCCTTGCAGGCCGCGACTGGACCAGAGATCAAAGAATTACCCGACCCTTGTCTTCCCAGTGGATTGCGCACGACTCTTGACGGCAAAGATGTATCTGGATCTGACGACGAAGAGAGCTATCTAATAGGCACGGGCAAGTTTGATGAATGTCTACGACAGACCTTTCCTTTACTGGACAAGGATGCACCGTGTGCGGATCAGCCCTGTCTTCTGCACGGTATGCACGTTCCAGCCATTGATTTCGATGTCAACCATTTCATTGGAATCAGCGAGTACTGGCACACCACGCACGAGATCTTCGAAATGGGTTACAAAGACAAGGCATATGACTTCAACACGTACCAGGAACGGGTTAATACGTTTTGCTCTCAAGACTGGGACTCGATCGAGCACGGTCTTGAAGTGAATCAGTGGGGAGTGAAGGTCAATCGTCAAAAGGCCAACGAGGTATGCTTCAAGGCATCATGGATCATTAACATGCTCCATGATGGTATCGGCGTTCCTCGTGTGGGCTTAGAGGAAATCACCTACCCTGCTCACAACGGCACCAAGGAAGTCTTATCTCACGGAAAGGAAAAGGGTTATCTTGATGCTTTCCAAGCAGTTAACAAGATTGACTCGACCGAAGTGAGCTGGACTCTGGGCAAGATCGTTTTATATGCATCTTCCCAGGTGCCTATGGAGATTGAAGAGGCTCTCCCCGTTGGCTTTGGCAGCAACCTCCCCGGTGTGCCGTCAGACTTCCAATATCCCAGTGTTCAGCTGCTGCCGGACTCGGACAGCTTCCATAGCGAGCACTGGCATGATGCATTGTTTGACGGCGATTCCCCTCGCCGGATCCCAGGCTTCCTCCTCTTCATGCTTATAATTGTGGTGGCTGGCTTTTTCCTATGTGGACGCAGCCGCCGGTCACGCATCTACAACCGCATCACTAATGTCCTTCGTCGCGGTGGACCCTCCCATCCAAATCACCCAAAGAAGCGAAAGGGTCTCAAGGCGATGCTCCCGTTCCTCGGCCGGAGCGCTCCATCCTATGAACGAGTCCTTGAAGACGGCGCCCAAGACTTTGAACTTGGCGTCACTGACTCGGATGGCAGCGAGGATGGAGGCCGATTATCGGAAGCCGACTCCGCCAGATTGGGACCACCAAAGCGAGCCTCCAGCTGGGGTAGTAATAGCAACACCCCCAGCTTTAAATACGCCTTGGACAACAGCTCAACCGGGACGATTGGACTCGGAATCAGCGGCGGCTCCGGCATCGCAATGGATCGAGCAGGCTTAGTAGTGAGGACCGAAAGCAGGGACCATCTTGCCCCCATTGCTCTCGGGCCCACCACTAACGGCCGTCGATCAAGAGCCGGCAGCCCGACGAGATCCCATCACCAAAAGTCACCCAGCTTGACGCCCCTCGCCGACGACTAATGCACACGACCCCCTCCGATTTATGCATAATTACCTAACATTCCCGCATCGTGTTTCATTTGGAGTTGGATGATTTCTGCCTTGGTTTATGACCAAGGATCTGGTCTGTCGTGGGGTTACTGTTGTCTCGTGGCTTTCTGCCTTCGATTCTTGGTATTATATTTCTCACTGTGCTCTGGAGTACCTTTTCTTCTGATTTTTTTTGCTTGGTTGCTGTCTCGATCTTATCCTGGTGATTTACACGTAATGAGGAGTGTACCATTAGCAGAGAGTCCTTTTGAACATAGAATAATCCTTGCATCAACTTATATTTACGCAATCGTGCTTTCTTCATTGTATAGAATATAGAAGGGTAATCTTTGGGCATTTGAGTGTCTTATGAGCTCAGTTCATTGCATGTAGGAAGGAGATGGGGTGATCTAGAAAATGCCTTGACACCTTGGTTTCTTTTGTTGAAAATCAACACCAAGTATTCGGAACACGGAGTACATCACATCATATAACTTAACTTATACAGATGGCGTTAAACGAGTGAGAGGAAGGCTGCGCACGTGATATCTTACCCAGGTAGCCTCAATATCCAGGCAATATACTATCACGTGATGCAGTTGCTCTCACACCGCCCGGCAAAAAGGGCTTCGACATAGCGAGAAACTGGCGCAACCAGCTTCCAATTCAATCATTGCCCTCGACAACTACACCTGTCGCACACCATATTACTGCCATCTCCTCTATCTATACAGTCACGATCAACTGTATTCATCTAGGAATCCCTATCGCCGGCCACAGCTACCACCGCCACCATGCGCTTGACTGTCGAGCTCATTCAGAATTCCCTATCATACATCAACCCACTCACAGACCGCGAGTTGGATCTCCGAGGTGCGTCTGAGAACTATAAACCTTTCTGAAAAGAACAGGTACTACCCTTTGATCTGAGAGCTGGATTGATATCGTCTTTTTGCGCGTGCAGGGCACAAGATCCCCGCAATTGAGAACTTGGGTATTGCCAAAGTAAGTGCTGTCTGCCTAGGAGCTTGGTCTAGATCTGAGCTACAGTCGCAGTCAGACTGGCTCCGTGTAGCTTGACCCTTATTCTCTGGACACGATTCTGATCTGGTGCAGGATCAAGATGCGATCGACTTCACCGACAATGACCTCTCCTCCCTCGGAAACTTCCCTCACTTCCCTCGCCTCTCTACCCTCCTCCTCGCCCGCAACCGTATCAATCACATTCAGCCATCGCTAGCAACCTCCTTGCCTAATTTGAAGACCCTGGTTTTGACCGCGAACAACCTGTCTGAGCTTGTGGAGCTGGAAGGGCTGCGGACTTTGACTAAATTGACGCATTTGACTCTTATGGAGAACCCATTGACACGGAAAGAGGTTTGTCTTGTCCAAGAAAGCCGCCTAACAATCTATACTAATCCAATTTAGAACTACCGCTACTGGGTCATCTGGCGCGTTCCCTCCGTCCGCTTCCTGGACTACCGCAAAGTGAAAGACGCCGAGCGCACCGCAGCAAAAGAACTCTTCGGTACTTTTGAAGAGCCCTCAGCCCTCGCGTCCAAGATCTTAGGTGTCAAGTCCCGCACGTTCGACGTCAACAGCGCCGCCGAGCGCGCTCCCACCGAGAAGGGCATCCGCGTACAACTGACCGACGCAGAGCGCAAGCGCGTGGAAAAGATGATCCGCGAGGCGAAGAGTTTGCAGGAAATCACAAGGCTAGAGAAGGAACTAAACGAGGGCCGGATACCGGGTGGAGCACTCGGTGCGGAGGATGCGGACGGGGACGTGCAGATGTAAAGCAGAGATGAATTCTGTTTGGATTGGATCTACGGACTATGAACATACCACTTTATTTTTTTCTTCCATTGTTACCGTTTCCGTCGTCCTTTCTCTGTCCCGTGTTCTCTGTTCTCTTGGGGGCTTTGCTTTCCGGTTTCTTTTCTGGTCGTTCGGGATTCTCATATACCTGGCTTGAATTCCTGGGGGTTCAGTGTGTATCATCAAGAGGGTTTCATTGCATTACTGTTGGCCTGGCCGTGAAAAATTTGAGCATTGAAATAAAATCAGATCACCACGTTGCATCATCCATGTTGCTAGAAGAAGTACCGAAGCCACGCGCTTTGTGTGTAGAATCACTAACTAGAGCCTAACCTCGTCTTTCACCCGAGCCATGGGCAAGAAGAGGTCTAATACACGGCACCCAGACACTCTGCATCTAGTTATTGCACCTACGGTTCACTAAATGGTAGCCGATCAATTAGACTTCTTTGGTGGCTTACTATACGCCACCAAGACAGGGGTCTGTTCGCGTTGATCGGCAATTGATATGAACTTATCCAACGTAAACCATAAGTAACAACTTATAGTGACTCGCACTATCGAGGTCAAAATGCGTCGTAAATGCCTCGTCAATGCATAGTGGAGAGACGGCCAGCACTCGGCATTCAGTTCCACGCAAATACCTATAGTGAAAATAATTTTTTAAAAAAAACGCTTCAGCCTCTTGACCAAGACCCATAGTCTCGGAAAAATCTTCGTCACGATGCGCCCCCAGAAGCCTAGCATTACTCAATAGAAAAAGAATCGAAGGCAAAGAAGGAAAAAAATACAGGGGAAATCGGGTGGCTTACAGGTGTTCCGGGTATGTATCGTATCCAGGGTTCGAGACAAACCTACCACAGTTGAAGACGGGAGTGGCTGTCAGTGCCAATCCAGTGCCATCGACCCAGCAGTAACCACTGTAAGGCGTCTTCACTGCAAAGAGAAGTACGACCACGCAAATTTAAGCGAGCATATATTAAACACTGTATTTCGCCCCTGCATATACCGAAAATTGGGGCACGCTAGACATAATATCCCACTAGGAAGAAGAAAGAGGCTGAACACTTTTGACAAAAGCCCCCAAACAACGCCCGGCAATAATACGAATAAGAAAAAGATAGAAAAAAAATAATTACTCGGCCCATATTCGGCCATAGCTCGTATGGTGTGATCACCGAACATCTCTACTATACACGGTCTAGACCGAGTTTCAGCACTGACGAACGGCGCCGAAAACTAGAGAACTCGATCAGATATTCCTCCCGGCTAGGGCATGAGACAGGGCTTGAATTGGTGTTTGGGTGTGGAGAATTGGGTTTGCGTGGGAGGATTGGCAGCATAAGCGCGTGTTTGGATTGTTTAGAGGGAGGTGATCTTTACCATGTCTGTATAGTGTCCAGTAGATCCCGATATGATTGAATTGGGATATTCTGAGTCCCAGTGCTTCGGGAATGGGATCGGAGACAATATCCGTGCATTTGGATGCTATGGAGTCTTTGTGTACTAGATGTGAAGGATCCATTCGATACAATACAACTACCACCTGCAGTCTGAATCTCCTGAACCAGCATGAAGTTGGATCGGGAGTGGATCTCATTGAAGGCTAATTTCGAATCACATACAATTGCCCATGACGGTTTTCTCAATTTGTGGTTCCCGGACGATTTGACGTTTCGGGCCCGTTCCCCTTTCCTTTCTTTTTAAGTGAGAACCGTCTCCCGGGGATTGTTGCGACTTCGATGGACTGAATCCATTGTCAGCGTCATGGCTTCCAGTTCCATTACGCCGGCCCTGCCGCCGCCGCCAGGTCAGGTATCCAACTTTGTTGACCCGCCGTCTGTTGGAAACAAGATAGTGGTGATCAATTGCATTTTCCTGCCATTGGCTGTAATTGCGCTGTTTGTGAGGACGTGGACTCGGGTGTTTATTGTTCGCAGTTTTCGCGCAGACGATTGTAAGTCACATACGGTACCGTGCAGAGTCAAGGAAAGGATTGGGACACTAACATGTTACAGATCTTATGATTGCGGCACTGGTGTGTATTCTTGGGTCTCCGATGAAGGCCATTTACTGATAGATCTGGTCGGCAGCTTTGTTCCTGCGTTCTGACAGCTGTCACACTACACAGTAAGTGACCCCAGTTCTTCTCACCGGTGCCTGGTTAACACAATGTAGTGCTTGATTGGGGTCTTGGGAAGCACATGTGGGATGTGCCCGCTGCATACATATCACCAATGTTCTCCAAGGTTCGCAATGCCAGAGATATCCAACACGACCGCCACGCTGACATGACTAGTTGAACGTCATCGCCGCCATATTCTACTGCGCCGCGACCGGCTTCACGAAATGCTCTGTTCTTATATTCTACCTTCGCATCTTTCCGAGTCGCAACTTTCATATCGCCGTCTGGGCAATTGTCTTCATCGCTGTCGGGTACAGCTTGGCCAGTATTTTAGTCAACATTTTCAGCTGTTCTCCGATTGCCAAAGCTTGGGACTTGAGTATTACAACCGGAAGCTGCATAAACCGACCCGTCTTTTATTTTGCAAATGCTGGGTTGGGAATTTTCACCGACTTTGCAACGGTCGTGGTCCCGATGTATGTGTGTTGAAGGACTAGACCACGAAAGACGCTAATGATTCACCTCAGACCATGGCTGCGCCGATTACAAATGCCCCTGCGACAGAAGATTGCGGTCAGTGCTATTTTGGCCATGGGTTGCTTGTGAGTTGTGTCTGTTTTGGGATATACAACTAGTACTAACGCCTTGACCAGTGTCGGAGTGGTTAGCTCCATTCGGCTGTCATCACTCTATACCCTTCTCACTAGTACCGACCTAACCTGTAAGGGTCTTGCTGCCTTCATTTGTCGCAGATTGCTAATCGAAATAGGGTCAACGACGGACGCCTTGATGTGGTGTACGATCGAATTAAATTTGGGCATCTTCGGTGGATGCGTGTCCGCCATTCGACCCTTCATCCGGCGATACATCCCTCGTCTACTGGGTCTATCGTCATCAGACAATACCTCCAAGTCTCGCAAATATGGCCACCAGCTGGGTTCCCTTCCTCTAAGCGAACGACCAAAGTTTACGGGGCGCAGTCATGGCCAGTATTCTGCGACCCTCACCACACACGGCAACGCTCTTGATAATGACAGTGAAGAGCATATATTATCACCGGGAGCTAGCAGGCAGAAGGACCTGGATGGAATCATCCACACGGTGGAATTTAATGTGGATAATTCTAGTTCACACGCCGGTGAACCTCGGTAAGACCGGATGTAAATATTAGCCATGATTGCATGAACGGGAGGAATAAGTTGTTATTTAATTTTTTTGTTAAACGTGAGACATGAGTTTTTGACTAGATTGTAGTGGGAAGCCCCCTGATACGCCACTTCTTCACACTTCATAACTAGACCCTACTGCACCACATATGTTATACATAGCCATGTACAAACTACATCCACAGGATGAAACCAAAGCTCACAATTGAACCATAATCGACAGGCGACTTTCCCTCTTCGGCCAGAATATCCAAACAGGCGGGCAACATTGATCACAATCATTGCCAAGTGGACACCCCAGCCCGCACTAAGTGGATATAAACCTCCTGAAAAACAATCCATGCACTAAACCCAACCTGAGTCAGGAAAACAAGCTAGCCAAGCTAAACAAACTAGACAAGCAGCACGGCAAAACCATCCGAGCCCGAAGCCACACCACGTGGAAAAGAGAAAGGCAGCCCTGCCGAGAATATAATAACATCAACCGCCCAGAACCACCCCTGTCCCCATCCCCGTTTCCCTCCCTCAACTCAACAGCTCCAGCAGCTCAAAACAGGGGTGTCATAAAAGATGCGCGTAACAACCGCCGTGCTCTCCCTCGTGGCGGCGGCCTCCGGCTCCGCCCTGGCCTCGACATCTGTCCCCGCCGTGCCCGTCACCACGTCCAGTGCGTCGGTGGGCTGCCAGGCTCTGAAAAAGTCCCTGGGCAACGCGCTGTTCTTCAAGAGCACCCCTGTGTATAATTATGAGGCGGCGAACTTCTGGTCGAACACCGAGATCATGGCCCCTGGGTGTGTGTTCCGGCCGCAGAGTAGCCAGCAGCTTGCTGAAGGCATCAAGGCGCTGTCGGGTGCTAATGCTGAGTTTGCGGTTCGGGGTGGTGGACATATGGGTATTCGGGTGGGTGCTTGTTAATTGTTACTTTGGGAGTGTTTTGGCTGACTTGGAATTGTGATGATGTGTAGGGGTCGAACAACATCAATGATGGTGTTTTGATTGTCATGTCTAACTTGACTACTTTGGCGTTGAATGAGGATCAGTCTCTTGTTTCTGTTGGTCCTTCGTACAGGTAAGTCTGGCCGGGGCTCCTGGGATTTGGTGGTCGTGTATTAACTGGATATAGATGGAAGGATGTCTACAGCTACCTAGAGAACTACGACTTGGCTGCTGCTGGTGGTCGTCTCGGTCCTGTCGGTGTGCCTGGATTGTTGCTTGCTGGTGGTGTCAACTTCTACGGCAACCAGGTTGGATTTGGCTGTAACACCGTCGTCAACTATGAGGTAGTTCTGGCCGATGGAACCATTGTCCAGGCCAACAAGACTAGCAACCAGGATCTCTTCTGGGCTTTGAAGGGTGGAAGCAGCAACTTTGGTATTGTCACTCGCTTTGACATGGAGACTATCAAGTCCACTAAGGTCTGGGCTGGTGCTTACACTGTTGAGGCCCAGTACATTGACCAATTCCTGGCTGTATGCATACGCTGCTATTGCACCTCATCTTCAGATACTAATTTACTTGATAGGCCGCGGCTACATACGCCTCGAACATCTACGACACCAAGACTCACATTGTCCCGGCTCTCGTTCCCGGAGAGACTACTCTCGCCTCGGTGATTCTGTTCTACGACAGCGACAACACCACCTACCCCGAAATCTTTAAGCCTTTCACCGACATCCCGGCTATCAGCAACACTCTCGACTTCAAGACCGTGCACGAATTCACCACCGAGCTCGGCGCCATGGTCGTTGACGGCATCAAGTAAGAAACCAACCCATTCTAACCCAAACAAAATTCTGACCCATCGAAATAGCGACGTCTTCGTTGCCGGTACCGTGAAGGGAACAACTTACGATGAGCTCTTCACCGGAATCCGCATCATCAACGAAACCTTCTTCGCCGAGCTCCCCAAGCTCTACGCTCAAATCCCAACAGCCAACATCTCCACCGTCCAACTCGACTGGCAACCCATCGGCGCAAGCTGGATGCAAGCCTCCGAGGCCGCCGGTGGAAACGCTTTTGGTCTTGATTCATCCAAGGTCTACCTCTGCTACGCCGAGGTTGTCGAGTGGATTGGATCTGCGTACGACGACATCGTTGCCGAGTGGGTTGAGAACACAACCTACAAGATCAACAACGCTACCCAAACCGCTGGTCTGTATGATGCTTTCAACTATATGGGTGATGCGGCAGGATTCCAGTCTATTTTCCCGGGCTATGGCGAGGAGAACCACGGAAAGCTGGTTGATATTGCGATGAAGTATGATCCTCATGCTGTTTTCCAGACTCTCATGCCTGGTGGCTTCAAGGTCTATTAGGTTAGATCTTATTCACAAACTAGGAGAATTTGTTAAGATTAATGACATGTCCTAGCTGGGGATGGGCAGAATTTGTATATAGAGCATCTGATGATCATCTAGTAATAGCCAAGCCATGATGATATTCTTTTTGAACTGCATTTCTTTTTACTGTCGTCGAAGGAGATTCTACAGCCCCCTTTTAGCAGCCCCTTCTTAGCAGCCCCTCTTAGCAGCCCCCTCTTGGCGTATATTTGAAGATCGCATGGTGACAGAAATAGAACAGAAAAAGATGTACGACGAACAAGAGAACAACGCTTGCAGCGTAAATAGCGTACACCTATCTGATAACCGACTTATCTGCAATGCAGGGGGCCGAATGCTCAGCCTTGGAAAGCTGGTTGATGCTGACACCAGTGTTGGTACAGTTGTCCATGCAGCTGCACTCTGAGCCGCATAAGGAAATCGTAGCGCAGGACAATGACCATTCATCTAACCTTTTATAGTATCATTGATGCAGACCCACGTCTAGACAGAGAGAAAATTAAGCACCCACGTACCCACACCCAGCCGTTCTTCGAAGGATCCCGTCCTCAGCCTTGTGCTAGTGGCGCTGGGCCCGATCACAAGAAAGAGAAGCCCGTTACCAAGACCGACGGACGCCGAACGGCTCGTAATCCTTTGAGATGATCGTATCAGAATGATCCAGCAGTTAAGCGCTGATGTCGAGGATAATGATGACCCCGGCACTAAAGCCGACGGAGGCCGATCCGGCGAAGATCCTTCAAATTAGTTCACTTTTCGGTCAATGGCCAGGGTCTCGAATGGTTAGTTCTCCCGAAAACTGTCAATCCCGAAACGAGGTAAGCCGAGGTAGATCTTCACAGCGTGCCAATCAGCTTAGCTATCACAAGTAGTATCACGCCAAGGCTATGCATTCATGCATCGTTGTGCGGGAGGACAATATGTTGTATTACAACAATGTGTTTTCTTTGGAATTTAGTGCTCAGGGATTTTACGTATAGCAAACTGTTGCTTTTTCGAACGGTGGGCCTGAACACGCATTCCTTCCAGAATATCTTCGCAGAAGCCTAACAAATGGAGATTCATTCTAGAAGCTCTAAATAACAACTTATCTCTTTTCAATTTTTCAATTAGGCGATAAATCTAGTGGCTTTGTTCAAGGCATTAGCTACTATGCTTATCTTGGGAATATTAGCCCTGATAGAAGTCGTTCCAATGAAAAGCAACAGACTTCTCACTCGCGAGCTGTATAGTACCTGGGCCGGCCCCACGGATTGATTTCCAGGTCAGCATCCTAGAAGATCGCCCCCTCCTTCATGTTCTTAGCGTTCACTTCAAGAGCAGTAAGCCGTGCAATACTTCCAATTTTGGTATCGATCTTGAACGCCTTGGCTTGCTTTGCTGTCCGCCAAGCTGCAATGTCACCTTCTTATCATCAACTTGGGAAAGCATGGTATTAGATGGTAAGTTGAAGCCCAATGACTAAATTATCGAGGACAAGGGTGTGCTACAAGCATGTGGGTGAAGACGGACTACTGCAATGACCCTGGGATTTGCATATATAGCCACGGGGGATGCGTCAAAGGCCAGAAAGAAAAACAGCTCTTTCGAAGCAAGAAGAGCAGCGTTTGATCTTGCCATGCTGGATACCAAGCAAAATGTTCCCGAAGTCCAGCCATTGCGAAAGCGTATTTCTCATGATTTACGATATCGCATTTGGTTTGTCTATCGCAGAATATTCTCCCTGGTCTGGCTTGCAAACATCGCAGTTCTGATTGCCTTCTTTGTGGCTCCAATTGATCGAACATGGCTAACGACCATTGCGTTGATCAATCTGACCATCTCCATCGTTATAAGACAGGACTTTATAATTAATCTGATCTTCACTATCTGCTGCGCTGTCCCCCTTTCCTGGCCATTACCCATTCGCCGTCGACTGGCTCAAGTATATCACCTAGGTGGTATTCACTCCGGGTGTGCAACTGCGACAGTTTGTTGGTTTGCTGGGTCATTTGCCTATAGTATCCGAAATAGGGTACACGGCCATTCCTTGCACATCCCTTCAATAGCAACCATCATCCTCTCCGGGATCGCACTAGCGATGCTCATTGGAATGGTAATCTCTGCCTATCCCACACTACGCAGACTCTACCACGACTCATTTGAAGCCGTCCATCGATTCTTCGGATGGTCCGTACTCCTACTCGTATGGGTGCAAGTGATGCTCACCGTGAGAGACAACAAACCAGCCCATCAGTCACTGGGACAGACCGTTGTTGGCTCTCCAGAGCTATGGCTTCTCATAATAATCACAACTAGCATTGCCACTTCATGGACATTACTGAAAAAGGTACCCGTCGACTCGGAAATCCTATCAGATCACGCATTGCGATTACATTTCCAATATACCAATGCCAAACGCGGAAGCTTCATCCGACTTTCCGAGCGCCCACTCCTCGAATGGCATTCATTTGCAACAATACCCATAGTCGCCAGCGAAGATAAGAAGAGAGGATGCTCGGTGATTGTCTCACGAGCTGGTGATTGGACAAGTCGCCAGATCAGCAAGCCTCCGACTAGAATCTGGGTTCGCGGTATTCCAAGTACGAGCCCTATTTCTTTTTCTTTCCTTAAACAAAAATTCGATGCTAACTCACTTCAGCCATGGGAGTGATGCGAGTAGCATCCCTGTTCCGAAGTGTTGTCTTGATCGGAACGGGGTCTGGCATTGGGCCACTACTTGGACATATCCCGCCCAGTCGAATTAGATTAATATGGTCGACGCCGAATCCTCTGCAGACATTTGGTCAGGGAATCATGGACTCGGTCTATAAAGCTGATCCCGAGGCTGTTGTTTGGAATACACGGGAGAATGGTCGTCCCGATTTGGTTGAGATCGCCTCTCGTGCAATGCAGGAAATTGATGCTGAGGCTTTGGTTATCATTTCGAATGAGACTGTCACACGGTTGGTTGTTGGGGCGATGGAGAGAAAGGGTGTACCTGCTTTTGGGGCTATTTGGGATAGTTAGATTGTTTAGTTGGGATATGTTTGGGATAATTTGGAGCGAAAGGAAATTTTACGTTGGAACTTTGTTCATGGAGGTGTCAATTGATCTTGACTTGACATCTCATCTTTATAAGGCCCATTATCAAGCTATAGGAAGTCTCAAGCCCCATTAAGGGGTTGATGATATGATACACCATCAACTGTGGTTGTCAACGTACCATTTGCCTCGAAAATGTTTTCCATGGCGTTGATAGATAAATGGAATCCACCAGGACCAGTCTTTTTGGTTGCCCTCTGCGCTCCAGCTTGTACGAGATCAGAGTACCATTCCAAATTATTAAGCCAGGGGTCCGACAAGTCCAATGTTACAGTCACCGTCTCATGCCCATTGATGAAATGGATTCCATCATCTGAGTAATTCTTGTACTGCACAGAGACAGTTTTGAAACTGCCGAGCTTTGGATCTTTCACCAAAGTCACATTGGCAAAGCCACTCGACTGGCCATTGAGCATAAAATTGCCTGCGGGCAGAGTCCTCAGCGTGGGCACACTTGCGCCAAGGGGAAATGGAGTGGCCCACGGGATCTGATCGGGGGCAGCAAAGACAGTAGCCTCATCGGTGGGTTTTCTATTCGAGAGACGCGCCAGCATTACCCGGTAAGTTCGGCCCCCTTGGGCCGTGGATACAGGGCAAGGGAGGGGATTCTGGCCTCCACATGCAGGAGAGACAACCAGAGTCTGCCAATACACAATACGAGTGCCATCAGGGGAAAAGGCGGGGTCTGCCCTGCCATTCCAATTGGGATCATTGACGCTGCCATCGTCACCGTCGCCATTGTAGTTAACGTGCTGACCGAAATAGTCGCCACGATCCCCGTGGCGATCAATCAAGATAGGTTGGAAGAAGCGACGGAGACCATTGTTGCGCGTTGATGCAGCTGCAGTTGTGGCGACGATATCAATCAAGGGAGGGACGTGGCGCATTCCCGACATCCACATTTGACGATCTGAGCCTCGAGTGTCCATCGTCACGAACCACTGATCATCGTATGAGAATGAGACCGGGTCTGCGTATTCGGGGTGACTAGTAAGACGGCGGACCACGCCAGTTGTAATGTGGACAGACATGATATCAATGTTGTTCGCTTCGAGTGTGGCTCCAATATACAGGAGTTCATCTCCAGAGCCGCTAAATCCTCGTAGTTCGCCTACGGTGATGGATTTGTCATTGATTTTCAACTCTGAGCCCTCTACTGTGATAGGTAGCTTTCCATTCGGCTGAACCAGCAGGTTGACATCCACTAAATCGTATCGAGGAACGCGAATGGTTCCACTGATAGGATGTGGGTTGAACTGCAATCGTCCATAATAGGAGTGTTGGCCATTGGAAGTAAAGGCGCTCCAGCCCATATGAGTGTCATCGGGGTGCATTCGCATTTCTCGCGGTTGACTGGAGCCATTGACAGATGTGGGCCAGTAAATCGGGTAAATGTGTATTTTGTTCGGTGAACATAGGTCGCTGACCAGTGGTACACCACCACAATCCAGGATATTGTGACCCCAGAGTGCTTGGCGAGCATTGCGGGCGATGTGAGGATAATCCTTGGAGGCATCAACAGATCGTGCATTCTTTGAAGGCACGCCGCAACTTAGACATTTCCAGGGATCCCCGTTGGTGAAATTAGTACCATCTGTTTTGACAAGAATAAGTTGCTCGCCGGTGTAAATGCTGGATTTATCAGGATAATCGGGGGCACCAATAAATTCCACCGTGATAGCGACATGGTTTCCATCGGGTGTAAAATCCCCCGCTTGAAATGTGTCTGAGACTTTGCCAATACAACCAGTGCGGCGGGGGTTGACGGAGGCTGTACAAGCACCCGTGGCATTACTTGGAGCCACAGGTGGTAAAGGAAGCTCAATAACTTCTATGAGCTCTGGCTGAGGAGATGGTGGTATATTTCCCGCCACAGTCAGGGCCGCTGCACCTGTGATAGCAGAGAGGGTCCAACGCATCTTGACGAACAGTGTGCAAACAATGTCGATCGAGTCCACTTGTCAGCAATAATGACTAGGGGGATGAGCGTATTTTATAGCCAGATCCCCGGGTTTCCGGGGAATTGCTCATGATGATCGAGTGGCCAATGCATCACCAATGTAGGCAATGAAGACGAGTACGACATCGTTTCCAGTTCCCAAGGTTGCCTGAGAGGGTTCGTAAATAGAAAAAGCTGCAGGTCGACAGCTATACGCGTACCCGTATTCGTATGGAGGTCCCTTTTTTGGCACATGCCAGGCAATGAGCCAACTGCTGCAGATCAGCTCATGCAAGCCCCAGATTAATTATCCGAGATCGAGATCAACCGAGGAAACATAGATATAGTATCTTTAGTGTGATTTTACCCCAGAGTCCGGCTGTAGTTGTCGTTGGTGTCATGGCACACTGACTGCCACACTGTGTGGGGGAGATAAGGAGCCAACTTGCCGACGTCGGCAAAGTGTCTTGCTTCTCCAAGGCTCATCTCAGTTGCTTGGAAGGTCGTTATATCCAATTGAAGACACATTTAGCTTTTCTCCCTGTCAACATCCCTGTCAATACCCCTGTCAATCTCCCTCAGAATGAACTCGGCAGCTACCCGTCGACGAAAAAGACGAGTTGCCGACGAGAATCGGAAAAGGGCCCCGCGAGCGTATGCAGCTTCAAGCATCGGCAATTTAGGTATCCACTAACTTTGCTACCCCAGATGCGATCGCTGCAAGGCCCGAAAAAGTAAATGTGTGGAGTCAACCCCTGGAACGTGTCAGCGATGCTCTTCACGCGATTTGACTTGCAAGTTTGAAAGGTACGATTGAAGGAAGCAGGGAGAGAAGGAGTACATCCGTTGAACTATTGCACAGGGAGAGATCTGTTCCACTTGATGGGCAGTTTCTATCTGCAGCCGATGAGTCAATTCAACATGGCGTATCTGCCTCGCCAAATGAGATACTTCGCTCTGGCGATTCCATGAATCCCCACGATCTACTCTCACCATCCTCGGTCCTGTCTCAGAGACTCGCCGACCAAGTTATAGCATGCCAATCTAAGAGAGCTCCATGGCCAAACATCTTATCTCGTCTTCGAGAGGCCTTCTCGTTAGATGGACATGCAATCCCAGAAGAAAAGGACATGATCGCAATGCATGCTGTAAGTGAATTGTCCATTCTCGACCACTTCATGAGTGTAGATATGCTGACTCTAGGAAGCATATAACTGGCCCCAAACCACTTCATCCGTCTGAACTGGCACGGTTGCGTACAGCGATAGACGCCTTTCCGCCACGCCCGATAGCCGACTTTCTATTGGTTGTCGTCCTGAAGCATGCGACAGATACTTTCTTTTATTTCGACCAAGATCAAATGTTGGGCGAGATTGCCCAATTTTATCAAGACTCCAACTCACCTCTCAGGTCCGACATAACATTTGTCTGCCTTGCAATGGCAGCATTCGCCCTTGGAAGTCAGTGGGCACCCCTCGAGAGACCAGACGAATCGGTTATCAGTCTCCATCGTGACCCTGATAATATGGGTCGATTCTTCTATAACCATGCAAAGGCTCTCATTCCAGACACAATTGACCGCCCATGTCTCCGATCTATCCAAGCGCCCTTCCTGCTGGGTGTATATTTAATGCCGGCGAGCGCGATTGGCTCATCATACATCTACATGGGGCTGGCACTACGCAAAGCGCTAGCATTTGATCTTCATATCGACGCAGACGGTCAAACTATCACCACACGGGAGAGAGAGGTCCGCCGTCGGCTATGGTGGTCGATATATTCTCTTGAAAGGTTAGGAGCACACTGTTTACTAGGCTAGATTGAACACCTAGCTAATCACCATTAGGTGCACCACTGTCAAACTCAACAAGCCTCGTTCTGTCAATGTCGAGATCATTAAAGCCCCTCACCCGTCACCTTTGCCGGCACTCGATCGCTTACAAAAATATGACAATATTCAATTTCAAATGGCGTACACTCGTTTGATGAAAATATTGGATCAAATAGCCGAGCCTAGGTATGCTGCATCATTCAATTAAATTCTACCTCTGCTAACACTGGTTTGTAGAAGCCTGCCAGACGAAGCAGCAGAACAGTCACGCGCTGAACGTTGGGAATCGGATCTTAGAGAGTGGAAGAAATCACTACCATCGGACTTCAAGATGGATGCTATGCACCCGAAAGACTCAAGATTCCGCACGATCTTCCACCTTTATCTCAACTATCACTATGCATGGATCACAATGGGTAAAGTGGCACTCGTGACCGTTGCCAGAACAGGTCTTCGTAGTCACTTACAGCCCTGGTCAAAACCACCCGAACAAAGTGACTTCATTATAAAACAATCTCGATCCTGCGCAAAGGCAGCCAGAAAGCTACTTGTCCTATTCGAACATCTCGCAAGTACCGGCAATACCACCCGTTTCTCGTTCACGGATTTCCAAGGATGCAGCATTGCAACTATCGTCACACTAGTAGCCGGGATCATGGAACGCGACTCAGGGTATGAAGCTCGCGTGACATTTGGCCTTGATTGTCTGCGCAAGATGGCAACAGGAAATATCACAGCTAAAATGGGCGTGAAGTTCGTGGAGGCCGTGCAGTCTATCACAAACGAGGCTGCAGCTAGGATCCATCAAGAATCATTAATTTCTACAAATGCTACACAGGATGTGCAAGCCTCAGATACCACATCTGCGTATAACCGTTGGGCTACATGGCTTACCGAAATGGAATGCTCTCAAACAGAGGAACACACCCTTCATCCAGAAAGAGGCAGCGAGGGAAATCGTGATGTTCCATACTCGGAGACATTTTCGTCGCAGATTGAACAATCAAATGATCTGGATATTCCCGGCTGGAGGGCCGAAAATGATTCTGTCCCAGAACACTTGCTTGATTCTCAAGATATCCCACAGGGATCGACAATAGCGTGGGGACTACAGTCTACAGATGATGATTTCTTAGCGGCTCTACAAAATGATGACCCAGCGTTCCTGATGGGTCTGACCGGGCTTGATCTTTTGAATTTCTCCGGCCTGACATGAGCCATGCAGCCTTTTTCTGCATCAGTTAAGTATAAAAAGCATATCCAAATGCCCGAAAGTGAAAACATGCAACGCCTGATGTTAAAATCATTGAACCCGAATAGGAATCTGACTATCTTCCAGCAGGGCATTCCACCTGCTCTTGTAAACACGTCCATCCTTCATAACTCCGAGAACGTGTTCCTCAGGTCTATCAAAAACCGTAACATCCTCTAAGGGATTCTTATTTAAAACCACAATATCAGCATGGAAGCCCTCCTTGATCTGGCCAATAGCATCCTCCCACCCCATCATCTTCGCCGGGTTGATAGTAGCACTGCGCAAGATCTCAATAGGAGTCAGAACCTGCGACCGCAAAGCAAACTCATGAGTCTGAGCAGAGCCCAACGGTCCCAGCAAATCAGACCCATAGCACATGGTTACACCTGCCTCCGAAGCGACACGCAAAGCATCAAGCCCAGATTTCAGCACGATCTGATTCTTCGCTTGAGATTCAATAGGAAGATAATGTTTCCACTTCTCCGAAGCCATCTGAGCATACGCAATAAGCGTAGGCGTCAAATAGATGCCCTTCTCCGCCATGATCTTCGCAGTAGGCGGGTCAACAAAGTTGCCATGCTCGATTCCCCGAACACCATTATCAATACAGTGCCGAATAGCCTTGACCGTGTACGCATGAGCCGTGACGAAAGTTCCCGCATTATCAGCGCACTCCACCATAGCCTGGATCTCAGCCGCGGTAAACTGGAGATGCTCCAGCTTATCCGTGGGAGACGCCACGCCACCGGAGCCCATGATCTTGATGAAATCCGCGCCGCAACGGATCTCTTCACGGACAGCAGACATGCATTCCGGCACGCCGTTGCACATCCGACCCAGATGGTTGTTGCTATGAGTACCGCCGCAGCAGCCGGTAGCTTCATGCGATCCACGCAGATCGCCATGGCCTCCAAACTGGGACAAGGCATGGCCAGATAGGAAGAGGCGGGGTCCGGGGAAGACGCCGTCCTCGATAGCTTCTTTCAGGGCGAGTTGGGCACCGCCACAATCGCGGATGCTGGTGAAGCCGCGGTGCAGCATCTGCGATGCGGTGTACGGCTGCCGGAGAAGATGGACATCATTTGGGTTTCCGAATGCTTTGGATAGATCTGTGAAGCCGGGCACTGCGCATAGGTGGACGTGCGCGTCGAAGAGCCCCGGACAGAGATATTTACCTTGGCAGTCCACTGTTTGGAGGTCGGCTGATAGTATAGACTCGGGTGGATTGGAGCCGACAAAGGCTATTTTGCCTTCGACTGTTACTAATGTTGAGTTCTCTTTGATTGTGGCGGAGTGGACGTCCACGATGTTGGCATTGGTGAACTTGTATCCCTTTGGTGCGGGGCGGGTCCATGGCTTGATGTCGGACCCGGGGAGGTTGGCTTGAGACATTGTAGAGAGATTGAAAGATAGTTCTTGTGATTCGATATCCAGACACGATATGAGTCTTAAGTAAAGATAAAGTGGGATGCGGCAAAATGGCCATGGGCAGATACCCGACGCCATCGGGCCGACGCCTGTTTATCTCCGCATCAAAGGCAGATCTTCCGGCGTCGATAAGCCGAGTTGCTTTAAATATGGGGAGTCCGGGGTTGCCATACGTGATGCACGTCTTCCTTGTCTATAATCGAGAGGTGTGAAGCATCCCTTGCTTCGCTGACGCAGAAGGTTTAAGCACCCTCTACCAGTGATTACAATTAACGACCGCCATCCTTCTTGATGGAAATGTCAAAAGAGCGCGCTGGTAGCAGCGATAATGCTGATCGGACGGATGGCGAGATTCTCGAGCTGAGCGGTGGCTATACGCTGGAGGAAGAGAAGGCGGTCCTGCGAAAGATTGACATGGTCATCCTTCCTTTTGTAAGTAATATACACCACAACGCAGCCATGACTCACAGCTGGCTAACAATTCATACACTTAGATGTGTTTCGTCTTTTTCCTACAATACCTCGACAAGCAGAGCCTCAGCTATGCCGGCGTGTTCGGCCTCATCGACGATCTCAACATGACGAGCTCGCAGTACTCCTGGTCTAGCTCGATCTTCTACGTTGGTCAACTGGTTTCTGAGTATCCGTTCATCTACTTGATGAGTCGACTTCCATTGACCAAATTTGTCGGTGCCACTGTGTAGGTTTATCAAAGGAGCTATCCATCCTGTTTGTCCCCATGACCCTTGTTCAAAGTTCTAACATCTATATCCAGAATTGTCTGGGGCATCATCTGTATGTGTCTCGCGGCTCCGACCAATTTTGCAGGATTCGCCGCCGTTCGATTCCTCCTTGGTTTCAGCGAAGGTGCCGTATCGCCTGCCTTCGTCACAATCACAAGTATTTGGTATCGGAAAAAAGAACACAACGTCCGGACAGCATTATGGATTTCAATGAATGGCCTAGCCCAAGTAATTGGCTGCTTCCTCATGTACGGCATTGGCAAGAACACCTCACTTTCTATCGCGCCCTGGCGTGTTCTATTCATCATATGCGGCGGGATTACCGTTCTTGCGGGTATTGGATTCTTCATACTTATGCCCAACGGACCCAAAGACGCATGGTTCCTTAACGATCGCGAGAGAGAGGTTCTTTCTCTGCGTATGGCAGAAGATCGGGAGGGTGGTGACAAAACCTCCTTCTCCATGCTGCAACTCAAAGAGACGCTCATGGACCCCAAGGCGTGGGTCGTCTTTTGGTTTGGAGTTTTGGTCTGTATGCAATCGCCTGTCTTGACTTTTGCATCACTGGTGATCAAGTCTATCGGTTATAGCAAGCTTGAGACCATGCTGTACACGGCCCCGTCGGGAGCTGTGCAGATTGCTTTGTTGTGGATCGGCGCAGGCCTCGTATACATTTTCCCGCATCAGCGGTCACTTGTAGTCCTCGTTCTGATTATTCCGCCTCTGATTGGAACCATTTTCCTCATGAAGTTGGATGTTGCCGCGCAATGGGGTCTGATTGTCGCTTCGTGGCTGGTATGTTATTTTTGTGCTTTGGTTTTCTCGAACGGAGCTGTTACTAACCTCTGTAGGCATCTTGCATTACCGCGTCGATGACGATTCTTCTTTCACTGGCAGCTTCAAATTTCAAAGGAAACACAAAACGCGCCATTGTCAACGGCATGTTTTTCATCGGTTATTGCGCAGGCTGTATTGCCTCGCCACAGCTGTGGACGCACAGCCCCCGTTATACTTCTGGTGTCATTACATCAATTGTGACATGGTGTCTTCTATTTTGCGTAGTCATTATTTTCCGCTTCCTATGCGTTTGGGATAATCAAAAGCGTGACCAGCAAGCGGCGAACTCGCGCTCGCTGAGTGTTGACCAGCATGTTGCATTAGATGAGAATGGTCTTCCTCGGACTGATCTCACGGATAAGCAGGATCGAGAGTTCCGCTATGTGTGGTAAGTAACGGGAAATGGCAGTTCAAGAATGCGATTTTTGTAATTATATGTGTTCTAGAACTATTTATACATCACTATATTTCAAAAGTCACGATAGTATAGAGAGTCCGGTCAAACATGCTATACTTCGCATAATAGGCCACCAAGAGTCGGTAAGAGGTTGCCCGCCATTCTGGTCAAATCCGCGCAGTCGCGAAACCCACAGTGCTATCGGCAACATTATGGTCAATGTAATGGCCGTGGAAAAATGCTAAATCCGCGCATTAGCTATCGGTCCTCTCGCAGGAGGTGTTTCGATCAAATACTCACGTTGTCCAATTACCCACAGTCCAGGGTAAGTGATCTCACTTGTGCCGGAGATAATAGCTGTGCAGTTATTATTCCCATTGTCTTCAGCGACCCATTGGTCCCGTGCGATATTGAAAATAGAACTCTTGTGGCTGACTAGCTTCGAGTCCGCCTTTGCTGCAGCAGTAGCATTGGACAAAGATGGAATGCTAATTCCGAAATTCGGGGGCTGGTCGCAAGGGAAATATCCATTGACAGTGGTGACATCTCCCGACTTGTGGATGAAGTACTGTATCTTCAGTTCTTCGAATACGGAAACCACTTCACCAGGGGGACTAGCAAGATGTGAGCTCCAATATTTTTTGTCAAACGAGTACAAGAGGACACTCACGCAATAATAGTACCTGTTCCGGTGTCCAGCTCAACCAGTACATCTTTCTTGAACGGCTTTCCATTGAATGCAAGATCGGCAAATATGACCCATTCCTGAACAATGGAAGTAGTAGTGAGCTCCCCTTGGAAAAGGGACTTGTCAAGTCTACCTAGCACCTGGGTACCTCGATTGCAGCCTAATGTGATACCGAAACGACACTCAGGCACTTTGCGTTGGTTACAAAGGGACTGGAAGAACGGAGTAGCCCCGTGAAAGGCGGAAACCTCTTCGCCTGCAAATCCAATAATTCCATCAGCTGGGATCAGGTTGGATCCGTCTGCTTGTGGATCAGCCACTCCAATTGTCTGGCGCGCGCTCAGCGAGCCAAACTTGACTGTGTCGTTGTAAAGCCGGCCAGTCACCTTGAGAAATGGAATATCATGAGTGAGATTTCTTAGGTTGAATGGAATCAATACTTACTACCCCCGTTCCAGATCCATCACTGTTAGTTGAGCCGTAGTGGTTCTCAAATGTTTGATTGGTATCAACAGCATGGGGCCCTTTCTTGTATAATCCAGAGTTGAGGATCACATCAGCCGAGCCAGTATCAATCAATAATGTTAAATTCTTCGTTCTTCCGACATCGAAAGACCCGAACCAGAAGTTCTGCTTGGCGTGAGCACTGGGATTCTCAATATCTGACTAGGAGCTTACATTGGACCCATAGACCGTTTCGATGCCATGCTTGGGTTTGAAGCCCGACTCTGTACGAGGCACCAAATCAATATGAGAAGGAATTTGCAATGGCGAAGCCAAAGCAAGTAGGCTCGGACTCAGGGCAAGAAGTAGCGACTTTGCCAGCATATTGAAAGACGAATTATGTTGTTTGATGAGGATCGTGAAAAGAGTGAGCGACTACCATACCTTTATACAGGAGCAGTGTATACTGCCAAGAATCCAAGCCTCATCATATCCTTCGTTTAGCCTCAATGTCTTCACATTTTGGCCCCCATTCCCAAGGCTGAAGTCCAAACCTGATCGAGTCATTGGTTCGTTCGTATAACAAGCCCAATTCGGACACTGCCAATTTCTGCAAGGGCATGATCGGCACAAAAGATTTAAAGGTGCCGTCAAGGTTAGAGCTATATCAAGCTTCGTTTGTTTTCTTTTTTGCCGAACAGAAACGCCAGTCATCGCTTCTCGCTCGTATGCGCTAAGCGAACACGGATTAGCGCCAGTAAGCAGAGCATCAACCATCGGGGCTGTGTTTCCCTTTTCTCTCCTTGCGGCTCCAGTCCTCAATGTTCCATAGTGGAATCTTTTTAAGCCTCCAAAAGTTATTTCCACTTTGGCATGGCTGGCTCCAATCGTCGGGTCTCCCGGGGAAGATCCCGGGATGGCTGCACTACGTGCAAGTATGTTCTGCATTGGGCATTAGTGAATATTTGAACAGACTTCGTGGCTTCATTATCGTTACTAAGATGAGTGATTCTAGGATTCGAAGAGTTAAATGCGATGAACAAACTCCCGTCTGCCACAAATGCAAATCTACGGGTCGGAAATGCGAATACGTGACCGATTCACAAAAGCCTAGTTCGACCGACCTTCAAGTCATACATCATATACCGGGAATTCTCCAACCCACTCGCTTGTGGAAGGTCCCTCAGTCGCCAGAGCTCATGCATGAAGCCGAATACCGCTCGTTGGAATTCTTTCAACTCCACACTTCACTCTGCTTCGGAAAGGGTATCGGGTCATACATCCTACAGGCAGCGTACCACGAACCAATAATCCGGACTATTGCAGTAGCAATTGGCGCGCTTCACAATTCCTTTGTCTTCCATGACAAAGGAACAGCAAGTAGTCGTGGAGACACAAGCTTCACCTTACTGCACTATAATAAAGCTATTCGCCAGTTGATTGCCATGAACCCCCAAACCACACCCCAGACGAATGACACGTTCCTGGTTGCTTGCATATTATTTTTCTGCTTTGAATGTCTTCAAGGCAATTACCGGTTAGCCATCCAACATGCGATATCCGGTCTCAAGATCATTAAACAACATCAGAGCCTAGCAACAACGCACATTGCCCCAAGATACATACCTCAAGAATCAGTCACTCTGCTGTTTGCGATATTGGAGAACCAAATGCTGGAGATAGAAGGCCAAACACCTTTGTCTTCAGACTTGCGTCCAGAAGTTCTTTCCCCGCCCAAGCCGTCTGTCTCCAATACTTATCACCTTCCATCTTCCACGGATGAGATGCGAGCACACTTTGAATTTCTCTACAACCGATTTCTTCGCTTTCAATATGTATGTGAGATGCTGGAAGATTCAACCGAGGAACGGGCATTTGAGTTTCTTGCCCAGGCCCATGAAATCCAGAGGGAATATCTGCTTGTGCGGGTGGAATTGGAAGCATGGATTCGCACCTTTGATACATGGATTAAGACCGTCGGAACAAAGCCTCCCGAGGAAGCAAACATGATCACAATACTGCAAGTCTGGAGATTGATCATGTCCCTTTTCCTCAAGTTGGGTTGGCCTCCTTCTGAAGCCTCATGGGATAATCATACCGATCATTTCTCTCAGATCAATTCACTTTTGTCTGATCTACTTGGCCTACCAACGACTCCCGATAAGTTAAATCTCAAATCATTCACTGGAAATGGAACATCAATGCCGAGCGATTCCTCCACTTCCTCCCTTTCTGTTTTCCCACCTCTTCTACCGAAGCCTTCGAGAGTCTTGCCATCTACGTTCTCTTTGTCGCTTGGGATTGTGACACCATTGTATCTCTGCGCAACACGCTGCCGCGAATCATATGTTCGACATCGCGCTATCGATTTAATGCTTTCTTGTCAACGAAGAGAGGGATTGTGGGATGCCGAGCTTGCAGGGCGCGTTGCGAAACGAGTGGTGCAAATCGAGGAAAATGCAGCTGGCATAGAGCCTGGTGCTGATTATACTCCTATTGATATAGATTATGATGCTCGAGTTAGATCGCTTTCTCCGCAGTATAGCCAAGGACGGGAAATGAGGATAAGATATCATAAGCAGGGCGGAGGTAGTGAGCTCGTTGAGGAAATTGTCACCTGGTGAATTCGAGTCTTCGTTCATGATAGAGTCAGATCAAATATCATTGAATACTATTGCATTGAACAGGCAATCGCAAAGACATTTAGTAGAGAAGTATACGGAGGATCTCGGACCAAATCCCGAGCGGGGAAAATAGCACGACACTCTTTACCTTCTTATGCTTGTCTGCGGTGTTTTTGGTATAGAATCGTCCAAACAATCTGTTTCTTTGCAACTGAGTACTCCCTCCAAGATGCCTGACCAACTCAACTTGTCGCCCACTCTTGATCATATTGTCATCCTCGTGTCACACGATACACTCTCGAGCTTACCCGACCAGCTCAAAAACATATTAATCGTTGCCCCTGGCGGCAACCACGCCGATGGACTCACATCCAACAAGCTAGTGCTCTTCAAGGACGGGGTATACATAGAGTTCATCGCATTTTTCAACCACGTCGATGCCAAGCAACGCAGCAAGCATCGATGGGGAAACCTCAAAGAAGGCACCGTCATCGATTGGGCCTTCACAGCTCCACATGGTGTAGATTTTGCATCCATCAGACAGCGAGTTCTGAACGGCGACACGGGCTTCATGTACGAAGAGCCAGCGCATTGGGGTCGGAAAAGAGCCGACGGAGTGATGCTTGAATGGACGCTTAGCGCGGCTAGAGGCACGAGTGAAGATGTCATCTCGCCAGGCTGGCTACCCTTTTGGGTCTTTGATATAACTCCTAGGAATCTACGTGTTCCCTATGCCGTGGAACCTGCCATGACTGAGCACCCATCCGGTGTGAACGGGATCTCGTCGCTGTCAATACTGGTTCCTGAACAAGTCCTGTCGAGTCTTGTGAAGACGTATGCAGCGATATATGGTGAAAATATACCAGCTGTTGAGGGTGCAGAGTGGGGATACGAGGTTCCTGCTGGATCAAACGCTGGAAGACAGACAATCTCTTTGTTGAAAGGCTCACCAATTCCTGAGGTGACCATCAAAATGGCGTTTAAGGGTCTCAATCGTGGCTCAGTCGAGCTCCTACCTGGACTTATTGTGGAAATTGAATAGGGTTGCTTTGAAAATCAGAAAAAACAGTTTCTCAAACTCGATGATCAAATCTACTGCTGGACTGGTGGTATTCTGTGTGCCGTGGCGAAGTATCGTAATAGAGTGCCGTAAATAAATCTAACTGGCTAAAGTAATATGAAGCTTATTTTGCGGTTTAAAAGGCATCAGTATAAAAGTTTAGCCTCATGGCATAAGTAAAATTGTATTTGCAAAATACCTAGCGACGTCGTTTCACTCCTTCTTGTCCATATTAGTCCATCTGGTCCTCAAATCATGAGCTACTGCCTTTGGCTTGCGATCACGAGTGAAAACACCCTTCTTGTTACCATCGACTCGGAAGATACCCAAACTAGTCTGGAAATCCGCAAAATTCCAAACATGCTCGCCTGCCATCCCCTCAATACGATCGAAAACCCGATGGTACATGTCCAACATTTGAACCTGGAACTCTTCACTCCAAGGCAGTGCAAGAACAGAGTGAAGACCGGCAAGGGTATCAGCTCCATATTCAGTCATGATGATTGGCCTATCAAACTTCTCTTGCCACCCACGAAGCTCTTTCTCAAGAGCGACCTCAGCTTCCGCGAGGTCTCCTGTCTCAGAGTACCACCCGAAATAGCGGTTGATGCAGGTAACATCGAACAGATCTGCAATCTGATCTAGTTCAAAAGTTGCACCACCGACATTAGCAAAGGTGATAGGCCGAGTAGGATCAAGCTGACGAGTCAAATTGGCCAGCGGCTTGAAGTATTCGCGGGCTCCATCCTCTGAAGAGGCAGGCTCATTGGCGATGGACCACATGACAACACTAGGATGATTCTTGTCGCGGGCAATGAGCTCACGAATTGCCTGCTTGTGTGACTCTCGGGTTTTATTGTTGATTCCTTTCGGCGAGAAGGTGGTGCTATCGCCAGATGAACCCAGTAAGCCGAGGTTCAGTCCCACAGCAGGTGTTTCGTCAATCACAACAATCCCATTTCTATCTGCAAAGTCCATCACCTCTTCCGCGTAAGGGTAGTGTGAGGTCCGGAAAGAGTTTGCTCCAATCCAGTTCATGAGTTGGAAGTCGTGAACCATGTATGCTTGATCGTGTCCTTTTCCACGGATTGAAGAGTCTTCATGTCTGCCAAATCCTCTGAAATAGAAAGGTTTGCCATTAATCAAGAATTTCGACCCTTCGACTTTGATGGTGCGGATTCCAGTGGCCAAATCGTAGGTGTCGATTATATTATTGTCAGACCCCACGATGTCGACCTTGAATTGGTAGAGATACGCGGCACCGGGTTGCCAAAGCTTGACTGACGGAATCGTGACAGTTCCCTGAGCTCCGGAGGAATTCGCAACAAGGGCCCCATCCTCATCCATGACGGAGATCTGAACTTGGCCCGTAGTCTGATTCGCCAACTCAACCTTGTAGTTGATCAGACCATTATCACCATCAACATCCGTTACCACAGTGATATCCTGGATATGTTCCTGGGGCACCGAATAAAGCCAAATCGACCGGGCCAAACCAGCGTAGTTGTAAAAGTCATGGTGATATGTCTGAATCCTCCGGCCAGTTCCCTCTCCAACTGTGATTTCTCCCGGCGGAATTGTTTCACGAGTGAGCTCGTTGTTGACACCAATTGTCAAGCGGAATTTCTCTCCAGCCGCCACGAGCTCAGTGATATCAGCTTCGAAAGGTGTATAGCCACCAACATGTTCAGCAACAAGGTGGTCATTCACATACACACGACCATGGTGCGTGGCAGACTCGGCTCGAACGAGATATCGTTCCTGAGACCAGCCTTTGGGTACAATGACCTCACGTTGATAGTACACCCATCCCACATGGTCATGGATCTCCCGATTGACGAAGATATCGTTATAAGAGGCCGGGACAGGGCACTCGAGACCTTTAGGCAAGGGTGCAGTCCACGGCTGGGCCGTATCATTGGGGCCGGAGGCGAGGGCGAATTTCCAGAGGCCATCCAAGTTCACAAGATCTCGGGATAGCGTTCGTTGGGGTCTGATTTTGATCGGCGGATGTTCAGGTTGAGTCACTTCATTGCGTGAAGTGTGACTGGCTGCGGGTATGCCCAGCGAAGGGACAGCGAGAGATAGTAACGAAAAGGGTGTCAGGAGCCTCATGGCTGTGTTTCTTTTGAGAAATACAGCAGAGCTACCGTTTGTTTAGTGAAATGCGCCGATCTGATAAAGATACTATAGCCAGCTGCATTCGAAGCATTTATATACTTCGCGAGACGAGACATCGGCAACTGATTTATTGTACACCGGTGAATGATGAGCTTGGCACATTGGTAGGGCGTTCGTACATGTGGTAAGATATGGGGTAAACATGGGGTAAACATGGGGTACATTGGCTGGCAACGTAGATTCAGGGCTATTGAGATGTGCCAAGATGCCAAGGCCGGGGTCAGAGCCATGCATTACTGTATGAATACATCATTGTCGGCATATATGCTCTCTGTCAACCTGTTCGGTAATTATCTTGATAGTCCCCCGCTCCGGCTATTGAATGCCTTGGCAACGGAGCGGGCTGTGGGGTAGGTGAGCTCTAATCCTTGTGTTAAGTATACCCGTATCAAGCGGGAAACCTTAATTCACTTTGATGATTTAGGGTAAGTTCTGTTGTTTTCGGCTTTTGCAAAAAGCAACACCTTGACGAGCGGGGATCGAAGGAAAGTGAATCAACAGACGGGAAATTTCTCAAAGATATGATTCTGAGGCCAGGAAACAAAGCCCCAAAGTCAACTTCTCTTGGAAATGAAGATTCATGAGATCTTTATATACCAACATTATCACAAATAGATCTGAAGGCTGCAACTTGTATTCCAATCTATTCAAGGGGTGCGCCTCTACATACCCTTTCATGAAAACAGATACCTCGGGGTAGTGTATTTGAATGCAAGCACTCAGTTCCCCTCTTTTTCCTCACCTCAGTCCTTTCGCTAATATACTCAGATTATCACTTTTTTCTTCTCTCCTGTTCCTTCAAAGAGAAACCGATCAGGCATTCCAGGTTCGGTGTGAGCAACCCGTGATCCAAGAACACCTGAACTATCCTCTTTCTTCCCTTTCTCCCTTTTCCAATCGTTGATCTTGTGTTCATCTTGAAAATTTCTCTTACTCGCTTGTCTTTGACAAAAATAAAGATCATTCATCTCACTTAGTCACAATACCTCAACCCTCTCTAGAGATCGGACAACAACTGGAATGGTGACTGCGGCGTCCATGGTGGGAGTGAGGACTGTTGTCATGATGCTTGCAGGGATCAGTGCCAGCAGCGAATACAGGGCCATCGGATGTTTCAGCAGAGGTGGACAAGTGGATAAGCGGTCGAGGGTGAATGCTAGATGTGAGCGGGAATTACCGGTCAATATATCACCACTATTTCCAATGTCGGGTGTTTGGCTGATTAAGCTGACAGGCACCGATTACGCCATAAATGCCCATTGGCAGACGATTCAGATTCTGAGCTTCTGTGGCCTCGATTTCTTCGACGTGCCCCACTTATACTTCCTCCATACGCCACAGCCTTAAGCCGTACAGGACACGGATGGTTTTGTGAGAGCCTAGTGTTGATACTTAAACGCGGCCCGTCCTCAGGAACTCTCCGACACGTCTTCTTCTGCCTATATCCAGTTTTGTCTCTTTTCGAATCAAGTTCCAATTCTCCTTCTTCCCTTTCTCCAGACTTCCTTCCAAAAGCCTATCATTGTTTATATCAATTCCAGGAAAAATAACCATGCCACCTACACCTGGCCGCATTTCCTCTATTCTCCGCCTTTGGGGCATGATATGGTTCTCTATCTGCCGTACGTTGTCAATGTCATCCCCGCTACCAAACCCCGAACCCCACAACTAAAAGTTGCTCTCCCACAGTGCACTGGGAAGCTCTGATAAACGCGATCCGTCAAAATGGACTCGCAACTCTTGCCCACCCACAACGAATCCGAGATGCCGCTTCAGCAAAATTATTCAGCGTAACCTGTAATACAGCTCTCTCCATGATTTACACTTAATCAACTTGCACAGAGAGGACTAACCACAATGCACAGCTGATGGTTTCATCGCTTACGAAGACACAACCGCTGTTCCGTCGCTCGTGAAAGCCGCTAGCGGCGTGGTTCTCGAATTGGGGCCTGGGCCAGGCAATCAAATCCATCGTTTTGATCCCTCCCTTGTCGACCAAATCTACGGCATCGAACCTAATCCGCATTTCAAGGATGTCATAGATGCCAAGTTGGACAAACATAACCTGCGGGATAGGTATAAGCTCATAGTCTGTGGCATTGAAGACAGCGATATTCTAAGAAAAGAGGGGATCACGGAGGGGAGCTTGGATGCCGTGTTGTGCATTCAGGTTCTATGTGCCGTGCAGGATCCAAAGAACGTGATGAAGGAGGTGTGGAAATTGTTGAAGCCCGGAGGCAAATTTATTTTTTGGGAACATGGATGGAGTAGGGATCGTTTGACGACTGTAGCTCAAGGTATGTGTGTTTCTGTCCAAGTTTCGCATGCTCTACATGTACTTTCCGGGTTTGCGGGGAGCCATTAACGTGCGATGAAGACCGGCTAACATGGAGAACAAATTTAGCGTGTTGCAATCCTGCCTGGAGTACATTTGTTGGGTGTAATCTGACACGTAATGTGTTGACAGACATTCTGAATGGTGGAGAGTGGGAAACTCCATATGAGATCGAAGAACTGAAGGAACCATTCAGTTTGATGCCGAGAATTCAGGGTGTGCTCGTCAAGAAGAAGGTTTAAACCCTCAGATAGAGCTGATTTGGAGAAGAGGCAGAATAGTCTCACGGATTTATTTTCGATGAGAAGGCAAGTTCGCAGATCATGGCAGTCCGGCTCCTACTATGTCTTTCCAGTATAAAGAGGACAGCAACGAGAACCACCGAGATTCAACGAGCTTCACTTATACAATGTACTAGGCAATATATCGTACCCTCTGAGATATCTATCATTTCGTAATAATTTCAGTAGGGGGCAGGTGTCTAAGCATAATTCCTAGGCATTCTAGCTTACGAGAAGCTCCAAGTTTTATATGAGGACTGTATCAATTTGATCTTATCGAGGCTTCAGACAAAATAGAACTACCCAGTGTCGAGCGCTTTGTCTTTTACCGAGACATGCCCTCCTTATTTATGAAAGCAACAGAAGCAATCCACAAGTACATGCAAGAGCAAGCCCAAGAAGCTTCAGTCAAGCTGCGCTGACCGGAACTGCTTTAGCAGCTGTCGGTGTGACCGTCACCTCCGTTCTTGCACTGATATCCGCACTTCTCGATAACCTTGATCTCTCCGTTCGAGCCACCGAGGCAGTCGAACAAGGCGTTGTCCCTGGTCACGCCGGGGAATGCACCCTGGGCCTCTGCAACCGCATTCCGGATCTGGGTGTCGTAGTTGCCTTTGTACTGAGTTAGTAATTTGTCTTCTTGTAGCTCAGATTATGCAATTTGCTTCACTGACCTCTGCTAAGAAGAGCCGAGGAACAATAGTTGAACTGGGTCTGACAGTTCTTGGCCGCACCGAGAGAGGCAAAGACAGCCACGGAGGCAATGGAGAGGATGCTGAGGTTGACCATTTTGGCGGTAAGAAGAGTTTCTTGGTAGAGAAAGGTTTGTGTTTGAAATTGGGAAGTGATTGAGATGATTGAGATGATTGAAAGATGATTCTGAGAGCTGATGGGAAGCCACTCTTTATAGCCAATTTCTTGTACAAAGTGGACCTACTTATTCAGCTGAGTCTTTTCATTAAATAGCGCATCATGCAAGCCCGCCAGTCCACGACCTGTCGTAGGAAAGGCCAACAAGGTCGCTGGACGTTGAGGCATCCGCATAGTCACCGCAACTGCGGGTACCTGGGCAGAGAGTATCCAAGACTCGCCAAGATTGGTCCTTTGGGGCACTGCATTGCGGCTGGAACTATTCCACTTCCGGCGCGTGATGCGACTGCGAATCAGTTCTTGGTAATTGGACCATTTCATGCAGCTAATGAATCGGCCCCCAAGCTTCCCCGCAACTAGCGTGTCCCTGCATTCACATTTCAGCCATCGAATGGACCCCTCTGGTTTTACGGCGTCCAGCGTGCTTACAGACTCAAAGTTGAGTTTGGGCTTCGTATTCTAAGCAGGGAGGGAGTTCATAGAAGTTCATTTGGTTGAATAACGCGGGTATTTTGATTTGGTTAAATCCAATGATTCAGATTTTTTTTTTCTTAATCATTTCAATTGCTAGACAAGAGTACAACGATGATATTAACCCAACCACACAGTTCCACTGAGGCAAAGTCCAGGCTACAGCATGGGATCCCTGGACGAACATGCAGGAGCCCGTACAACAGCATTGTAGATCCCGAGCCCTTTCGGGATTAGGGGCTGATTCCTGGCAACTCTGTTACTTCATTTGGTTAGCGGGGTTTCTAAGCCGCAGCCTTAGTTTGATCGGTTTTTGAATTGACCAAACAGAGTAGACGCTCCAATAGGTACTGTATATCTCACCGATATTAATTACTCATAGCCCCGTTAGGCCCGAATTGGTAAAAGGCCCTCAACAGGGTTTATCGGCTCTGTCAAATTTGTTCATTCTGGGTTTAGCTCATCCTTCAGGATTCCAAGGTCCATATGTACAAGATATCAGAGTGATGCCTCCTATGCAATGAAATACGCACCACGCTGTCTCCACTGCATGTTTTTCTTCCACATGTTCCCCGCGATGTAACATCGGGGTCTCTTTTCGCCCGTACGTCCGCCCGACATGCCCGCATTGTCTGAGGTCAAATCGTACATTTTTGTCGCCGGTACAAGATGTATCACCGGAGAAGTGAGCTTCAAACTTGCTTTAGTGGCTAATTCATTTCCCTTTTGAACTCACTTGTCATATCAGCAAAATAAGCGGGCTAAAGATTTGCGTCACCTGTTGATATTCAGTTTCGCTACTACGGGAAAAGAAGAATGAATGTTTTCAATTGCATAGCCTCACTAAGTCCAGCGTTCCGAAACTAAGCTTTAAGAAGAAAATGTACCGTCATTGGTTGGTAAATTATATCTGATCTTGGAATTTCTCGGTCTTGTTTCTGTTAAGTGCCAGAATAATTGGGGAAACTTCGGCTCTATTGTCCTTTTTTTTTAAATTCGGCTCTGTTTGTCAACCCTGAGCTCGTCTCGAAAACAAGTTTAACCGAGGTATGATACTATCGATCCAAAGTACAGAATTTACGTCACGGAATTTAACGCAATGGTAAGCCTAGCAAAGGTGGCGGAGATGTTCTTTGCTATTCGACGAGATAAGATGACAAGCTTAGTGTGCAAGTAGGGTAAAATATATAAAGTCGCAGTTGTAGTCAGAATTTCTTTAAGAATAATCCCTCGCAACCAAACCCTGTGACAATCTAACAATATTTATATGTACAATGGACAGCACCGAGTTTGGGTCAAACAAAGTACTGCATGTTTGCTCCGAACATGGCAACATCTTAGATCTTGCCCTTAATGATATCGGCGGCACGCTCGGCAACGGCATAGATCGTGCTCTGCAAGTGGCCACAAACCTGGAATGGAATAACAGAAGCATCAACAACACGGACATTTGAGGTTCCGTAGACCTTGAGCGAAGTGTCAACAACACCGCCGACTTCCTTGGGCATCATAGCGGCAGTGCTAATGGGGTGGAAGTTCGATCGGTCTAAGAACATATTAGAAATAGCACTCCAGATAAGGGAAATCATGAGATGAAACATACAGTTCTGCTTGATGAAATCAGACCATGCCTGATCATCAGCATCAGCAGCAACGACAGAATTGCCAGGGCTAGTCTCAGCACCGGACATGTCAGCGAACGGCTCGGTCTTGAATAGCTCGCGGATGAAGCGCGCTGCCTGAACTTGAGCCTGGAAATCGAAGTCTAGCATAAAGTACTTCGGGTCAATAGTGGCTGCGACGGTGGGGTCGGCAGAAGCGAGGTGAACATTTCCACGAGAGAAAGGAACAGATCCCCAGTACTCGGTGTCGTATGTGTTTCCAGAGGGCTCAAGGAGGATCTCTGCAACAGGAATGCCAGCCTTGAAAATTAGATCCCATTGGATCTTGAAGAAGCGCTGGATATCACTGGCCTTTGTGATATTGCCGTTGGCGCTGGCGACCTTTGCTGCATAGGCGGGGAGCTTGCGAAGAAGCTGGGCACCGACGGCGGTAGCATTAGGGAACAGTTGGGAGGCTGATGGGTAGGCGACATAGTCGGCGCTCTTGCTGTAGCTGGCCTTGGAGTCGTACTGGAGTCCGTTGTTCATCTGGTCCTGGAGGTTCTCGCCAACGGTGGGCAGGTTGATCTTGGTGTCGATATCGTACTTGGCCAGGATTCTATCAGATAGTTGTGTTAGTCTTGTGTAGTGGATATAGTTAAATATGGGTGATACTTACTCGGGGTTTCCAATTCCGGAAAGCTCGAGCAGAACAGGAGACTTCAATGCACCAGCAGCAAGGATAACCTCACGAGTAGCCTTCACCACGGTGGTTGTACCGTTGGAGAGAGTGACCTCAACGCCATCTGCGACAGCATCTTTGCCATCCTTCCAAGTAATCTTGTTGGCATGGGTTCTCAGCCAAACATGGAGGTTGGTTCTGTTCTGGTAAGGGTAATAGTAGGCGCGAGCAGCATCCTCACGAATGTTGAGCTCAGAGTCAACAGTCTTGGGGTACAGGCTGTATCCCACCATATTTCCACCATTGGGGTCCTTGTTGTAGGGGACAGGCACATCGAAGTTCTGGTAGGTCTTGTTGACTTCCTGGGCAGTACCATCATTCAACTGAGTCGAAGACCAGCCGACCTTCAAAGGGCCAGTGAAGCCATGGTAAGCTGGGTCGTAGGCCACACCAGATCCATCCAAGAAAGAGTACTTTTCTGGGGATTGGAATTGCTCGCCCTTGAGGTAGTAGGGGAACAGGCTCTTCCAGTTCCAGCCCTTGTTGCCAACAGTCTCCCAGGCATTGATCTGTGCTGTCTGTGCACGCAGATAGACCATACCGTTGATGGTAGATGTTCCTCCGAGTGCTTTTCCTGCGCGCAGCGTTTGAGAGATGCCGCCGCCGTACTCCTGCTTTGTTGTTTCGTAGGCCCAGTCGATGTCCGTTCCGAATGCTTTGCCGTATCCGAGAGTGTCCGTCACATTCTCGTTGTTGTATACCGAGCCTCCAGCCTCGATAACAAGGACGTTGATGTTGTCTTGCTCGGAGAGACGGTTCGCCACGACCAGACCACTAGTTCCACCGCCGACCACGATGTAGTCATACTGTGTCTCTGAGCTGCGAGCAGCATGAGGAACTGCAGCTGCTAAAGGAAGCAGTGCAAGGCTGATGAAATTGCGCATGACTGCAAGCGCTTGCTATTGTAAAATGCAAAGTATGGTTGAATTCACAAGCTCAAGCTGCGACGCTGCATAGATCAATTTATACCCGTTCGTACATCAATCCGGGCACTTGACGACAGAAGTAATGATTTCCAAGCATCGCACTCTACATACCATGTCAGGGACTGACTAGACCAACTGTGAGACTTGACTATTCCCAAAAAGGTAATATCCATTGCAAGAGAGAACAGAGTAGGCAAATCTATTGGCTATATTTTAAGGGAGTATCTAATCCACTCTGGCGCAAAGCATGAATAGGGAGAAAGAAACCGTAATGATCCCGCTGTTACCGACATCGGATAGAAGATGCCAGAGCTGAATAGACCCAATTGAAGATCCGGCCCTCTTACGGACTCCGTGGGGTGGATCAAGACCGTCGGACTCGCACCTTCAAACTAAGCGCTTGGTATAACACTGCGTCTTTGTAAGATTTAGTCAGGGTAGATATGGTTCTTGGCAAGCTGCAGAATCATAGTTCCCCTGCCAGTCATCGGGCAAATTAATGATCTCATGCCGATCTTGTTCGGGATAGGAAAGATGCCGAATCTTTTGACACTCGGCATGCCTAAAATATGCAGGGGCATCCCGAGGACCACACTTCACCGGTTTCTGGATTAGGGACTCTGTCCAGATTAATTCAGGGTTACATGTACTGTAGTTCCTTGTACAGTACAGTAGCCCGGATGGCCGAACCAACCCATTTGGACTGCACCTTAGTGCGCGTAGTTCCTGTCCAGCTATCGCTCCACTGATCTTCTCCGGTTTTCCAATTTTCTAGCGTTTTTCTTCAGAGAAACAATTCCCTCCCCCTTTTGCAATTCTACTGAAACCTTCCAGTAGTCACTTGGTCCGAAGATTCCGCCCCACAACGGAATTCTCTGACACTAGGCTGTGCAATGCCAAGAAACCGTTGGGGAGTGGATGTTTCCTTTTTTTTGGTTTACATAAGTGGCAACCGACCCCGTGGACAAATTCATGTTCTGAAAGTTCCATAGCGAAGTCCATTTAGGCAAGATCTGATAAGATCCCGTGGTGTGGAGATCAGGGTTTGTTGGCCCGTCAGAAACGGGATCTTTGAGTAGTAGATTCCACTCCCGAGTGGTGTCATGTTCAGTTCCACGGATGCGCGGTCTGATCTCATTCTGAAGATACCTGGGTCTTCATGTACAGCAGTCACTTTCAAGCATGTCTATCAAAAGCTTGGTAGGAGGCCTGAGCACACGGCAACCAGCGGCAGAGCGTAAGGGCGTGAGAAAATGATGTTCCGGTAGGCAAACTTGTTCATTGTGGTGAGTATCCTTTAAGTCCATCAATCGTGTTTTGAAGGTCAAGTTCTAAATCTATCATTTCAGGGAAGCTACGTATATCGTTCAACAGTAGGAAGATTTTGGAGGCGAACTTAGAGTGATATCTAAATTAAATATATGGGATGATACAGATTGACGGTCTGGGGGTGAAGGCAGAATCAGGGGAGGGAAAATCCCCTTACGGTGTTAGGGGAGATCGATTTGCCGTCCCTAGAGGGTGGATGGAGGCTGCGGGGGTCCCACCAAGTCATTGCTTAGCATATGCTTGTTTCTGAAGTGAGTGTTGAAACTCTCGATCAAAAGGATATGCTAAGTTCAATATGTACAGTATGTTTCTTCTCATGAATCGTATTGGCCACATGGCAGTTCTGCATCCGAATCCTCGATCATCTTCCATCATGCTGGTGACCTGGAATTTCGATGTTTTTTGATTGATATAGCCCCGAAAGGTAGAGGTGTGGCAATTTCAAACACGGGAACGTGAAGTCTTTCACACATAGTTGATGCATGAAGGTGCTACCGATATTTGAATCCTCTGCTGGAAGAGATGGAGGCGAGGCAGTGGTCTTTGGGGCCTACAGGCAGTCAGTAAAGGATAAAAGCTGTGCTTCAATGTCATGGTGCAGCAGACCTGTTCTGCACTGGAACGTTGTGCGATGATAAGGCCAATTTTGGAATCAGACATTGTCTTCAAATGCAATCAGTTGTAAAACAGTGTTGGGAGCTTAAGTGCAACACGGAAACAAGCATTTTAATAAACCCATCACTTGATATGACTATGTACACACGGATCTGGCAGCAAAGCCCTATGACCGAATTCTGAAAAATGGACCAACATGCCGAGAACTACATCATTGTGTGGAGATCCTAAGCTAGTACTCGGCATTTAGAGTGTGGTGTACGCAGATCGTAGGGGGCGAGCGAGGATCAAGAACGGTTATTAAGCGGAGGGGAAGGTAAATCATTTTTCTTCATTTTTTGCCGAGTTCAAACCCCGGTATTTTGCATCTGATAAGATGAGCGATCTAAGCTTAGCCGCTACTGAAGATCTTAATCCCGGCTGTGGTTCATCATTACTATTTTAGGATAGCCGACACGTTAGCTTATGGCTTGATCAACTTAAGGCCAAAGTTGAGCTTAGGCTCGGGGCTTTTACGCCATTTGTGAATGACAGGGGGCTAACATGCCTTCTGTATGTATCTCAAACAGAGTTCTAGTAATTTTGAAACGTGTTGATCGCCTTGCGACAGATAAAAGACCACACGGGCCTTTCATTAAAAAGATCATCCGATCGTCGGCCGCGAGGCTTTAAGTTGTTGAAACACGGGATTCCCTAGAGATGCCAGGTCTTCAAGTAAATGTTTTATCCTTCGCAAAATTGAGCCTGTTGTGTGTTCAAAATGACTAGATTTCATTTGCCCAAGGGCAATAGTGGCCAGAAGGCGACGCCTATTACTTCCATCGATACTCTTATCATCGGCACTGGGCCAGCGGGAGCATCTTTAGCATGCTTTCTAGCCTACTATGGTATGTTTGACATTATGTGAACTATCAATTTCAATTTCAATGCTCACATGTCCATCTATAGGAATTCGTGGAATAATGATCAGTGCGTGCCCTACAACCGCGGATACTCCACGGGCTCATATCACAAACATGGCAGCAATGGGTAAGATTACTCGGTTCTCCGTTGTGATATAGCTAATACAGAGTGACTTAGAATGTCTCCGTGATATTGGCCTCGACAAGGAATGCGAACGTCTTGCGACGAACGGCATGAATATGATGCACACTCGATGGGCTTACAGTATGGCTGGCGAGGAATATGCACGCATTCATTCATGGGGACATGACCCAAAGCGAAAGGTGCGTTTTACTTTCACTGAATTGATTCAAGTATTAATTTTTCTCGCAGGGAGACTACGAAACCGCAAGTCCCTGTGATCCGGTCGACCTCCCACAAACCATTCTCGAGCCTATACTTGTTCGAAACGCAACGCTCAACGGTTTCACCTGTCGATTCGATACACAATTTGTGAGCTTCACACAGGACGAAGAGGGTGTCACATCCACACTCAAAGATTGCATTACTGGGGCTCTATACCAAGTCCGCTCCAAGTATCTGTTCGGGGCAGACGGCGCCAGAAGTGAGGTCTTCCGACAAGCAGAGCTTCCTTTGGATGTGCGGCCAGATCAAGGACTTGCATTTAACGTGCACTTGAAGGCAGACCTATCTAGCTATATGCGATACCGCACTGGAAATCTGCATTGGCTTTTACAGCCAGACAAGGAGCATCCTTTGTTTGGTTGGGCTTGTATTGCCCGAATGGTGAAGCCTTGGGATGAGTGGTTGTTTATTGTTCTCCCGGAGCGCGGAAAGGAGATGGACTGCAATCCATCCAACAAGGAGTGGGAAACCCGGATGAAGGAATTCATTGGGGATGATTCTATTCCCACCGAGATCATCGGTGTTTCCAAGTGGCGCATTAACGATGTTGTTGCAGAAAAGTTCTCTAGAGACAGAGTGTAAGGCCAATTCCTACCATTTGCTATAAGTTACGCTAATAATGTCACAGGTTCTGTCTTGGAGATGCAGTTCATCGACACCCACCTTCCAATGGACTAGGCTCTAATACCTGCATTCAAGATGCGTACAACTTGGCTTGGAAAGTTGCACATGTTCTACAAGGTTAGCAGAACTCGCTCTCAGCGTCGACCACCAACAACTAATTCGCCTCTCCAGGACACGCATCACCTTCTCTACTTGAAACATATTCATTCGAGCGCCAGCCAGTTGGCAGGGGCGTTGTCACCCGCGCAAATCAGTCGTTCCGTCACCATGGTCCAGTCTGGGAAGCACTGGGAGTAGCACTTCCAACTCCAGCGCTGCGAACAGAAGCTCTCCACGAGCTGACGCTTGCAACTGAAAAGGGTCGCGCTCGCCGTAGTAGGCTTCAGGCAGCAATCGAAGAGACAGAGCACGAGTACCATGCCCTTGGCACAGAGATGGGCCAGTATTATCAGAGCACTGCGGCATACTCCGCAGACGAGAAAGAGTCATTCTACAGCCCAGAGGTGGCGGCTCAAGATCCTGATCTCGTTCTCACCCGAAGTACATATCCAGGATGTCGTCTTCCTCACGTCTGGCTCAATGATGCCATTCCCGTGCAACGTGTCTCGAGCATTGATCTGGCTGGGCACGGATATTTCACCATTCTTACGGGCATTGGAGGAGAGGCTTGGAAAAGTGCAGCTTCTGAAGTTGGGGCTAGCCTTGGCATGAATATCAAGGCCTATTCCATTGGTTTCCGTCAAGACTATGAAGATGTTTACTTTGACTGGGCGCGTGTTCGGGGTGTTGATGAAACTGGGTGTGTTCTGGTGCGACCGGATCGCGTTGTGGCTTGGAGATGTTATGATGTATTAGACGATGAGGCCCAGTGTGCTTCCAAACTGCGAGACGTCCTGCTTAGCGTTCTGGGTCGGCAAGCATAGATTTTCGTTGGGTGGCGAATTTCAATGTGACAGGAACTGTTTTAGATATGAACGAGAGATACAAGTATGAACAATAATCAATATCAGAAATAGATGCATGACCTACATAATATGTACACAAAACGATTCTATGCCTCCTTTTTACTTTCTTCCTATCCCCCTTATCGGCATAGGATTCGATGGCGGATAAAAATTTTGCAACACGTCCATCGAGCAACAAAGGCCACAGCAACCACAACTTCAATGCATGGCATATTAATATGATGCAAGAGATGAACTGTATTGATTGTCGTATGGAGTCACGGCCTGTGCTAAATTTCGGCTAATGCAGGGCATTTCGATGCCGGCCTTGAAACCCGGCTCAACTGATAGTGGGTCATCAAACTCCTTTTTTTCGACTGTTGAAAAGACAGTCGTCTGCAAAATAATGCGGATTTTCTCAAGCCTTTCTGTATTAAAGATTCATTAGTTTGGCTTACATCACTCTGAAGGACGGTTGATGGGTGAATGAAGTTTACCCAATCTTCTAGTCCGCGTCTTCTCATCCATCTCTTTTCTTTTCGGTATATGGGGCAGTAGAAGATGTCGCTGCACTCTAGCATGACAGAAAAGTTGGACTTGGAGCCAGTCCCATCGGCAAAGTCACTGGCTTCGACATTTTCGCCTGTCCAAGAAATCCTGTTCATCACGTTGGTTTGCATGGGACAATTCATGACACAAACCAACATCGGAATCGTCCTTTCGCCGCTAAATATCGTGTCTGATAGCTTTGGAATAACGGAGCCCGGAGTTGCAAGCTGGTTCTTGGCTGGGTACTCCCTAACTGTTGGCACATTTATCCTGGTGTCCGGTCGATGTGGTGATCTATTTGGTTATCGCCGAATGTTCATTATTGGATTCTGCTGGCTTGCACTCTGGTCTCTGGTGGCAGGAGTCAGTGTCTACTCTAATCACATTCTTTTCATTTTCGCTCGTGTCCTTCAAGGCATTGGTGGTGCACTGTTGTTGCCCAATGGCCTGGCTCTGCTCGGAGCAACATATGCCCCAGGAAAGAAAAAGAACATGATATTTGCCATTTTCGGTGCCACTGCTCCAAACAGTGCACTTTTGGGGACTGTATTTGGTGCAATCTTTGGGCAATTGGCATGGTGGCCATGGATATACTGGTCGCAAACCTTGGTCTGCATAGTTTGTGCCGCTCTGTCCTTTGTTGTAATTCCCTCTGTACATCATGACGCCTCTTTTGAATCTTCCCTCGCCGGTCTTCTCAAAGCTCTGGATGTACTTGGTGGAGCTTGCGGAATCGGTGGACTCGTGCTGGTGAACATAGCATGGAACCAAGCCCCCATTGTCGGATGGATTGAGCCCTACGTTTACGTGCTGCTCATCATTGGAATCGTCCTGATACTGGCCTTCTTCTATGTTGAATTTTGTGTTGCCGAACACCCTCTGATTCCCTTTCACGCTCTTAGTCGCGATGTCTCCTTTGTTCTTGGGTGTGTTGCCTGTGGTTGGGGATCTTTTGGTGTCTGGATCTACTATTTCTGGCAATTTCAAGAGAACCTCCGCCAAACTACTCCTCTCTTGGCATCCGCTGAATTCGTGCCAGTGGCACCGATGGGTATCCTGGCTTGTGTCGTGACTGGATACCTCATGGGTCATCTGCGCCCGGGGATAATCATGATGTTGTCGATGACCGCTTTTACCTTGGGCAATCTTCTGGTGGCAATTGCACCAGTGCACCAGACATACTGGGCGCTGACCTTTGTTTGCCTGTTGGTGATTCCTTGGGGCATGGATATGTCATTCCCTGCGGCTACCTTGATGCTTTCCAATGCGGTGGAACGGAAGCACCAAGGTATCGCTGCTTCTCTTGTGACCACAGTGGTCAATTATAGTATTTCGCTGAGCTTGGGATTCGCTGGCACGGTCGAAGTTCATGTGAACAATGGAGGCAACACTCCCGGCGATGTTCTGAAAGGTTATAGGGGTGCCTTGTACGTGGCTATTGGGCTTGGGGGACTGGGAATGGCACTTAGTGCAATCTACACTTTCAAAGGGTATCGAGTTGAAAGTCGATCCAAGGAGGTTGAAAGTGTGGAAAGTGGGAAATAGGTGAATCGTCATGAACAAATGTCACCGATCCCGCCCGGTTCCTATTCAGTAAATGCAGTAGATACGGATACCGCTGGGTCTTCATCCAACAATCAGATTGTCTCACTTTTCTGTCAAAGACTCATCGACCCTCGAAATGTCTTTCCTAACGACCAATCAAGCCACGCTTTCTAATTAAGTTTGTTAGTTTACAAACACCGAGTCACGGGTTCAGCCCGATTAGATCAATCAGATAATCAGAACCAGAGCCCGGTCAGCCGAATTGTCTTCACTCCGAGATATGTTACGATATGAACGAGAACAAGACAATGTTCTCCAGAAAATTCAGGGCTAGCAGCATCAGTCCCCTCCCACGTGTAGGGACGCAGCCCTATCAGTGGTGATGTTTAATCCCAACAGACCCAGCGGGGAAGGAAATTTTTTGGTGGCGCTACAAGCGCAACACATGCTTGTTTTCCCTGCACCGGCCCAGACACTTTTCGGTAATGGAGCACACTCTCAACCGCGGGATCGAGATTCCATTCGCTGACCAAGTCCGTCCATTCCCGTTCAGCCGCGATTCTCCGTCTATCCACTAGAAAAAGAATGGAAGGAGAAAAAAAGGGAAAGCACACGGCAGGTTGCCGTGTCGGGCAGAGACCCGTTAACCTTTTCGTCATAAGGTTTTGATCAGATAGCCCGGTGAATCTGCATGACGCTAGTAATTTTCAATACGAGCTCGCACAGACCCTTGCTCCCCCAACTTACTACTTGGATTTCAACCTTACTTTTTCTCTCCTTTGCGATTGAGCTCATCTTTCTCACTGGGCGTATATCCAACTCGTCGTCAATATGGGCAATAACCCTGTCTTTGCCGTGACGGGTAAGCCACCGCGTGCCTTGCATGGAAATCATGTACTCAAGCTGACGCGACATTAGTGTTCTTCATCTGTTTCCGAGAATGCCTCGAGACAACAGTGGTTGTCTCTGTCTTGCTCGCATTTCTGAAGCAGTCCCTGGGCGCTGAAGAAGATAAGGCCACGTATAAAAGGCTGGTCAAACAAGTATCGACACCCCTTGGTTCAACAGTGAAGTTGGTCATTAATCGTTCAATAGGTCTGGTTAGGATGTGGTCTAGGACTGTTCATTTGTCTGGCAGTTGGTTGTGGCATGATTGGTGCTTTCTACGGTCTCGGCACCGACACTTTCTCCAGCACTGAAGACATCTGGGAAGGCGTTCTAGGTATTATCGCTTCTCTAATCATCACCATCATGGGCGCTGCTCTCCTCCGAGTCTCTAAACTCCAGGACAAGTGGCGTCTCAAGCTTGCAAAGGCTTTGGCGCATGAGAACAACCCCAATGAGTCGCGCAAGGGCCGTATCAAGAGATGGCTCGAGAAGTACGCCATGTTCATCTTGCCCTTCATTACTGTGTTGCGTGAGGGCCTGGAAGCTGTCGTCTATGTCGGTGGTGTTGGATTAGGACTGCCTGCTAGTTCGTTCCCTTTGGCCGTGTTTTGCGGTCTTTTGGCCGGAATTGCGGTTGGATATCTGATCTACAAGTAAGCGCGCCCTGTCCTACCCAGCTCATTCAAAATTCGAGCTTCAACGCTAACATATACCAAGGGGTGGTCGTGAGACTTCGATGCAGATTTTCTTGATCATCTCTACCTGCTTCCTCTATCTTGTGGCCGGTGGTCTATTCTCACGTGGTGTTTGGTACTTTGAGAACAACACCTGGAACAAGCTTATTGGAGGCGACGCGTCTGAGACTGGATCTGGCGCCGGATCATACGATATCCGGCAAAGTGTGTGGCACGTGAACTGCTGCAACCCGGAACTTGGTGGTGGTGGAGGCTGGGGTATCTTCAACGCCTTGCTCGGATGGACCAACTCCGCAACCTATGGCTCGGTGATCTCGTACAATCTGTACTGGGTCTGTGTCATGGTCGGCTACGGCTTGATGTTCTACCGTGAGTGCCGGGGTCCTATTCCGATTTTGGACCCCGCGATGAGCACAGTCGCAGGTTACAAGGCCAGGTCCAGGGCATTTATTCTTCGCCGACCTGTAGAGGCGCCCGCCCCTGCTGAGGCGAGTGGTGCTCTGGAGCACACTATTACGGACAGGAAGGGCTCTGGGGCTGGAGTCTCTACGGTTGTCAGGCCTGCTGATGCATGATTGCCTTCATGGTGGCTGGTGGGGGAGAGCGATTGCCTCGAAAATAGACGTTGGGGCGGCATAGCTGTGATCAGATAAAGAATGTGAATAAAACAAGCCTACTTTGCAAATTTCTGTATTTTACACGCAGACTCGGGAAAATACCGGCGGTAGTGACAGACCCCTACGGGTTTTACTTAGTCTTGTCTTAGCGAAGCTTAGCCCCGTTCGGACCCGTGGGTTCTTCGTACCCACCCATGGCTAGTCCAAAGCCACATTAAGTTGGCCAATCAATGCCTCACATGGGATCAGATTATCTTTTCCCAATCTGATTACCCTTTCCTGTTGCCCGATCACCATTCGGCTAAATCTTCCTGTAGAAGTGGTTGATCCCAATCCTGCATCGCCAAAGGCAAATGAGGGAAGACTGGGGGGGATACAAATATCCCTTACCGGATTGATATTTCCCTACTGATTGCTGTGCAGATCTAGCCCGCTACAGGCAGCTGCATTCTTCCGTGCGCCATGTAACACCAACATGGGTCTACCCATGGGCCCACTTAGTTCAGTAATCACTCCAGGAGGACTGAGATAACAACCTCGTGCGAAGGGTTCTGGCAACTTTGTCTGTTCGGCCCCGCCCCGGTAACATGGTCAGATGGATAATCGTATCACGGTGTGCAAACCAGAATACGAAACCTTACCACAGTCTCCGTCCCATTTTTTTGCAAACTTATCAATCTTTTGTAGTCCAAGCGCCATATCCAACCACACGCTTGGTTCTTTTCTTCCTTCATTTTGCTCTCTTCGCACCCGTCATTCATCCCCAACGGCGAATTCTTTCAAAATGAGGAGTCTGACGCCGTGTCTGCTCTTGCGACTGGCATTCCTCTACTTCTTTGTTCATTCTTGCCAAGCCAAAACGGTTACGCTTGACTTTAATGTTACATGGGTAAACGCCAACCCTGATGGCCTTTCTGAGAGGAAGGTAGTCGGCATCAACGGACAGTGGCCGCTGCCCATCATTGAAGTGGACAAGGGTGATCAGCTGATTGTCAACACCTATAATGGCCTTGGTGATAAGTCAACCTCCATCCATTGGCATGGAATGTTCCAAAATGGAACAAACAACATGGACGGGCCATCAATGGTGACTCAATGTCCTATTCCGCCTGGAGCTTCATACACCTACAATTTCACTGTCAACCAAAATGGAACTTACTGGTATCATTGCCACACCGATGCCTGTTATCCGGATGGATACCGTCAAGCCTTGATCGTGCACGATAACAGCTCATACTTCCATGACATGTATGATGAAGAGTTCACGGTCACGGTCAGTGACTGGTATCATGACCTTGTCGAGGATATCATGCCGTCATTCATCAATCTGGCCAATCCCACTGGTGCCGAGCCAATTCCTCAGGCTTTCCTCTTCAACGATACTTTGAACAGTAGCATTTCCGTCGAACCTGGCAAAACATACCTGTTCCGGTTGATCAATATTGGAGCCTTCGTTGCGCAATATTTCTACATCGAAGACCATACCTTCCGCATCGTTGAGATTGACGGAGTGTATACTGAGCCCACCGAGGCCGATATGCTCTATATCGCAGTTGCGCAGCGATACTCCATCCTTTTGACCACGAAGAACTCGACGGATAAGAACTACCCAATTGTGACAGTTGCCGACTCTGTCCTCTTGGACACTATCACACCAGAGCTCAAGCTAAACCAGACAAACTGGCTTGAATACAATTCCAAGGCGGCCCATCCCCAAGCTGTCATGACCGTGGACGTCGCCTCAGACCTCAATCCCTTCGACGACTTCACCCTGGTTCCCTACGACAAGGAGCCTCTGCTACCAGACGCCGACATGACCATTGACCTGACCGTCATCATGGACAACCTTGGCGATGGAGCCGGCTACGCCTTCTTCAACAACATTTCCTACACAAGGCCCAAAGTCCCAACCCTCTACTCCGTCCTCTCCTCCGGAAACCTCTCCACAAACCCCGAAGTCTACGGAGAATACACACATCCCATAATTCTGGGCCACAACCAAGTCGTAGACATCGTCCTCAACAACGGCGACACCGGCTCCCATCCATTCCACCTTCACGGACACTCGTTCCAAGTGATCGAGCGCTTCCCTTCATACGGAGAGCACTTCTACGACTATGCCGACGGTGACGCAGTCACCTACGACCCATCCAACCACACTGCCTTCCCCGAATACCCCGCAAGACGCGACGTGCTCGTTCTTCCTCCGCAGGGCTACTTCGTCATCCGCTTCGTGGCCGACAACCCAGGTGTCTGGTTCTTCCACTGTCACATCGACTGGCACTTGTCGCAGGGCCTGGCAGTGACGCTGATTGAAGCGCCTGAGCAGTTGCAGGAGCGCATGACCATCCCCGCGGATCAGTATAAGGCCTGTGATGCGGCTGGTGTGCAATATGAAGGAAACGCTGCTGGTAACACTGAGGACTACCTCGATCTGACGGGCCAAAATAAGCAGGTTCCTTGGTTGCCTGCTGGGTTCACTGCTAAGGGTATTGTTGCCATGGTGTTCTCTTGTATTTCGGCGTTCTTGGGCATGGCTTGCATTTCTATTTATGGAATGTCGGGTATTCAGCAGAGCAAGAAGAAAAATGAGGCCCAGGATGCGGTGGTTAGCTCAGGGTCATCTTGAACGATGTGAATTAGCTCGTTATTCTTTCTGTTATATACGTTTTGAACACAAATATCCCTTCTTTATGACTGTATTGCATCATGTTTTTATCCGTTATCTTAATTGCGTTGGTTAGATCAGATATCTTAGAGAGTAACAATACTTGACATGTTCTTTAATACGATTAATCTACGCCTCCACTTGTTTCTTCATGGCTCATTGGGAAGTAGGGAACTGACAAACAGGTAACAACGGTATGTCAAAATAAGGCGAACACAACTGGTAGCAAGTCAATGAACATTTCCCTTAGTTACTTGTCAGACAACCGTCACTACCGTGTTATCAAGAGGGAACAACAGCGAGAAAAATGATATGTTCATTTGTTGCTCTTCAACGAACTAGTGGTCCTCAAACCACGTGATGACCTTTGCCCTGGTCAAACGCAACAAAAGAAAGGAAACAAAAAGAGAAAATCAGAAAATCAGAGTTCAAGGATATGTTCCGACGGGCAACCAATTTAACAGGAGACACCCAATCACAACATTACAGGTAGAGACATCAGGTCTCCCGGGCGAAACACATGGTGATAAGCTAGGTAGCCTCATTTGCCATTGGCCCAGCTTTCACGCCACATGTCTACCTTGCTTTGAACAACCGCAGCAGCAGCCATAGTAGACTGATGAGCCTCAAGGCACTCTTGCAAGGTGGCTGACTCGGAATCAGGGCTATTCTGCAAGCTGTTTTGGATCTCGGCCATGCTTGCCAGCTGGGCCTCGGTGCTCTTTTGGAAGGCGGTCTTGAACACCGCAAGTGCTTTCTGGAGCTCCTCAGAAAACGTGAAGTGCATTGAAAGATAGCAAGCAGCATTTAGGTTGTCTAGGGCAGGTTGGGGTGTCTCGCGAAGAGGAGAGGCATGAGGCTCGGCCTTGGCGGGAATTGAAGCAATGCCTTCGCTGTCGGTGACGGCAGCTTTCTTAAATATGGATTAGCTGGGCTCGCTCCGGGCTTCTGTTTTGAGGGACTGTATACTTACTTTAGCCTCGGCTTTGGCCTTGGTCTTGGCGGCCATGGAAGCAATGCCCTCGCTGTCGGTGTCGGCGGTTTTCTTGAATATGGATTAGCTGGGCTCACTCCAGGCTTGTACTTCGAGGGACGGTATACTTACTTTATCCTCGGCTTTGGCCTTGGTCTGGCGACGGCCCCGGGTGGCAGCGAGAGAGGTGGGGATAACGGCGGCCTCAGTGGGCTGGGCAGCGTCAATGGTGGTTGTCTGGGGGCTGGTTGAAGCATCAACCGTGCGGTGAGTGCAGCGGCGCTTCTTTGCTCTACAGTCAACGCATGCACGAGCCATTTTGACTAAGATGAGGTTTGTTGGTGGAAAGACGATTGGGTGGGAAGGAATAACGAGTGGACAGGGTTGCTTTGGGATGATTGACTACGGAAATATGGGGTGGAATGTTGTGGATTGAGACAACTAATACGGCCGTCTTGTCGCCGTATTGTCGCGACAGTACGATGTAGAAGGGGTTGAGGGATATGATCGCGGCAGTACAAGGACGATGCGTTCAAATCTTGAAGAATTGTCAACAGTGTGATCAGAGACCAGAGAGACCAAGGCAATCATCCTCATCTAGCTCAAGTACTAGAATTTAATATAATCTGTATAGCGGTGTCCCGGGATGTTTTGCGGATATACAAAATTCGAGTGTGTTTCTCATCTCCCTGACATGAGCTGCACGAATCATTATGGCCAAACCTCGATCTTGCTCCATTGAGCATCAGGCGAGTCACTCGCACCTTCCAATGCCCATTTCCATCTCTTTCCGTCCTCTTGGTTTGTCAAATCCAAGCATTCGACCTCCTCTGGGCATATAACCACAACCCTGAAGTTGTTGCGGGCGACATGGTCGTGAAGATCTGTGACTTTCTGGCCAAGTTTCAGATCAGGATTGTCAGGCTTTTGGGACCTAGGCAACCCAGGCTGAGGGTTTCGAAAAGAGCCTACATTTCTCAATCAGTATCAGATTGGGATAGAAGAAATCAATCATAGTGAAAGATCAAGCATACCTCTTGCAATTGGTGAATGATTTGCAAAGTACTTGGTGACAGCTTTGTCCCACGTCCAATTTGCAATTTCACGACCATCGTCTTTCATCCGCAAGCCCCTCTGAATCTCTTCTCTAGATTTCTTCTCGTTCTCTGATACCTTGGTTTGGGGGTCTCCAATTGCATATGCAGTCCCCTTGATACGCCATTGAATCATGAGATCCTTTAACCAAAAGACGGCCTCAATAGCATTTCCAGATGACTCCAGCTGAGGAAGCTTTTCCATTCGAGCATCAGTGGTAAAGCAAAGCATGTCACTTTCAAACACCGGCGGATTGCCACCGCCTTCAACCTGCTCGTCCATCGCTTCCTGGCCTTTGGGGTGAAGCTCAAGTTCCGGGAAAAAACCACGGCAGCCACATGTGCGTAGACGAGGAACTGAGCGGTTCCGTGCATCATAGCCGATCGTTGCAACTGTGAACTCATATCCTGGCGTTTGTTGGAGATGTGAGTCAAGTACATCACGCCATGGCGCACGCTGAGAGCTCGTTGTCGATTTGCTCATGGCTGAGGCTCCAATTGAAAAGGGGGGTTAGGACTGGAAGTACGTCCGGCAGATCCTGTACCACCTGTCTTGATTGCACGAAGTCGCTGCAGGGCTGCTCTGAGAGAGGGTTTGTAACCGGAAGAGACGGATGCTTGCACCATAAATCGTTGCAGAGATGGTGCCTCTTTACAGAATTAGAATCGATGATCAGGTATTCGAAACGATATCTAATCTTTTGGAACCCAGGATATAAGTGAATGGAGCATTTTAAGCATCAAAAAGAGCAAAATAGGTCGTTTGGTGACATCAGATCTAGTGGTCCGTGCGTGGGCTGGCTATGCCATATTCGCTCACTGATATATTCGTTCAGGCCATTTAGGTGGTCTTCCAAAATAAATGCTACCCCTGGTATAATCTCATTCATTTTAAATATCCGCATCTTCAAGAACAAGGACTCTAGATTTCCATAAGGGTTCGTTATTGTCCTGTATACTGGAAAATGTCAGGTCACGTGTCGGTGTTTGGTTGGTGGGAAATCGCGACTCTAACCCAAACTTGGACATACGGTCATGAAAAGGCACGATGCGTCTATCCCAAGGAAATCATGTATGGAAGCGAGTGTCAAGTGGAATCAAGGTTGAGATGTCTGGTCTGAACATGAATCACCGATTTCTTTCACTCGCTGTGTACTCGGCAAACAGACGATCAAGAAAGCACTCAACCATATCAAACATTCCCTGCGAGATTCCAGCCACCCAATTGAAATCAAGGATACATGCACTAGGATGGGAAAAGATTCAAGGACAAGTTGAGCCTTATTTCGGTGACAATTGGAACTTCAACAGCGAGAGGGAGAAAAGGGGGTTTTTGGCCATTGGGTTCTCTCGGGCCTTCAGTCACTTTTTCCCGTTGACTCTTGATGACCGGATTGAAACATCATGCAAGCTGTTCTATTTGACTTTGCTCATTGACGGTAGGTTCTAACAACCGAAATATGGACATCTATTGACTTGGCAGTTAGATCAACTTGAGAAGATGAGCTTCACGCAAATGCTTTCTTACCGGGATCGTTTAATGCAGATTTCATTGGGAACTACGAGTCCAGATAGGGATCTATGCTTGGAGTGGATGCTCTATGATACCTTTCAGAAGATGCGCGATATCGATGATGATTTGGCAAGCGATGCTGCCCAAGGGTTTTGTCAGCTCGTGCAGGCTCAGACATCACAGGAACGTAGCTCGATTCACACTCTCGGGTCGTATCTCAAGTTTCGAGAGATAGATGCAGGGAAGCCGTACGTATTCCCTCGGTGGGACCCGAAAAGCTCATATCAGTTCCCAGGGCTAAAAGTGAACAGATTCTACACAGCTCTTATTAGGTTTGGCGCCAATTTACGCCTCAGTCACACTGAACTGGAAAGACTTTCTGCCCTAGAAAGTATTGCGTTCCGTCATATGGGTGTTATGAATGATATATATAGCTGGGAGAGAGAATGGAAAGTGTACCAAGAAAATCCGACGGATGGTTCTCAGCCACTATCTGCCATCTATGTCCTTGCCAACGAAACAGGGTTGTCTTTTGCAGCCTGCAAGCGATTGATGTACAGCTGTTGTCGAGAATATGAACTTGTTATCAAGGAGGCCGGGGATGAGCTGCGGAGTGATGGCGTCAATAAATTGAGAGCAGAGATGGAAATGTACATTCAAGGACTGGAATTTTTTATGCGTGGGAATGAGCTATGGAGTCAGTGGACTCCAAGATATCGACAATAAGGTTCTTTGTCGATTCCGCATTGCCTAATAACTGTTGCTTGGTTTTTCATATGCATTTTAATTAATTTGACTTTAAAGAGACGGTCGTTTACATACTTGTAGAGTACTGTTCAAATCATATTAAGATATCACAATATTACTTTAACTTAATCTATAACCCCGCCCCCCCTTTATACAAAATAACATCATAGTAGAAGTCTAAAATGCCCCTTTGGTCAGATCGATTAGAAACATTCCACCCGGCGGCGATCACTGTCCACTCCGAGCGTCTTAGCTCACCAATCGTTTATTTAAGGTGGTCACATGATATCAGTCTGATACCTGAATTTATTGTCTTTGTGCTGCAGCTTTATTCCGCATGAACATTCCAAAAACTCCATATGCTCTCTCAATCACACTGCGTTGAAACTTATTATCACGTAATCTCCATTTCAGTCTGACGGACCATCTCCCACCCCCGAGTGATGGAGAATATTAGGTGGATAGGACAGCTATAAACACAACAATAATGACAATAATTACCAGTAGATCCGGTGACCATATGGTTAGCTTGTATCCAATACCAGCTACTGTACGGGCACAACACCCTACAAGGGTAGTTTACAATACCACTAATACCGACCATGCCTTTTCGATGCTGTCCGATCAGCCAACCACGAGCGCTCATCGATATGGTGGGACCACCCCGGGCTCTCCCGGTCTTCCGCGGGAGGGATCGTCCGGCTCCTAATCCATAGCTCAGGTCCCTCTGTAATCCCCTGTCACATTTTCCAAGTGGTCCCCATGATCCCCGTAGTCCCCGACCTCCGAGTCCAGGTCCCCGACAGCCGTTACGTGTCATACCTCACTTAGGAAAGGCGCCAAATGTGAGTGATTTCTCTTTCCTTCGCTTGGGTAGCCCCGGATCGAAAATATCACACTTTTGTTTCGAGTTTGCTTCAACTTTGCTTCGTCATGGCTTCAATTTTGATATCTGAAATGCTCCACTTTATTTGTCTTGGTCATGGTTGCCAGGAGACTTGGGCTTCATGTTCCTAAGAAATGAATGTCTCGAAAGGCAGTCTTTTTTCTTGACAGTCTATTTGAGATCATCACAACAACGTGCTGGGGCCTAAATTGTAGAACTATCCAATGGTGTAGAGAAGCAGCCAGAACAGACCTCTTTCGTCTTGCTTAGGGCAACTCAACACACACAGACTAAACAGTCTGACACCTGCAGGCATTCACCGCTCCTGAAAATCATGCAAATCTGTAAATCACTTCGTTTCAAACCATCTGCATAGTGTATATGTAAAAGATGCAGCTGGCCCTATGATGTGCAACTTTCCGACTATTCGTCCGTCCTAAATAAGCCTAGTGTTGTATTGGTCAGTACAGGTGGGTCGGGTGCGGTACGAATACCTTACCAGTACCCGCTCGAATCATTTTCTGGATGTTTCCTTCCTTCCTCCCCTTCCCCTCCCCAGACTCTCTTTCACCGTTACTTGCATTTTCAACACGCTGATCCCAGTTACCTCTTCTACACTGAGGGGTTAAAGATCACCTTCACCCGCTTTTCTTCCAGCGTCCTGACACAGCGCTCAACTCGGCATTTTACCTCCGGCCTTTTTACCTCCACGAATTGCGATTTTGGTCAACCTCACGATTTATGACGAAACGAACCATTTGCGAACCCATTTACTTCTAATATCTCGATCCTAACATCTCAATACTCAACTTCGGAGCTGTGATTCTCGCAGATTTCAGATCCAGAGCGATGGCATCAATGGATGCTCTCGGGGCCTTCACCCACATGAAAGACAACCTCCCCGCATGGATCAACCGCGTATCAGAGCTTGCAGCACACACCCACACCAGACACGATGAATATGTTGAAGCCTACAGGCGTCATGCGAGCGTCAAGTCCCGCCGACGTAAGAACAGCTCCGTTTGCTCAATCCACACCGATAATCTCGTTCCGATCGCCCAACGCAAAGAGCCCAGCTCAGAACCTTCCACAGCAGTGACACCCAACAACGCCCCCAGTCCAAGCCAACGCTCAGGCCGCAAACGATCCTCCGATGAGGCCCCGTCGGTCGCTTCAAATGAAGAATACGCATTTGTGAGCACAAAGCACAATGTCATTATCGAATACGACGGTCACACACAGAAAACACTCGAGGCTATTGTTCGGGATATTGGAGTGGCAAGGAACAACATGCGAAGAGCGAAGATGGCTATGACACCGCGCACTGGTATCCGCGCCGGCATCCTGAACCGAGGCATGAACTTGAACATGGCCAGCACAACATCGCAGGCTTCGTCGCCACTTTCGTGCGTCCGAAGCACTCGAACTGCATCGGGGGTTGTCGGTATTTGTGGAACTAGTGTCCTTCGGAAAGAATCTCCCTTTGACTATGCCGACAAGCAACTGGAACTTGCTCACGCACTTTGCGAGACGGCAGCTTCCCAAGTTCTTCGGTCGGGCGACTGCGGCACGGAGCTCGATGGGGTGGAGGAAAAGTTCAAAATGCTACTTGAGGCGACAATCAACGAGGTGGACCGAATTATGGCCGAAAAGAAACAGCAGGAAGAACATGAAGCACAACAAGCTGATGGGACCGTGGATAATGATGCGCCCCTTAAACCACCCCCGACTGCTTCCGCAGCGCGACTGGCCAGAGTGGCCGCAATTGCATCTAGCAAGCCCGCAACGACCACCGCAGGCGCCATCGAAGTCGACGATAATTCCTCCCTATCGGCCGAGTCAATCGACCTCTCCGCATTCAGATCATCCGGGATCAGAGTGTAGGACCACCACACATCACACCTCATATTAGCGATTTAGCGTGTCTTGAAATCCTTCCATCATAACATTGCCAGTTGACACTTTCGATTCTTGGGATACCATTGATTTTCTGTCTCGGAATGGCCTTTTGGAGAGCCTTTTCTTCCTGCATATTTGACTGCAATCGATTTTGCGACTCTGGGTTCGCGCATACATCCCACCATTCTTTTACTCTTTTTTTTTTGGCTACCTGTCGTTACTTATCTTCCCAACTGTCCTTTGATCACACTTTTCAGGGACTTGCGTTTCATTTTGGGATATCATTCTCCTGTCTGTCTCTTGCATCGGCTCATGACTCAACCAGGAGAGCTTGGCGTTGGCATTGGCGTTTTTATCTGAACTGTCATCTATTTATGTTTTGGACACTGTTTTCTGGTTCTATTCAACCTAACGGACTTTGGGGCTTGCTTAACAATACCAAGCCATATTGCAGTAAATATTTGGCCGAAAATTTGACTGATTCTTATCAACCTACCACATTTCAATGACTCAATATCAAGATCTCGGACTTCGAGATGGGCGTCCAAGTAGTCTCCACAAAGGACTAGTCCTACAGTCGGAGGCGTAACAGCCCCGACAATCCGTACAGTAGTGATTTGACCAAGTTCCACCGCTTCATCTACAATCTAAAAACACCAGTCTCATTGGCTCTCCGTCATTCCTGACACAAACTTGGCTCGGTCACGGCCCCCATCCCCATGCACGACCGTTGACCCCTATCCCCGTCTGCCCACTTTGACAGGCAATGACAAGCAAAGTATCCTGCAAGTCTTCGCTGGCCAATTTGCCCAGCGAGCGAATCACCACCCGTAGCAGCTGATCGACATTTCGAGTGGGTACAGGAGAATACCGTGTACAGTAGTATTTGCACTGGCACTGGCACGAGGGGGGTCGCAATCGCTTTCGCTTCATACCCAACCTTCCTCAATAGGTAAATAGTCGGGCCAGAGAGCTAGCGCCGCTAAGAACAAAAATAAAAAACTAATCATTTGCATATACGCCACGTCCACTAGGCTAGTGGCTACGCTACCAGGGTAACGCTTACTGCCGCTTTCTACGGGGGAAAGAGCGAAAAGCAAGGTCAGGAAACAGGGCGGAAAACAGCTAACTTGCTGCAGATTAAATCTGACCCTCTATGTGAACTACCATTCTCGAATTGATTGCGGCTCAGATCCCTCTTCTCCACTGTCACTTGGGTTTCTGTGGTTTCTTATTGGCGCTGGATTCCTTACCTTTGTGCAGTTTGGTCTGCTACAGTACTGCTACTGTTACTGGGCTATTTTAGACATGACCAACAGACAATTAACTTAACTTACGCGAGATATTCCAACTGTCAAGAAAAGGCAGCCATGGTTTTTTTTTTTTTTTTTTTTTTTTCAGACAGAGCGCGGGATGCGCAGTTCTCTCTATCGCACAGGAATGGGAGTTACTGTGCGATAGAGAGAACCTCCTTCCAAGACACGGCATGCATCATCGGTAGCCATATCGGGAACGCCTCTTGAATATGTACCAGGACGAATACGTGGTGGTCTAGACACTGGCAGGTTTGGTCGATCATGGATGACATTCATTAGATGTGAGCCTATGAAATGGCAGAGAGAGCATGTCGCTTTTGTAACTGTAACGGTAATAGTAACAGTAACTTACCCAGGTCTCGTATCGCGGTAAAACTTCAGTTTAACTTAACGTTAACGTTAACTAAGTTCCATGGTTTGCTCCAGCTATACGGTATACAGGATAGTATAAGATAGGACCGTATGTCATCGCGGCTCTCGTACCTTTGAGACACGGTCGGCGTCTCAGCTGAAGGCCCATGTAACTTAAGCGACCTCTTAGTCTGAACCTTGAGTAGATTAAAGGGTTGGCTTGGACTTGGGCTGTCAATGGATTCACTTTAACTTATTTTGTGGAGTCGGATTTGCAGAGAAGCTCCGTAGAAAGAGAAATACTACAGTACACTGTATATAGAGCACACACAAGCCATGGATTAACGGTAGAACCCCCCACCCCCCCCTAATGATCGACCCCCTACTGTACAAGTACAGTACTTTACAGTATGTGGCTCGGCTGAGGTGGAGTCGCGTTTTGATTCCTTTTCTGGAGGACCGGAGAAAAGCTCCTGTATCTTCCGGGCTAAAGTACCATGCAGCAGTTTGGAGGGGTACACCATGGTGATGGTGGTGATGGTGGTGACAGCGATGAGAGAGTCCTGATCAGAGAGTACAGTATAGAACGGGCGACGATACTCTATTTCTACCAGTAAATTATTGAGGGTCCTTAGCTTTCCTCCCGTCCCAGTGGAGCAAGCCAAAAGAGCAGCAATGGCAGAGTGGGAAACCTGGTGACTGGACAGTTGACACAGTAAGCGTTTAAGCGTACAACCTTGGAAGACCATGTAAATTACACCCCCCACCCCCGCTAGCCACAAATGACAGGTGACAAGGGGTACGCCAATTGCCAAGCACCGAGCAAGGATGAGTCTTTATCTGCCGTGGTGCTAATGCCAGTGCCAGGATGTGAACAGGATTTTGGCAGAAATAGATGGTTGGGCTCTTGCCTGGCTAGGCAGGAGGGTCGAGGGCTCTGGCAGGATTTGATCGTTCAATACATTATACAATCAGTTCGTGTGCGATTACGGAGTACGGAGGACTTGAGTTGAGTGAGAAAAGGGGGGATATACTGTAAGTCAATACTATAGCATACTGCACTGCAGTCTGTGTATTTCAAATAGGAGAGTGATTTGATTTGATATGATTTGATATATGAGAAATGAAAAAATGAAATATGGAATGCAGGGAATAGACCATACTGTAGGTCTTGTGTCTACCATAGTCCGTCCGTCTGTCTCTACCCTTGTTTCAAGTGGGAGATCCAGGCTGGGGTAATATCCATTTTCACCCAATACAGTACGTGAAATATTACGTCGGGCGGAATACAGTACAAAAGTGTTTTGTGGGCGTATTCGATACAGAGGGCGGATACGTGATCCATGCACATGTCGTATTGATATGATATTACTCGATCTGGGGTGATGTCGCTTGCAAGAACGCAATGTGGAAGTGCATGCATTCTACTGTATGCGGGAGGTTCTAAGGTGATGACCACATCCGCTGAGCTGGCAGAATTTGCCGTGGATGATGGATCAGATGGGTGTTGGGAGGTGTTTGTGTTTGATACATGAACTTGGGGCAGGAAACGTGAACCGGGGTTGAGGTGTGAGACTAAATTCACCCCGGCTGGACAAAAGTACGTGGGTCACGTGGGCTGCTCGATTAGCTTTTTGTGTTTGATCTCTGTTAGAGGTGGTTTTACTTTGGTTTTAGTTTGATCGGAGATGGAGGCACATAACGTTACAGTGTCTTGTTAGAGAGTTGTTGCATTGTACAGTGCACAGCTGAGATAAACTCGTTGGCATTATGTATATCCCATGGTAGTCAAACCATAAACACATTTACTAGATCAGAAGCCTCAGGAAACAAGGCACATCCATAACCAGGTGCCTGAGTCGACAATGCTGATGAAACACCATATATCTAAAAAATCCAACAAGGAGTGATGATACTATAGGATAAATATCAACAATGAGAACACATTGATGACCCATGTTATATTAACTTGCAAGTTACAGTACCTCACTATAAACAACCATCCAAATCCAAGAAACAAAACAACCATTCAGAGATGAAACCTCCTCGGTAGAAGAAAAATACAAGTCCAACACCAACGCAAGAGCCTTCGAAGACATCATAAAGCATTAGAGAGGCAAAAAAAGGATTTCCAATTTCATGGCGGACATCACAAGTCGCAACATACAAAATATCGACATGACGCGTGATCATCACACCACCAATTAACATTTAAGATTAGAGAAAAGAAAGGGGGAATAGGATGGTCGGAGGTACACATCTTACCTACAAGTCCATATAACATGTACGTGTACGGGTTCACACGAGTAAATATACAGTATATGAAGATGTAGATGTAGATGGGGACTCCCAGGGCGATCCTACATAATCCAGATAGACATGAACATGGACATGGACATGGACATAGAGGTGGAAATAGACATAAAGAGACAGATAGGAAAGGAAGGAAGAAAAAAAAAAGGCCCCGATTAGAGCCGATCGGTTGTTAGACGACCGGTTGGGTATCACAGTTGACCAGGATTGAGTTGGGATCTGCCGGTTTGTATATGTTTAGGCAGGTCCCGTGACTCGAATTGACATATCGATTGACGAAAGACGACGTTGATCGAGAGGGATGCACTTAGTAGGCGATCTTCTCCTCGTAGATGGGGGGCTCGCCCTTCTCGATGTTCCATTGGATCTTGCAGTTCTCATCGAGCCAGGACTCGTCGTCTGTGATGGGAATGACGCGCATTGTGTGGGCGACTTCCTGGCTACTGATACCGAGAGAATCACGGGGAATCCAAAGGAGAGGAGCCTGGGAAGAGATGGAGGGATGGCTATAGGCATCACGCTCGGCTTCTGCGGAGTAAGTGGGCATGTGTTCCGAGGTGGGAACCAGCTTGCGCAGTTCGTGGTAGCTGTTGTACCGACCCGGTTGGAAAAACTTGGTGAAGATGTTGGCCTTGGGAGGGGTGGATGGGGTTCCGGTCAGACCCTTCTCAGCCGAGTCGACGTTGCCAACACCGTTGTCGGGGACAGCCACAGTAGAGCCGGTGGGGGCACGCATGTCGTCGGACTGTTCATCAGACTTGAAGTTGCTCTTCTCAGCAGCAAGGAGAGCCTCCTCTTCAGCCTCGAGGTTCTTGGGTAGGTAGTTCAGGAGGGGCTCCATGGCGCCGTTCATCGAAATGTGGTATAGGATGACAAAGACAAGGAAGATAATCTCCAGAATCAGAGGACCGACGGCAATCTGGTTGGCACCGGAGGCCATGGCGAACAGACCGATCAGACAGACCATCAGAAGGTAGCAGCCAACGGTGAGGTGCTGCAGACCACGGGTGTAACATCTACCCTGAGTGTCGATGTTTGCGTTCGACACGTACAGGAAGTTGTACCGGTACGCGAAGTAGAAGAGGTACAGACCAATAGTGCCGAAGCCCATGACCAATGGGGCGATGCAAGAGTAGGTAATGGCTGCGAAGAAGTCAGCAATGGCTCAAAACCATACAGTCATGTGGGTTACACTTACCAACCACAGTCAGCAAAGTGACGGCAGGGTAGACGGTACCCCATCCGAGACCAGCCAAGTTCGCCCAACGGGTATAGATTTTACGGGGAGTGCTATCCAAGAACTTGCCCAGAACCTTGGAAAGGATCAGAGGAACAATCTGGAGCAAAGCACCGGAACTGAACGACAATCCTTGGAGGATAATGTAGGAAATGTAGAAGTTGGCCGAGAGAGGAATTTTGTTGGCCAGCAGCGAGGGAGCCGAAGAAGGGTCGTTGATGATAGACGTCACCACACTGGTGGCGGCAGAGGCCAGAGTAATCACCAGGAAGACCTGCACAACCTGGAAAGCGAAGAACCAGTTCTGAACAGTCAATTCGACGGCGGCAGCACTAGGAGCACCACCCCACTTGGCCATCAGGCGAAGAATGATAGGAACCAGAGCCATCAAGATAGACATCAGGACAACGGGCAAAAGACCGGTAATAACACCCTTGATCCATGAGGGGACATCGTTGATGAAGCTCAAGAAGTGAACCTTGTCGATCAAAGCGTTAATGTTGGAGATGGCACCAACAGCAGCAGTAGGAATGGCCCAGAAGATGATCAAAGCACACACAAAGGCAATAGTAGCGGCGTGACGACCGAGGCGCTCCCACCACTTGATGCGAAGGTTGGCCCAGATGACCTGAGAAGGATCCAAACCGATGTAGCGAGGGCTCATGTGCAGGGGGAGGTGGTGCGCGACAGACTGATAAGAGGCCTGGGCATCGGCCTGGTGGTGGAATTCAACAAAGATCGATGAGACCAACTTGACGTCACCAGCACGGTGCTTAGCCTGCAGTTCCTCAATTTCAGGGGTGAGACGCTCAATTTCGGCACGGCACCAGTTAATCGTGTCAACCTTCTTGCCAATGAGCATCTTGAGACGGTGAGTGGGGCGGTCCTTGGCCTGAACCCAGCGAGCAGCGACAGAGCCAGACTCATCATCGAACTGGCCATCACCAATGTCCGTCTCAGGGGTTTCGGCCGAGCCCTGCTTCTTCAAAGCCTTGTTACGGGCCTTGTTGGCCATGACAATGAGCTTAGTCTCGGCGCCCTCGAGCTTCATCGCAGCGCTATCACGATCCTTGACCTTCTCCTCAAGCTCCTTGGTATCAGAAGCAATCCACACATTCTTAACCTTGTCGCGGCCGAAAGTGATGCGAACCTTCTCCTTATCCAAGAGATCGGACGTGACCGCAGTGAACAACACGGTGCGGGAAGAAATGCGATTGGCATAGGCCGGAGAGAAGAGGTACGCCTGGCGCAAGTTGATATAGAAGATGTGCTCGCGCGTAATCAGGAAGAAGACAAACGCAACAAAGATCCACGAAATAAAGCAGTGCGCAAAGTAGCGGCCATACGAGTTCTCGCCAATGTTGGAAATCGACAGCAAGTTCAACTGCGTCTGGCCACCCCCGCCAGTGGCATTGACAGGCCAGAGCACCGGGAAGGTCATGCAACAGCCGACAAACAGCAACATGGAGCACATCTTCAGGAATCGCAGCAGCAGATACGCGTCCATCGAGTGGTGCTGCAGGACGTATGTATCCGGGAGCTTGTACATGGCCTTGATCCAATCCACCAAGCCAGTCGGGGTGTCGGGGGTGCGCTCCCAGCCGCGCAGGTAGCCAATGTAGGTTCGGGGCATGTACATTCTGCGATTGGTCTTTCGCAGGATAATGAACAGCACCACCATCACGACGAACGAGATCAGGGCCGGGACGAGGGTCGTCACCAAGCCTGAAGCTGAAGGCGACGTTGACGACGGGTCATCCTGGGTGATTTTGTCAGTAAACAAGCTTTCAGCTGTTGCGACTAGGTACCACGAACCGCGCGAGCCATCAGTCGGTGAACGCCGACGTCGGCCATTGTGAAGAATGAAGTCGATGTGGAAAGGGTAGATAATATGTTCACAGGTAATCGCTACTGTATGTCGAAGGGGGTTGAGTCTCCCCAGGTGTGAACAGGAAAGAAGAGAAAAAGAGAGGAAGGATAAGGTTGCGAGAGGGGCATGTTTTACGATCGATCTTCCAGTCTACGTAATTGGAGCATCTCTCTTACCAGGGGGGTCTAGTCATTTTTTTTTCTCTTTTTTTCCCTCATTTTTCCCTGTGATTTTTACACTATTTTCAGTTAGAGTAGGCGCTGACGACCAAATTACTCTAGCGTTACTCTCTCGGACCTCCACTCCTGGTGGCGACTGCATCCAGACTTGGGACTTGAAATGGAGAGATGCGACCTGTGAGAGCTTGGTTCCTCGAGTCAATGACTCCATTTCCCCTCTCTTGCATGATTTGAGAGTGCCTGGAGATATTGCACACTTTCATCTCTCCCAGCCCCCTTTCTGCGGATCGGAGAAGACCGACCGCCACATCTCCAGCCACACAGCTATCTCCAAGCTATTGGACACTTCACCCCGTCGATCATGACGATTGGCCAGCAGGGATGTTGCATGGTTACGCAAGGAGCACAAACGTCCTCTGTTTCACACCTACTGTATTTTCATCGTCGGTTCGATCAGTCCCATGGAGAATCCAGGGGTCATGACTCCACCAGCAGAGGTAAGTTCTCGTCGGAAAAGACACCCAGATAGCAGCATTCGGGAGCATATTAGCACGGCAAAGAGTACGGAAGACGCGCATGGTGGAATTCCTGGGACATGACAATTAAGGTTGCCAGCTCAATTATGCGGTCTATCATACAGTGTAGACTGTACAAGGTCAGTCCCAGAGCAAGGATCAACGACGAATTTGCAATAGCTGGGCCGCTAACAGTAGCTAGTGGGTTGCACTATTGAGGATCTGAGCCGAGATTGGCAGATCGGGTCCTTTCAAAGGTATGGCCCTCACATGTGCACACATCGTGTCGCTTTTTTTTCCTTTTTCTCTTCTTCTTCTCTTTTTTTTCGGTGCATTTCTCAGGTCTCTTCCATTCCACCCCCTTCACCCCAGATCATAACAGGGCTGCATATTCGCGCCACCACTGAAAAGGGGGGGAGGGATCGGGGAATCTACTACATACTGTGGTCGGCGGAATGCGCATGAACCATGGGCATCGAGTCATGGATATAGTCCAATCAGTCGTTAGAATAGTCAGTTAGTGTCCATATCTAATGGAGATCGGCGATCGCACACGTTCAATGTTGGGGATTTGAAGGGATTTCCCTGTCGGAGGGTTCCATCATGTTTGCGGTGGACTAGTTTCGGAAGAACCAATGTTCGCGGTCTTCCAATGCCCAAGAACAGAATTGATCTCTGTGCTCGCCCGAGGTTACAAGCAAACTGCCCATGGTTCCACTCCCGAGCCCGTGGTCTCTATGACGATTACACTTTCCCAGAAACCCACTGGGCTGGGTGATATCACATTGAAAATACGGTAGAAAAAAATGGAAAATAGGAAAGATAAAATGTAGGAAAAAAAAAAAAAAAACACACAGTTGAAAAATATAATAATTATTGCATATTATGGGCTATGGAGCTCCTCTTCAAAGACCTTCACCCCCCGGATAGGTGTGTGCAGCGAGAGGAGACTCATGAGGATCTCGTTAAATTGGAATTGAAGGTCCGGTCGGAGTTGCTTGTGACATCGGAGCAACTCGCCTGTCGACCAAACGCGTTCGGGGTCCCGTAAATCGGAATCATACCCTTCCTCCAGCAGTAACCAGAGGAGCGTTTCGCAAGCAGGATCCTGGTCCAGGTGATGTTGTCTCACCATGGCGCACACCTGTGCCAGGAACCGATTGGCTTTATCGGAGGAATCTTGCAAGTACCACAGTGCCGCAGTGATATAGATGAGGGCGGCGGTGCGACTGACCTCTTGTGTTTGTGCGTCGCGAACCACATAGATGCGCCAGGCCTGCGGGACCTGGGAGGGACGCGGCCCGCTGGACAGGAGAGAGAAGAGTGGGCTCTCCATTTGGAATGCTTTGAGTCGGTGAGGGGCTTCGGAGAGGTATTCGGGGGTACTTTGCAGTTGCATTAGGTCTTCGGCGCCACGGAGAAACGTGAGTAGCCAGTTCTGCTCGGGCAAGGTGATCTTGGGGGTTTCGGGGGTTGTAATGTATCGGACGTAGTGTATGAACGTTTCCACGGGCGGGTTGCTTCCAGTTCGTGGCCGCATAAGTTGAACGGCTTGATCAATATGCCCTTGCGCTTTCTGTTTACTTCCAAATCGTTCCTCGTGCAAGGCCATTCCAGCCCATGCCATGGCAAGATCATCCGGCTTTGCTTTCATGGAGCCCGAGGTTGCCTCTTCAATGAGTTGGGTCGCTTGACCGACGTGACGCTGTATTTCCAAGCTGTCGGTCATGCCGTATAGTTGTGCTTTCCACCGCGCGCAGTATGCAAGGATGACCGCTTTGAATGAGAGAGGGTTTCCCATTGCCGTTCGAAATATCTGGTTCTTTAAATAGAGGTTTTGTCCGGACCAATATGTTAACTTGCTTGTCCAAAAGTCGGCCAATTCAAGATCCTCAGGGTCATATTCCACCGGGAGACTGTCGAATGGATCTTTTCGAGAAGCATCGAGTATTGTGATAGGCGAACCAATGTGTAGTGGTAGAGGCTGTGAGGGCGGTTTCACATTGGAGAATCTAATTTGAAGTTGCTGCACATCACATCAGTATCCATCTCCATCATTGATATCTAATCCCACAGCTAGGCTGACACAACCTTCACTGGGAGCAACGGGAGGAAACATATTCCCATACCGAAAATTGACTGTCGGAAGAAGGCTCAAGTGCAGTCGAGGACGCATCTGATTCAGTATCGGCCATAAGTCCTGCATCTGCCTTCACGGGCCATGCGATGCCACCGGAAGCTTGTTCCGCAGAGCCATGCGACATCTTGCGCTGCTTTCTTTTCTCTTGCACATGATGACGCATAACATGGGCGCGCTTTTCCTTAGAAGACGAATTCGAGTCGACAAAGTAAAAATGCTGACTTTTGGGTGGTTTGTTCTTCAAGTCGGGGGCGCGTCGTCGGCGTCCCGCTTTGGAAGGTTGAGAGCCATTGCCAGAGGTTGCTAAAATGAAGATATCTGCGTTAGCCACTTGTGACGTGCTCTCGTTTCTCTCGTGCGAGAAAAAGCAAAGAAGAGCATACCCGAAGCTTCCGCCTCAGGCTGGCCCGGAGGGACAGCACTCGAGGCCAGTGTTGATTTCACCAACGGCTCCTCGTTCCCAGACATGTCGAGATGCGGGAGATAGAAGACTTCCTTCGACGTGCAATTTATCACAGGTGCATGCCGAACCGACGATCAACAAAATTCCTCCAGTCAAGGACGCGGGATTCGGAAGAAACCATCGCAAGATGCACGTCCTATAAGGTCACAGGGTCAGAGGTCAGACTATCAAGGAAGGGTTTCGGAAGGAAGGATGTGGCCCTAAAAGCCAAAAAAGGTAATTATACATACTTTGTAATGCAAAGCGAGGGGGGGAAGGAAATCCCCGAGGGGGAAATGACATATGATATAAGACTTAAATGCAGCTGCAGGTGTTGGGGGAGAGGGGGATTTTGAACCGGCAGACAGCGAGATCCTTGTGGGCCGAGATAGACCCATACGGGAAGACTCTCGGATCAGGTGCAGTGGCAGAGTAGACGTTGAAGAAACCAAGCAAATGGGCTCTCCAAACGCAGCCACTTTCCTGGATGGGACGGAGATCCGACCATTCCCAGCTCGGGTGGAGGGGGGCCATATTAAGTAAGCAGTATCTACTATTACCCGATTGGGACATAGGTCTGCGTGGTCGACTACATCAGCCTGTTCCCTCCTTGTTTGCCTCCAGGGCTGGTTGGATACATCTCATTCTGTGGGTTGGATGCTGCAAGTCAGAATACGAGATTGATATCTTTCTAAACGAGCCATTCTCAACCCTGGCTGTCAAAGGTACCAGGGAGTCAGCTGCATGAAACGCAGATGCCAAGCTTGAGGCGGCGGTAATAAAGACTTAACACGATGATACTAAGTGGCTACACTAGTGACTTGTCGTATGCAACCTTGGCGCCTTCTCCTTCCAATCAAAGTGTTTTCTCCTTTAGGCTCCGTAGATTGAGTTGAATGCCCCTACTAGTATATAAATGGATTACTATCACATACCTTAAGAAGGTTCCAAGTCAACTGACACAAGAGGATACAACCCCTTGGCAGCACTATCAAGCCTAATAAGATGATATCTCTCGATAGCATTACTATAATCGAAGTGGTTTCACTCGCCCCTCGCCACTCACGGTATTGCAAATTCGCGCAAACCCCGTCAACCCTTTTTAACTCCACAGCGAGTTCTTCACGATCACGATGCCAAGATCTCTCCACTTGCCTCTAAACCAATGGTTCAATTCACAACGACCATAATGGAGCCGTGCCACGTTGTTGACTCCCAGTGCCGAGGGAGACATCGGGTTCGGATTTCATCTGCCAGACTGAAGCACGCAAGGAGCTAGATCCGGCTTAAGATCCATCAGCTCAGCCACAACCGACTATTGAGTTTAGGACAGACCACTCATCAACCATACAGAGAGCCGAATCTGATGCCAAGCTCTCGTGCGAGACTCTTCTCCGCTAATTTACCAATCAATAATATAGGGCTCAACAGGATTGAATTGGAATTGCCGGGTTTGCCGAGGTGTTGGAGCAAGACACGGCTGGATTGACAAGAGCAATTTGAAACGTCACCATAGTCCTTGGGCCCACTGTAGGGGCCTTTTTCTCTCACCCGTCTGCAGATCCTTCGCCGGGATGTGTACAGTAGTGTAGGGGTACTACGGCAGATGCATGTATATCCGAATTGGGCGGCAATCGCGAGCTGACTTGAGATTGCTGCAGGATCCAATACGGGTTTGATAGCCACAAAGCAAGAGGCATTACAATGAGTTGATACAGTTTCTTTCACGCAAATTACTATATTGCATATGATGTTTTGACATCTGACTGGTTGGTTCCTGGATGCTTGTTTTACCATGATCTACAACCCTCATGGTAGCAAACTGTAGTCATGTATGCTTGACGATCGGCCCAAAGAGTAATATATCTCTTTGGCATAGCTTATAGTCTGAATAGTTAACGTTACCCTTTCTAGGGATGACACATCTAGCGGTGAGGGGGATTAATTTGTCTTTAGATTGCACACCAACCAGAAGAATTCTCTCAAATCAGCGGCAATGGGGTATAGATTCAAATTTCCGCGGGGGCCGTGGGCCACGGGGCTTTGCCTGAATTTTAACTTCAGGGACTGACCTTACATAATAATTACATAATACCTGCATTGAAGTCATCCTTATGTAATAAAACCACTTAACGCGTCGGGGCGGATTAATTGTTCTGCCGTTTACGCGTTCGCGTCGCGCGTTGCCTAAGGAGACCCGCGAAAAACTATGATAGCAATCCCACCAAGTCCGCGCTATCACCTCTCCACATTCAAATTTCAGACGTGAGAGCTTGATACCCCCTTTCAACCGGCCCCATTTAGGCCGCTCGCCCTCTGTCATGTCTTCGCTATTTGATGCTGTGATCCAGTCCGAGCTGGGCTCTGGCCCTGCTCGTGAGAACTTCCAATCCGATAACCTCCCTAGCTCTCGGCGCTCGGAGAGCAATGGTCCAATGAGTGATATGAATGCTTTCCCTGATGACCGTGTCGTGGGAGCTGGCAACTCAGCAGTCAGCCGTCTTCGAAACCCCTATGCCCCTGGCCCCCCACCCGTAATCGACGAAGCAGGAGAGAAGGTTCAGCAGAATTTCGAGGAGCTGCTGGAGACATTCGTGGATGAGCCTCCATCATCAGCGCCCCCCTCGTCGGGACAGGTTCTCAGCAAAAACTACTACATTGCGCAGATCAAGGGCATGAAGAAATTTGAGCTATCGACTCTCTATGTCGATTTCACCCACCTCACATCCTGGGAGAATCCTATCCTTGCAGATGCCATCGCCACACAATACTACCGATTCCAACCCTTCCTCACCAAGGCGCTCCACAACCTCATCGCCAAGTACGAACCAGAATATTTTGTCTCCCACCGATTGACCGCTAGCGCTTCGTCGCAAGCCAGCACTTCCGTTGCCTCCGCATATGCAGGCGTTTCTGACAACCCCGACCTCGAGCGTCAAATCCGCGAAAAAACCCGTCACCAGCAGACCGACAAGCTGTTTGCCCTTGCATTTTACAACTTGCCATTGGTTTCCAGACTGCGACAGCTTCGGACAAACCAGATTGGAAAATTATTGTCTATCTCGGGTACTGTCACAAGAACCTCAGAAATTAGACCGGAATTGTCACTCGGAACATTTATTTGTGAGGGTTGCAAAACTGTTGTCCCGAATGTCGAGCAGACCTTCAAGTACACAGAGCCAACAGAATGTCCAAATAACACCTGTGGTAACCGCGTGGGATGGCGCCTGGATATCGGAAAGAGTACGTTCGTTGATTGGCAGAAGGTCAAGCTCCAAGAATCATCACACGAGATCCCTACTGGAAGCATGCCACGGACAATGGATGTGATCTTGCGTGGTGAGATGGTTGACCGTGCCAAGGCCGGTGAACGCTGCATCTTCACGGGTACCTTGATCGTCGTCCCCGATGTCAGTCAACTTGGTCTTCCCGGTGTTCGTCCTGAAGCAGTCCGTGACAACGGTTCTTTCCGAGGCAACGAGGTTGGCGGAGGCGGCGTCTCCGGATTGAAGTCCCTAGGAGTCCGCGATTTGACCTATCGTCTGGCCTTCCTTTCTTGCATGGTCACCCCCGACACTACTACCCCCGGACAGAAACCGGAACAGCAATTGAGTGGCCAGTCGAACAACATCTTGGCTTCCTTGAACCAGAACCAGGAGGCTGATCCCGGTGATGAATCTGCCCAAGAAGCTTTCCTGCAAAGTCTCACGCCTGCTGAGGTGCAAGACCTCAAGCAGCTTGTGCACTCAGAATACATTTACTCTCGGTTGGTGGACTCGATCGCACCGATGATTTGGGGCCATCGCCAGATTAAAAAGGGTCTCCTTTTGCAATTAATTGGCGGTGTTGCCAAATCAACAGAGGCTGAGAGCCTACAACTTCGTGGTGATATCAACATCTGTATTGTCGGTGATCCCTCCACCAGTAAGAGTCAGTTCTTGAAGTATATTTGCTCGTTGCACCCCCGCGCAGTCTACACCAGTGGTAAAGCTTCTTCCGCTGCTGGTTTGACTGCTTCCGTCGTGAAGGATGCCGAGACAGGAGAATTCACAATTGAAGCTGGTGCCCTGATGCTTGCAAACGGTGGTGGTATTTGTGCCATTGACGAGTTTGACAAGATGGATATCCACGACCAAGTCGCCATTCACGAAGCCATGGAACAGCAGACCATCTCTATCGCCAAGGCTGGTATTCACACCACCCTGAATGCCCGCGCATCTATTCTCGCGGCTGCCAACCCCGTTGGTGGTCGTTACGATCCCAAGCAAACCCTTCGCAACAATTTGAACTTCAGTGCCCCTATTATGAGTCGTTTCGATGTGTTCTTTGTCATCCGCGATGACCCCAAGGAATCCGTTGACCGCAACTTAGCCGAACACATTGTCAATGTTCATATGAACCGTGATGAGGCTGTCGAGCCTGAGTTGAGCACCGAACAGCTGCAACGCTACATCCGCTTCGCACGCACATTCCGCCCTGTTTTCACCGATGAAGCAAAGACTCTCCTGGTTGAGAAGTACAAGGAGCTACGCACCAACGATGCCCAAGGTGGCATCGGTCGCTCTTCTTACCGTATTACAGTCCGTCAGCTCGAATCTCTGATTCGCTTGTCAGAGGCCGTCGCTAAGGCCAATTGTGTTGAAGAAATTGTACCCAAGTTCGTCATCGAAGCCTACGATCTCCTCCGACAGAGTATCGTGACCGTCGAGAAGGATGATGTTGAGATGGACGAGGAAGTGCCTGGTGGCACAAATAACGCCGATGACGACCACGAGATGGGAGACGGTGATAACGAAGGCGACAGCCCCATGCGCGATCTCGAAGCTCCCCAAGCCCCCGCCCAGCCCGAGCGTCAAAAGACCAAGATCACCTACGACAAGTATGCCAAGATCCTAAACAAGATTGTGAGACGTGTACACGAAGACGAAGTGAACTCCGGCGAAGGTGTCGAGCAAGAAGATCTAGTACTTTGGTACCTGGAGCAGATTGAAGGCGAATTGAACACGGCCGAAGACTTGGAGCGTGAGCGCGAGTTGGCTGTTAAGGTCATGAAGCGTATGGTCAAGGTAAGTCCCACGTTTGCATCATCCTATGACGCACAATCACTAATTTAATGGTTCTCTAGGACAAACTTCTGCTGCGCATCTCTGGATCCGGCCTCATGGACGATCCTACACCTCAGCAAGACGAGGGCAAGGTCCTTTATGTCATGCACCCTGACTGTGCCTTCGAGGAAATGTAAGCACAGATATTCTACTCTGCTTTCATCTCGAGGGCTGGTTACGTGTTTCTTCTTCTATGCAGTCTGTCTTATGGTGCTTGATCGTGGTTTAGCATTTTCAACGGGTTAAATACAAGGAGCAAGGGGTTATGAGTGATGATATCCGTTTTCTTTCGTCTTATGCTTTTTAATAGGACATGAATGATATTCAATTATATATTCAAATTCTTTTGACCCAACCATTGTAAATGAACAGAACCCTTTGGACTCGGAGGCTCGATTTGATAACCACTGTGGAGACACCAAAGCGGTAAGTTATATTAGCTCGGCAAATTCAGGCGGTGAGCTACTGATTTCGGCATTGCGGAGTGCATTTGGCCAATCAACATCCCTGAAATCTCGATAGCATCGACCTAAAGATAAAAAAAAATACAACACTGCAACTCATCAATCATGTCGCACGTCATGGAGCATCCCTCTCGGGCTAAGAGAAGAAAGCTTGATGACCCGAAACCAGCTGAACAAATTAACATTACATCCGCTGCCCAGCTCCGTGAGCTGTTGGCCGTCCAGCAGAATGCCCCGTTGGCGAGGCAAGGTGAGCCAGACAAGCAACTGCAGGGACCTACAGACAAGTTGACGTGATTCCAGGCATTGTCAAGTTCAAAGAGTTTTTGGTTTCAATCCGACAAACAGAAAAGGACCATGATAAAGCGCAGAAACTGCGCGTCCTCAAGTCTTATTGCGACAAGCAAATCAGTACCCCCACAAAAGAAGATGAGACTGCTGTCTGCTTCCCAGATCTCATTGCATCTTGGGCCTTTGGCGATGGCAATAACAACGAGCCCCTGTTGACCAATGTGCCTTCCGTTCTCGCCATTTTCCTCAAGACCATCTCCTCAGAACTGGAATTCCGGGATTTCGGAATCGCCCTATGCAAACATCTCCTGCAGAAAGACCAGCTGCGATTGTTCAATCGCGGATTGACGGCAACAAAGACAAAGGAGCACCTGATCTCTCCTTGTCTTCGTTTGCTCACTGAGATCGTGACCTTCGATGGAGGCGCAGTGGCGCGCCAGCTGTACCTTCGCCGTTACATTACTTTCAAGCGAATGGAGGTCTTTTTGATTCCAAACAAAGCACAGGAAAGTGAGGATGAGTCTAACAAGTCAACACTCAGGCGCAATGCTCAGCGATATTTGCTTGCGAACTTGAGGGTGCAGCATGCATCCGAGAAGGGCGATATCATTGAGCAGCACAAGATCACTCGGTCCTTCCTTGAACATATTCGAAAAGATTCTCGTGAAACTGTGATGGAGATCCTCAAAGCCATTGAAAGGGATGTCGTGCAAGACGCCGGACTATCCCGGAAGTCGAAGAGCAAGTTCTTTAACCGCCACAACCTGGAACGATTGGTCACCCTGTACGGCTATGACCGTGAATCAGATGAGCCCAACCCCGATGGAGTCTCCATTGCCAATGAGATTCACCGCATTATGATGAACATCTGCAAGACTGCCGGACTTGGTGTGCTTTTGCCTGAGACAGGCTGGTACCCGACTGGAACTGACCCTGAGACTCTGCCCGCTGACGACGATGCAAGCATTGAATTGGGTCTTGATTCCCCAATCTATGTGGACAAGTACAGAGAGTCTGTCCCCGTGCGAAACGGCTCTCTTTCTTTCCTAATTCAGTGTCTTCGTCCCGATGTGGATAGTCTCCAGATTGAATTGTTGATTACGATCTTCAAGGTTGCACCAGAACTCATTGCCGATTACTTCACCAGAAAGACTATGTTCATTTCGGACCCGAAAGCCTCGCCTTCGTGGATGGCTGAGTCTGCCTTCCTCTTCTCGACTGTTCAATTGCCGGTTCCGGCAAACTGTGGTTGGAAGGATAAGCTGCCCATTCTGCCCCCACCAGTGTCAATTGCCATTGAAAACATCATCCCTCGTCCTCTCAGTCAGAAGATCATGACCCGCTGCCTGAACCAAAATGCCGAGATCATTACGCTTTTCGCCGTCCGGATTCTGACACTCGCATTCACCAAGTTGCGGACTGTTCTGAAAATTTGGCAGGGAGAACATGGCCAGGGGCAGCTTTTCTGGAATCAGGCCTCTTCCAAGTTGCTCGCGGAGTTTTCTCGCCGCTGTCCCTCTATTAAGGATGTCGTTGTTCTCTTCCGACGAACTGCTAAGGAGGACCTCTTGCAGCAGGAGGCGGTTGCCGAGCTCCTGACATGCTACTACGAAGTGATGCCAGATATTGCCCTGGAGGAGAACTTTGACGTCTCTCTGGTTCTGGTGGATGTTCTAAAACGATTGGAAGACAAAGATGTTAGCGCAGACGACTCTGAGTCCCTTTTGAGTCAACTCCAGAGTCTTCTTCAGATCGCTCAGCAATCTGCTTCACTGCGTTGGTGGCAAAAACCCGCCAACATGCAATATTCACCCTTCACCTCGATTTTGAAGGTTCTCATGGATACTGCGGATAAAGACTCTTCGCGACGCATATCTACCCTGTTGAAGACTGTTTTGTTTGAGAATTCTATCTTGCAAAGCTCCCCACATGCATTCGCGTCTGTTCTGTCAAGTCTTGAGAACTCGGAGCCTGAGGCTCTGCATCATCAATTGGTCTTCTTTGACAACTGTGTTTCTCGTGTTGCTAAGAAGCCTGTCCACTATATTGATATGCTTGTATCGCTTTCCAAGGATGAATCGGAATCTGCCAGCGCTCTTGTGGCTGTTATTGTTGAACAATGGCCATTCCTTGTTAAGAATGGAGATGAGTCCATCGAAGTTGCCGTTGGGTCATGGGTTGCAAGCCTTCTGAGCAACCTCAAACAAGCTGGTGAAAGCATCAAGGTACTTAAGGCTGCTCGGGACGCGTTGATTGAAGCAACCGAGACCAAGAAGGTCAAGTCGCTTCTTAAGAAATCTCTGAAAGGCGCAGAGGATGCCGATACGGAAGACAAGATGGAAATTGACGCCGGCTCCAGTGTGCCATCAACTACCAAGGCTCCTAGCGTCGACCTCGACGAGATCTTCGGATTCCTGCCCACTGAAGGCACCACCCACAATGCCTTGAACAAGTGGGAAAGAGAAGAAGTCGAACAAGCCGTGGAACAAGGCCGCATCGCCGAATTGATTCTCTGCCTCTGCTCCCAGCACGAAGAAGTCCGACGACAGGCATTTGCTAACATCGTGCGCTTTATGGCGAAGCTCAAGGAATCGAAGTACGCAGAATGGCGCACGGTGTACACACTGACTGGAGAGCTTCTCGAGACGGTCAACACCATTGGCATGGAGAAGCCCGTTCCTTGGATTGTTGGCGAATGCGCTGCAAACTGCCTTGCGGTTCTCACAAACCCTCTCCACAAGGTCTACGGCAAAGTCAACAAGTTCTTGCAGAAAGCACCATCATGGGAAGTCGAGAAAATCCCCACATACTGGGTCGACAAGATTCTGCTCCATGAGCCTGAATTGGATGACGGCTATTTCGATGAGATTGACTGGTTGCTTGGTCTCTTTATCAAGGCACTCCGCACCGAGGCTGTAAGTCACCTAAAAACAGTCCTTTATACAAGAGAGACACCAGCTAATACATAGTCTACAGGATATGGAAGTATACAGACGTGCAAATGTCTTTGAGCGCATTCTTTCCCTTTACCAGTCCCCCACTCTCGGCCCAGCTGCTCAACGCAAGATCCTGCACATCATCTACCGTGCAGCCCAAGTCGGCGGTAGCACTACCCTGATCACCCGCTCCGGTGTCATCAGCTGGATCCAGATTCAAGCTGCCGAAGCCAGTGCAAAGGATGTTCCCCTGCTCTCTGCCCTTGCGTCATCACTGTATAAGACTTGTGATCGGGAGCGTGTGGATAGCTGGAGTAACGGGACTCTTGGACGAGTCATTGATGGTATTCAGGGACAGGCATAGGACTTGGAAGTCCTGTAAAATAATAGATTGTTTGCATAGCACCATAAGGAATCTCAGCGTTTGATTTCATGTTCGGTCCTGCAGTAAGGTAGTGGTTTGTCGTCATACATCAGCTAGCTAGGAAGTCCAATAGGCATATGTAGTGATGCCCTTTTTTTTTTACAGTGAATAAAAAAAAATAAAAGATATGCTGCAATATTTGAGTGAACAGGCAACGATGTCGCTGTAGCCTCGGGACGACTCATATCGATGCAGTGAGCTGAAAAGCGCAACTGGTGGTTTTCCCCTTTTGGAGTATCCCACCAAAATCCCACGCTGGGCACCTCTGCTTTTCTTTCCCTTCAAATACCCTGTTCACCGCATTTCGAATCCCTGTTTCATCTAAATACCTCCGATCTGATAAACAAGCTCAAGGGAAAGTGGTTGACAGTGCAAGGTTCACACCCGAGCTCCGCCTCAGACACCGCCATCGCCACAAGGTGGCTTGTGGGCTTCTCCTCATCCGAACCTCTTTTCCCAAATACAACCATCTACGCCGCCCTGCTCCCATTCAGATCTTCCTAATCCTTTGATTACCTTAACCCTACCTCACAATCTGCTACAGCATCTTATTTTTCTCGAACCAATGAACGCATCATAATCGCGAAGAAAGCCCACACACGCACACCACGACAGAGCCGTCATGGCGCGACGGTATGAGATCGCCGAGCTGATATGGCTTCGAGAATCTCCCCTTGTCGTCAAGCCCACCGGACTACCTCCGATTGAAGAATGGATGTATGTGACCGCTGCTCCCAATTCCTCAGCTCGTCCCGCACCGTCCACATCGAGACTGACCGTACTATCCAGGCCACCAGACCAACCAACGCAGCGCAAGCAGCAAACCCCCCGTGACCCCCAAAACCCCAATGAAACCGGCACAGGCCGCCGGCCCAGCTTCTTCGAAGCGAAACATATCTCCCGAGGATCCAATTCAGGTACGAGTCTTTCCCTTATCGAACACTGGCGTCGTAATCATTTTCCCTTTGGACCACATCACTCATCCGATGTATTCGCAGAGGATATTGTACTTGGCCCTCCCAAGACTGCGTTCGCTTCATCCCGAATTGGTGGAAAAGGCTCCTTCGACTTGACCCCGGAACGACCAGTTCGGCAACTCGAAGTGGATGAGAAGAATGAAAAATTCAACTTCCGAGATCGGTTCTTCAAGGACCGCGATGCCACAGATAAAGATTTTGCTGGACGAGAGGTCAAGCCGGCGCCACTGAATGGCCGGCGCGGAGAGAGAGAAGACTGGAATGCTGGGCGCCCGCGTCGCACATTTGGTCCAGAAGAACAGGAACGCAAGCCGAGACGAAACGGCGAATTCGACAGATGGGAAAGCAAAGAAGGCCCTCGGGATCTCAATGCTGAACGAACCCCCCAGAAGGATGGCAGATTCCCCCCGCGCAAAGATGGACAGACCCCACGATCCAAATACGAAGGAAGCTGGTTCCGCGATGAGAACAACCCCAACAGTAACAGCAATAACCACGAGGGCACCGAGCTCGACGAAGACAAACCACCTCTGCGCAACCGAGAATGGCGCCAGAACCAAACCCGTCATGGCACTGAGCGCGAGTGGAACCGCGGTGCTAAACTTGAAACAGAGCCTGAATGGTTGGATACCAATGACAACGAGCCGCGACGAGCACATACCCAGGAGGACTTTGAGCGCTGGAAGGAGCGTATGAAGGCTGGATCGGGAGGAGCTTCTCAAGGTCCTCCGCAGACAGAGGAGAAGAGAGAAGCGCATGCTGAGCACAAGACAGAAACCCACCGTACTGATGGTGAGATTTTCAGTAATTCAGGCACTCCTTCCATGTCGGACAATTCTATGGAACGCTTCTTCGGTCTCTTGGGAGACGCCAAGCAACAGTACCAAGCTCCAGCTCCAGCTCAGGCCCCCGAGGTCAGCACTCCGAACTCTGCCGAGTCGATGGCTAAGAAGGATCCCTTCCCCTTCCCCGGAAAGCCTGGAAAGTCATCTCGATTCGCTGGCTTGTTCAGCCCTATGCCCGAAAGTCCTGCCAGGGAGCCTGCAGCTGAGCTCTACTTCCCCCCTCAGCCAGCACAGATACAGGCTCCCCCGCCGGCACCCGAGAGCATGCCTCTCCCTTCTCACAGTGCCGACCAAGAAGGTTTCCAGCGCATTTTGCAGATGCTTGGAGGTCAACGTTCAGGAAACTCTACACCTCAGCAGGCACCTCATTCTCAACCGAGACATCCCTCGTTGCAGGCAGAGCAGCAACGAGCTGCCATGGCTATGTCACCTCCCTCCAGGGATCCTCATCACCAAATGGACTTCATGGGCTCTGGGCCAGAGATTCCTCTATCTCAGGCCGGTTCCAAGGATCCCCAGTCAATGGAGAGAGCACACTTGCTTCGCTTGATGCAGCAGGTTCGAGTCGGCCCATCGCCAGTCGGAAACCCATCCCAGCAAACTCCTGGGGCTGGCATTGCTCCTCCTCCGGGTCTGATGCCTGAAGGCATGCCACGACCACCCCCTGGTCTTCCTTCACAGAAGACCCCAAGCTTTCTCGATGACCCGGCGATTGCGAACATGCAGCGCCCAGATAGCGAGCAACTTCGCCGCCGACCTGCCAACGGCCCACCCATGGGCTACTTTGATGATATGCCCTTCCCCCAGGGTAATCAAGGCCCTATGACTCCTGGTGGCCCTATTACCCCCGGTGGCTCACGGCCTCCGCAGGGTCCCCCCATGGGTCTGCCACGACCCCCGGGGCTGGACCATCTGCCTCCTCCTGGGTGGACTGGTCAGCCCGGTCCGCACCAGGGCAACGTACCAAGCCCCATGGGTCCACCTCCCGGCATTCCCACTCCTGGTCGTGGCATGAACCCCAACTTCCCACCTGGCATGCTCCCTATGCCCGGTAACGCACCTCCGCTCAACGAGCGGCAAGCCTTCCCTCGTGGCCCACCTCCTGGCATGATGCCTCCTCCAGGATACATGAACGGTCCTCCCCCCGGCTTCCCTCCTATGCCACCCAACCCAGAAGCCATGATGGGACTTGGGCCTGGAGGTCAGGGACCTTTCGGCCCAGGAAACTTAGGACCGCAAGGCCCCCCTTCGTCCCGACACCTGCTTGACATGTTCGGCCAACCCAACGGTGGTGACCCCCGCGGCGGCATGGTCGGCCCCGGCCCATTCAGGTAGACGGTGACGTCGTAGAAACACCTTGACTACATTTACATTACCCATCCACTGCCACATCCGCAATTTTATTTTTACCTGCGCCAGTTTTTGCTAAAGTCAATGTAACCACCTACTCAAGATCTCTGTTTCTCATCTACGCCCACCAGAACCACACAGAACGCACACCCTCTATTTGAGATCAAAAAACGTCCGTTTCATGATCATGCCCCGTCGTCCCCTTCTCTCCTTGTGTATTTGCTGATCTCTTCGGCACGTCGATGCCCATGTCTGATAACTGTTTCCCACCCTACCCCCGCGTTTAAGCCTTTGCTGCGTTGGCTTTGGCTCCCTTGTGATTTTCTTCTGCATTGTTCACAGGGTTCTCTTGTTTCTTATTCGGTGTTCTTGAAGCCTCTAAAAGGGCGCGTGCGTTCTCGTTGTGTGCTGGCTATATGGAATGAATGATTATGACCGTCTCCCCTTCTCATTGCGGTTATGGAAATGTGTCGATGAAGCTTTCGGTGGATTGGTTGATAAATCTATTATCTATGGTCTTTGGGGCTTCCGGCCTTGGCTGGTCTCCGGTAGATCTCCGCGTTCCTTCCCATAGATGATGGTCTTCATCAAATCTATCTATTGCTTGGTCGAGATTTCGATTTGATTGTTGTTGTAGCGTGACCGTAGTTTACAGTAGGTCGGGATTCTTCGACTAACTAGCTTACGTAGTTCTTTGTTTAGATAAGTCTATCCCAAGTTTAACGTTGATTATGGGACAGACGCTTGCCAGGCAGCTTTTCAGAGAAAATACTGCAGGTCTTTTCCGATATACTTCAGAGGCAGGAATGTGTCATGCACGGGTCTCCAACGACAGAAGCACATTTTTCTCAGGCCGACTTTTCTCTCTATTCATCTGGTGTTTTTAATGTCATTGGTCATTGGGTCATAGGTCACGGCCTTTGACGTGTTGTTCTTCATCTTGTAATACGAAGGTCACGAAAGAACAGTTATATCCTTATTTTACACAAATATGAGCGGTTCTGTCAATCAATATTGATCCAAACATTAAACTCAGAGGAGTCAAGAGTGACTGTAACATTGGAAACAGTCATGTAAACAGCGTTGTGGGTAGCCTGGACGCTAGCAAAGCAGTAAGGTAGAGCCTTCAGAAGTGCAAGAAACGGTAGTCTGCAGTGTACCACGAGTAGAAACAGACTATGCACAAGGTGCTCAATTGAAACATGCAGGGTTCCCGAGGAAGTAACTTATGTATGTTTGTTTGATCGAGTAACATTACAATGCTTTTTAATCTGTAGTTTACAAATTTTTGATGGAATATACATAATTTTTCGCTTTAGACAAACAATTTCAAGGATTAATAACATTTGTTTTTTATTGTTAATCACTATGTATCACGGTCTATTGAAATCAAATGGTTGTTATATAAGGGCTCTATCATCCACGTGATGAACTTTGCCCGCATTAGGATATCACTCACTGAACCTCGTGTACTAGTCATGTACAGGCAGTATATAGTAAAGCAGGCTTAGCCTATCCCATACCTTTCCTCGAACCAGACTTTCACTTAATAAGATATTTCACCAATGAGTATGTAAAGTGGTGATCCGTAAAAGTTGTCAATGTGGTGCCGTGTCTGAGACTCTGATTTGTATTTTGGTTTATTGATTAGCGGTGATAAGGCAGTCATCGAAGCTCATTCTGTAAAATCAGTAATTCTTTGATACAAGTTGAAAAGAATAATTGCTGCGTCTTTTATCGATGTCCTCGAGGCCGCCGCCCCGAAAATGTCGGTCGAGTCCAGACATAATGTACCTATCGTGCCCTCGATACACATGATGACAAAAGGTTCGAGGTAGTAAACAGTTCATTCGCTCACACTAAACATCTTTCATTGCCCTACACATTGCTTTCATTCCAATGCCGCCCAAGTGACTACGCATTCGACCCAAGATCTCTATCATCAAGATTTCCACACACTGCGGCAATTGCTCTGCACTTTTCAGACTTTACTGTTCGGTGCTTTGATTCCAATCCGAGAATCGAAGGTACTTTATTGGGACTGTGTTTTGATCGGCTCAAAAACCAAACAACAAAACAAAATGACCTCGAGAGATCTGGGGGTCCAGCTCGTGATTGACCAGAACCGTGTGAGCCAACACAATAGATCCCCTCAACTCGTCTACCCAATACCCTTTGACTGACCACCGACAACCTATCCCGTTTTCTCATGTCACAGGTCGCAAGTATTCAATCCAACTTTGTGTCTTCACCTATGCTACCCTCACCTGTGCTCCCCTCTACGAATGTACCAAATCACGATCAGCCAGTGTCCATGTCGCCTAGTCCTCGCGTCAAACGCAAGCTACACGAGATGATTCTACGATCCGACACTCGTCAAGCTTCAGAAGACGCTATCCTGCTGTCATCTTCCCCGTTGTCATCTCCTCCCTCCTCCTCGGTGATAGAAGCCGGTCGACCAAGTACCTATGAGCCAACGCTAGCAGGTAAGTCCTCCGTATTCATCCAGGATGGCATACCATCCCGAGTGTCTAGCAGCGTTTGGCTAATGTGATACAACCAGGGAGCCATTCAGTTCATGAGACGGAAGCACGACAGCCTCCCGAATCCCTGCGCCGTTCTTATCGTGGAGCCTACTCAACTCCAGCTCAATTCCCAGTCACCCCAACTAGCAACGGAAGTCGAGTGTGGGCAACGCGCCACCCAGCCAGCCAAGACTTTATCATTTGGGAAGATGCCCACAGGGGCCAAACCCCCATCTACATACAGGAAGACGAACCCCTAAGCTTCAGCCCACAGGACGAGGACAAGGAAAACACCTTTGCCACACGCTCTGACCTAAGCTCTTCCGATGAGGAGACCCAGCAGTCTCGCACCTTGAGTCGGAACACAGCAAGCCACCGTGATGCATTTGGCATCCCTTTAACCCATCCAATTTCCGACTTTGTCGACAGCACCCGCACAAACCCCGAGCCTGAGCCTGTTACTCACCCTCGGCGCGATGTATTGCGAGCTATCTGGGTTCTCGAGACGGAAGATATTGGAGAGACTTCGGGAATTTACGATGGAACTGTTTCGCAGACGCAAATCCGGGAGGTTGAAGAGGTCGAGGCTGTTTACCAGCGCGGCTATCAGAGCCGTGCTCGCAATAACCGTCACTCTGCCTTTCGTCATGGTACGGCTGTTCAGGCTCAGACTAACTTCAACACTGATCTTCGTCGAATCTTTGAGCCGCAGCGTCGTGAATCTCGTCGTAATGTTCCCGATGGGGATGGGGGTGAGAATTAGTATTAGGATGATATGGCCTTGACTTTGTTTATTGAGTGGTATTGAGTGGTTTCTTTCTGTCGGAAACACTCTGATATTGAATTTCTTTTATCCGTTTCGATACTGCTGTTGTGTTCTTCGATGTGTATGTATGAATATTGGTTTCATGGTCACCACGCTATTACTATTATCATATTACTCTCCTCTTTCCTGATTTCTCTCGGAGTCATATGTCTAGATCTAGGCTGTTTTCTCCAAAGAAAAACACAAAACTTGTAACAGTTAGAAAAAGTCCGATACATCGTCTCCAACCAAAGACCCATTGATCACAGCATTCCATTCCGGCAAGAACGGGATCCCCGATTCCGAAAATTCCCAAGAGGAGAAGATGCTTTGATTTGAATCAGCAGTTAGATCCTGCTCGTTGATTCCATATTCAAGAACAGACGATTCATTTGTTGCCGTTTGTGTTGACAATAGCTCAACCTCTTGATTCCCCTCACGTCCAGCCGCTAGAGACACCTTACCACCAACAATTGAGTCATCGTCGACTCTTACTCGCCGAAAATCCCTCGATAGCAAAGCTTGCTGTCGCAACAAAGTAAGAAATCTCCAGATACTACCATGTCCAGTCTCGTCCCGTGTCTCTGCCGAGAAATCACACCGGCTTAATTCATGTGGAAGAACACCCTCAACTAAATACCATGCCCGCTTTGTGTTTACTCCACATGGATTGTTGCAGAGGCAGCGTAGGACATAGGCAAGAGCGTACCACGGGGTATACGTCGTGAAAAGCCATTTGAATCCTAGAGAGAATTCGTTATCCAACAAAATATAATTGCTTTCCATTCCATCGCATGCCAGCTTGAATGAAAGCTTGAGATTGTCTGCTTTAGATTCATTTTCCTGAACGCCGTTTTGCATTTGCATGCCGATCTCTTCCCGAAGTTGGAGCATGAATTCCATTTTCGTGCAGGCCGTTGCGAGATGTTGCATTGCAATGCGCGACAGGTGACCGGCCGTGGATGAATTAGTCCCATGCTTGGAAGACAAGAATTTGATCCTTTCTTGGATCATTTTTCGTTTTGCCATGATGTCAGGAAGAGCATGGCTAGAGCTCTGTTCCCGGGTCCCTAAAACCGGGTGTAGTAGTCTACAGGACTCGGTTTGGATCAGAAAGAAGGACATTTCTGTCCAGCCCACCGAGTCGGGGGGAGCTGCGTCATGCTGGGGAATAATTGATCGTCGTTTATATTGAGGGGGGTCCGTAATCCGCGGTGGAGCACGTCAAGGGTCAGTTCGAAGCCTTGGTCTTCGGGGGCTCGGGAGTCGAGCACGCATAGATGCCACCATAGGCGAAGACGCATCTCTGTGTCGAATGGGCTTAGACGGAGACAGGCGCCGTCTCGGTGTAGCCCAATTGACTGGGCTAATCTGATTGCGTGTCCATTTAGAATCCATACACTTCGACCGGTTTCATGGACCCGTAGGCATGTCTGGTTTCATGTTATTAGACCTTGTTCATCTGGTACCGAATTTCTGGGGGTCATATTCACCACGTAGATTGCTAGAGCTTGTAAGAGCGCCATCTCTGGTTTGCTCATGGCCTCTGGGCTCAAGAGAAGTTTATCCAAAGTGGTCTTGCAGCGCTCTAGAAGTACTGGTTGATCTAATGGGATTCTAGTATTTTCGTTGTCGTGCATCGAGGCTGTGACTGCAGCATAGTAGATAGCAAATGTCAACGCGATCATTGATGGTCTTGCGGATTTGGGGTCAAGAATTGTAGATATTATGGCGGACTGGGTGGTTGGTATATGCAGAACCTTCAGAACCGGATCCACAGACTTCACATATACAGCCCATAGCTGAAGGGCTAACTGCGTGTCGGGATACCATTGTAGGATGTCGGAGGGCACGCCTAAAGAGGGTCCTGACTGGGCTGGTGATGATTGGGAACTTGTGATTGTGAGTAGTTGAGGAGATGTAGTTGCAATATTTGAACCTGATTTGGCTTGAATACGTTCTTCCTGTGATCTTTCAGTCGATTTTTCCAGGAGAGGCCGGTCTTGACTCACGTCTTGAAGAAGGTCTTTGATATTTGAGTTGTTCACATATTGAACAACATTCCCATCGTTGAGGAGTAGCTCCCATGTCTTGCTGTCTCTTCGTTTCGGTGGAGAATCTGTCCCATGCTGAAGCTGGCTATCGGGGTCACTGGCAACAGCAGAGGTATCAATCCGACATGAGCCAGAAAGAGCAGATTCCAGCCGTTCAAGACGATCAGAGATATTTTGCAATGTGATAGTCTTTGGCTCATGCTCTTTCTTGGGGTAGACACAGGCAATGCTCGCTTTGGAACAGTTAGCGCAAGGCACTCCTCGGTCACAACGGACCTTGCGCCGATGACAGTCTATGCAGGATCGAGCAGCGGTCTTGTAACCGAGGTCGCCGGTAGATCTTTTCTGTACTCTGTTCATGACGAATAAAGTATTTGACAAGAAGCTGATTATAGTGACGAGTGAAGAGGAAAGGTGTCGGAGCCCTGAGACCGAAACTCCGTATGGTTGGCCCCAAACTCGGCATTTTCGGTGCAAAACTCCGAAATTCCATGTCGGTCAACAACGCAGAATCGATTACTCGTAGCAGAAGAACGCCAATAGACAATTCAGTTCTGATCATTTTTGGCTTCGGTATGCCCTGTATAGTCTAATTGATTGAGGGTGCCCAGACTTTATATATTCTTAATGCTGTAGGTCGGAGCCAATATGATTTGGTGATATATTTCTCTAAAGAATAAGATATTGCGATTCCTGAATCCATAATCTTGCTGGAATACAATATCCTAGAATATCATCTCGGTGGTAGGCCTCCGCGTTGCCGAAACGCAATGCAGACAGAAGAGTCTATATAGGCTCTCGCTCTCAAGCTTTTGATAATTCCTGTATACTTGTAAATCTCATCCAATGGCCCAATCAACGCTCAATATGAATAGATCATCGCCTGTTCTAGCACCTCACACCAACTCAGAAGATCCAAGCCCATCCCATGAAGCTATTCGAGAAGGTGGATATGGCTGGGTTTGCGTTGCATGCACGTTTCTGATGAATGCACACACATGGGGTATTAATGCGGTAAGAAAGCTCTCGTTGCATGACTAGCCCACGCTGCTCACTAGCACCAATTACAGGCATATGGAGTGTTCCTCTCATACTATCTCTCCAGCGACATGTTACCTGGAACATCAGCTATAGAGTACGCTTTTGTCGGAGGCTTGAGCATAGGCTGTGCAATGATTATAGCACCTCTCGCAACCTACCTCGCTCACCGAATATCGCCTCGTTTCGTCTTAAACTGCGGTACTATACTCGAAACACTGTCTCTGATCGCCACGTCATTTGTGAAGACCGATTGGCAGCTATTTCTCTCACAGGGTATCTGTTTTGGCTTTGGTATGGGATTATGTTTCTGTGGCTCGGTGGGGATTTCTTCGCACTGGTTCAAGAAACGGCGCAGCTTGGTTAATGGGATCGCGGCTGCTGGCTCGGGAATTGGCGGACTAGTTTACTCCCTTGCTGTTGGGGAGATGATCCCCGAACTTGGGTTTCCGTGGGCAATGCGTATACTGGGAATACTTTGTTTTGTGGTGAATATCACCTGTGCTAATCTCCTTCGAGTCCCTTCGGATTCACGGGCGGCATTGGGTGGTGGAAGATTCCGGCTATCTCTCTTGGGCAGACTGGATTTTCTTTTGTTGCTTGGCTGGGGCTTCTTAAGCAGCTTTGGGTATGTCTGTCTGTTGTTCAGTCTGCCCAGCTATTCGGTTGCTATTGGTCTCACCCAGCAACAAGGCAGTCTGGCAGGCGCACTGCTCAATCTGGGCCAAGCTTTCGGGCGTCCGGCTGTTGGTCTCTTAAGTGATCATCTTGGTCGAGTAAATGTCGCTTTTGTTGCTTCGCTTCTCTCGGGAATCCTGCCGTTGATACTCTGGATCTTTGCAGACTCTGTAGGGCTGATATACTTCTTTGCCATAGCGGTTGGTTTGTTTGCCGGTACTTTCTTAGCAGCTGCGGCCCCAATTACTGCTGAAGTCGTGGGGTTGGAGGACTTGGGGGCTGGGCTTGGTATCTTTTGGTTTTCACTCGGGCCACCCACAGCAGTGGCAGAGGTTATTGCGTTGCAACTTCGGGACGGTCTCAGTGAACCGAAACCCTACCTACGGGTTCAGATCTATGTTGGAGTCATGTTCATAGGTTCGGCTGCTTCTTTGGCTGGGCTGTGGTTTGAAATGCGGAGGAAGAAGGTTTCCTGGAAGGGGAAGATCTAAGTCAGCCCTGTTTGTTATAAGTTAAGGTATCCTTGGACAATGCGTGAATGTTGATTTGAGGCTTTTCGGACACTTGCAATGGTACTCAGTGGATTCGGTCAGGCCGAGTTTCAGAAAACAAAAAGAATGGAAGAAAGGAAGAAAGATTTAACAGGCTATGAACATGTCATCGCGCATATATATTCTGGTGCTAACGTGGTGACCGTAACTCTAGAATAAGCTCTCCAGGTAACTCGAGTTAAAAAAATAAGAAGTTTATTACACAGCAAGGATATTTTGAATAAAACAAAAGTGTAAATCTAGAATAGACTGCAGAATAGCGTTCATAGGCATGTGTGGGATATACAAAATGCAAAAAAGAAAGGTCGTGCCCGGGATCGAACCGGGATCGCCAGAATCAGAATCTGGAGTGATGAACCATTACACTACACAACCAATTGATAGGAAGGATTTTTGCTTTTGGCTTGATAAGCCAGAACAATTCGTAGCTAATCTATTCCACCTTACACTAGTCCTTATTAGGAGAATTCGATACACCCCCTGCCACTCTACAGATAGTCCGCTTCCCTTACCTGCAGCTGCATGGCAACATACGCCAGCACATACTTTGAGCAAGTCGGCGCTTCGCTCTAGAACCCTTCCACCCCCTTTCGTGCCTCCCCGTGACCGCGGGGCACACTTCAAATAGTCTAATCGGCCCCGGGTCTTTTCCTCCCCCCACACACCCACCTTATCCCAATGTCTCCCCCGCCGTCCTCCGTTACGGCTCTGTCCGCGCCAGGCAAGGTCCTACTGACCGGTGGTTACCTTGTCCTTGACCGCGCATACACAGGGACCGTCTTTGCACTTGATGCGAGAATCCATGTGGTTGTGCAGCAGTTGAGGAGGGGTCACCGGCGCGGGGCATCAGGATCTGGTATCGCTGTTGGCGAGGCGCAGGGTACCGTCGAAGACCAGGAGGGCGAGAATACTGTTGTTGTGCGCTCCCCACAGTTTGTTGATGCAGTGTGGGAATATGGTGTGCAGCGATGCTCTGATGGTGGGGGTGTCAAGGTCATCCCCAAGGGCGATGGGTATGTTGAAATGCTGAACCCTATCGGATGATTGTTCGGGGAATTATTGTTGGCCAATGCTGACCGGGGAATTTTTTCTAGCCCGCGCAACCCATTTGTCGAGACGTCATTGAGCTATGCCTTGACCTATATCAGCTATGTTGCTGATTCCAAAGACTTTGGCTCCTTGTCTGTGACCATCCTGGCGGATAGTGATTATTACTCCGAGACTGCGGCCTCAAAGGGCCCGGCCTCACAGGGTAGAAGTGGACGCTTTGTCAACTTCGGTGTTCCTCTGTTCGAAGCTCACAAGACTGGATTGGGCTCTTCGGCTGCTCTGGTCACTGCTCTTGTTTCTGCATTGGTTATTCACCGCACTATGCAGGCTGAGGATCTTGGTACTGGCCGCGATAAGCTTCACAACCTTGCCCAAGCAGCCCATTGTGCAGCTCAAGGCAAGGTAGGATCTGGATTCGATGTCGCTAGCGCTGTCTACGGATCATGCCTTTACCGACGATTCTCACCGTCAATTTTGGAATCACTGGGCGATGTTGGATCGCCCGGGTTTGAGGAGCGCTTGTTCCCCATTGTCGAAGACTCAGATACGGAACATCCATGGGATACTGAATGTGTGGACTTTGGTATGCAGCTTCCGCGCGGGATGCAGCTGGTTCTGTGCGACGTGGACTGTGGCTCCGGGACTCCATCCATGGTCAAAAAGGTCCTTGAATGGAGAAAGACCAACCGCAAAGAAGCAGATATTCTCTGGGCTAGCCTTCAAAATAACAACGAGCGCCTCCGCCAGGAACTCAAGCGCCAGGCTCAGCACCCAGATGCTGCCGGCGACTTCTCAGATATCCGAACCCTCCTCGAGCGTACGCGCCAGCACATTCGTACAATGACCCGCCGGACGGGCGTGCCCATCGAGCCTAGCGTACAGACTGAGTTGCTGGATAGTGTTTCAGAGCTCGAAGGTGTTATTGGGGGCGTGGTCCCCGGAGCTGGAGGATACGATGCCATTGCGATTCTAATCCGGGATGATCCCAACGTTGTCGCGCGGCTGAGAGAGCATCTTACGAACTGGACGAGCACCGTTGAAGACGACTTTGGAGGTAAGATCGGCAACGTACGACTCCTGGGCGTGCAGCATGGATCCGAAGGCGCAAAGAACGAAATGCTTGAACAGTATGCCGGCTGGGTTTAGGTCTGAAATATGATCCACATCTGCAAGCACGAGGCAACCAGTCCGTGATTTGCAGAATTGCCGTTCAGTTGCCCTATTGCATGCTGGGCCGAGTCCTCCAGAACACAGACGAGACTCATTCTTAACACTCATTGAAACATCGACTTGGATGTTCCAACCCCATATCCACTCTGCCTCTCTTCAGAGTCCCCTGCATATGCACCACGAGCTGAGGATCCGCCCCCCCCCCCCCCCCCCCCCCCCCCCCCTTTCGACGTCCGAGGTGCGACCGAGTTCAGGTATTTCAACATGGACTGGATTGGAGTATGGGTTCTGGGTATTCTTTTCTAGCATATGAGAGTACCAAAACAGCGAATACAGTATACACATAAGTTACATGATGAAGTATTGTAGATGTGTGGAGAACACGCATCATGTAGCTCTTGGCCTGGCAAGACTAGTTTTCCCCGGATCGCCAATTGAGATCTCCAAATTACTTCGTAAATTGACAAAGTCACATTCTTTGTTATAAACAAACTAACCATAGTATTTTGTTGACTTGATCGGAAAAAAAGGGGGAGGGGGAGAGAGAGAGAACAGGATTCAGTTTCACCAGGGTCTCTTGTCGGCCAGTCTTTAGGTCCGCCGATCCCCTTTGCCATCTCTCGTCCTTCAACTCCTCATATAATGACCCTCGTTTGCACATCTCCATAACTGTACAGAATCATCTTTCAAACCAAACCCCACTAGTGAGGCACTATTGCGCCTCCCGCTAAGTCGACTCCTCACATCTGGAATTCGCCTCTCTCCCTCTGTCACTCTCTATCCTCCATTCCATTCGCCTCTTCCGTTGCCCCTCCCCCCTTTCCCTGAAACCAATACAGGGAAAGTAAGCCAATTGATCCTTTTGGGGTCTTTTAAAAGAACAATGTCTACAACCGATCGCTCAGAGTCGGGAGCCCTGAACCCCATAGCCGATGACCACCCGACTACATCTCCGTCCACGACCCAGCCAACAGCATCCACCACAGATTCAACAGACCCAGCCCAAATAACTCCCGCCGGTGTCGCTAATCCGTCCACTTCTGCGACACAGCCACTTCTGTCCCAGCCAGGCCAAGCTGCCGTCGCGAACCACCCCGCAACCACTCCCGGCACAGGTGGCGAAACCGCCCCCGTGACAGTGACGGCGACGACTGGCACGGCCACCACCTCAACATCCAACGACACCTCCTCCTCCGCTGTCGCCCAGCCAAATACAACTGCGGCAACGACAACATCAATGGATACCGAGGAGCCCAAGGCCGTGCAGGAGCTGTCAACTGAGCAGTCAGATGATGGCTCCGGCAAGGAAGTTGAGGATACGGGTCCGTCGCTGGTTATCACGCTGCTCTTGACGACGGGTTCACGCCACCCTTTTACTATCGATGGAAATTATCTACGGAAGCGATCGGTGAATGTTGAGAATTCCGACCCGTTCCTCATGAGTGTCTACACGCTTAAGGAGTTGATTTGGCGCGAGTGGAGATCTGGTATGGATGACCTCGGCATGATATCTTATTGATGATAACATGAGAACAAACGGCTTACATGGTGATTTTTTTGTTTAGATTGGGAAACCCGCCCCTCGTCGCCTAGCTCTATTCGCCTGATCTCGTTTGGAAAATTGTTAGATGATAAGTCGCCTATCTCTGGTATGTATTCGTTATCTGGTTGTCGCCGCAGCCGCGGCCGTTCTATCTTCTATGACATCTTACTGACAGTTTCATGCGCAGACTCCAAATTCAGTAAAGAACATCCTAACGTGGTTCATATGACTGTCAAACCGCAAGAAGTTGTCGACGAGGAAGACGCCAAGGGAGCCAAGGCACAGTACAGCAGGGAGCGCGATGCTACTGAGCGCAGTCCAGGCTGTCGTTGCGTGATTTTATAGTCTATAAAATCTCGTGAAATCCAGCTGTGCCAGGAGCATGACCCTACTGATATCACTCAGCCGCACTACCTATCATGAACATGTTTAATTGAGGACCCTCCGATGTCCAGATTGACGTCGCTACAGAGTGACCGTACATCACCACTCTCCTACTGGCTTGTCTGTCTGCCATCCAACTCAACACCCTCATCTACACATTGATTTAACCTAATCCTGCCTGGATGCAGCATCAACCGGTCCTCGCACTATGCGCGTTTAATATCGTTGAATATGTCCGCTCCGGGAGCAGCGTTTGGACAACTGCTTCTGACTGGCGTGGCCTTCTCTTTCTTTCCTTCTCTTCTCATCAGGGTCGAGCAATCATCGCCCCTCGTCTGTACATGGACTACGAACCATGGCCTGCTTCCCAGCCGACCCCATCTTCCCCTCTACACCTTTTCTTATCACCTCACATCTCTCCATTTCAATGTTCCTCTGTCGTCCTGCGTCCTGCTGTCATTATTATCCTATTCTTATTCTTACTCTGCCCTTCCGCCTCCCCGATTTTTCTCTATATACCCCTCCAATCCAACTTTCCTTTTTTTATCTGATCATTACCTGTATTGCCCTTTCTGGGTTTCGTGTATTTACGACTCTGACCTTTTTTTACTGTCCATTTTTTGGTTTGCTTTTTTGTCGGGTTGGGTTTGCTTCTTCGTAGTATATAGGGTAGTATTCATGGAGTTTTGATTGATCTGATACTGAAGCTTCCTTCATTATCCAAGTATCAAGTCTAGATTTGAGCTACCTGCCACACTTAATAAATTCCAGAGTCTATATCATATGGTAGTATGGTTACTCTGTGATTGCTTGTGACATGTGTATTTCTTAGCTGACTCGGGTGCCCACATGGGCAATTGGACAGCCTAGAAGAAAATAGACCATGGAGTCAATTCATTGAAAGCGTTACCCTGTCAGATCCAACGAAAATGACAGGAAAAGCCAATAGACAATGTACCGATCCAAACATCTAGCACTCTATTCGGGAATAAGATAATACTATGACGAGGGACATGAGGAAGAGACTAGTAGAACAGTCGACCGGGAGAAAGCACAAAAAAACGTAAGAACACCATTCATCAATAGCTCATTTAGAAATCCATCTTCAGCCTCTTCTCCATCTCATCATGGAAGGTAGGCGGCTCACGGAGGTCATCACCTAAAAAAGAACAAAGTTAGCCCAGCTCCAGAATGCCCAACGTCATAGGAAGGCAAAAACGAGAACATACCCTGGTAAATATCCTCCCACTGAACCTCCGTATCCCGACCTCCGATCATAAGAATATCCTCATGCACATTACCCCCACGAACACCACCAAGCACAGCAGGCCGGAAAGTACCATCACGCACGATCTTCAGCTCCATACCACGGCGGACAGGCTCGGCGATTCCGTACGCCCGACGCAGACCCTCCATCTTCATTGCGTCCTGGGTGGCGCGCCACGCCAGAAGACGGGCCTCGAGCGGGTGTGTCGATGAGGGAATGTCGCCGCTGGCATTTGTCGAGGAGGCGTGTGCTGTGGCTGGGAGCGTGAGCTTGTTGCGGAGAGTGTCTGGGAGACCTGGGGCGGAGGGGGCGCCCTTAGAAGGCCTTGCGGCGGTGATGGAGCCTGCTTGGCGGGTTGTGAGGTTGCTGGTTTGGGATGGGTTGCCGCTTGGGGGAGCGATGCGGAGAGACTGGGGGGTTGTTAGTTTGGGTTTGGGAATGGATTGATGTATGATATTTGAGGGTTGATAGATTGTGAGATTAGAAATGGGAGGTATACTCCAGCAGCTGGCAGCTGGCTGCTAAATGCTGGTTGACCTCCATCTCTAGGGTGAGGTCTAAGGTCCGTAGCTTGATAACGTACCATGATGGCGGGTAGAAGGAGATTCCTTGAAATCAGAACACAGATCACAAATTGAAAGGCCTGGAGATACGATCAAAGCTCGTTGAAAAGAAAGACAAAAGTATCAGGAGAACCGGAAGAGATGCAAGATGACACCGCCGATGATGCTTCAGGCAGAGAGAGGCAGCGCGTCCAGCTCCTCCGGCACCCGACAACCGCCAACTCTGCAGATCACATGACTGCAACAATTCCATCGATATTCTCGACTCCATCCCGGAGAGTAAGTGCACGCCACGCAAACCCGCCCAAATGCCACAATTACTCTCTCCGATAGCCCTCCGGGCCCTGCGGACTCTTGTCACCCGTCCAGCACCAACCCTCCTCCGCCGAACCCTCACAACATCCACCCTCAAGACACCCCAAACCTCCCTCACCACCCGCTTCAACTTCACCCCCGTCTTCCGCACCTCCACCCTCTCCGCTGTCACCCTCCAATCCTCCAAGCGCCAGTTCTCCAGCTCGCCCATTATCCGCGCCACATACAACCAGGTCCGCCGCGGTATTCGGACTGGTCAGCGCGCACGCCGAGGTCGATCACCCGCGCTTGTTGGCACGCCTGGACTGAAGGGTGTCTGCCTTAAGACTGGTATTACCAAGCCTAAGAAGCCTAACTCTGGCGAGCGCAAGATTGCCCGTGTGCGCTTGAGTTCTGGCAAAATTATCACTGCTTATATCCCCGGTGAAGGTAAGAAATATCCATTGCAATTTGATGCAGATGGGATTTGGAATTGGAACTTGGTACATTGAGAGGACATTTTGGCTAATTCATTCTGCTTTTAGGTCACAATATCCAGCAACATAGTGTTGTTCAGGTTCGTGGTGGCCGTGCTCAGGATTGTCCTGGTGTGAAGTATACCCTTGTTCGTGGTGGTATGGATTTGGTACGTTTGAATTTCTCCAACTATGGACTGGAGTATTGTGTGCATGGGAATGGCTGCTAATTTCTGTTTCCAGGGAGGTGTTGGAGGCCGTATGACCAGTCGTTCGAAGTACGGCACAAAGAAGCCAAAGACCAATTAGGATGGTTTCGGTATGGGTTGAATAACCCACTGCGAGCATATACAATTCTGCGTTTGGTTTGACTTTCTGCTCTTCTGCCGGGCAAATTTGTGTGAATATTGCATGTAACACTACTTTTGCGTCTGTTTATTCTCACTTATCATCTACTTTTGATGTCCACGATTGGTTGGATCAGTTGTGTTCATGATGTCTTTGAAAATCTTAGAAGCATAGAGAACCAATGGTCCCTGGAATATCACTTTACTCCGGTGACCCCATGCAACAAACCCAAAAATAGAATAACGCTCGAAAATCCATAGTAAAACATGTCAGGCATTGAAGTGAAAACTCTTGGTACTTAGGAGGGAATCAAAATAAATCAGAAACAAGGGTAGGATGGATTTGCAGTTTGCCGCTCAAGTTGAGAGCCTCAGTGCTTTCTCCACCCTAATCGAAGTGGATATAGTACTAAAAGGCATCACTCGGCTTGGGTATGATACCTGCAGAAGCAGCGCAGATGGGTGACACTGTCAGCCCCAAAATGCGTCCATGTAGACAACCGACCCGCGCATTGTCACGGAAGAGAATGACGGAGCCGGCTGCAGCAGACCCAAAGATACAATTATAGCAAATCAGTCATCGTTCTTGTTCCATCCCGCCGGCTTTTGCATTTTGGTGATGTCAAACCACCGCTTGGTGCCTATTTCATAATTAGATCGAGTCAATGATATCAATGAACATTCACTTACAAGAGTAATCTTTCCAGTCGAAGTTATCCTTTGGCTTGCAAGAGCACCTGAGATCCAACCGGGTTTGCTCCTCAGTGGGGCAATGCGTGAATGGGACATGGTAGTAGGCGATCTCGTTCCAGAAGTGGATCTCTTCTTTCTTCAGCATCAGAGAGGCAGCAATGGAGTGCACGGGTGCATCACCCCAACGCTCGTAGAAGAAACCACCATCCTTGTCGAGAGATGTGAAATAGTCAATGTATTCCTTGGATCGAAGCCAATCCAGGCTGCCGATCTCGAAGTTGGACCACTGCAGGAAAGTCAGTGGGGCTGGACATTCAAACTTATAGATGGAGTATACTCACAAAGTGACACTTGTTGTAGGTTTCACCATTGTCGCTGCTGACAAACTCCATAGCGTTTCCCTCAGGGAGGTACTCAGGATGGTTGCCCGTGAACTTCTTCACACTATCCCACAGGGTAGGGATAGTCTCGATGTACTCATACAGACTGATGACGAAACTGTACTTCTTGTTGTTCTCCTTCATGTAGCGGAAAGGGTCAGAGGGGATGTCACAGAAGAGCTCAATGCTGGGCTCGACACGCCAGTAGTACTCGTAGTTCATCATGAGAGGGTGACGGAAGAAGAATCCAGACTCGTAACGGCACATGTGGCGGTAGCTCTCAGAGCCACCGTAGATGATCTTCTTGCGATCCATCTCCTCACGCGCGGCCTTGGCCTTGTCCTGGTCGATCCAGTCCGGGTAGGACCAATGCTCCTCGGGGATCTTGCCATAGTGGGTGGTTCCGGATACCAGCGAGGTGGTCAACTTCTTGAAATCATCATCGAATTCGTCGTCGTTCAGGAACACCCAGTCGTAGTTGTAATCACGGTTGAAACGGTCTTCGACAGTCCGGATGGACTTGACCATATCCCACAGGTCAGAGTTACGGGCCAAAGTGACAAACGTAGCATTCACTCGTCCGGCGCTGTTTGTGCCTAGGACTTGCGGCTTTTGCGACTTGACGGAATCATAGGTCGGGGGTGTTTTGGTCGCAGGAGAGGAATAGGTGGTGCTGGGGATGCTGGGGAGGGGAATGGAGGATTTGGAGATCACGAAGAAGACCGTCAATCCCTGGTCAATGTTAGCCAGTCATTGCGATTCAGCCAGAGTGAACATACCACGACGGCAAAGAGAAGATAGCGCGCATATCGAATAGAGACGGACATGATGTGGGGGCGAGGACGATTCCCCAAAGCAAAGACAACAATATCACCTCAGTCAGAGTCAGGAAGAAACATCCAAGAAGAAAAGAAACGGCCCCAAGATAATTTCCGAAGGTGCAGGGGCCGAAGACGGGTGGATGAAAATGAAAAGGAAAAGAGGCCGCGCAAGACAATGACAACCGCTTTCAGCCCAGGTGTCACGCTATTTGAGACATTCTTTCCGGGGAATCTCTTCAGTTGCGATGGAAAGCATGGAATTCTGATGTCAAGTTCTATTGCTATGTCCAAACCCAAATGCCCACCTCGTGCTGTATCTATAACGCTTGCTCCGTAAACGTGTTATGTTCGCTAACATAGCCATTGTACACGTACTCCGAACACTGGTGTTATGAGGTCACCAAGTGTGGCGAACACGCCAAAGAACAGCTCTATAGCCAAGAAACTGACCCAACTGGTCCAAACGAGCCCCCCCATCTGCCCTATATATCGTATTCTGCAACAAATCCACGACTGCTGCATCAGATCGACATTGGCTTGGCGTTGATGCCTCAGGCTGGAAACCTCCAGAACTTCGTCCCGACCATCGCACTCTCATCTCCCCTCCCCCACCAAGTTCATCTTCCCACTCCCCCCATCTTCTTGATGTCTTTCTTTGGTTTCAATACCAACTTGCCTCGGGACCGTGATGGTCCTGGCGCTAGGGGGTTCTTTGAAAACCCAGACCCCTTTGCGGAGGTCGCCAGAGCTAACGCGCTCGAGGATGACGATGTGTGAGTATCCCCCGTTGCTATCGAGAATTGACCCTTGGACTGATGTTGGCATAGAATTGACTTTGAGGATACCTACGATGGTCTGGGAGATCAGCTGCCTGACGATCAGGATGAGTTCAACGATGACACGTTTGGCGGAGCTCCCGATAAATCGGTTGGAAGAGACTTTGATTTCTTCGGGAAAACCGCTCAGGTGTCCGATGCCATTGGCGAGGAGCAGGTTCGCTTCAGCTTACAGAATCCCAATGCTCCCCGAGTCGCGCCTCAGCCCCAGGTTCCCGTCCAGCAAGCCCCCGCCGTGGAGACCGTCAAGCGCTCGGGATACGAAAAGTACTCAGACCCTGGGTACATTCCGGACTTGCAAGCCAAGTCCAGTGTCTGGGGTGTGTCTCAGAAGAAGGCCGAGCCAGCACCAAGCCGGAAGATGATGATGAGTTTGGAGGAGGTCGAGGCGCAGATGCGTCAACACCCTCAACATTCGAGTCCAGCTGCCCAGGCCTTTTTGCGCACCATGGCGGAGCCTGCGTACCCTCTCCAGCACCAGCATCTCCCTAGTATACCTGATGGTTTCCCCCAGGTGCCTCCGGAATTCCTCCAGGCACAGTTGAAACAAGGCCATCTTCCTCCACAGATGCATCCTCCCCCTGGTATGCCCGAGCTCTATGGCCCTGGACCCGTTCCTACTGGCGGGCCCCTGCACATGATGCAGAACGCCAACCTCCCCCCACAACACATGCCGCCTACTGGCCCCCGCCATACCGGTCCGCCCCAGGCCCAACGCCCCCCGCAACCTCAACAACCTCAGCCCCAGCAGGTGCCGCCGCCATCGCGGGGCTCCAACAATGGAATGCCCGTGATTACCAACCCTCAGCAGCTTATGCATCTGACGGAAGAGCAGCGCAATGCTTACCTGGTGGAGGATGCTAAGCGGGCGAAGCGCAACCATAAGATCTTCCTCTTGTCACGAGGCAATGGTTTGATGACACCGCAAGACAAGAACTTCATTACCCGCATTCAACTGCAACAGCTTGTGGCGGCTGCTGGAAATGTCGCAGATTCGGATCCCGAGGCCGTACTGGCCGAGGACTTCTACTACCAGGTGTATAGTCAAATCCGTGGTGCACCGCGTCAACACCCCCACCAACCTCTAGGACACTTTGCTCAGACATATCTCCTTCAGACCGGTAACCGACTTGGTGGACACGGCCGACGGAACTTCCAATCTGCCGACAACCACATGCAGCGCATGCAACAGCAGGTTCAGCGTGCCGTTGAGGCGGCCAAGGCTAAGCCCAAGAACAAGCAACTCATCATTGAAGGCAGTTTGGGCAAGATCGCTTTCAGCAACGCCAAGGCCCCCAAGCCTATGCTGAACATCAAGCGTCCTGATAGCTCCGAGGGAGCCAAGCCCAAGAAACTGCACTCCAACCTGAGTCTCAGTGACCGCAAGTCGATCCTCACCAACCTTGAGGGTGTTTACAGTGCATTGATGGCCATGGAGGACATGGAGCGCACGATGCCCCCACCTCCTGAGGAAGGCGATGCCGAGGCAATTCAAGAACACTTGGAATGGAGACAGAAGCTTCATTCGTTGAACCAGAAGCTGTGGCACTCATTGAAAGTGATGGAGCCCATTGTGCCCAACTCGACGACACCACACCCCTTCATTGCATTCTTGTCATATCCCAAGGGAAAGAAGGCTATTCCTCGTATCTTCCGTCACATTGACCAGGAACAACGGGTCACTATCCTGACCATGATTGTCGTCCACCTGGACAGCCTTGATGTGGTTCACCTTGCTCAGCCCGTGACCGGTGAGGCTCAGCCATCACTGGGTGTGCGCGAAGCCATTGACTTGTTCTCTCTGGCTGTCATGCCTTGCCTGTTGGGCTACGTCAACGAGGCGCCGTTCAACATCATCATTGGTCTTTTGGGACTGGTTATCAACCAAACTCATGTTCACACGGTGGCCAGGACCAAGGTCGGACTGGGCATTTTGACCATGTTGCTCAGTCGCGCTGAGATTGTCAAGGAGGCCGGTCAGGCTTCCGAGCATGACTGGCAGCAGTGGGTGGAGAAGTTCAACGTGCTCTTTGATACTTTGGAGCCCGGCTTGAACGACATCTTCCCCGGCACCATCAGTTCTGGAGACGACATGTACGTGTGGCAGTTCCTTGCCGCCGTGGGAATTGGCGCCAGCCCTGAGCAGCAGCAGCGCTTGGTTATCGCCGTCAAGTGAGTACCACCCTCAATTATTTTACCGATGTCAGTACTAACTACTTTTTTTTTCCTCTTTTAGGGATCGTGTCATGGAGACTGTCGGATACAGCAAGACTCTTCCCGCCGATATGGGCAGTCAGCGCTTGAGCAATGTCAACCTCTTCATGCGTGCTATCGGTCTGGATGTTGAGCTCCTCGGTTGAGCGCCACCCTATCCCGGGTAATCTTACTTCGAGTCGGATCCGGCACCACCGCTACCGGCTCGGTTAAATCTCACTCCAAACACATCCTGAGCTCAGAGCGGACCCTCTCGGCCTCAGCAGGCCCGGACTAGTTCCTCCGGCTATTCCTCATGTCTCGGATTGCTGAAATGCAACTCCACTCTCCATCTACACGAGCATTGAATTCCCCATGATGAACGATTAGAAGGGGAAATTGGCCCATAAAAACCGGGTTGTACTATTGTGCTCTTTATTATTCTATTTTTTTTTCAATACCAATTTCATTCCGTTCGATGTCTATAAAAAAGTTGTGAGGAATGCCGGGAACGGGTTCCACGGTTGGACCCTGAAATCGGATTTGGGTTGGTTCCAACGGGGAAACGGTTAAGGACAGATCAGCCCGTAACTTATGATCGCAGCGCCTCAAGTCCATTCCACGCCTCAGGTCAATTCCACGTGTTACATTCTTGTTCTGCACCCGGAGATTTTCGTCGAATGCATATCATCTCTCTTTCGAGGGAAAATTAGTTCTTCGGACGATCAGCTCTCACACGGGATACAGATGGGTAAACAAGACATAGATCGCCTTAATTGAGCCGCGCAGACCACGTCTAATCAAAACTGCTGGATCAACCCCTGAAATATCCTTCGTAGCAAGTAAATGAGAAATGAGAAGCCGTCGATCGACTGGGCCGCGTCATAACAAAAGAGATGTGGGAGGACCCATCCCCCCCCCCCCACACCTCCAATTTCCCCTTAAAAGCTGCCCCTCGTCCGCTTTCTACTTTTCCCCATCTTTGCTTTGCCTTTGTCTTACTCTACATCTCTAATCATGTCTGCTGGTTCTGTTCTTGTTGCTGGGTAAGCATGGATATCCCCTATCACCTATCCTCTATCCTCTATCCTCTAGATCATATCGTTCAATTGGAAAGCTGACTCCCCGCAGTGGCACGGGCTACATTGGCTCGTTCACCACCTTGGCTCTGCTCGAGGCTGGCTACAAGGTCGTCGTCGCTGACAACCTGTACAACTCCTCGCCCGAGGCTCTCAAGCGTGTGGAGCTCATCTGTGGCAAGAAGGCTGAGTTCATCGAGCTCGATGTCACCGAGGAGAATGGCTTCGACAAGGTGTTCGAGGCCCACCCCGACATTGACAGTGTCATCCACTTCGCCGCCCTCAAGGTATGCACTACAAGTCACCCCAACAAGCAATTGCAACTGACAGTTGACCCCTACCAGGCTGTTGGTGAGTCCGGCGAGAAGCCTTTGGACTACTACCTGGTCAACGTCTACGGTACCATCAACCTCCTCCGCTCCATGGTGAAGCACAACGTCACGAACATCGTCTTCTCCTCCTCCGCCACCGTCTACGGTGATGCCACCCGCTTCCCCAACATGATCCCCATCCCCGAGGACTGCCCTCTGGGCCCCACCAACCCCTACGGTAACACCAAGTTCGCTGTTGAGACCGCCATCACCGACGTGATCAACGCCCAGCGCAACAACGCCATCAAGGCCGGAAACGAGGCCGAGGCCAAGAAGTGGAACGGTGCCTTGCTCCGCTACTTCAACCCCGCTGGTGCCCACCCCACCGGTATCATGGGCGAGGACCCCCAGGGTGTCCCCTACAACCTGCTCCCTCTGCTCGCACAGGTCGCCACCGGCAAGCGCGAGAAGCTGATGGTCTTCGGTGACGGTATGTACCACCCCTAACCCTCGACCGCTATAGCGATCCCGATCTAACATTCCCAGACTACGCCTCCCACGACGGCACTGCCATCCGTGACTACATCCACATCTTGGACTTGGCTGACGGCCATCTCAAGGCCCTGAACTACCTGCGCGCCAACAACCCCGGTGTGCGCGCCTGGAACTTGGGTACCGGCAAGGGCAGCACCGTCTACGAGATGATCCGCTCCTTCTCCGCTGCCGTCGGCAAGGACCAGCCCTACGAGGTTGCTCCCCGTCGCGCTGGTGACGTCCTCAACCTCACTGCTAACCCTACCCGTGCCAACACCGAGCTCGGCTGGAAGGCCGAGCGTACCCTCGAGCAGGCTTGCGAGGATCTCTGGCTCTGGACCAAGAACAACCCCCAGGGTTACCGCCAGCAGCCTCCTGCTGAGCTCCTTGCTGCGCTTAAGAAGTAGATTAGTATTTGTTGCTTCTTTGGATTGGTTGTGAGCGTGGTTTAAAATGATCTCTGTTTTTGTTTGATAGAGAAGATCTAGTTCTAGTTATAGTAGAATACATGAAACGAATTTCCTTTTTGTGATATTATTTCTATAAAGCCGAGCCCCAAGTCGTGTTCTAGTTTATATTTTTATACGTTGATGGGATTTAGCATTGATGTTAATGTTCTCGTTAACCTACCGTCAACTGATATGCAAGTCAACATGATAGATGCAACCATAACGTCTATATCGATATCTACTTTAACTTATACATACAAGACAAGTAATCTATTTAGTCCCATTCCCCTTCCGACTCCTCCTAGACCCATCACTCTTCCCCTTCTTCGAACTCTCCTCCTCGCGGGCCTTCTTCTCCTCCTTCTGCACTCTAACCTTCTCAGCCTCCTCCTCGATCTTCTTTTCAAGTGCCCGTCTCACAGCACTATCCTTCTCAGCCTCTTCAATCATCTTCTCACTAAACTCCCACAGCTTCTTCCCAATCTCATCATTTTTAACATCACTCCGCGCATAATCCACCTCCCGACACTCCTTAATCAACCACCCACCATCTCCACGTCCATACTCCGCTTCCATAGATGCATACAGTATACTCTGCGCACCCTGCTGCGGCGATTTCAGCACCAGCCACCAAACCGGCCAGGTAACAAGATACAAAGCCAATCCCCACAGCGAGCCGCCCGTCAGCCAGCGTCTCGTACCCGGTGTCCGACACAGACCGGGGTCGACCATGATGACGCGCGTGCAGGGCGGCAAGCTATCGGGCCGTTTGTAGGAGTTCAAATGGCGCTGGAAGGAATGCGCAAAGATAGTGAGGGAGAGCTTGGCGAGGGCGTAGACATTCTTGGGGGGCGGGACCACGTCCTGAGCTTTGGATTTGGAAGTGCGAGGCTTGGGCCTTGCCATGCCCTCCAGCTGGGAGAAATCGGCTCCGATATAGCTGGAGCAATTGGCGAAGATGACCCGCACGTCGCGGTGGGCGGGTTGAGCGCGCAGGGCTGGACTGAGAATGCTGAGGAGGTGGAAGTTTGCGAGGTAGTTGACCTGCCATTCGCGGTCGATGCCGTCTAGGGTTGGGCCGCGGGCGTGCGATGGCTCTGCGATGCCGCCGCAGAGGATTATGCTGTCTAGTCTGCGGGGTGGGATGTTGTCAATCCATTTTGTGGCGAAGGTGCGGACGCTGTGGAGGGAGGAGAGGTCGACTTGTTCGGCGTAGATGAGTTGGTTGTTTGTTGTTGCGCGGAGGTCGTCGATGTATTCCATTAGGAAGAGGTCTGATGGTGGTTGGCGGGTTAGGAGGATGACCTGGGCACCGCGGAGGGCCAGTTCGCGGACTACTGTTGCTCCTATGCCGGATGTGCCGCCCTGTTGGGTGTTAGTTTGGAGGGTAGAGCCATTGAGGGCGTGTATGTGTACGTACTGTCACCATGATTACTTTGGACCGCATCATTCGTTCCGATGTGTTGCGGGCTCCTTCGAAGAACCACTTCAGGACGGCTAGGACCAGCAGCCATGGCGCATATTTGATGATTGTCCAGGCATATGGAATGGAGGAGATGCCCTCCCGAAGGCCCTGGGCGATGATTGGGATGGGCATGTTGGGTGAGAGGTGAAGAAGAGAAGAAGTCCAAGGGATTAATTTCTCCACGTACACGTTCTCTTATCGCTTATCGCTTATCACTATCCCCGGAGCTCTGCTTTTCTTTCTTTCTTTTGTTGCACTGCGATTTGCCATACAACATTACCTCTGACCATGTCTGATCCGGACGAGTTGGACGAGTGGGACGAGGAGGACTATGTTCTACCACCGGAGCAGCAGCGCCCATTCACCTCGGGTGTCCGTCGCAAACGCGTGAAGTTCGTCCGCTCCTCAGATCTCGACACCACCACCACTCCAGCTTCCTCCGCAACCTCCGGAGCAAGCATTTCAAACACATACCTCTCTATCGTGATGAAGCATTCAGAACCAAGAACATCACCAAGTACACCCACGCCAACGGAACAACAAGCCCCCCCGCGGACAGCACAATCCGCGCCACCACCCACCAAAGCAGCATTCCCTCCACCCACAGAAGCACCATCACCATCACCAGAACCAGAACCAACAACAAGAACAGACCGTCAAAACCACTGCGAAATATGCAACCTCCCTCTCCCAACCAATCCAACCGACCAACCCCACGAAGCATCCCTAGCCCACCAAGTCTGCCTAACGCACTCCCACCCACCATCACATCTAGACCGCACCCGCCAAGGCATGCGCTACCTCTCAACATACGGCTGGGATCCTGATAGCAGACGTGGTCTGGGTGCACCAGGCCGAGAGGGAATTAGGGCGCCCATCAAGCCTCGTCCGAAACATGATACGGCTGGTTTGGGGACTGGGCTTGATGCTGATGGTGATCCATTGCCGCCTAAACCGGCGCCGCCGCCGAAAGTGCAGAAGATGAATGCTAAGCAGAGTGCTAAGAAGATGGCTGCGGATCGGGCTCGTGGGGAAAGGATGCGGAAGCTGCTTTTTGCTAATGATGAAGTTATGAAGTATCTTGGAGAGGAGGCTTGATGTTGTTTACTTTCTTTCTTTCTTTCGGTTCTGGTTTTGGTTGTGATACCCCTGTGTGTGTTTTCTTTTGCTACAGCGTTGTTGGATTCATAGTACTTGAAATATCCAAGTTTGAGTTCATGTATGTATATACTTTGCCCTAGTTATCGGATATAAATAGATTCTACATAGCGGATATTGAAGGACAGTAAGGAAACACCCCTAATTTGACAAGTTCAAGGCACAGTGTAGACGAGAAGACGAAATAAAAACCGCTGACAATAGCGCCTTCAATGCTCGGTACCAGACCAGACCGATAAAAGACAGACAAGGAAAAGAATGGTATCACAGAAGCGGAATGAGGCAGCAGGACACAGGAGGCAGGGTTGAATACAAGAACGAAAAAGATGATTCGGAACTACTTGAAGAAACGGTATTTCTTCTCTTTCTTCTCCTTCTTTTCCTTTTCTTTGTCTTTCTTCCCGCTACCAGATGACGCAGGACTGCCCCCGTTTGAATTGATGGACATGCCAGCCATCAGCGCTTCTGGTGGAGCGGGAGGGTTCAGATGCGCTGTGGGCACGGGCTTCTTCTTCTGTTGCGGTGGGGGTGTAGGGGCCGGGGGCTTCTCGCGCTCGAAGAGGTGGGCCGGAGCGGTGGGTTTGGGCCGCTCCATCGGGAGGTCGAGACGACGTCTGTCGACGCCGAGATCACCCACCTGGCGTAGGAAGAGACCGGGGGTTAGCATGTGTGTTGTGGCAAGGAACACGTCCCTGTTATATGTCGATGAGATTTCGTGACAGGCGCGTGACTCGCCGTAGGTGGCGCCGCCGGCCATGAAGACGATGATGCGCTGACGGGGTTGGTCGACGGATTTGGTGCGTGCCCAAGTTGGCTTTGCGCTACGCAGCGATGCCTGCTGGGACATCATTTCCTGTGCTGCCAAGGCGCCATCTGTCTCGGTATGCGGTCGTGTGAAGGGGAAGACGGTTGGGTCTAGGGTGCCACGGATCTGCTCTTCAAGCATCTGCCTCAGAGCCAGATCATATCGACTCAGGCTGAGCTCCTCGGATTCGGGGACTGGGTTTCGTCGGTTGAACAGAGGTTGAACTGGTGGCTTCTCGTCGCGAAGAGGCTTTTCTACTCGCACGCCAAGGAGTTCGAGGTTGGCAATGACATTTCCGTCTTGTGATGGGAGTCCGGCATGTGCCATCAGTTTGCGGATATCACCACCGAGAAGTCCACCGCGGTAGATGATGTACAGGAGAAGTAGGCGGAGTCGGTCTGGGGGAACCACTGACTCATCATCAAGGAGCTGTACCAGTTGTGCTGCCAGGTTCTTTGCCTTTTTATAGTTTTCGTCGAGACCTGTAGCAAAGGACTGCTGAATGGAGCTCACTTCCAAAAGCTTCCGGTCCTGGAAGTACTTCATACACTCTTGCGCCATGTTGAGATGCAAGGTGTACGCATTTTTTCCTTCTCGGAACTCTGTGAGTCCCGCCAGCATCTCCTTAATGGTGTTGACATTGTGCTTCTCGTTACTACAGCCTATGTTAGCAGTCTTGTTCTCATAAGGTAGGTAGGTTCAAACTTACTCCTCGGCGAACTGAGGGTTTGCTGCTCGGAATTTGGCAAAATCCTCTCCCAGTTTCCCAAGCACATCCTTCATATGCATGTGGCGGTAATCAACCCAGACACGATCTTCCTCGCCAATCTCCATCTCCTTTACTTCCTCGTTCTTTGCGCCTTCGTTGAACACGGTCTTGTATGTCACCTTATCACCATCCTTGATTGGCAGGAGATCATGGACCATGGCCTGATATGTGAACTCATGTAGGAGAGGTGCGAAAAGGTCCATAGAGCGGTCTACCACAATGAGTACTCCCCGAGGACGGTTTGTTTGAGGCGGGAAATCACGCTGGAATTGCGCGAATTGGTCCATTTCAGTTTGAATGAAACGAGCCAGATGGGAACACATAACACCAGCTTCATGAGTAGGAGACCGTGGTCGATAGTAACGAATGATAGGGTATTCACCCAGCGAAGCGCAAAGCGAAACAATCTTGAGACGAGTTAGTACGGGCTCAACCAATCCATTCAAGTCCACTTACCTTCTGGGCCAAGTCCTCTAGATGCTGTCGGATCAAGTTGTTGCAGCCAGGGTGAAACAGGACCGGAAAGCTCCAAGGATCTTTGAACGTGATGAGATGCGATTCTCGGGGGTAGAAGTTGATGTTCATGACATGGAATTCTGCGATACGTTCGCGCGCCATCTGTGATCGGTCAAGTCGAGCCCTTTGCTGCGGATCGAGGACTACAAGATATGTCAGCTACATCACGACGCGCGACTGGATAGCCCACTGACACGATGTCCACACCAAGAACGCCTTCCTGTATCGTCCCACCTCAAAATCTGCCATTAGGCAATCCACAATGTAGGACTCCGGTGACAGGATATATAGCGCGTCCATGTCGGCATTGGACGGCCGCCGGTGCTCGATCTGCTCGATGTCTGCGGAGGGGTGGCGTTTGTTTAGCGAAACTGCTCTTCGCTGTCAAGACACAAGGTGTGCTCACTGGAGACATTGAGATTGAGAATCTCCTCTTCCTTTGCGGCACCTTCAACCAATCTCTTGCTAGTCTCGTCCACTACCAGGACTTTCCACTGTAAAGGAGACACTTCCGTCAGTCTCCGTAGAGGGGTCAATAGGAGGGGTCGAGCTCACATCGCGGCCGCCAGCATTGCGGATTGTGTTGAGTATAACTGGAAGATATCAAGAGTCAGTTAGGACTGTAAAAAAGAGGCAAGAGGACAGAGACAGGAGCAGGGTAGGCCTACTGTCGCGTTGGATGTTAATTATCGAGGTGCCCATACTGGCGGGCCACAACTTGGGGCGTCAGAACAAGGCTATAGAAGACGAGTGTAACCGAAAGAGAAAAAGAGCAGATCGAAATTGCAGGCCAGAGAGACCAAGTTGAGTGAGGTCCAAAGGTGGCCGTCTGAGGTAAATGAAGGAGACGGGGTTCCCCACCATTTGAGCTTCGCCAGCATGTGGATCTTCGTCGATAAGCAACTTTTTGTCCCTTCAACTCCGAGACCTTCTTTGTGTTTTGAACCCCTTCCATCCTTGTCCTCAGTTTCAGCGTTTCTCTGACTGGGATTGAACTCCCTAGGAATGCAGCCATGCCCATGGACCGGACGTAGTTCCCTGTTCTGCGCTTTGCGGCCCTTGACTCGCTCTGCTGTACGACCATTCACAACGACTTCTGTCCTTCAGCGGTCAAAGAAATCAAGGAAACCCGACCCTCAGCATGGACACCCAGTGCCACTCAAGAAATCCCATAAGGTGTGTTCTCTTCCCACTCATGCCAGAGCCCAATTCTGATACACGGTCCATCTAGTCACCGCTCAACAATCAATCGATGGGAAAAGGCGTTCGACAGGATATCGCAACCGCAAAGGGATTCGCACAAGTGGTGGAGGCCTCGCTTCGCGATCTAAAGCACAGGTTGGATCAAACCATCGATTCAGCGGAGGGATGGACCCAATTTGAACGTCAGACCCTGAACGCGGCCAAAATGGAGGATTCCAAGTTGAAAAACACATGGAGTCCACTCCGGGCTACAAAGGTAGCGCTGCAGAAGGCATACCTCGCGAAGGGAACGCAAGGGTTACGGGAAGAGTTGCAATACATGCTCTACGCAGACAGTCTTACTGCCAAGTTTTCGATACCGGTATTGGAAGCGCAAAAGCAAGCAACCGACCTTCGATATCCCGCTGAATGGTATCCGCGGGCACGATCGATCCAACGAACAGTCCACCTACACGTCGGGCCGACGAATTCCGGCAAGACATATCGTGCCTTACAACGGCTGAAGAATAGTAAAAATGGCTTCTACGCAGGGCCATTGAGGCTGCTTGCACAAGAAGTATACCATCGGTTCCAATCCGAAGGTATTCCCACTAGTCTTGTGACTGGAGATGATGTGAAGGTTCCCGAAGATGATGAAGTACCGCGCGTCGTGAGCAACACGGTAGAGATGGTCAGTCTAGGTCAAGCCTACGATGTTGGCGTTATCGACGAAATTCAGATGATCGCCAACACCGAACGAGGCTGGGCGTGGACTCGGGCTTTCCTAGGATGCCAGGCCGAAGAACTGCACCTCTGCGGAGAGACCCGTGCCGTGCCATTGATTCGGGAGCTTTGTGCACTCACTGGAGATATCTTGGAAATTCACCGCTATGATCGTCTGAACGGCCTGGAAGTGATGACACACAGTCTGAAAGGTAATCTTTTTAACCTTCAAAAGGGCGACTGTGTGGTCGTCTTCTCCCGAAAGGGCATTCACGCCATGAAAGCGAACATCGAGAGGACTACGGGAAAACGTGCAGCTATAGTTTACGGTGGTCTGCCGGCAGAGATTCGGACCCAGCAAGCGAATTTGTTCAACGACCCGGACAATGATTATGATTTCCTTGTGGCAAGTGATGCTATTGGTATGGGCCTGAACTTGTGAGTTTCTCTCTAGGAGTTGAGTTATCCTCCATACTGATTCCATCCTAGGAGCTGCAAGCGTGTCGTTTTTGAGACCCTCGTTAAGCGTACTCCAACTGGTTTACAACGGCTCACTGTGCCTGAGATCAAACAGATCGGCGGACGCGCAGGTAGATACCGCCCAGCCAATGCCAAAGATGGGAAAGATGATGGGGCCAATGTGGGATATATCACTTGCCTCGAAGAGGTTGACCTTCCTTATATTCAACAAGCCCTTAAACTGGAGCCTCCCCCTTTGACTGCTGCTGGAGTCATTCCTCTGGATACCGTCTACATGAAGGTCGCTGCTTACTTCCCGACTGGTCTACCTATCGAATATTTGATCAAGCGAGTCCTGGAGCTTGCTCAAGTGGGCCCTCTATTCTTCATGTGCAATCCCAAGAGTCAATTAGAAAACGCTGAAATTATTGACACGGTGAAAGGACTTCAGATTGAGGACCAGCTGAAATTTATGGCTTCCCCGATGGACAACAACAACGACAGCTCACGAGAAACCACAGGTGCCTTTGCGGATTGCGTGTCCCATAATGAGCTTGGACGACTGCTGGATATTCCCCATCTTAACTTGGAAACTATCGAACAACCTGTTTCTGGAAGCAAAGAATACCTGCATGAGCTGGAGACTCTCCACAAGGCCCTCATTATGTACCTATGGCTGAGTTTCCGATTTGGTGGCGTTTTCACCGATCGAACTCTCGCCAGCCATGTCAAGGAACTTGTCGAGGAACGTATGGTTCGTGCATTGACTGAATTCTCTGCCAACAAGAAGATTCGGAAGGGTGCTTCTCTGAAGCGACAGATTGCGCTGCAGAAGCAGTTGCTGGAACAGGAGCGTCTTGGTGTCAAGGACTGGATGGGTCCTGGTGGTGAAGCAGGAGAAAACTATGAGGTTGCTCTGAATGAAGATGATTCTTCCGAGGCTGTATCCTGGGAGGGTGAATCCCCAGAGAGCGCTTCTTCAGAGAATGAAGACTCGCCAACTGATCGCGAATCTCTCAAGGAGTGAAATGTATGAGACAATTGTAACAACAGACATGTATATTAGCTGTACAAAAGTGAATCTCCAATATAATAGACCTATTGTATATTACCACGGACTTTACGGAATAAATACTCTGTATGACTTTGGACCAGGCAGAATCTCCTACGACTTTCGCTCAGTTCTATCTCAACTCCACTTAGAGCCTGAAACCATGCAGTCAACATCGTCATGTTTGATTTCTTTCACATTGTCAAGATATAAACTTGAAGTCTTGGCGCTCTTATCTTATCGGTGGCAAGTTCGGCCGCACTAATTTTCCGCGCTCTTGAAGATCCAACTGCGACAGCTTCACATCCAAGAAGCAGTGCAGTGTTTTGCGCACTTGCTATTCGAACTTTTGGTCTACCAGTACATTATCTGAAGCTATTCAGGACGGCCATATCTCGTATCGAGCCCAATATGGACGACCTCGAGTCTCTGGAGCTGTTGTCGCTCGTGTCGCGAGTGACAAACGAGCTCCAGAACTACCTGGGAATCAACGACAAGACCCTCGCCGAGTTCGTCATCAATCAGCATTTGCAATTTAATGGCTCCTTCCCCGAATTCAAGAAGTCCCTCGACGAGATGGGCGCCGAATTCCCGCAGAGTCTCATGGAGAGTGTCGATCGCCTGGTGCTCACCATGCATCCCAAGTACAAGGGAAAGAAAACGCAACATGAAAATGGAGATGCCGAAGGGAACGATGATATGGACTTGCTTGACGCCTTAGAAAAGAAGTCCCGCGTGTTCAAGGGTCTTGCGGTCCCCGATACCGAGAAGCGATGGGAGGAAGATGATTACACTAACCGTCTAGCGGCAGACGATACCGATGCCCAGGGAGGTGCGATGGAAGACACATTTGCTATGCTGGAAGGGTTGGCCGGAAAAGCGAACCAGGACACGTCGCGCACAACAAGGGACGGCCACGACAGCAAAAAACGAAGCCGCAGCCCCGAGTATAAAGACCGTGGACGGCGGAGAGACAACTATCGCTCGCGATCAAGGTCACGAAGTGCCCAACGCTATGGCAATAATGACGACTACGTGGACGAATTCGGCAGATCGATCGGTAAACGCGGCGGTAGGGACGACTCCCGGCGCAATGGCCACAGTGACCGTCGGAGACGTGACCGAGATGATGATAGCTTCCGCCGTGCTCCTCCCATCGAGCTGGATGATCACCCGGTACTTTACAAGGTCTACGATGGAGTAGTCACTGGCGTGAAAGACTTTGGTGCTTTTGTCAACTTGCAAGGCGTCAAGGGGAAGGTGGACGGTCTTGTTCATGTTTCTGCCATGCAGGAAGGGGTACGAGTCAACCATCCTTCGGATTTGGTCTCGCGTGGACAACCGGTCAAGGTCAAAGTCGCAAACATCGAAGGCACTCGTATTGGGCTATCCATGAAGGAGGTTGATCAGGCGACGGGCATGGATCTTGTACCTCAGAAACGCCTTGCTTCGGGTGCCAATATGGAACGTCTCGACGGTACACTAGGGAATGACCGCTACGGCAATCTCAGTTCTGATGTACCTATCGTTGAAGAGTCCGGTAGCCGGCCGATGAGAAATCGCAAGCGTATGACATCCCCAGAAAGATGGGAGATTCGGCAATTGATTGCCTCTGGTGTTGCCTCTGCGGCAGACTACCCTGACATCGATGAGGAATATAACGCAACTCTCACCGGTGAAGGCGCCTTCGAAGAGGAAGAGGATGTTGATATTGAAGTCAGGGATGAGGAGCCACCTTTCTTGGCTGGCCAAACGAAGCAATCCCTCGAACTTTCTCCTATTCGTGTTGTTAAGGCTCCTGATGGATCAATGAACCGTTCCGCCATGGCTGGAACCAACCTAGCCAAGGAGAGACGGGAGTTGAAACAGCAGGAGGCACAAGACAAGGCGGCCGAACGAGCAGCCGATGTCGACCTCAATGCACAATGGCAGGATCCCATGGTTGCACCAGAGGAGCGGAAGTTTGCTGCCGACTTGCGAAGTACACAACAGCCAAAGCAGGACGAGGCAGTGCCAGAGTGGAAGAGAGTGACAATGGGCAAGAACACTACCTTTGGAAAACGAACCAATATGTCCATCAAACAGCAACGAGAGAGTCTGCCTGTATACAAATTCCGCAAGCAGCTGCTGGACGCAGTCAAGGACAACCAGTTGATGATTGTTGTCGGAGATACGGGCTCTGGAAAGACCACACAGCTGACACAGTTCCTTGCTGAGGGAGGCTGGGGAAATAATGGTATCATTGGTTGCACCCAGCCTCGTCGTGTTGCTGCCATGTCCGTGGCCAAGCGTGTCGCTGAAGAAGTGGGCTGCAAGCTCGGAGCGGAGGTTGGATACACCATTCGCTTCGAGGACTGCACCAGCCCAGACACCAAGATCAAGTACATGACCGACGGAATGCTTCAGAGAGAAATTCTATTGGATTCTGATCTCAAAAAGTATTCCGTCATCATGCTGGATGAGGCTCACGAGCGTACTATCTCAACTGATATCTTGTTCGGATTGTTGAAAAAGACAATTAAACGCCGACCTGACCTTAGACTGATTATTACATCTGCCACTCTGGATGCCGAGAAGTTCTCTGAATACTTCAATGGCTGTCCTATTTTCTCGATTCCTGGCCGAACTTTCCCCGTCGAAGTCATGTACTCTAAAGAGCCCGAGTCTGATTATTTGGATGCTGCTCTTATCACTGTCATGCAAATTCACTTGACAGAACCCCAGGGAGACATTCTACTATTCTTAACAGGCCAAGAAGAAATCGATACAGCATGTGAGATCCTATTCGAACGAATGAAGGCTCTAGGATCTACTGTCCCAGAATTGGTCATTCTGCCTGTGTATTCTGCACTTCCCAGTGAAATGCAGAGTAAGATTTTCGACCCTGCACCAGAAGGTGGCCGCAAGGTCGTCATTGCAACCAACATTGCAGAAACCTCTATCACAATCGATCAGATCTACTATGTCATCGATCCCGGATTTGTGAAGCAGAATGCCTACGACCCGAAGCTTGGTATGGACTCTCTGGTTGTTACTCCTATTTCACAGGCACAAGCCAAGCAACGAGCTGGCCGTGCCGGACGAACTGGACCAGGAAAGTGTTTCCGGCTATACACTGAGGCAGCATATCAGTCTGAAATGCTTCCAACCACCATTCCTGAAATCCAACGTCAGAATCTCTCGCACACCATTCTCATGCTCAAGGCTATGGGAATCAACGATCTTCTCCACTTTGACTTCATGGACCCCCCTCCCACCAACACCATGTTGACAGCACTCGAAGAGCTCTACGCACTGTCAGCCCTGGATGATGAAGGTCTTCTCACTCGACTTGGACGCAAGATGGCCGATTTCCCCATGGAACCTGCGCTTGCCAAGGTGCTCATCGCATCTGTGGACTCTGGGTGCTCCGACGAAATGCTCAGTATTGTTGCTATGCTGTCTATCCAGTCAGTCTTCTACCGTCCTAAGGAGAAGCAGCAACAAGCCGACCAGAAGAAGTCCAAATTCCACGATCCACACGGCGACCACCTCACCCTGCTGAATGTCTACAACGGGTGGAAAAACTCAAATTTCAACAACGCTTGGTGCTTCGAGAACTTCATCCAAGCACGACAAATTCGCCGCGCCCAGGATGTCCGCCAGCAGCTCCTCGGTATCATGAACCGCTACAAACACAGAATCGTATCCTGCGGCCGTGACACAATGAAAGTACGACAGTCCCTATGCACGGGCTTCTTCCGCAACGCAGCCCGCAAAGATCCCCAGGAAGGATACAAGACCCTGGTCGAGGGCACACCCGTGTACATGCATCCCAGCTCAGCCATGTTCGGTAAACCCTCCGAACACGTCATCTACCACACGCTGGTCCTCACCACCAAGGAGTACATGCACTGCACAACAGCCATCGAACCAAAGTGGCTCGTGGAGGCAGCCCCGACATTCTTCAAGGTTGCTCCTACAGATCGCCTGTCGAAGCGCAAGAAGGCGGAGCGTATTCAGCCTTTGCACAACCGCTTTGCTGGCGAAGACGATTGGCGTCTGTCTGCGCAACGGCGCCAGGGCAGAGGTGGTGGTGGTGGTACTTGGGGTTGATTTTGAAATTTTTAAGATACCAGCTTTGGTTGCGGATTTTTTGTTTCTCTCTCTTCTTTTCTCATGCCTGATCATATATCTATCTATCTGTATCTGTAGCTATGAATCACTCGTACATGAGACAAAATATGGCTTGAAGTTATCCTTGGATTCTGGTCTGCCGCAAATAATCCTACTGTACGTGGATCAGTGTAGTCAAAGTATAGGTAATTATAACCAATCTAAGATGCATCAAGTCTATCGTTTTTTGCATTGCTTTTACCATAATGGACCTCTCTTATAGGCGCTAGGCTACTTGCAACGGACAAGCAAAAAGACTGGAAGCCTGAACATGCATGTCTAACATAGGCATTTGCTATGCATCGAGCCCTATCTCTAGGCTTTTGAACACCAGCCAAGGCTTCTATAGCGCAGTAGTGAAGAGCTGAGTGTGAGTGAAAATAACGCGAATATTATTGGGCTCACAAATGTGGTGTGTAAATGTGACGCCGATGGAGTAGAGATTGAATGGCAGTGATGACGGAGCAATACCTCTAGACTCAATGTTCCATCCAAGGCAGGGGTGTCTATTGTGGCCTAGGGCTATATCAGTATGCATATGGGGATCAAAGAGTGTCTGTTTCCTAAATGTTGAACTAAATGAACGTCATATCCATTTCCTCATCATTTGCAGTAGAATCCCCGCCATAATGAGCGACTTGAGGGTTAGCCAATAGCATCGCAATAACAAACCGAAAATCAAATAAGCAGCAAACTGGATAGCATCCTCCGGTTGACGCCTCCTCAAGCGACCCACCCGTTGTTTTTTTTTGTGTTTTCTGTTTCAATGTACTCAATAGATGTCGTTTGGGCTTCATCAGACATCTTCCTTGCGAAGGTTCTCCCAGAATCGAAGTTTTGCAGCAGGATCAAAGGCCGAAACTCGGAATGTACCACCAGGGGCATCGCTCACTTCGCCGAATATGGAAAGCATGTCCTTGATCGTATCCTTTTTCTTGCCGAGGGCATTTGGACTCATGACAGTGTTGATTGTCCGAGTCTTTTCCTTCTGTTTGGCATAGACGTACTCATCGATGGTTTCCTTCATAACAAGCTTGACGTATTCAACCTTGCGTGTTTGTCCGATGCGGTACAGCCGGCAGTATGCCTAGTCTCAAGAGTTAGTACATCGAACCCTGAAGCCTAAGTCCGAGTGAAAGTTCAGTTTCAGTAACGTGCCTGGTCTTGTATGGCTTCGTTCCACCAGAGGTCAACCAGGATACATTTGTTTGCCATGGAAAGATCAAGGCCAACACCGCCAGTTTTCAATGACGAAATGAGCACTTGGATTCTGTCGTCGTCGCGGAACGCTTTGACCCCTTCTTCTCGCGCTGCAATTGACATCTTCCCCGACATCTTTGTGATATTAGATTCCGTTGGCTTATAACTCTTGTATACATGCTCACCTTCATGTACTTCCAGCCATTTCTCTCACATAGGTACTCGACAAGTGTGAGAGTCGCTAGAAATTGAGTAAAAACCACGATTTTGACCTTGTTATCCTCTTCCATCCACGCGGCGACAAGCTCTCTAATTGCTTCAAGTTTGGTGCCCGGCATATGATGACCAATGTATGGAATCCAGTCGTAATTGAGATCCATCTCATCACCACTTGAGTCCTCCGATTCTTCCCGTGGGGACCCTTTGCGTAGACACATAGTTGGTGGTTTCTGGTTGGGTTGATCGATGTTTCCCTGTTGAGCTCCTTTGCCGTGGGCTTTCTTTCTATGTGTTGACCTCTTTCTCTTTTTGGAAGATGCATTGGGCATAAAGATCTCCTGACTAGAGTGATGCATGAACATGGGAACATGACTTGACACAGTGAGGTCGCTGTAGAATGAAGCACTGGTGATGGGGAGCTGACAGATTGTACAAAACCGCGTGACTGTGGTTGTACTTCCATTCTCATCCGGAAGCTCATCGAAGCATTGCCCGCAGTATTGGTGAAGACAAGGGGCAAGGACAATGGATTCCACTGGTAGAGATCCGCACCGAGGGCATGTACTGTGCTCCAGACGCTCATCCCAGTATCTCGCTTGGTGAAGAAGTTCCATTTTGGTCAAAAGTTCTTCTCGGAGGTCGGTATTGCTTTTCGGAGGCCGTGATCGTTGGAACGAATTTTCATCGCGATCAGAAGTAGGTTCTCAAGGAAGAGAGACCTTGTGCTTCATCGCAATTAGGAGCTTTGTTGTGACAGAAGCGGGCGAGTCGCCTGGGCCTCTGGCGAGAAGTTTCAACTGCGGAATAACCGCATCGTTGTCAATCACCAATTTCACAATCTTTTGTACAGTGAGTAGATGACTTGTACACATCCTCATGAACAGGAACATGGTAAGGTAGATCCTATACTGATTTGTCTTGTCGCCGATGAAGTCTTCCAATACGTTAGTCTCAGCTCACCAAGTAGACTTTTTATATCTTACCTTGTGCGTCGCCGAGAAACCGCTCGAAAATCTTTTGGTACAGGTAAATCTCCGCAGGATTGGGCTCAATATCAATCTTTCTTTCCTCAATCCCCGGGAGACTCACAAGCGGGCGTTTGAATAGGCGACTGGCATGAGTTTTCCGATGCATCACGAGACGAAGCATAGCGAGTAGTCTATCTTTCGATTCCTGGGTACTCTGGCTCTGATGTCAGTGACAATTATGTTTACAGGCACTCTGAGAGGTTGCGATAACTAACGTTGCAGTAGTTTTGGTGGAAGACCCCAAATGGGCTGCTCGATGGGACACCAACAAACTCAAAGTATGGCTGCATCTCTTCGATGCAACTAAAGCAAAGTCAGCTTTTCAAGATTGCTTTAAGGCGTCAAGCGTTGTTCAAAACCTACTTGTGCAAAGGGGTACCCGTCAGAATCCATTTGAACTTCGCTTTTAGGCCCCGAACGGCAATAGAGGTCTTTGACTCTGGGTTTTTGATGACATGAGCCTCTTTGAAAGCATTATTGTATCAGCATAGTAGATCATTATGCAATAAGTAGAAGCTTACCGTCAAGAATGATCCGGTGCCAATTGATCCTGTGAAAGGCACCAATATTGTCATCAAAATACTCTGGCCACCATTCAATGATGGCCTTGGAAGTTTCGAGTTCTTTCGGTGGCTTCATTGACGGGTATGATGTGTTGATTTCGTAATATGTAGTCACACTATCGGTCTTGTAAGTTCATAGCAGCCAGAGTTCCAGGGTAACCTACACAATATCATGATCCTCAAACCATTCTCCAAGATCACTGCCGGTACAGGGTCGTGCGCCAGCGTGGTATACGACTGACCGAATGGTTTTTTTCTCGCAATGCTTTTTCAATTGACCGATCCTGTAACTATTAGTTCTATCGGATTATCTGAGCCTGAAAAAGCGAATAGCAAACCAGTGTGTGACCAAATTTCTGGGGACGACAATCAAGGTTGGAGCTTGACCCTTCTCTAGAGATCTTCCCTCCACGAGATTTGCTGTGAAAGCAAGTAAGCCTCCGGCAAAATCATCGTTTGCTATTACTCACCTATCGATGTGAGTGTCTTTCCCAAGCCCATCTCATCACAAAGCAGACCGCCATGTGGTGCGGATTTAGCAAGCTCGCGGTCACGCTATATAATTTAGCTTACTCTGCAAGTCAACAGAGACCACACAGAATCATGACTTACCATCCAGGAAACGGTAAGGAGCTATTTACCCTGTTAGTCATATACGACGAATTCGAAGCCAGTGATCACTTACTTGATAGGAGTACAAGTGTGTCTTCAGTCCATTGATTTTCCAGGCCTGGTCGACATACCTCGCGGAGGGATGAAATTTCTTTGAGGCTTTGATGCAATTGCGTTTATCAAGTCTGGCTTCTGCTTGATCATCAATGGGGAGCATAGCGATGATATCGTTAAGGGCCTTGTTCTTGTCCTTGTTCTCAGAGCCAGGAAGCGTAGGCAGCTTAGAACTCGCATTAGCATCGGCAATGATATCATGGTAGAAAAGATTGTCCAGGTCCTCGTTGGGAATTCTTGTCGTTGTTTTGGGTGTCCTTCTCTTCGAGGTTCCGACATCGCTGGCATCGAAGTAGTCATTGTCTTGCTGCCGATCCTCGCAGTGTTCCAACATATATCGAAGACCAAGCGCCGCTGCAGTGTTGATTTCATTAATTGAAACGCCAGAACTTTTGGTCCGCTTTGGCTGTGACTCTGGGTTTAAGTGCAGATTCAGATTTGGGGGTTCTTCTTCCTGGCAATCGTCGTCGTTTGACGCATTTTGAAAATCCGAATCCGAAAGCCCAAGCAACTGATCGAAATCCCGCAATTCCTTGTCGTGTTGAAGTTCCTCGTCAAAGAGTCTTTGTGTTTCGACTTGAGTTCTCCGTGCGACTTCTTTCTTTCTGAAGTATTCAAACCGCAACCGGTCACCAGAGGAGGGGCTAACTAGGTGACTATACCATAGTTTAGCAGCTTCAAAACAGATCTCATTAGCCCAATTGTCTCCTTCGCCTGACTCTGGGACCCATGGTATATCTGATCGAGAGACTTCGTTTTCGCCTTCAGAGTCATCACTATCTGTGAGTCCAGACGCAGACCTGTCTTCATCATGATCACCTTGGGCAGTCTCTCCTTCGTTCCCACTGTCAGATTCTTGTTGGACCTCCTGGGAGTCCGATAAATCAGAGTCAATTATAACAATCTGAGACCTGTGAGAATCTTGACAGTCCTCAGTTTGACCTTCGGGTTTCTGGGCACGGGCATGAGCCTCGATGACCTTCAGTAGATCGGCATTTGGCAAAGCGGAATTTGGTTTCTTCGCCACGAGAACTAAATTCAAAAGCGTTAGTCAGACCACGAAATATGGCTTGTGGTACTTACTGTGGTTTGGCTCAACCGACTCTTCTTTTATAGAGCGGGGACACTCTTCATCCTTATCCGGGGGTTGGCCTTGGACGTCCATAGTCTGCATCAAATGAATGTTGCTATGCTTTGGCTTGTTTCGAGAAAGACAATTCAGTGTGAGGATGAGATTGGTAATTGGGCGTATTTTCAAGGAGAAAGAACGTGAGAGAAAGGAGAACGAACGATTTAGGTGCGATGCAGAGCAGAAAGATATGAATGGAGGTTAGAATGTAGGAAGATCCTCAGCTGCTTTGAGTCAGTTGAATAATGGCAGAGGGTGTCAGGTGAAGAATCATCAGTGAGAAAGAGAGTTCAAAACTTGAAAAGGCATTAAAATCTTGACAGATGTGAGATGGTAATATGTAAGAGGATGCGTAGCGATATGTAGAAGGAAGTTGAGAAGTCTGTTGGGAAACAAATGAAAGAATGGGACAACGCAACACACAAAGTTAACACAGAGTGCGCGAGGGCATTTCAGTTTGTGGAGTATGGAGAGTCTCTTACTCCATAAACCTAGAATCTCAATGTTAGGGTGTTTCACTAACAAGTGTGAGTAGAATCTCAGTTGATCGAGTTTGTTCAACGTACAATGCACTGCAGTAAACGACACAGATAGGTGAGATGTAGAGAGGAAGTAAGAAACAGGAGGGGAGGAAGAAGTCAAGAAACATGTAGTTGAAGAAATGGTAAGATGCTGAATTGATCAAGTCTAGAGAACACTTGAAGTCGCTGCAGGGAATATCAATCAAACAATCAATCAATCAATCAATCAAAGTTCAATTAACCTGTTGCAGCCTAACTAGCATCGTAATGGCTATTTAGGCGCTTTGTCTAGTTGAAGCAAGAACTTGGCCGTACGCCTGACAATAATAACACAGAACAGAGCTGGTTCTCGAAACGAGAGACTGGGTACTAGCTCTATATAAATACAAATCTTATAGCCTAAAAACATGAGAAAAGCCTAATGCCGTAGACAACTAGGTATAAAGAGCGCTCGTAGGTACATGTCATTCCTTCTCTCCTTTAATTCCTGTATCGTTAACAATAGGCACCGTTTTACCCTCACTTTAGCTTTAATTACTGCTTAAATTGTGTCTCATCAATGGCTCTAGACTAACGTTTGTTAGAGATTGTATACTCGAATAGCGAATCGAGGGATGTAGTCTCTGTCTGGTGATCATTGCTTAGTTTCCTAGGGGCAGATTGACCATCAACGTCGTGATTGACTGATCCTCGGCACAGTAGGTGCTGTAGGTGATGGGAGGTTCCCGGTCACATTGCGAGGAGCTCTATCAATTTGTCGTTGTACGTTGCGCAGATTGAGTCTAAATAATTCACACAGTTGTCAGCACGCCCATTGAGTTAAAGAACAAATAATATACTATCCAGATATCCTTTAGAAATCTCATACTCTTTTGCACTTTCTGTATCGATTTTAGCTTGCTATTTCGTGAGAGCGCCTAGAATAGCTAGTTTGATAAAAGTATATCTAGTTCCTACATAAATTGTTAGTGCTTATTTAATTTGATATATTTTCAATATTAAATGACTTACCTTCTTTCGAGGACTGATGCTGCTGCTCTATAATCTTCTCTAGCTCCCTACTTGTATCATTAGGTGGATGATTCGCTATATCTATAAACACATTAAATAGCAGACTAAGGCCTAAAGGCTTCGTGAGTAGGATTTTAAGCGACTTTTCCAGTTGATTTGAGCCACCCTTGAAAGGTCGGCTGTCAATCGCTAGGCTTGGAGTTTTGAAAAGTCGATCTAAGATGAAATTTACTCGAAAGTGACCAGCTCTGTTGCATAAATTGCCCAGTGGGTGGTGAAAATTTCAAAGTCTCATTTCCCGGAGGAGATCTAAGTATGAGTCTATGTGCGCGCTGTTCATGTTGGAGTCTGAGAACGCTCGGTATGATATGTACCCGGCTCGTTGTTGACACTTGAACTATAGAGTTATATTAACAACCCTTTCTTTAACTACGTAGAAGTGCCTACGTAGCCGTTACTTAAGTAGTTAGGCTCTAATAAGTGAATTGAACTCCGACTGATTAACTGACTGATCAATTGACTGATTGATTTACCTCATCCTCAGTTCTCAGGTTTTCATTACTATCATTCTTTTCCTTCAATCTCCCCATTTTCCGCAACGGTCAACCTCGGTATCAAGTAACCATCCGTCAGTCAATTACTGTCTCCCGGCCAATAGATGACCCAACCCGGCCGATTACCTCTATTGCTGACAGCCCGCTCATGACTTTTTGTGAAGAGCTCCTCTGTCACCCCCCTAACCTCGGGGAGAATGGCCCGAATATTCCAATTGCCTCCTTAGAGAGGATTGCGTCGCTTGCCTGGCGTTTTTAGGGTCTTTGAATTAACTCAGACGTTCGCTTCAGTCTTCGCTATTACACTTGTATACTTCTTTGATATAAGGGCTAGGTATTGTGGCTGTAGGTAGGTAGACTATTATAGAGGAGTCCAGTACCAAACTAACGGAGCTTAACCCTATAGGATGGAGCGAAGAGTTTTACGATTTCAATGAAGTACCATATATTTAAGGACATTAGTCTTTTGGGTTCCTATTTTCTTAATATATGTAGAACTCTTTTCCAGGGCTATGTAGTATACGTATATCTAGGAGCTTTTGGTTGAATCCTAGGGCTTACATCTTTTTATAGGACTAAGTTAGAGTACTCTCAGAATCTAGTATATATAATCCCAGAAACTTCCTTTGAATTCAAATCAGATATGAGATATTTACAGTAAAGTCAGACCGCGTGACATTGTACTTGGGTTGTATCACTATGCCATCTGGCCAAAAGGCACAATATCTGGCCAGCAATCAGACACCCAGGGGCGGCTCAACTTGAAGTTCAGCAAGTAACCTCTTCGTTGATGAATGAAATATACGTGCAGATATTCTGATCAATTTCATAAATTATAACTTAGCATTTCAATCAGTGCGGTAATGATTTTCGCTGGGCTAATTGTGTCTCGTGGCTTCACGTAACTCCCGTTTCTGCCAGTAGGCTAGTTTCTTAGACAGCAGCTGTCGCGGCGTCTCCCCCGCTAGATTGGTCTGATCCATCATAGCATCGCCCCCGATATGCAACAAAATATTACTCATTTCATCCAGCGCGTTTCTCTGATCGGCGACCGTGGGAACAATACTTCCGTTCGCGGTCTGCTTTTGCAGGATCTTCCCCATTGATAAGCATTCATGCAGGGCTGTATTCCCTCTTGAATTGACGAGAGACACATCTGCGCCCTGAACAATTAGAAACTGGACTGCCTTGGCTTGGCATAAATTCCTAGCCATGAGGTGCAATGCCGTATTCCCGTTTACGTCTTGTTGGTTAATTTCGGCACCGTGTGAAATAAGCATTTCCAATACAGAGGTGTTGATGGGATCACCATCCAGACAGTGGATAGCCATCTTATGTAGCACGGTCCGATTATTGTCGTCGACTAAGCCTGCGTGCGCCTCGTTTTCCAGGAAGAACTTCAGCATATTATCCAAGTGCATGCTTTGACCACAGCGGGCATGGCCGCTTAAGGCATGGTGTAAAGGAGTCTCGCCCCCATTATCCCGAGCATTTATATCGCTACCGGAGCAGAGTATCTTGAGGGTGTCGATAATCCGATTGTTAATTTTCACATCGGGTAGCCAACATTCGCTTGAGCCCGGGCCCGCAGCTGCCCAGTGAAAAGGTAGACGCCCATTACTGTCGCGGCATGATAGTGCTTCAGTGACAGTTCTTCCACCGTGGTCGAGAAGCGTCCGTAAGGCCGCTGCATTCCAATACAAACTGCTGATGTGAAGTGCAGTTACGCCAGATGGGGGTTTCACGTCCCAGAGTGTGGATGAACGGTGGAGATCGTACTCTTGCCTCGCGTGTACGTCGGCCCCTTGCTCAATAAGTCGCTTTACCAGCGCGGGGTCAGCTCGCGAGGAGGCTAGACCGAGAACCGTTCCAAAGGATTGCATTGGTTGGCTACTATCTTCAGGTGATTCAGTCGCTTGAGCAGACGCACCGCCATCGAGGAGCAGACGCATTAATTCTTCCCCACGAGCAACACGGTTGCTTAACAAATGATAACAATCTTCAGGTGTCTCATTTGCGTGACCAGAGGATGGCAAAGAACCCAAAGATCTGGCAGTTGCCAGCAGCGCTTCATCACGATACTCTTGTTTAATGTGGGCTGAATTGAGGGGCGGCTGGCTGTCCAGAATGAATCGAGCGGTCTCAATCTGTGCCTCTCCACATGCCGCAGTCAATAATGAACACTTTCGCTCATAGAGAGGCACCTGTGTCAAGTTGGTTTTGTAGTAGTCTATGAGAACGCGGAGAACTTCCGTACGTCCCTGGGACGCGACGATACAGAGCGGGTCATTAAACACTTTGTCTTCAACATCCAAACGCGGGGAATAGACAGAAAGATATTGTTTTAGTCTGGGGAGGTCATTGTAGCGAATGGTTGCAAACAGGAGGTCGCCAAGTTCGTTCTCGTAGAGTCTGGTACCGTGACCGTCACAGAGAGCATTCTCTGCGGATTCCAAGGGATCCTCAACCCACGGGGTGTCAAATTCGCTGTAGGACATGACTGAGGAACTTTGACGAGATGAGGAGAGAGGAAGAAAAGAAGAACTGACGGCTGCTAAGAGAAAAGTTTCCCCCCCACATTGCTCGCCGAAATCCCTTCCAGTCCAAAAATACTCGAGTGGTTTTTCCTCTCCTCCAGGGCTCCACGGTCATTTTGGTTTGTAACCGATGGCCCCAACATGGGCACTAACAATGAATACCCTCCTTAAGCTATAAAATGGTCATGTATGAAATTAAAGGTTGCCTACTTCTCGAAATGGCTAGTGTTTTTAATTGTCGCATGTTACGAAGTATTAAATATGTACGGGGACTAATATCTCCCTACGGCTCTACTGTATCCTCGCATCTTGACAATCGCATAGATCAGAAATTGTACTCTATCGCGTCGTGACCGTATATTGGGTCTGGGTATAACTCATCAGGAATCTACCTATGGTACATACTATTCGTCCCTGCAGGGGTCAACGTTCTGATCTCTCAAGGATCAGCATCCCTTGGATCTAGCGGAGTATCCCCATTTGGCAACCAATTAGTATCAAATGCACCGTCTTCGGGGGCGTAGTCGTTGACCCAATCGTTTGTGGTCCCCCAACCACTTGTAGCATCGGCAAGCGATTCCCCGGGGAATAACCGCGACAATGTCTCAGTAGTAAACACGCCTTGTTCCGTAAGCCAGGCACTCTGTAGTCAAATTCGAACGTTAATCTGGATTCTCTAGGTAGATGATGAAGATAAATAGTGGAGCTTACCAGTCTTTCCAAGTTCAAGGCGTAGTTGGGAGTGGTTCGTTGCTCTGTCGTTAAACCGTTGATGACACTGGTCCTGTCATTGCCAATATACCACCTTCCGGGAGCTCTGTAGCAGCCCAAGGTTTCCGTACGGGAATTGTAGTTCTGCAGTGAACCGGTATTTTGGCCTCCTCTCGCATATGTATTTGAAAGTCTGTATTCGGCCCGGTAGTCTGGGGTTCTTCCGCGTGTGACCACACTTGGGCGCGTAATGCCCTGGCTGTGGTAGACGTCCAAGGTGTTGACGCCTACATACCAGGTGGTTGCTGCTCGGTTCTGCGTGAGAGTAGTGTCGTCCAATGGAATATGGAGATGGAAAATAACCCAGCGGTCGGTGGCTGATGTGTGACTACGATCGCTATATGTGGCTCGAGTAGCTGCGTTGGCGACTCCCACTTCTGCGCCGATCCAAAAGGCCACTTCAAGAATCACCTGGGTAGGATTTCCATTGTTATCGGTGGTAGTGGCTCGAAGCCACCGGAGGTAGTGAAGGCTTAGATCCCCCTAGATCCATTCCAAATTAGCAAGAGAAAATGAAGCACAAGATGGTGATCATAGCACTCACATTCAGAATTCCGGTCAGTATAAGATTCATCGTTGGCGAGCACTCATTTGCAGACCGGTCAGCAGTACCCGCGACAGTAATAGTTCGGGCAGAGATGACTGAATTGCTCATAGACTGGCTCACAGGGTCACCAGTAGATGGGTCGATACATAGAATATCTGTCGCGAACTCAATCTCTCGAAGAGCAGTAGCCGAGTCGGCAATGTTACATAGTGTTTGGGCTAGCATAGGTGTAGAGTCATAGGAGGGAGTCCCTGTCCAGATATCGTCACCACCATACATCATGGTGGTCATGTTTGCGATAGTAGCAACGTCCGAGACTCCTGCCTGGGAAGTTCGATAGTCCCAAATATATACCAGATCGTCGCGTTGATAGCGAGATTGTACCAACACTTGCAACAAAGGCAGAAGAAAGGCAAGCGTGATGCCCTGCTCCGTAGAGGTCTCTGTGGTTGTGGTTGTAGAGCGAGCACTCATGAATTCTCGTTTCATGACTGAGTCAAAGCTCGAGCTGTACTGATCGTCCCAGCCAGAGGGGCATGTAGGGTCTGCAAGAAACTTCTGGAGGTAGGCGTCAAAATCTCTAGCGGTTTGGTCTTGATAGACTCCAACTTGGGAGTCTGATGAGTCTGACGTATCCGACGAGCTTGATCGCTTGGTAGTTTTTGCACCAGAACAACAGTAAGCTTCTTCGCCAATTCCACAGCCAGAGGTTCGGGCGTAGTTCAAGTTGTTGAAGGGGTTGATTGCCTCTGCGGCGATACGGATTGTGTCAGATGGGCATGAATCGGTACATATTTTAGAATCATAGTCTTCATGGCCTTTCCAATCGCAATTGGTAAAGGTATCTGGCACAGATGAACCCGAACAACAGTAGTTGTAGGTCTTCTTGTTCGAGCATGAAGGCATGCCGCCAGATCCATCTCGGGAGCCCACAACGAAGTTTGAATAACCGGACGAACATGTGTCATCGCTGTAGCAATCTGAAGTCCACTTGCACTTTGTAAATGGCGTTGTCGACTCTGTAATGGTGCAGCAAGCAGACTGATAGCCTGACTTAGTACAGCCAGCGTGTAGTGTGCCAACCTCGGCTTCATCGTCGTTGCAGCCGCCCTTGCATTTTCCATTATTGTGAAATCCCCGCCAGCGGCAGGTAGGAATTTCACTTGATGTAGGACAACACAGAGTCTGCGTTCCAACTCCTGATAGACATAATGTTGAGTCTAGCATCAGTTGACTGGTTTTGTCGGCACGGACGACATCAGTGTAGCCATTGGGACAGGTAAGGCCACAATTGATGAAATGGCAATATTGCTGTGGAGTGGACTTCTGAGTGGTCGTTTTCTCTGAAAGCTGCTTCAGGACGCTGCCAGTAATTCCAGTGGTGGTATTGACGTTAATCGCGTTACCCAAGGCAGCAGCCAACCCCCTAGAAAATGTCTGGTTGCCATCATCGTTATCGACAGACCAAACGAGCACGCCTCCAAGGCACTGGGATTTTGCAAAGTCGGCTTTGGTTTTCCAGGTGTCTTGATCATCAAACGAAACCCACTGGTCGCCGTCCCATTGAATGCTTTTGACGGCCGCCTCCTTGTGCCAGGTAGGGATGAGGTTGTCATTGTCAATAAGTTGTTTGATCTCACTATTGAACAAAATTCCTGCTTGGCTGCTACAGTTTCCAGCGTCGCCAGCTGACAGATAGGAGCAGCCAGGATCTGAGCACGATGCACTAGCCAATGTAAAGCTGCGGCCGTAGAAGGCCAAGCCCATATTGACCTTGGATGCTGTGATATTGTTTCGCCAGAGAAGATCCAGGGAGGTCTCTATCTCTGTTAGATTGGTGTGCGCGTCCAAAAAGGCACCTGTCCATTCATTTCCTTCATCCCACGTGCCGTGAAGATCGTAACTCATGAAGTTGAACCAGTCTACCGAGGGCTCAATGGACACAACATCAAAATGCTGTAGGTACCAGTAGCTAGTAGGCAACGTGATAGAGAGACCGAACTTGTACTCGGCCAAGGCCTTCTTCAACTGAGCCAAGAATTTGGGGTAATTGGCATAATCCTCCGATCTGCCATTGCGATCGGTGGCAGCGGGATACTCCCAGTCAATATCGACACCAGTGAATCCGTATGTATTCATGAAAAGCGTCAGAGACTTGAAAAATTTATTTTGGGTGTCGGTGTCAGCTGCACATAGATCTGAAAAGGTGGTCGCTGTAGCGGCATCGGAATCTGAGAAATCCCAACCACCAATTGAGAGCCAGAGCTCTTGACCCAAGTCCCGACTTGACAGTGCCGCGAGCTGTGAATAGAGCTGTGTGTCCGCATTGGCCTCCGGAATCACCTCAAACGTGTCTGGATTGATGCTACCAAACGCGAAGTAGAGATGAGAGTAAACACCTTGCGGGATAGAAGCAGGAGACATTCCATCGCAGCTCCGACTATCAGCTGCTGCATTGTAATAACCGATCACACGAGTGATAGATTGAGAACTCGCGTCACATGAGGGTCGAGTAACAGTTGAGTTCCCACAGAATTCCTCAGTGGTGCCGCAGAAGCCATACTTGCTGCAACAAACGTTCAATGGGCACGTAGTCGAATTGACATACTTGGAGTCCCAATCACCAGGATTGCACTCAGCTTTAGCATCACAATTGTTAATGCAGTTATCGGAGCCACAGTAATCTGGACCCATGCCACAGACGTTGTATTGGCCACAGCAGCCAATCGCGCATGGCACATCGGCGCTACAGAAGGTGTCCGCAAGGGCCAGCGGAATGAATCCCACGCTAGCGAGCAGACACACAAGAGATGAGAAAAGCCTCATTCTGAGTCCTAGAGTGTGATCGTTAGAACTTGCGCTCGTCAATAGAATGGTGTATCTCGGATACACCACGAGATAAAGCAATATGCATATGGATGTCGAGACTTACCAGGTTGACTCTGAAACTCGGCTGTTTAACTCTTTCAAGTTTCGATACTTCCAAGTCGTCTCGAAATCAAGAGCATTGCAGATGAACAACAAGTGAGAAATTCTATTGATATATACGAGTAGGTGGGGTAGAAAAGCTGAACATAGGCTTGCCCATCCACTGACAATTACTAGCGTTTTGGAAAATGAATCAATACCGAAACTAAGTGTTTCCTGCGAGAAATCTTTACGCATGTATCCGTATTTCGCATACTTCAGTAGACGTCTTCTTCTTCGGTATCGGATTCATGATTCCAAATCTTCAGCAGACCTCGGCCGACGGGCAATTTCGCGGGCAATGTCCGCCTCGAATTCAACTAAACTCGTGCACAAACCTACGGGACCACTGAATGCTACTTGACTAGTATAGTCTGCGTAGGGTTCAAGTGGGTCTGGAGCCATATTTGGCATCTATTCGCAAAATAATGTCGTATTTCGGACAAGCGATGCAAAGGGTCGAGAACGTTGGAACGAGTAGCGCGAAAATGTAGGTACTAGTTCCAGCTTGGCTTCATACAAGCTTCTATGTGGGTCCAGCTGTACATAGGGTAGGATGATTTCCAGGTCGATGATTCGTCTAGTTTGCGGACTAGAACCCTGTTTATTTTAACATGAAACATTTTAGCGTGATAAAATCAACTCATATAATTTTCATGTCGGGTAGAGACTTTAGTGGGACAGATTTGGACTAGTACTGTTGAATCTACCCTGGAAACCGCTAAGCAAGCCGCACTAACAACAACACTAATGTAGGTCTTGGTCGAAGCGAATGCGCGCCACATCTTGTTGAATCAAATTGGCCCACTATGGTTTAAATGCTCAGGACCTACTCGTGGCGATTGGTGGCCTGGCTGAGGGCCCTCGATTATCTCCTCGCTTACAGTCATAACTACCTTGATGCCTACTCATCCGGACGTTCCGATCAAGACCGCTAGACAAATTTTGCATTCCATGTATATCCATTTCCAAACTACAGGCCCACAGACTTCCGGTATTCAGTTACCTACTAGTACTGTGATGCAGAAATTTGAAACCAGGGCCTTGAGAATAACAAAGGTCTAAAATGGCCCACACTTATATGTCGTCCTCTGTCTGCCAAAGCTCTTGTCTTAGTGAGCTACACTACACACAATCCGAATATGGTTGGTCGTGGTACCCTGATGGTCCTTTGGGCTCCCGCTTGCTTCGCTGCAACTCACGCGGGGCGACAATTCCACAGTCATCTACATCATGCTCGATCGCTGTCGCCGCGGACGAGTGATGTCTCTTTTCCGGGGATTCAGATGTTCTCGAATGAATCCTTGTCCGATCTCGGACTTTCGTCGACTTGTGAACAGGCTTTGTACCGGACAATCTACTGTGACGCTACGGTTTCCTACATGAGCTCTAACAGCTATGTCGGAAACTTCGACAATTCCACATTGACTGCTCTTGTGTGCGAGGATGAGTGTGAGATCTCAATTTCGCAGTTCCATGATGCTGTTGCAACCAACTGCGGCGCATCTGCGGCCTATATCCCTGGACTTTCCTTTCTGTCACTTGTGGATCAGGTTTGGAGTAACTGGAACCTAACCTGTCTAGTTGACCCTACCACAGGGCAAAACTGTAATGGTAAGAGAAGCACTTGAAAGTTTGCTGTAATTTGACTCGCTGATGACCTATTGTTTATGCAGAAATCATCAACGCTTTCCCTGATGTCGATGATATGTCTGATCTCCCCGCGTCGGATTTGTGTTCTTACTGCAATGTGAAACAATTGGCCATGATGCAAGAAAACGCATACTCCATTGACTACACAGAGGACTGGCAGACCACCTATGAATACGTTGCCCAAACTTGCAATCTGACAGTGGCTGATTTCAACGCCACACAAAGCGCATTCAACGTTACCGTGAGCGTAGAGACGACCAACTGTGTATCTGGAAACACATACACGACCGAAGAGGGCGATACATGTGATTCTATTGCATTAGCTCATGATGTTTCTGCTGCTACGATGTTCTATATCAATCCAAACATCCTGAACTGTTCCTCAATTTGGTCCGGAACTACACTATGCCTACCCGAAACTTGCGAGGTTTATACAGTGCAGACAGGAGACACGTGCAGTACTATTGCCGCTGCGAATGGACTTTTGACCAGTAACATTCTATCTTTCAACTCCCAGTTGAATTACAATTGCAGCAATTTACAGTCCCCCGATCCGTACTGGGGTTCGACACTATGCGTCTCGACCCCCGGTGGAACTTATTCAGGTCAAGCAGCAAACACCACATCAACTGAAGTTGAAGCCGTCAACCCGCCTGCCGGCGTGTCCGTTGCGAATGGCACAGTAACCGATTGCAGCTCATGGTATGTCAACTATGCAAGCGAAAATCTCACCTGTGCACAGATTTGCCTGTCGAACTTGATCTCTATCAATTTGTTCACTGAAGTGAATCCATCACTGGGCAAGACAACCTGCGACAGCGACCTGGTTGTAGGAGACGCCTATTGTGTCAACCCAGTATCTGGATGGAATCTAGGGTCAAATGCGAATACTACGTCCGCCACGACTAGTAGTGCGACATTGACGGCCGCAAGCACTCCCGGGGCAGCGACTCAGACTGGCATTCCATCAAACTGCAACGCGTACTATATTGCAAAGTGTGAGTGTTGCCCTAAATTGTGTCCATTTATATCCTTGTAAACTCTACTGACAGCTTTCCCTGGGTAGCAAATGACACCTGTGCCACAGTTGCCGCCGACTTTGGCATCACAGAAGTGCAGTTCCAGTCATGGAACCCTGCCATCTCATCAGATTGTACGTCAGGCTTCTGGGCTGAGGAAGCATATTGTGTGGGAGTTTCCACCTCTTCCTCTTCCATCATATCCTCTATTGCCACATCCGCCACCCTCGTGTCTTCGACGACTGCACTCGCATCTTCGACTTCTGTGATCGTGCCAGGCCCTACACAAACTGGTATTCCCTCTAATTGCAGCAAGTACTATGTTGCTCAATGTGAGTTTATTCTTTTTCTATTTATTTTTCAATGCAGTGCTTCTATTACGCGTTTTGAATGTCCAATATGACTGACAATTGGTAATAGCTGGCGATGACTGTGCAACAGTAGCGGCAGCCTATGGAATAACAGAGGCGCAGTTTCTGGCTTGGAATCCCGCTGTTTCGTCGGACTGTGAGAGTGGGTTTTGGGCTGATGAAGCTTATTGTGTGGCTGTTTCCTCCTAGAACGGAGTTTACCCATCTGTCATACATACGACGTGGTTTACTTCTAGGTATAGAAATTCAAAATCAATACCCGTGGGCAGTTGGTAATTGCGATATTGGAACCTTGAAATAGTGAATACACATAGTAGACTCTGATAGTTAGCTTAGATTATAACATTGGTACATGTTTGGTGATAAGCCCTGACATCTTATATTCATATATAGGGTTCGGTATAACCGCGGGTGGTTTGACAACATAGTAACGCGGCGACAATTTCCGAACGGATCAAAAAGAATGTCCAAAAAATAAAAATATACAACAGAACAACTGTATTTTTCTTCAAAATCTCTGGCTGTAGTTTAACTACTAGGTGTATTACCGACAAGGTAGTGAATGCTTAAAAATGCCAGCAAGGTTTAGCTCGTGGCGTTGCTTAGATGCCATGAAATAAATTGGTTTAGAGAAAGGTCTATGGTCTAATAATACTCTATAATGTTAGTCAACAATGAACACGCTCCATAGTTGTATGCTATTATGGTTTTGGAGCCCTCCTTACTATTCTGCACCCACCTAGCACCTTTAGTCGTCATTAACACTGCAGGGCAGTCTGGCATAGCAGATGGGTCAATATCAATAGAGAACAACCAACCATCCACTCCCACGCTGTGGTGGTGTAGAGCGAGGGCTATGTAAACGAAGACTACCCTCGAACTAATAGCATATCATAAATCAATAAACTTGGAGAGAAAACATTGTCATCTTAAAGGAAGGACTATGGATAAAGTATGGCCGTCATTATTTCCCTTCAGACATTATAACTTTTAACATAGTGTAACGTAATTCCCATACGAGCTGGACACCTAGCCGAGCTGGATACCCAAAACACCATAGTAAATGGAATAAATTACAACATAATATCACAACAACCATAAATTGTAGGGACTTATCCTTCTCAAAACATACTCTCTAGGTAGTATCTAGACTCTTAAAAGATTTTGATGAATTTCTATTGCTTAATGATTGAGATATACATATTTCTAGCTCCTAGCAACGTAATTTAACGGTGATCTTCGATATTGCAGCATTGTATGTATTAGATCTATTCAAATTTTAAAAAAAAGATTGATAAATGCCCTTATCAACGGTTATTGGAAAAGAATTAAAAAAACTAAAAGCATGGTTGTTGAGATATCAGTGTGGAATATATCGCATTGACTATGGTGTTTTGAGTGTCCAGCTCGTATGGGAATTACGTTAGATAAAGTGAATGTTAAGTAAGCGAGCAGATTCAGCGTTTGAAAACTTTACTAAGACCGAAGATATAAGTCTGATAGGTGTATTTCGTAAATAACTATTAAAGGGACGCTGTGAAGCTCTATGTAATTCCCTCGAAAATGTCCATGAAACGCCATACACATTGAATCCCACCAAAGAAAAACACCGAAAATGAAGAACCAAATGGAGAGATGAAAACGAAAAGCAGATGAGAAAAACAAAACACCAATCCTGCAAACTCCCAAACTCAAGGCATTTTCAGCGTTGATGACTGTACAGGGTATCTGTATAATGTCGTGACGACCTCCACTGGAGCATCCGAAAAGGAAGCCGAATCCCATTCGAACAAGACCCCGAACAAGGAATATATCAGAATATATCAGACAAAGCCTCAAATAAACATTGCGCCAGTGGCGACGATTCGCCACAACCAAGTGGGGCCAACCTAGTTTGAATTAAGCCTTCGGCTTCTGCGCGATGATGCTATAACTCGTCGTCGCAAGACGCATAGTATCCATCTTAATAAAAGCCTGTCCATCAAGACAAAGACGATTAATAAGAGTCTTGAAGTGCTTCGGCAAGACATGGACCTTGACCAGCGCCAAGATAGCCTGGCGCAGAGTCCGGAAGTACAAGTCCACGGTATCAATGAGCGGCGCCTGGAGCCCATCAATACTAGCATTCTCCGAGCGCACAACCTCAAACCCAGCCTCCTTGAGCGCACCCTCCAGAATGTCCTGGGTAGGGGTACCAACGGCACCGATGAGCGGCTTGACGCGGCGCATCAGCTCCGCGTGTTCGGGGTTGGCGGCGTCATAGTCGGGCAGACTCATCCAGTCCAGCAGAGAGATTTTCGAGCCGGGCTTGACGACGCGGAAGATCTCGCGGAAGAGCGCGGGCAGGTCTTTGCATAGACTCAAAGCCTGGATCTGGTAGAAGGCGTCGAAGCTATCGTTCGCGAAAGGCAGGGGCAGGTCGTTGAAATCCTGCACGACGAAGTTGTTGCTGTTTCCAAGCTGCTTGTTGTAGCTTGTCGCCTGCTCGATCTGGTTCGGGTCGATGTTGAGGCCGGTGACGTGCGCGCCGGTATGTTGCGCCATGTGCGCGGCAACGCGACCACGCCCGCATCCCAGATCTAGAACCTTGTCGCCGGTCTTGAGGCCGATGTCTGCTGCGATGGAGCGCTCGTATAGGATTTGGTTGTCGAGGCAATTTGCTTTGCGGCTCATCAGGGGTGGGATGTACATCTTCTCGACGTCGCCGAGGGCGCAGAGGTGGTTCAGAACTCCGTAGTAGGATTTTAGACAGTCGCCGACTTTTTCTTGGTAGTTCGGGCCGAGCGCTTCGGTCATTTGCTTCTCGTCGGACCAGTCGAGGTTGTAGATGACGTAGGAGGCCATGAAATCATCAACTTCTTTCGGGGTGAGGTGCGCCAGGTGTCGATATGCCGACCAGAATGTTTTCCATCGCTTCGGGGAAGCTGTGTCGAGGTCCTTGCCCTGCTCTCCCAGTGAGGCCAGCGCATTTTGCTGCTTCACTTGGGCGATCTCGTCGACCGAGGTGTCGCTTTCGGAGCCGCGCTCGCGCACTGGGTGCTGTGGTGTTTCAATGATGGTTGCCATGACCAAAGACTTCTGTGCAGGGTCTAGAAATTAAAATGTGGAGGAGGTATGTATAGTATTCCAACGAAGAAAAAAAGAGCCCCGGATCTGGGCAATCGCAATTTATAAGCCCACCGAAGCCCAAAGATCTGCCCATTGAAAAATCATTTGCCCAGACTGCCAGAGTGGATTATCACCAGACATGGAAGCTCTTACCGGCTATCCCGGCATGGTTCACTCCCACCTCCCCCGAGTATAGAGTCACGGTGGTTTTCCGAGCCGAACCCGACTCTCAATTGCTTCATTTTTTTTCGGTTTCATTTTTTTTTTGCCTTCTTCCCCTTGGGGTATTCTTCATCTCTCCAGATTCCGAATTTACCGTCATGGCCTTGCCAGGCACGGATGACGCGGGAGCGGACCCTTAAAGAAAATGAGTATCGTCATGGGGACGATCTAGACCCACTTGTATAGATAGTATGGTAATGTATGCCAGCGTCATTGTGCATATCTCAATGCGGGATGTACCTTCAAGGTCTGTACTTGGCTTTACAGCTTACAGATACGATAGATGCTATGTACTGTACACGCGCAATCCGGACCCAGAATAGAACTAGTATAAGCAGTGACCCATCTGTCAGATGAACCATGACAGTACTGTATTGGCAAAGCTCCAGTTTCCGTAGCCACATACAGTATGAAATCTCCGAACCACCGCAGCCACTCGGAAATCGGCCTCTTAAACGGCAGGGCGTGATGGGAACAACGTGATTGCTAAGCACATCAAACCCTGAGTAGCCAACGGCACGTAATATGAGGGACTTTATATCGGCCCCACATAGATCGTCCGGTAGGGCCAAGAGGAAAAGGAAAAGGGAAAAAAAAGTAACAAGCCGAGCCCCGAGACCGTATATCCGGACATCACGTGGTGGGCCAAATAGGGCAATATGCTCCATAGAAGAACCGCAGAAGAATTAGAAGCCTTGGCATATTGCTTCTCTTGTGTCACGATTTTTGTTCATAAAGAATGCATATAGGCACGGGGTGGGATAGGGGGAACGCCGCATTCTGCATGCTGGGAAAGTCAATTTTACCGTGTACTAATACTCACATTATATTGAGTAGTCGAATGTACTTTTACGCTTGGATTCATATGCAAGCCACGGCACAGGTGTACAGGTGGAGAGTATTGTGAATGTGTCACCAAATACTACTGTACAGTACATTGACGTACTTTATAGGTAAGCTCAAGGATCAACCTGGGCAAAATCGCATTTTTTTTTGGGACCGGACCCATATATTGATAGTCAATGATGATGAAATCCAGACCTTTTTTCCTGTTTGAGCACCCGTTTCGACACCTGAGGCAGGTATCTGTCTTCATTGTTCGTATTTGATGCTATTGTCATTTACCATCTTTCATTTACCGTTTAAGAAATGAGTCATGGCTGTAAGCGTCCCAGCAGCTTGGGTCTGGCGTCTGACCCCTGTCAGATATACTTACTGTACAGTATTGGGAGTCCTATCTTCCGGTCTACTATACAATCAAAGCGATTATTCCGTGTTGACTATCTGGTTTAAATGGTCTATGCTAATAACCTAATGACGTACTTTACACCTACCTACTCAGCACAAAAAACAAAGCAAAAAGAAGTCATCTCATACGATTTCACATGATCCCATATACTGTACTGTAGCCCCTCCCCCGGACACGGACCTACACAAAGACCAAGTGGGACCCCAACAGCCCAGAGTCCCAACTCGTCACCCCGATGGTTACTTATCTCAAGTACTGTACATGTACAGTAAGCTAAACCATGTGTCAACCTTGGAAGGTGCTGTAACTTCCATCCACCGATCGACAGAACTGCCCCACGAGGGTGCTTGGTTCTGCAGTACGCACTGACTGTCTCAAGGTTATTTCGAGTAACGTATATTCCATACCAGTATCCATGTGACCCATTTTCCTAGCGATCTACATGTACTGTACATGATCACTGTACTTGGCGTTTAAGAATCGAGGTTGTGACGAGGTGGGGTTGGTGTCATATCGTACAGTACAACCTGCATATCTCTTCTCCAGGGACTGATGCAGGTGTAGTAAGTTATCCTAGCTAGAGGGGCTTAGTACTGTAAAGCTACAGTAGAGGGTGGGGACCACGAGTAAGCAACAGCCTACGGAATATCATATGATGATAGAGCTCTCACGTTAGCTCTACCTACCTCGCTACTCAGCACCAGCATATCACGCTAATTCTTTCTGAACCGTCCTAAGGAGACATACAGTAGACGGAGGATTTTGTAAGTACAGTAGGATTGTCATTTTTCTGGAGCAGCACGCCCTGCGAGACGGCACGGAATCGATCGACAGTGTTCGTGCTTGGCCTTTGGGTGTCCGAGTGTCACGACCGCCGATTTCACCCGCTGACGTCATATTCGAGGACTGATAGCTGTCATTATGGTAGGCCACGGCGAGGTTATCGGAAAGCGAGGACTTGAAGATATTTGGAACATGGTATGAGAAGTTGATTTGGGAGAGGTGGTCGTGAATAGGCTGATGGGACGGTGATGTTTCATGCAACGGCCACTCTGTCTCTGTATGCTCTAGAGAAACATGACATGATATTTAAATATGAATATTCATTCAAGCGAGATCTGGATCATTCTCGTTCGGGGAATAATGAAGGGGGTTATTAGGTTCGATCTCAGGAAGTGATGGGATGCTAAGTTTGACATACTGTAGAATGACATCGGACTGATATTGAGATACGACAAGCTGTGACAAATGAACATAGGAACCCTTGGGGAAAGAAATTGTGTGTTAATTGAATATTCGAATAGTACTGGAAGATACGGCAATCTTGGATTGTGTAATCACGAATAAGATCCCTATCAATCTGCCTATTGCTTGCCATATTGTAACTTAAATGCAAGGGCTCGTTAAGTGAAACACAGCTTCATCTTACGTTCGGCGTGTCAATAGCTTTCTTTCACATGCTCGTGAGAGACTGAGACTTTACTATATATGCCTTATGTAGAGTGCTAGATCTTAGACAGTGCCTATTCTGTCACGATGTATTCATATCCAAAAAGAAGGATAAGTAGCGTTGATTATGACGTTAAGACTTTGCAGGCGGTGCCTTCTATACATGATATCTGCGAGATGAACAGGTGAGTGCAAGAAAAGAAAAACAAGATTTGATTGAGTCACAACGATTCGTTCATGTGCTACTCTTGAGTCCTCAAATGGAGATATGGATGCCTTGAAGCGTGGCCTTTCAGGCGACTGGAATGCTATTTCCTGCTTGGAAAACCAACAAACTTGATCATGTCCTTGTTACAATAAAAACAGATAGATCTAGCCAACTATCAAAGCCTGATTTCCCCCACACTGATCTGGTTTCTAGATAGATTTGTCCACGGTCGCGGATAGGCGAAACGAGGCAGTGCCGCTTGAACTCAAACTCAAAGAGCCATCGAAAGGCAGAGTGACAAGTGATGAATTGACATATTATTTGGGCCTGAAAATCACCCAAAATCAAACAGCCAGGAAAATTCTAGTTGCAAGGGACCCGCCAATAACCGAGACTCCCGGTGAGGACCCCTGCGACGACCCCTGCTAAACGCAGCAGTCCTATGCAGCAGTCCATCAGATAAAAGACAAAGCAACCGAATCATCCTAGGTCGATTTTGGGTATTTTCAGACACAAATAATGAGCCAATCCAAGTGCTCTCGTTCTCGGACATCAGGCCAGATTGCGGAAAGAAACAAGGGAAGAAAGAGTGAGCAAAACAGAAAACCAGATCCAAGGGGTGAGTTTCAGCCCCTACAGTAGACCAATGTGCAAGTCACCGAGTCCAGTTTGGTGACGTGTAAGGGAGACGGAGAGAAGAAGGGAGAGTCCGAAGTCCGAAACCTGCAAACACCGCGTTAAGGCCGAGACGGGGAAGGAGCAATTGACCTCCGAAGAAAAAGAATCGGAAAGAACGTGACTCATCCCAGGAACTGCCCCTTTTCTGCTTGATGTGATTGGTCGGCTCGTAACTATACAGGTCAGGTGCAGATTCTCTGTGTCGCGTGTACGGAGGTTTTCACAGTATGCCATACACATCAGATAGCGACAGGCGGGTGTGGATGTACTGTATGGCTTTGATTCCTATCTATAGATCTATACTAAATGACACGTATTTGAACCAATGCCCGAGTCATATTGAGGACTGTGTATACCGTACTGTCCCAAAGTGGCTCAGCCGTCATAGGTCCATCGAGAGGATTCTCCGGAGAAGATCGGCCCCCAGGCCCACTGTGAAACTCCCATCTCAATGATTATTTCTCTCCCCTCGTTCCTTTCTCAGCCTTTCGTTTTCTCATCCTTCTATCGAATAATTTAATTTTGTACCTAGCGCGTTCATTGGCGACCAGCTGTCGTCAAATGAACCTGCACTCTCACTATCTTTTCGAGTGCGAGGTATGATCATTTTTTCCTAGTCGATTCAACCGCCTCATCTAACACTTTTCCAGCATTGCCTCTTTGCTCTGAAGAGGTCACCCGTCAGATAAATGGTTTTCAAACCATTCACCCACCTCGCGCGCCAGAGTTTCACCAAAGCCTTCACCCATGGCTATGCTCAATCAGTAGTCGCCGCGTCGCAGTCCTACGCGTCGACCGCGCCTTTTAACCCGCTCGCCGTCCAGCCCGCTGCCAAGTTCTCCCGCACAACCCAACTACAGAATGCCTTCTCCAACGCATCCAGTTCCTCGGGGGCCGGCGCAAAGGCCAGCCAGGGCGGTTCCAGCCAGGGCGATCTCGGTTTAGCCGCTTACTATGCTGCCTGGCAGCAAGCCCAGCAGACCGGCGATGACAGCGATTGGACGCAGTTCGAGTTCAAGCGCCGTATTGGCTGGGAGCCGTCAGAGGAGACGGATAATGTACCTGAGAACCGGGCGGCATCGCCCGAGACAGTTCCGCATCCGACTAAGGCGGCCGTGAACGATGATGTTAGTGCTCAGGTGGAGGAGGCGGTTGCTCGTGAGATTCAGATCCAGGAGGAGCAGGCTAGAGCGGAGGAGGCGGCGGAGGGATCTGCGATCGGCGAGTCCGATGTCTCCGATGCGGTCATGGAGGCCAACCAGGTGGCCTCGGAGCGCATCGTGGAACTGGCTGCTTCGAAGCAGTATGCGGAGATTCCTGCGGCGTTTGAGACTCTGCTTCATGATGGCCTCACTCCGACTGTCGAGGCTTATAATGCCTTGCTGGTCGCTGCGATTCGTCTTCACCCCGATGCTGCTCAAGCTATCCCCAAAGCTTTGGATGTCTACTCGGACATGCTTCGTCGTAGGGTAATTCCCGATGAAGAGACGTATGAGACTCTGGTTCAGCTCTTGGTCACTCGGGCTCACGATATCATCAAGGCCAAGGAGGCTTTGGAGAGTGAGCGTGTGCGATTTGGTGGTATGGAGGAGCCTGGCAAGTTCATGCTTCAGTCTAGTGAGATGGAGCGCGATATCCTTGTTGAGGATACCTCTCTGTCGATTGCTGTCAAGCTCTTCGATACTGCCATTGCTCGTCACAGCCGTCTCGTGTTCCCACTGGACATGTATCGTCACCTGATCATTGCTTGTGCCAAGGAAGGAAAGGTGGAGGATATGATCCGCATTTATGCGCACATGGAATCGCAGAAGATGACTCCCCATGCCACCATTTTCCCATCAATGATCACTGCCTTTGCTTCTGTTGGCGATCTCCGCAGCGCCGTCGAATGCTACAACGAGTACCGCGGTCTCGCTGTTTCCGACGACAACGGAATCTTCAGCATCGTTCAGCGTCAGGACGGCCAAGTTTATGCTGCTTTGATTCGTGCTTACCTGTCCAACGGAAAGGAAGAAGGTGCTATGCAGTTCTTCGATCGAATTCGCTCCTCGTTCGACGAGGTCACTGAAGGTCGCCAGGACCGCTGGTCTGCAGTGGAAACCGTCATTGTCGAAGATGCACTTGTGCAACACTTGATGAACTCGGGCAACCATAGTAAGGCTTTGGAACAGGCTAAGGCTCAATTGCATGATGCCTCTCGGAATCAGGCCATCTCTCGGATCTGCATAGCTGCCGCCGATGCAGGTGATCTCCCCACCGCATCTGAGGCATATGATTCTCTCCCCACTGCACCCGACGTACGACAGAACCCGGCTGTCTCGCTGTTGGCGCTTCACGTTCGTCGGGGTAATGTGTCGTCAGCCCGTTCCTTGTGGATCATGTTGAACACAGTGGGTCAGGCAACCCCGGATCTGGTCCAGCCGACCGCTATGTATGCTGTCGCTCTGCTCAAGAGTGGAAATTTTGAAGAAGGCCTCCACCAAGCCCGTAATATGTTCACGCGTATTCGGAACGCGTCCTCCACACACGTCGTCCGTGAACAGATTACCGAGTCCCTTCACCTCTTTGGCCGTGTTCTCATGCAGTCGGCCGCTGTTCTTTCTCCTCAAACTTCCATGACTCTGTTATGGTCCATGCTGGAAAACGGCGGTCTGATCTCTCCTCTTGCTGAGCACGCTGTTGCTAACCTGGGTCCCATTGGTATTTCCCAGCTCAAGCCTGCTGACCTGACTCTTGCTTTGCAAGTGCAGGCCAACATGCTGGCTAGCAACAGTGCTATGCTCTTTGACGTTGCCCACCCCGTTCGCTTCGCACACATGCTCGATGTCGCTCTGTCTGCTGGTCTCCCGATGGACATCAACACCACTGGCTTGGTTGACCAGGCTGTGGCAAAGCTTTTCGTCAGTCGTCCCGATGTTGTCAAGAGGTGGCAGGACTACCTGGAGGCTAGCTCACATGCCTCTGCCGCTTCTCCCAAGATATTCTCCGACCGCCAGAGCCCCGTTTCTATGGCTGAAACCTCGATCACAACCCCGTCTGCCAACGCCGAAGCCTTTGATCCCTATGCGCATGCAACTGACTTCCGTGGCTCTGCCATCATCGCCGAGGAGCTCGAGAAGACCAGCGGACGTGCCGAGACCCACCTCAACGAGGCCTTGACACGTCTCAAGAACATGCGCCGCATCGGTCGTCACCCTCGCTACATCACTTACGCGAAGTTGATCACCGCAGCGGCCAAGTCTGGTCGTATGACTCTGGCACACGAGATTCACAGCATGGCCCGCAGCGACGTCCCCCTCGACATGAGCTTTAGTGTTGTCAAATACGGTTGGGTTTCCATCCTTGATTCCATGGTGGCCGCTTGCCTCACCCTCGGTGACCGCCAGCTGGCTGCACAGTACCACCAGGAGCTTCTCACATTGGGTTCTGCGCCTTCCGCCAACACCTTCGGTCTGTACATCACCACCCTGAAGGAGTCCACCAAGACTTTCGACGAAGCCACCGAAGCTCTCAAGATCTTCCACCGCGCAGTCGCCGAAGGCGTCGAGCCCACCTCCTTCCTGTACAACGCACTGATCGGCAAGCTCGGCAAAGCCCGTCGCATCGACGACTGCCTCGCCTACTTCGCTGAGATGCGCGCCAACAACGTGCGTCCCACCAGTGTTACCTACGGCACAATCGTCAACGCCCTCTGTCGCGTCAGCGACGAGCGCTTCGCGGAAGAGATGTTTGAGGAAATGGAATCCATGCCAAATTACAAGCCCCGGCCCGCTCCTTACAACTCCATGATCCAATACTTCCTCAACACCAAGCGTGACCTCAGCAAAGTCCTCGCCTACTACGAGCGCATGCAAGCCCGCCACATCCAGCCCACCATGCACACTTACAAGCTCCTTATCGACGCACATGCTTCCCTGGAACCAATCAACATGGCCGCCGCCGAAGAAGTCCTTGAGCACATGAAGGCAGCCGGCCAACACCCCGACGCCGTGCACTACGCCTCCCTCGTTCACGCCAAGGGCTGTGTCCTGCACGATCTAGCCGGTGCCCGCAAGGTCTTCGACACGGTCATGTCCAACCCCCGCGTCCGACCCCAGCCATGTCTCTACCAGGCTCTCTTTGAGTCAATGGTGGCGAACAACCGCGTCGCCGATACCGAAGAGGTCGTTCAGAATATGACCCAGCGCAAGATCGAGATGACGGCTTATATTGCCAACACTCTCATCCACGGCTGGGCTGCTGAGGGAAACGTTACCAAGGCAAAGGCCATCTACGATATCATTGGCATTCAAAAGCGCGAGCCTAGCACGTACGAGGCTATGACTCGGGCCTTTTTGAGCGTCGATGACCGTGCCAGTGCTGCTGCTATCGTCCAGGAGATGATGTCGCGTGGATACCCGTCTGCTGTTGCTGGCAAGATCGTTGATCTTGTCGGTGTCTCTTCTTCTCTTTGAGTGTACCCACACTTGACCTCACCCTCTTCCTCTACCTCTACCTCTACCTCATACATTTAATTTGTTCTTTGGTTGCGACCCTACGTTTCTCTGCCAGGGCTGGATCCCGTGTGTGGAACATTTCCGGTTCGGCGTCTGAGGGCGGCTGTGGGATATCAATATGGATATGGAATACCTGATCTGCTTCTTATTTTTGGGGGTTACTCTGTTCTCTTGTTGATCTGGCATCCAGCGTGAACTGGCGTTTTCTCTGGCGTTCAAAAAGGCTTGCATGGATGCACTGTATACCAATTTTGTTTTCTTGGTTTTTGTTCATAGACACCTCTCAACTCTCCTACGTCTTAGACGCAGAAATATGAAAAAAAGTGAATGAGTTAATATTCCCACTGTAAAGCGAGTCAGTAGAACAACTTTGGTTAACTTTAGTAACCTCAAACCTAATCGGATGGCATGACGTCTCGGGCATCTCCGATCGAGAACTTCCCTTATAGTCCCATTTCTCCCACTTCTCCTTCCACACATGAGCTAGAGCTTCATCTTTCCTGTTAGTTCTGTTAATGACACTTTCTGTGTCGCCATCAGCTCGCTTGGCTTTTGACTCATCCCTCCGTTTCCGAGTCTTTCCCCGCCAACCCCGCCAACTTGGCCTTCACTTTCGCTATTCCTCAACTGCTAGCCAGCCCAACCAACTCAGTCAGCAAGCAAGAATGGCCCACGAAAGTCAGGATACTCATCGGCCGAAGAAGCTTATCTGTATGTGTACCACTACCAGCACCAACAGAGCTCATACATGCCATTCTCCATCCAAGCCACACCCCGCCAATCCAACCAACCCCAATACAATCAGCTAACAAGCCCCTCAGTCGCACCAGGCGACATAGCCCCGACCCCAGATCTCAAAGCCAGCACAATTCAGTCCCAAGACCAAGCCACCCCCGACGCCCGCAGCGAAACTTCCACCCCAACCTCAACAACAGAAACCCAAATCCTCTCACACCCATCGCGAGCCCACCAATTCACAACAAACCCACCTCTCACAATTTCCCAAGTCCACAACACAAACCCCCTACACCAATTCCACACCTGGTTCCGCGATCCCCGACTCCCAGCATCCTCCGCACCGGAAACATGCACCCTGGCCACAGCCTCGATGCCCTCCGGCCGCGTCAGCGCCAGAGTAGTCTACCTGAAAGAGCTGGACGAGCGCGGCTGGGTGGTGTACAGTAACTGGGGAAGTCGCGAGGGCAAAGGAGGACAAGTCTTCGGCGCTGGAACCGGCGACAACACTGATATCCTCCCCGCAATGCCAGAGCCAGACTCAATCCACGAAGAATTCGGAGTAGGCAACAAATGGGGCGCGCTCACGTTCTGCTGGTCAAATGTCGAACGCCAAGTTCGCATTGAAGGACTCCTCGAACCGCTGTCCCGCGAAGAAAGCGAATTATACTGGCGCACCCGCGAGCGGGGAAGTCAAATTGGCGGCTGGGCAAGCTGGCAGAGTCGTGTTCTGTGGGATGCTGAGCCGGAGATGTTGGCTGAGCGTCAGCGGAGGAAGAGTGTTGCGACTTTGCAGGAGGGTGGGGCGGATGAAATTCCGCATGATATCGAGCAGACGGATATTGAAGATGGGAGATCTTTGCTGGAGGCAAGGGTTAAGGAGATGGAGGCTAAGTTTGAGGGTGTCAAGGATATTCCCTTGCCGCCTTTCTGGGGAGGTGTCCGGCTTGTCCCTGAGTCTGTGGAGTTCTGGCAGGGAAGACGAAGCCGTTTGCATGATCGGTTTAGATATGTTAGAATCGGGGGTGAACTGGGGAGGGGAGCTAGTTGGAGGGTTCAAAGACTTTCTCCTTAGTTTCTGCACTCCTCTGCAGAAGGAGTAATGATTATTAGAAAGTTAGAGAAAGAAGCGTCGAGTATCTCCAGTGGGCTCTCTCATACATCCATATCGGTCTTATCATCTTATCAATTCCTTATCAGCCTTGGCACTAATGCCCCAACGTCACCCGATCTCCTCACGCCTCGAAATCCCTATACACGAACGCCCTCCAACAAGAAACGCGTCGAACTATCTGACCCAGCCCAGCGCAAAAGACACAATGTCTTCTTCACCAACACCAACACCCAAATCCTCCACGTCCCCATGGATCATCCTAGCCATAACGAGCGGAACGTTCGCCGCGCTGAATGGCGTTTTCGCCAAATTGTACGTTATCCTACACCGTCATACGGACACACCTACATACCCTGGAAGATCGAGATCGGTGCCCAACCCCGCGATTACGTCGTGGATCTAGATCTGGATCAGGATCTAGATCTGAGCCTGGATCGGGATCTTTAACCTTCCGGCGCTGTGTTACCCAACCCCCTGGGACTGGAACCGACAACCCTGGAACACACGCCCAGCTGACCTTCACCTGGGAGTACTGGATAGCGCTGACAGAATAATACAGAACAACAGATAACCACACCACATCATTCGCAACTGCCATCGCACACCTCCTCGGAATGGAGTCTTCGCCTTTCATTGAGATGATTGTTCGCGGTGTAAGTTAATGCTATGCATACGTATCGTTTCGTATCTATATCAAGATATAAGCAAACTTCCACTCTTCTCTGACCCACGCCCTAACCACTCCACATTCAAATCCCATCACATTACATCACATCACATCAATTCAATTCAATTCAACCCAGAAACTAACCACCTGTCTTGGTATTCGACAGGCTTGTCTTGGACTAAACGTCGTCTGCAATATCATCATGTGGGCCCTCTTCACGCGAGCCCTAACGGCCGGTCCATCAACGACGAAGGTGTCCATCACCAATACGGCAAGTAATTTCCTTGCGACGGCGTTGCTTGGCATGATTGTCTTTAGTGAGGCTGTTGGGGGGCTTTGGTGGGTTGGGGCTGGGATGATGGGGGCTGGGTGTATTCTTGTTGGTATGAGGGAGGGGGCTTGATTTCTTGTTTGGGGATGATCTATATGGTTGGATTAGACTGGATAAGATCTGGAATAGTAATAGGTCATTAGAGTAAATAATCATTGAGAATTTTAGTTGATGCGTGGTTTTTCAAGGAATCTCTGTTTTGGGTAGGGTTTTGAGTGGGCTTGATGTTAGGTGTTTGGTGAAGAGGATGGATGTTTTTATTTTTTTTTATTTGGGAAATTGTCTTTGATTTGTATCAGGTTTTGTTCTAGGATGTCGACTTCGGTCATGCAGCCTCTCATGTAGACACAAGAATGGGATGGGTTGATTTCGTGGGCTTCGTTTGGTGTATAAATGCCAAGTTGTGTGTGTATGATACGTTAGAATTGATAGAAAATGAAGTCTTCATGATAGAATGTGAATTGCAATATGTTTCCGATAGGTTTAATGCCTGGAAGATGATACTCAATGCAAAGAGGTTATTGTTTTTAGCAGGGGAAACATGTTAATTGTATTGTTTACTTTTCCAATAATAACAATTCCTCTACGCACACTCGTTGTTTACATCTTGGAAGACCATAACAGTTATCCTTCTCAGTTTCCCATCTCCCTTGTTTACATCTGTTGTCTACAAAGTCTACAAGCCCTCGTTGCCTCGAGTCCAAGGCAGTCCACGCTGTCATGGGTCCTCCTCCAAGCCCTGGTGCCCTCGCCGGCGCCTGTAAGATCTTGCCTTCCTCCAAGCGACCCATTGGTCAACGAAACAAGCTCAAACGTAGCTTTCCTCTCATCGTTCCAATCACCATCTCACCAACCAAAGACACGCCTACCAGTCCCATTCCAGACTATTTCCAACTCGACAATCTCCCCGACGAGATGCTGGAAGAAGTCTCAAAGTGTCTCTCTGTCCCCGAACTCAAGTTTCTCCGTCTAACCAGCCGCCATATGTACAGAGTCAGTCTTAGGGCATATGCACGCAATGCTTTCGGCGCCATCTCGACGGACTTCAGTGAAGACTCTCTGGCTCGCATCCTTTCCATTCTCAAAGACGATCTCTTTCGTCCTCAGATCCGCGAAATCACAGTTCGGTGGTCCGAGGTTGACCGTACTGGGGACAAGGCTGTTATCGAGGCCTTCTACGACGCTTTTACTCGCTTTGAGAACTGTAAGATGTCAGCAGCCTGCCGCTTCTTCCTCCTTCTCCGATCTCATTATTGATGAAAATCTGTGGCAGCTCTGTTACTATTTTGCCTCACATGGCCTTTTATTTTGGTCTTGACTTTGTGTATGGACGTCTCCTAAAGGTCTCCTAGGAAGACAAAATCGGGCTTGACAAACTACGATTATGGAGGATTGGAAATTGTGTATGTCGTTCTGGAAAATCTTGTGGCTATGAAACAATATCATTAATAAACCCTCTGTCTTCTATCTCAAAAATATCTTCACTGTAAGAAATGAGCAGGGGCCTTCTCGAAAACACCAATGGCCTGCTCCAACCTCTTCTCATACTCCTCCATCTCAAGACTATCCTGATCATTCTCCAAATCTTCATCACCGTCCCCTTCCAGTTCCCCTTCAGGCCCAAGCCCAACCTCAACCGTTCTCCCCTCACCTCCCCGCGCCGTATGAACCGACATAACATCCCGATAAAGGCCCATGGAAACAGGCAGCTTCACTCCATCAACACCCCCAGCTCCCATCTTCAAGAACCGAGCATCCAGCAATCGAAACTGCGCCGCCCATACATGAGGCTCGGCAACTTCCATCGCCATCTCCCAAGATGTACCCTCCCCAAGCTTGACAGAACCACCCACCGGAACTCCAGAAAGAGCGCCGACAAGAGCGGACGATATCCCCGCTGAGATTTTCGACGATCGATCCTTGGAAACAATCGTCCGCGCGCCTTCCAGCACATACATCCCTGTCATCAACCAGACCTTCGGGCGTCTGGCGAACTTGAAATTGAGCACGTAGGCGCTACTTGCAGCCGAGAGCCAGAGTTTGAGCTTTTGTTGTGCTTGAATATTGCTGAGCACTTGTTCTGTGAGGAAGGCTTCCGGACTGGGTATTTTGTCAATCTATGCTTCGGCCATAGGGAGTGTCAGGGGTGGGTTGCGTCTTACTCCTTCAAAATAACCCTGGTTCCCTTTTCGGCAATGACAATTCGTTCCAGTTCTCTTTTCCAGGCTAGATTCAGATTCACGATATCGCCTGCGTCGACCCCTATACCTGGTGAGAGACGAGAAGTTCCATGGAACTTTACGTTTGTTATCTCCGTGCTATGGGTGTGGTGGTGTAAAGCTTCATCACTGACGTTTTCTATTAAACTAGGAACATAATTGTATGTTATCGGTATAGGGCACTAACCTTAGCATTTCGTGCGTGTAATGGCGCGCTATCAATGGCTGCCAGTATTTCTCCAGAATGAGGGAGCCTAGCGTTAGGGCGTCGGGCTTCTCGCCGACTCCATATAGGTAGAACGAATCATCGGCCATTGTGATGTGAGTTTATCAGGTAGATTCAGCTACAACGATCGAGTCTCAGGCTACTCACACATATTTCGATATATCAGAGGGGTCAAAACTATCGCAATGGCTGCCTGACGAGAGGCTTTAATCCCAATGAGGCAATTCTTGGCGAGAAATAAGCACAGCTAAGCATTTGCCGACTCGAGATCTTTCTTGTTTTGTTTTGTGCTGATTGCGATCCTCTTCTGTGCCTCTATTCACACAGGATGGACTTTGATCACTTCATCACCCTTTGCGGGCGTTCCCTGTTCACGGAGGAATACCGAGGCAATCTAGACAGTGCATGGGAATTACTAGAGCAATCAAAGCCCACTACACATCCTGGCCCCGAGCACGCCGAGTATCTGAGATGCAAATCAATATACTCAATACTAACAGGCAAACTATCAGACGCCTACCAACACCTCAGTCACCTCTATGGTCTCCTCGACCAACTTCCTCCAGAATGGGGTCTCCGCTATACAAACTACACTCTAATAGCCGACTGGACACGCCGCTACCCCCCAGCCCTGCGCTTCTACCACGAGCGCGGTCTTCCCCGCAATTTATGCATGGAAGAAAGCATCCTGGGACAAGCCGAGATTTGGCACAAGTTCATGAACAACTTCACAAAGTACTTACCAACCGGTGCACCGCGAGACCAAGGCCTTTGTCAGATCCTGGGCGCTGTGCAATTCATGGCACCCAATCTCATGAGAGATCTGGCTGCGACATACCACCCGCTTTCGCCTGGTGGGTCACATCATCAGTCTACCGGAGATCCGTACCCGGCTATTGAGGACTTCATGAAAAAGCTCAATGTGGTTAAATACCGAGAGGCTGCAGAAACGCATGGAGCAACTGGCCTTGCGTCGTACCTTTCTCGGCTGGTTGTGGAGTTCCACCTTGCTTGTCAGAGACCGTCTGCATATGTTGAGTTGGATGGATTGTATTCGCGGTATGAAAACCATGCTGATCAGGTTGGAATGGCGAATTGCAGAATGATGAAGGGGGACAATTTGGTCAGTCCTCCTTTTGCGAGTCCTCTTTCCTTGAATATTATCATCGTCGATGCCTCCTCTGCTATAGCGGAGGATACCACTTGGGATTCCCTTGCAGAGGACCTCACTTTTACATACTCATCGGAGGCTCAAGAGTGCTATGCCTCTGCACTCACTGGATTCCAAGAAGCAAACTGTAAACGGGGCCAGGCAGCCGTCCTGCTGAGACAGGGTTGTTGTTTGCACACGGTTACAATTCATCAAAAGAATAAGATAGCGTCTTTGAACACACTTGACGAAGCCGAAGAGAAGCTACAGAGGGCCCTTGAGCTGTTCGGCAAGGACGAGGCAAATTTGCAGCTAGTCAAAGTCCACCAAATCTTGCTTCAGACAAGCAAAGGAAATACGCGCCACTCAAGGAAAATCGCAAGAGACATTGGACAATGGAGTGTCAATGCCAAAAATCAAATATTCGGCCATTACCTCGGGCTACTCATCTCACGCTATGCACGACAAGAATGGTTCCAGTTCTCGCGCATGGACACTGCACTTTCCGCTTGGGAATGTGCATCCGAACTTTTCGATGCTCTTGGCGATACAATACCCAAGTTCCAAACCGTGGTATCGCGCGCCTGGGTGCAAAGCGAAATGTTCAACCAAACAGCAGCGAAGCTTTTCCTCGACGAGGCCCTGGCCATGGTCGATCAAGTCAGCGAGTACTACGAAGCCCGCATCAAACGTGCTCCCAATGATGAGATAGGCAGATTGGATCTGAAATCGCTGCAGACTGCCAAGTTCAGTATGTTGTGGACGTTTAGTCGGAAGGTTAGCAGTATCTATCTTCGGGTAGAGGACTTGCCGGCTTTTGAGAAGTGGCAGAAGAAATTGGCTTATTGGATTCAGTTTGATGATTGTTTTCGGGAATTCAGAGAGAGTCAAGGGGATTATTTGGACCGCCATTCTACGAGGCCGGATGTTTCTTATGTTCCGAGACCTAGAAAGAGCCTGTGGGAAAGGACTATGGCTGATGATGTGGTTCGGGTGAGATATGCTGCTGGTGAGATCTCGTATCGGCGGCTTCTTGAGGAGGGGGATATTGTACAGGCTGAAGAGACACTGCGTTTGTTTGTGAATCAGTCAATGGATTTGGAGCGGCTTTATGCAAGGGATCTCTGGTGCATACTTGCTTGTGAGAGAATTGGGGATTTGGAAAGAGCAAGAATGATTCTGGATGGTATCGACGACAACAATTTGTTCGACGAAAGTCTTGAGGAGTTCAAGCAGGGCATTGCAACCAAGTCGATATTTCCAACTGTTGCAGACAATGCTTTGAGGTTCTGTGTTTATGCTGGAGACTATGAAAGAGGTCGGCGAATGGCCGATCTTATCCTGGAAATTTCTCCGAAGTTCTTTGATGAGTTGAATGAGAATTCCCTGGATAGCGCATTTCGACTCTGCTACTACAGCGCCGTTCTGATGAATACTCTCCGCCCAGAGCGTGCGTTTTCGATACTTCTTCGGGTAAGACAAGCAATTGAGCTTTCCAGGACTCAGATGGCCGATGTCGATGCACGCATTGGGAGTTCCTGGGCTGGATGGACGCGCGAGGTTTTATTCAATCTTGCCGTCCTTTGTCTTCGCTGTAGAAGCGCTGGGGTTCCTGTTGCTGTAATGGCACAGTATGATCACGGGCATCCAGCTGATATCTCGTGGGAGGAGCATGCTCTTCTGTTCACGGAAGGCAGTCGAGCACGCGCTGTGCTTGAATCATTGCAGGGACAGGCGAATCAAGGAAAGCCGGCAGATTCCCGAGCTGGTGCACTTTCTGACGCTATTCACAGGCGAAGAACCCTTAGAGCTTTACTTGCTTTGGAATCTCGAAGTCCAGAGCAGGATGACGAAATATTGCAACTCAAGATGGATATCAAAGATCTCGAAGACGCCGACGAATTGTCCCCTGCGACAATATCCATTGACAGCATGAACTCTCCAGTTCACCCCCAACTCCTCTACCAATGCATCGATGACAATTCTGTGGTCATTGAAGCAACCTTCGGCCCTCGTGGCTCCATTGCCTTTGCACTGACTCGAGAAGGCATTCAACAAGTCCACTACGGCCCAACACGCACAGTCGACATGCGCAGGCCGGTCATGAAAATAATGCAAATAATGAAAGAAATGACTGGATATCAAAGCGAAGAAGAACAAGCGCGAAAGAAAGACCTCGGCCTTCTCTCCCATACAATATCCGCCGAACTCCTCGACCCATTCACCCAAACAATAAACACGAAAAACCACATCATCTTCTCCATCTCCGACCCCCTAACAGCATTCCCTTTCTCAACCCTCCAATACAAAGCCAAACCTCTTATCCACCACGCAGCCATCTCCCAAACCCCAAGCCTAACAGTCCTCTACCACCTCACTAACCGCAAACCCCAACAAACAAGCAGACCAACAGTCTCAGTATTCGCCAAATCCCCAACAGAAGACTCTGCAAGCTCAACACGCGCCAACAACGAATCAAATCTGCACATGGCGGGCATAGAAGCCATAACCATAGCCCGAACCTTCCAAACCTGGCCAATCGAAGCCTCAGCCCTAACGCGCAACTCCTTCCGCCAACAAATCGAAGGCGACTCTCCAATCCTACACATAGGCACGCACGGCGATCTAGACCACCGCAACCCCCTCCTCTCCTCTATATCCCTAGCCCACGGCCAAGATTTCCGCGTACTGGATATGTCAGCAGTGCGAAGTAACGTCAGTCTCCTCGTCTTCGCCGCATGCCTAAGCGGTCTCGGCAAAGCAAGTATCGGAAGCGAGGTCCTCGGTTTCTCGCACGTCGTCCTGAGCACTGGTTGTCAGGCTTATATCGGGACATTATGGAAAGTGAGCGATTTTGGATCCATGATGGTGATGACTATCTTCTATCGACTTCTGAAGAAGAACACGGCTCTTTCTGTTGCGGAAATTATGCGCAAAGCGCAGCTGGAGGTATTGGGTCTTGATGCTGAGAAAGCTGGTGTGCTTTTAGATGGGATTGTGGGGGATTGGACTGCGGCTGATATGCAAGGACGGGTTCCTGCGGAGTTTGTGCCTGATGCGGAGTTTTTGTTGTTGACTTTGAAGATGATTTTGGATCAGCTGGATTGGTCGAGTCCGTTTTATTGGGCGCCGTTTACATTAATGGGCCATGGGGATTTCTGCTTTGGGTAGAGCTCGTTGTAGGTATGAAGTTTGCTGCAGGGGATAGGTAACATTATGTAGTGAACGCCTTTCTATCAAAATACAGTATAAGCACAGGTCCTCCATTTTCGGATATCATATCATCGGTCGGTCTTCTCTGTCTTCTAACTCGACTATGGCGTCATCATCGGCACCGTCCAAGATGCCTGATGGCTCGGACTGTCGTGGTGGATTCCGATCACGCAGCCGAACCGGCCGGCGAGACACTCTGCCAGATACAAAGCTAGCAACGGTCTGGATTAGTCGCCATAGACGCTCGTCCAGTGTTTCGGGTGCAGGGGCGTTCAGGTGCCCGCCCAATCCGGAGTTTTCGGACGAACTCGTGGCTGCGAGGGTATGTTCTTCGGCTTCGACCTTGAATTGATATTTCAAACAGTCTTTTACAGTGACGAGACCGGTCAGACGACCACGGTGTTCGACGAGAATGACTCGTGGTCCCATCTTTTTGAAGATCTCCATGACAGTCTCGAGGGGATGGCGCGGGTGCACGGTCAACGGGGTGTGGTCGACATACCGCGAGAAGTCGACAAATGCGGCCCCTGCACTGCGCTGGATTGCATCGAATGTGTCTGAACGTGCGTGGTGAGGTACAGAGGCCCTTCGTGCAACGGCGGCTTCGGCTGCTTCCTTTGTGAATACGCAGCGGGCATTTGGAGCTACCATGCCATGGCTGCGGGCACGGTCGATGGCATATCGAAGCTCTGTGCGTCCGATATACCCAACAAGGGTTTTGCTGGTGCGGTCTTCCACGACAGGGAAGCCTTGGAACTTGTTGTCGTTGAGAAGATGTTCTGCTTCACGCACTGGGAAGTCTGATTCCGGCAGTGAGAGCGGGTCTGTGGTCATGGCGTGGGAGACAGGCACGTTGAACACATGGTCTTCTTTGTTGTCTAGGAAGGGGAATCCATTGAACCAGATCATTCTGTCGGCAATACCTCCGCTGCCGAATCTATCACCGACGGCTTTGGTTACTCCTACCACGATCTGCAAGAGGTTAGCTGTTTGCCATGGCAGACGGTATCGAATATACATACCATAGTAGGCAGGATATAAGTCAGCGCACCAGTCAACTCGAACATTATGACCGTAACGGAGATGGTAAGATGCATAATCCCACTGAGGGCTGCACCTGCGCCCAGGAACGCGTATGTTCCCGGTGTGATGCAAGGTACGTCCGGCTCGCACGAGGCGAAGAATGCAGATTTCGGAAATGATTCATGTAGTGCTTGCACCATGATTCCCACCATGCGGCCAAACGATGCTCCGACGGCCATTGAAGGGACGAAAATACCAGCTGGCACTTTGCATCCATAGGAAATAATCACCAACCCTGTGCGAAGAACGGTTGCAATGGCTAGAGACAAGACCATCGACCATCGGTTTTTGGCTCTGCTTACAAGTCAGTGTCTTGTTTTCTTGATACATGGGAGGCATTCATACTCGCAAAGTCCATCATAGTCGTGGGCACCCTCACATTCACGGAACAAAATCTCCATCATCTCGGTCATGTTAATCTTGAGGAATGTGTTGGGATAGCACAGTACTGCGGTTAGTCCGGCAAGAACCACTGATTCGGTGATAGGCCATTGGGAAAGATATTTCTTGCGGAATGCAGCAACCCGAAGGTTCCATTTCATAACGAATGCACCATAAAGTCCACCGAAGACCCCCAGGCCAACGAAGAAGATCAGTTCAAAGAAATGCCAGGTTCGATCATAGGTCACTTGGAACATGACCAACTGACCCGTTCGGAATGGGTTAACAGCCTGAGAAATCAGCAAGGATCAACCATAAGGAAGTTGAATACGTACCGCCAGAACACTAGTGGCTACCAAAGCACAGAAGTAACTCCGCCAAAGAGTCTTAAGGGGGAAGTAATTGGCCATTTCCTGTTGAAGTCAGCATCATCCCATAAATCTTGTTTGATTGAACAAACCTCCAGGGAGAAGAGCACGCCTCCAATCGGACTTCCAAAAGCAACAGCCACACCAGCTGCAGCTGAGGCAGTTAAGATTTCTCGTGTCTTCGAGGCATTTTGTTTGTATTTACCAAAGAAGCGCGATATCACGTTTCCTGTACACACAGCAAAATGTACACTGGGCCCTTCCTTTCCTACAGAAAGTCCTGATGCAATGGCTAACGGTAGGGCAATTGACTTAATCAGTAGAGTCCAAGCACCGAGGAACCCCTTCATGACAAAGCCAGCAATGATGCATTTGATCTCCGAAATACCAGATCCTGCTGCATACGGTGCAAATGACTTGACCAGGACTGCGGCAATAGATGAAAGCATTAACTATATCAGGATTAGTTCATGGACCAATGACTGGGGATTGCGATAGGTCTTACGGCGCCAAAAATATATATGACATAGTTGAACAGCCAGAATGAAGTCCAATGCTTCCATTCAGGGCAACCTATAACAGTCAGCATCATTGTCTCAGTCTTCAAGAAGCTCGGGGGACATGCCATTCTCTGCGCCCCAGCAGCAAAACTGCTCGTTCAAATAAAATGCAGTAGTGCAATGACCCAATTTGATATCGGAGAGCCATTCGGTGATAATATTGAGCACAGCTGAATTCAATCCAATGGCCATACCAACGAGCGTAACAACAAGCCAGGCCTGACCTGCGTCGTATGATTCATAAACTTTCCGCCTCCAGCCAAGGATGCCTTCCTGATCCCAGAACCTGGTCCCGCTGCGCCGCTTAGCACGCCGCCGCGATTGTTCATAGACGGCATCTTGGACCCAGTCTATAGTGGTAAAGTCTTCATATCGCTTGATCTCACTGATCTCTTCTGTGATCGCGGGGGCCTGGGGTTCGGGAGCGGGTTCGGGGCCGATAGGAGAGGCAGCGGAGCGGGCTGAAGGCCTGCGCGAACTGCGGCGCTCTGAGTTGGCTGAAACCGACCGGGAACCGGTCGAAGAAGGGCGCATTGAGGTCATGACATCGATTGAGGGAATAGGATCAGCATAGTCGATTTGGACTCTGGAGGCTGTGAGCTGTCCGCGGTGCGCTTCGCCGTGAGAAGACGGACTTCCAGGCTTGAATAAATCCTCGCGCCAGACTTAATGTCTTCTTAGACTCTATTCAAGCTGGTGAGATACTGGGTAACTCGGGAGAGGAACGGAGCTGTGGATGTAGATGAGGTGACAAAGCCAAGTCGCCAAGTATCGATAACTCAGATAACGCGGCCACGCGTTTAGCTCTTTCTTTACTCCACGCTGGCGCCCTTGTACTTCTTCGACGGGTTAAGACGCTGAAACTGCTGGCGCATACTTTGATCTTGACTTGATTTGCCATTTTACATCGCCACCATGCCTCCGAAGCCTGTGGGAGATCCGGATGAGATCACCGGACAAAGCGCGCTCCCCAGTACGTGTTGAACTACAGCTGCTTCGACAACTTGCCTAACATATATCGATAGTCTCACGGATCAAGAAGATCATCCAGCTAGACGAGGATATCGTACAATGCTCAAACAATGCGACTTTTGTCATTGCCAGGGCTACCGTGCGCCACACCCTTACAAATTACACCGGGCATCGACTAATACAATTATAGGAGATGTTCATTCAACACTTGGCTGAGCAAGGATACAACGTGGTCAAGTCGGAACGAAAACCCCGCAAAACCGTTCAATACAAAGATCTTGGTGGGTGACTCTTGCTGTTGCTGTTACTGTTGCTGTGACCGACAAGATGAAGATGCTAATGAATGAGCAATAGCCGCGGCGGTATCACACACCGACAATCTCGAGTTCCTATCCGACGTGATTCCCAAGACTACAACGTACAGACAATTCAAGGAGAAGAAGGCCAAGGATGCGGCTGGTCAGAGTGCCATGGAGAAGGGCCAACGTACCCTTAACGGTGCTGATGCTGCTCCCACTTCGGCAAATGGCATGGACACAGAGAACGCTACTCCTCAAGGAGAAGAGTCGAAGACATTGTCTCCCTCGGTTCCTCGGCCAATGGTCCCTGTCAGCGCGCTGATTGCGGACCGGACAGTTGAGCCCAAGTCGAGCCATGACCACGATGTGGAGATGAGAGACTAAATGCTCCATGTCCTCCGTATCTCTTTCTCTGTTTATGATTTGCATTGGAGTTTGTCGGTTTGGGGTTTTGTGGTCGCATTGGGTCGGTTCGTAGATATTGACAACGGGTAATCCCTAGAAGTCAGCCTACCAAAAATGAAAGTAATTAGCAAAATTAGCAGTTCCAGTAGTCAGTATCGACTAAGTAAACAACAAATAGCATAGAACTCAACTAACATACTGTAATTATATTGTTCAAATGGTAGGGAGCGAACGGGAACCGACCAGCCAATGAGCGGCCCCGTGATTCCGATCGCTAGCGAAAGCTCTGGCTCCAACTTCAACTTCCGACTTCATCCACCCTCTATCCCTCCACGTCCCTCCACACTCGCGGCTCAATTCCCCCCGTGGTCAATTGCCCTCAACATGTCGCTCTCCTCCGCTTCCAGCACTCTGCTGCGCACCGTCGCCCGCCAGCAGGTGCCCACCACCCGCGCCGCCGTCACCTCCTGCCAGCGGAGGGGAGTTGCCGATGCGAAGTCATCCTTCGAGTCTCCCTTCGCCAGCGCTAACGAGCGTGGCTCGACCCTGAAGATCCCCAACTTCAGCAAGTACAAGTCCAACAGCTCGCCTCGCTCCAACCAGGTCTTCTCCTACTTCATGGCCGGCTCCCTCGGTCTGGCCACCGCCGTCGGTGCCAAGGCTACTGTCCAGGGTAGGTGTTTTCTTTCTTCGATTCGAGAACAGATGGAATGGGAATCCTGTTAGGAATGAATTGAAAACGAGATTTCAAGTATCTCGTGTGGTCGGAAACCGGGCGTCCCTGTGCAACAATAACTGACGCGATATTTTTCTCCAGACTTCCTGGTCAACATGTCCGCCTCCGCCGATGTCCTGGCCCAGGCCAAGGTCGAGATCGCTCTCGGTTCCATCCCTGAGGGCAAGAACGTATGTGTTTATATCCATTCCATCCGGTAACTTCCAGTGGCCCAAATCCTTATCTAACACTCTCCCAACAGGTCATCATCAAGTGGCGTGGCAAGCCCGTCTTCATCCGTCACCGCACCCAGGGCGAGATCGATGAGGCCCGTGAGGGCAAGTGGGAGTCTCTCCGTGACCCCCAGCCCGATGAAGACCGTGTCCAGCGCCCCGAGTGGCTCGTCATGCTCGGTAAGTTCACGGCAGTATCGGAGGCGATCGAACCGATTCATTCCCTAAATTATATTCTAACTCTCTTCAGGTGTCTGCACCCACTTGGGTTGTGTCCCCATTGGTGAGGCTGGCGACTTCGGCGGCTGGTTCTGCCCCTGCCACGGTTCCCACTACGACATCTCCGGCCGTATTCGCAAGGGTCCCGCTCCTCTGAACTTGGAGGTCCCTGCCTACAACTTCCCCGAGGATGAGGTTCTCGTTATCGGTTAAGCGACCCTTTTTTCAATACACCCCCGAATTTGATTGTCGCCCCCGAAGCGGCTTGTCTCATTAGAATGTGTGGATGAGATAAAAGATGGAAAGGGATGATGTGTCTCCTTTCTATCTGTGTATGTGCTTGTGCGTTTTGGTTATTTCCCTTTTTTTTAGACAGAGCGGCCGTGTGTCTTGTCAAGATTAAGAGACCTGTGTTTTAATATGGACAAAAAAATGAGCCTCTTCTTCCTTTTTGTTTCATGCTGCTCCGGGCTCTTGTCCCTGCAAGTGCGCGCTCCGCCTTCCTCACGCGTGAGGTTAGATGCTCGGGCTGAGATTTTGTCCTGGCAGTGCAGAGGATGTCCGCGGTCTCCTTGAGTACATACTTATGTTCTATATTAGTGTATCGTCTAGTCATGTTATTTCCTATGTTATCTTGATTTCAGGGATATAATGTAGAAGCATAAGCAAGTATCAGGAATAACTAGAAGTTAAATAGATGCCCTAAGGTGAGATCATTCAATGTTTTGCTATATACTCAACTCGCCAGACGCTGCAATAGTAGTACACTAGACTCAATTCTATCCAAGCGAGTCTATTCTTTTCGATCAACTGTACAAATATACCCACCCCAATCAACAAGGCAGGTCATCAAGCCTCTAGCACCAACATGTGCTCGGCCACTCATATTCAAATATATCACCAATCACCAATTACCCAGATCTGAAAATGGCAAAGAGGAAACCCATCACAGCCGCTCCAGCCGCAGCACTCTGAAGCGCGACTGTCGTAACATCACGCTGGGAGACGGCTACGCTGCGTTCGCTGAAGAATTCATGGAAGGCGGTCTTCCAGTACTCGACGGAGGTGGGTGGGTGAGAGATACCCAACAAGCGAGACTGGAGTGATAGGGCAGCATCCGCACCCGCATCAGACACTGCTTCATCCGTTGAAGGTGCAGCAGTAGCATTAGCAGCCTCAACAGCAACAGGAAGACTCTCCTTCACAGCCACGGGAGCATCCTCGATAGGAATCGAGGGTTCCGTATCAGAGGTAGCATCAACAATCTCAGACGAGAAAGCAGATGGAATGGCCGAAAGCGCACCGGCAGTCTCAGCCAGGAACGCGCGGTTAAGCTCCTTCTCCTTCTCAAGCGCCTCGACAACCTTATCCTCGAAGCCCTTGACAAGTCTCTTTCTACGCCATGGCTCAACAAGGATCTGGAAGACCAGGAACAGCAGCACGTTGACACCCATCAGACCCCACGTGCCCCATGTCGACATGCGGCGGATCTTGTCGGACCAGACTTGTTCTTCGTGGTAGCGGGAGAGAATGCTCTTGCTTAACTGCGCGGCTGCTTCTTCGGCTTCGCGCTCTGCGGCTGAGAGCGCGTGCGACGTTTCTGTTTCTGCTACTTCGTTTGTGTGGTCGTTGCGGTAGAGGAGGGTGAAGCGTTCCAGGTCGGTGGGGGACCAGGCATGTTTGCGTTGTAGGAGCTCGTTCACTTCGCGTTGCGAGGTTGAGCGACGGTTTATGGCTGAGGCGTAGTCTTCTTTTGCTTGTTTGACGTGGGATCTGGCTGCGCGGAGGCGGCTTTCTGTTTTTGTTGGTTAGTTCCTGGGGTGGCGTTGGGACGGAGACTGGGTTGGGTGCGTACCTTGGAACTGGATGTCGTTCTTTAGAGCTTCGATGCTGGAGTAGCCGGTTAGGTCGTTGAGTCTTTGGCCTGCCACGAAGACGTTTGATTGCAGATTATCCATCATTGTGCTGAATTGCTTGGACATTTGTGACCGTCGGCTTTCCAGGTACGAGGGAAGACCTCCGCTCTTTGCCTCGGCCTCGGTGGCATCTTGCTCCTGCTGTGTGACTTTCTCTTGTTCCACTTCCGTCTCCTTTGGGTTTATCTGCTCTGCAGACAGCTCGGGCTCTGTGTGAGGGGGAGCAGCATGAGAACTCCCCACCTCAACACCCGGGATCGGGACCGGGTCGCGAGAACCAAGCTCTTGCTCTCTCTCCCTGATCACCTTTTCAGCCTCACTGGGAAACTTGTCCTTGTCGTCGAATGCAGCATATGTCTCGGGCTGTCGGCGGAATTGACATGGTACGCAGGCGGAGAAGCTCCGCGGAGTCGGTCTGGTGATGGAAAAGGTTGGGGTAGCCGGGCGGAAATGTGCTCGCACCGGAGAGGATCCTTTGAAGTGCAGTTGGATGCTGGACCGGAGTGAATGCTTCAGCAGTGTTGGCATGGACTGCATGGCCGGTGTATGGCCACTGGCTCGTGGTGAGGGGAATGGTTGTAACGCAGAGAGAGGCCGGGAGAAGATCTCGGGTTGGCCTCGGATAGCTTATCAGATTGGAGCCGATTGCAGCACCCTGGCATACATTGTACGGTGTTTAACAGTAGAGACACTTTTGAAGCTATATCAGCTAGTTAAATATCTTGTGTGCTAGATTTCATCGGTTGACAAAATATTTTTGTTGAGTACCTCGTTTGTACACTACCACTTGGTCTGTCCGTGGCATGCAATTATATATATTCGCCATGCATCACGAAGAACATCATCGAGAACCAGCAATTGAGAACTCTATACCGGGAAACAATTGGCACTTGCAGGCTCATAATAAAGATCCTTATATACGGATTACCTTGAGAGTAGAATCGCGATTTGGAAACAAGAATTTAGATCCATCCAAAGCTCCAGCTAAAACAACAAGGACAAATAGCTACTAGGAAATCTGGGAGAAAAGAGTGAAGAAAAATACAATTATTGGCAAAAAGTGACCAGTCAGAAAACATAATCAGAATTACATAGAACATTGCTTCGTCAAAATCATGATGCAGTTCTCAGGAGAGGTTCAAGATCCAAGGAAAGAAGGCAAGGGAAGCACGCGGTACCTAGAATAGAGGATATAACCGTAGCAGAACACGACAAAGACCAAATGACATGCGAGGAGAGTCCTCGCAAATGCAGCATTGTCTTGTCTCAACACCAGCCACCTCTATTCATCATTCTGCACCTTGTTGTCGCCCTTGACAGCCTCAGCATACGTCGGCGGAGCCTGCGAGCTGCTACCCCCTTGCTCACTACCTTCGTGCTGTCCGGATGACTTATTCGCCGAGTTTGACTGAGCAGACGCCTGCTGCTCATTGGCGACAGTACCATATGACCGCGGGGCGGGGTGCTGGTGTGGCTGGTGTGAGACATAGTAATAGGTGACATTTCCATTCTCGAGGTCCCGGCGCTGACTTGCGCCACCAGGGATGGGCTCGTAGCTTGCCTCGTCAGGGTCTTGTTCTGGGTATTTGACGATGATGTACCACGCATGGATGAGGCCGGGGAGGTAGCCCAGGAGACAGAGGGCTATATTGATGATTGAGTCGGCAGTACAGATACCTGCCTTGACCCATACTGTTGAGACAGTTCTTGATCAGCACTGGCAAGGCTAGATGTGGTGGGTGGGTAGGTGGGTGTAGTCTGGGCACAATAGAGGCAGATGCAACTGCGACTTACCTGCAATGGGCGGAAAGAAGACGGCGAGAACCGCCAGGAAAATATCAGAGCTGCACATGGCTGTAATCTGGGTGAGTATCAAAAATAGTAATCGACGTCGACGTCTATGACTTCTGCGATGAGTTGCAGTGGCAGCCTGCTCCCGATCAGATGATGTCAAGTCATGTGACACAACCACGTCCTTGCCCACCGTGATGTTTTGAAGGTTTGCACTGTTTCCTCAGGCAAGGACATATCAATCACCTTTTGACTACCATCAATTATCGAAATGCGACTCATCCAATACTGGACCGTAAAAGCGGGGTGCCTCCAACTTTCTTTACAAGCGCGGTAAGTATCCAGTACAAGCTACTGTTCCCGTTCCCCTCCCACGAACAGGTACCAGGTACCTATCTGCCCCTCGCATGTCTCCATGATAGCTCACACAATGTGAAAAATCCATTCTGTGCATCATGCAAGGCCGGAAAAATAAGCAGGTAACGTTTTAGTACACGGTCATCTGTTGAAATTTGCGAGCCGGGCAGTGATATAGCGATCGTCTCTCGGAGCCGCTAACGTCGCCTAGCGAGGCTGGGAGAGGAGTAGTGTACGAGAACTCGGTAATAGTGTACAGCAAACAGCACGGAAACCCCCTATCTACAGTAGATGCTAGTTATTGGATCATTAAACATATTGAAAGGAAATCGCAAAATTGGTGGGAAAAGAAAGATGGCGTGTACAGTAAGTAAGAAAGAAAAGAGTAGGTAAACAAACCGAGACCTCCCCCCCCCCTTTTTAGCTTGTAAGATGAGCTGTAACATCCAGGATAACTTACTGTGCATATGTAAAAATAACCCCAGAACCCATTGTTTCATAATTCCCTTTTTTCCCAGCAGTTCGTCTCCCTTTACCCACTGAGCCCAGGCCACTTCCATTTTGGTTAGGCAATCTCATCTCTTCTTCTTCTCCTCCAGTCTTCACTTTGGATTTGGGCTCTGTTGACCATTCTTTCTGGGTCCGTATCGGCCCAAGTCACTCGTTTATTTTCTTTTGCCTATTTTCACTTCTTTCCCCCCAAGCTTGAGGCAGTAACGGTGGCCTGGGGTCGACCAGTCTCGTTTCTTTTTCCCGTGCCAGTGGTCCCGAACTGAACATTTCCGATCGCAATTGACACATTCCACGGCATATCGACTTGGGTGGCTTCTTCTATATCAGGGCGACGACTTCGAGGTTCGCGCCCGACATGTCAGACTCTTGTATCTCCCTCTCGGGGTCAAGCGCCTGTCCTGCCTGGGGCAGCTCGTCCATTTCTACTAATTCTAGCCTATACGGGAGCTTGTGAGTCAAAACGCGCCAGAAAACTCGAAATTTTCCGCTGACAAGCAAAAAGTCCATTTCTCAAAGGCGTGTCGAATCTGACCGAGTTCGATGATTCATTAAAAGACTATGTTAAGGGGTCATACGTTTCATTAAAGTGTGTTGACCATCATTAAGGTACTTCAACCAGGAAATGCTGACTGGCGCACAGATACGACGAGTTATTAGGCTGTAATGGCCTCAACACCAGCGCATCAAATGACTACTATGCTCAATACACTACTAGTGTGATGTGCAGCAGTGTCATCCAAAGCTCCATATCCGACTGTAAACTATCAACCGATGATGCGCTCCCAATTTGTGTCGACACATGTGCGCTTTGGGCGCGAAGTGAGGAGGAGACTATGGTGAATACCGATCTATGCACCAGCACCGACAAGGATTATACGAGCCAGATCTACTCCGACTTGATTATCTGCGAACAACCATACAAAGCCCTTTCCGGAAGCTGCATCGAAGGAGCCAAGAACGAGCCAGACAACTGCGGATTTGCGTCGAACACCATTGGACTTTGCACCTACTGCGCGAGTGGTACCGATACTTGCTGCAAGTCATCCAATGCCACGAGCCGCTGTGATGGAGTGACGATCCCTACTACGACTCTTCCACCTCTCACTTCGTCTTCCGCTGCGGCCGCCAGTGGTCACCATGGATTATCTGGTGGTGCAATTGCTGGAATTGTGATCGGTTCGATTGCAGGAGCAGCCATTCTCGCCGCTTTAATCGCCTTCCTTTGCATTTTCATGCGCCGCCGCCGCAGGAACAACTCGAACGAAGGTGGACTGAACCAACCGAACCCGCAACGCAAGGGATTATCCCCATCCATGCAGCAGGCCGAGAGCCCAACCGCCTATAATATGATTCCAGGGGGCCGTGTCACACGCATGTCTGCCTTGCGTGAAATGCCCAGCTCGTCTTCGCCTGCATATTCGCGGACTTCGCCAGCCATGTACAGCGGTGCCAAGTACAGTGATACGAGTTCAGAGGGCATGGGTGCCAGTCCTGGCGCCATGTCTAAGAAAATCCCCCCTGTCACTGGCAAGCGTCTTGGTTCACTCTCGAGCGGCTCTGCTCTGGGCGGACTAGATAGCGACAGCTCGCCTCGCTCCGGTACCAATACCACTTATCAGTACTCTTCGCCAGAAGGAGTGACCAGCGGTCAGTCTGAGCAGCTGTCATACTTCCGCGACTACTACTCGCAAGATGACATCCATGCTGGAGACAAGGTTGCTGTTCTCTGGGCATACTCCCCCAGAGCCGGCGACGAGTTTGAACTCGACCGCGGCGAGATCCTCAAGGTAATTGGTATCTGGGACGACGGCTGGGCGACAGGAGTGCGTCTTCCTGAGCGAGCTGAAGACCACGACATCAGCCACCGGGAGCAACGGGATAGCGGAGTCTCAAACGGCTCCCACCTGCCTTCGCGCTCGTCACCCACGCCGTCAGGCGAGATCAAGGCCTTCCCCTTGGTCTGTATCTGTCTCCCTCAGCACTGGCGAAAGATCATCGATGGGGGCCAGGAAGATGATGAAATCTGAGCGCGGTTCTCGGTTACCATCAAAATTACGTCTTTCACGACAGCGTGCTGATTCTTTTCTATCCTTCCAGCCTCGCAAGTTGGTGTTGGGTTTGATGCGTTTTTCCTCTCAGGCTGGCCACCTCTGATCTCAATGCTTTTCTACTCGTATTCGATATACCCCCCTTTATGACGGTCTCGTCCCTTTTATTTCCTTTGGTTTCCTTTCCTTTCCTTTTCTTCCCCTCTGGGGAACCGGTCGCTGGCGTATCGGACTTGGTGATAACACCTCACTTGGTCTCTTTTATGTACCCGTGCCCTTTGCCAATTCTATGTATACCGCCCGAGGATATCATATACACTTAATGTACATAATTAGACCAATTTACAATCCCAGGGTTTTTTTATATCCCCACAACTCCCCACATCTGCTCAGTTCTTAGCCGGACCGTGACTTCGATTCGCAATTACTTTACTAATCCTTGCCCCTCATTTCGCCATACCATTTATAATACTTATAACGTTGACTCTCTCTCTCTCTCTCTCTACTCTCATTTTGCTCTCTACTATTCACACCAGAACTCCATCATGCCCACCCCCAAGATCATCCTCTACACAAACCGCGGCTGCCCATGGGCCCACCGCGCCCACATCGCCCTGAAGGAATCAGGACTAGACTACGAGGAAGTCACCATCGACCTGACAAAGCCCCGTGAACCATGGTATCTGGATGTGAACCCTGTAAGTACCAGCTGCCAACAGCACACCTACACTATAACAACCCAAGTTCAACCAACTAACAACCAACGCCATATCTAGCGCGGCCTTGTCCCAAGTCTGTCCTACAACAACCAAATCATAACCGAAAGCGGCATTGTAGCCCAATTTCTCGCAGATGCTCACCCCTCCCACCTCCTGCCACCCTCGGGACCGGCCGAGAATTCCCTTTACCGTGCTCGCGCGGCCTTCTTCATTGATGCCTTCTTTAGCAAAGTCAACCCATATCTCTTTGCTAGTTTGAAGGCTGCCAATGAGGACGAGAGGGATGCGGCTGCGACAGCTTTGGCTGAGGCTGCTGTGAAGGAAATTGAGCCTTTGCTTGAGGACGGCAAGGGACCTTTCTTTGGTGGAAGTGAGAAATTGACTATTGTTGAGGTATGTTTTTGCCTGTTTCAGTGGACATATAGTATCTATGGATGTGATGTAAAGATGGAGATTTCATTGGCTAACCGTTGGCTTTGCTATTGATAGGTTCAATCGGGCTCTTTCCTACTTCGCATTCTTGGCTTTGCAAAGCCTGAACATGGTCTTGTTAGTGCCAAGTTGCCTGCTTTGTTGGAGCGCGCGCCGCGCTTTAAGCGGTGGGCTGAGGCTACTATTGCTCATGAGAGTGTTAACTTCATTTGGGATGAGAAGGCTGTTGCTGATAAGATGCGGGCTAAGTTTGCTCCGAAATAAATAAATATATACTGTAGATGGATTGAAAGTGAACACGAATATGACTATATACTATCTTGGCTGCAGTTATGTGCATGAATTACCGGTGGGCCGGGAATTGTAAAAATAGACAGCGTCCCATGGTTGAGTGACTGGGGACTTTTTTTGAGTGTACGTCAGTGGCATATTTGATGGTGTGAACACTTTGCCCTTGACATAGCGTGCATGTATATGTATACCGTATGTCATGCAGATACTTGTGTGATTTGGTCGGGACTTCCTCCAAGTGGATATTTTTCAGATCAGAAACATATGTAGTGTTTGTAGATACCGGTCCAATGGCAGCAGCAACCCCCCTGGAATGTTCCCCTACCACATGGCAATTCCACTTCAGGTTTTCACTAGATATAGCCTCAAATCAACCGCCTACGCCACGGGCTGAAAACAGGTACCGAAGACTTTGTTTATCGATGTTCCGACCATATCACGTGCTGCCACCCCACCAAGGCAACACCTACAATTCACCCCTCAAACTCCATCTTCCCCCAACTCCAACTTTCTTGACCTCCGCCTTCGATTCCTGTAAGTCATACACAGAGTAACTCAGGCCTTGAACAGCTGGGTTATTTGAGATTCTGGGAGAGAGACCTGAGGAAATCCAGCTGACATCGCGTGCCAGTAACCCCGTCCCTTTTCATTCACTCTACATAAGCAATCATGTCGGTTAGTATAAATTCGCTCAATGTCCTGTCAAAAGTACACCAAAACTGACTTGTATATTGCGCAGCTCGCATCGGGGTAAGCCGTTATATTCTCCTGCGATACTTCAATACCCTCCGTTATTGACGCTCCCTATAGTGTCCAGATTCAGGATGACTGCATTACCTCCTTCCAAGAATTCAGCCGCAGCCACGGAAAGATCAAGTACATTATCTACAAGATCGCGGACAACAAGAAGGAGGTTGTTGTAGACTCCGTCGGCAAGGACCAGGACTACGAAGTCTTCCGCAACGAGCTCGCCGACGCCAAGGACGGCATGGGCCGCTCTGCTCCCCGCTACGCAGTCTACGATGTCGAGTACGAGCTGCCTGGTGAGGGCAAGAGGTGCGCATAAATCCTAGCCAACGTACGACACATCGCTAATCAAATCGCTGCACAGATCCAAGATCATCTTCATCTCCTGGGTTCCCAGCGACACCCCCACTCTCGTATGTGTCCCCTGATCCAACAAACCCGATTCCTGCACAGAATCAATGACTGACAACTCTCCAGTGGTCCATGATTTACGCCAGCACCCGTGAGGTCCTCAAGAACGCTCTCAACGTTGTTGCTTCCATCCACGCCGACGACAAGTCCGATATCGAGTGGAAGACAGTCTTGAAGGAGGCCAGCGGTGGCAAAGCATAGATGATGGCGCCGGCTGGATCCGGGTCGCGCGACGGATAGGGGTGCGCCCCCGACGACGCTGCGGAACGATCAATTCATTACCTCACTCCGTTCTCCCATTTTCTTCTTAGTTGCAATGCAAGACCGTTACGACTTGGCCTGTTTTTTTGTTCATCTCGAGGCCTTCAGATCATGCAGTTGGCGGATTCCTCAGCCCAATCTCAAAATCTCTTTTCTTGACTGGACATATATTCATTTGAATTGAACCATGCTTAATTTCGCATTCCGACAATTGGCATGGTATCCAGCATAGGTGGGATCGCTGCTTATGGTGAAGTGCACACAATGAACGTCTTGGAGAGAGAGACAGGATGCTGTTATTGTGTAGGAAGTTTAGATATCAAGTCTTCTTAGTGACCACTGGTGTGTAGGCGGAGAACTTTTCCGAAGCGAAAAGCCTGGTGAAAAGCGAGAAGGGAGCAATTGGGTTATCAGCCAGCAGTGTGACACTCAGTACTTCATAAGCCAAGAATAAGCCCAACATATATCAGCCTCGGAAATCTCAACATCATGCCATGCTGAGAATGATGATGCTCCTCACTGGCAGAATCGAGATGGCCGGGTTCGGCCAGCCAATCACCTGTCAGCCAAACCCAAACCGCGCTAGTCCCGACCGGATCCTCGCCTTTCCACCTCAAACCACAAGAAACGTCTTCAAGTCACCCATCCACCCCCTCCACTCTCTGCAAAGCCGTGCCCTGGCGTACCTCCTGGCTCTACCCGTCTCGGCCCTCCATTAAACTCTTCAATTGAACCGATTTCGACGTGGTGCTCCCACCTCCCGCCTGCCGCACAATGTTTCTTCGCACCGTCTCCCGCGCTGTTCCTCGCAGCACCGCGGCCATCCGTGTCGCCCCTGCCTCTGTGAATATCATCCAGACCCGCGCTGCCTCTGAGCATGCCATCGCCAACCCCACTCTCGCCAGCATCGAGAAGCGCTGGGAGGGTATGCCTCCTCAGGAGCAGGCCGAGCTTTGGATGCAGCTCCGCGACCGCATGAAGGTTGACTGGCACCAGATGACCCAGCAGGAGAAGAAGGCCGGTACGTACTGTCTACAGATGAGTGATTTTGGGCGAGACGAGCTGTTGCTTTGTCGACCCCGTCGCTTCCGAGGTTATACTCGGAATCCCCGAACCATGACTCCACGATCGATCTCCCCATTATCGTAATCAGATATAACTAACCCAATTCTTTGATATAGCTTACTACATTGCCTTCGGTGCCCACGGTCCCCGCGCCCAGAGCCCCAAGGGTGAGGGCTGGCGTATCTTCGGCAAGGTTGTGCAGCTGACCGCTGCCTCCGTTGCCATCTTCTACGCCGTCCACGCCTTCGCTGGCAAGCAGCCCGCTACCATGTCCAAGGAGTGGCAGGAGGCCTCCAACGAATATGCCCTGGTAATACATTTCCCCAATCCCCCCTTTCCGACCGTGGCGAGACATCGCCGACATCCCCTGGACACTATATCCGCCGTATCAAATGCTAACCTCCCCAACAGAAAGAGAAGATCAACCCCATCCACGGCATCAGCAAAGAGGGTTACGAAGGCAAGGGCTTCGTCCAGAGCCCCCCTGCTGAGAAGTCATAGATGTACCGGTCCGACCGGGAATGAATCGATATCTGAGCAGGACGGACGACGGCACCCATACGACATAGATGTCGATTTTCTCATACGCTACTCAAGCCCCTCAAGCTACCCTGGCCATGTTCACCATGTCTATCTACCGGAGGATGGGCCCTCGCCCGTGCGCACGGCTTTCGATTATTCCTTATTTCTGTCCCTTTTGGCAAGCATCCGAAAATGCGTGTATCCCGTACTGTGCTATAATCAATGTATCTCTTTTGTAGCCATAGAGAATGTGTTTTCATCTATTTTCTGTTTCCTGTTGTTGTTGTTGTGGCCCCTGTGCTGGAATCCGAATGGCGTGTCTACGGAGTGATTCGGAACAGACGTAAGTGCGGAGAATCCCTGTAGCAACAAGGTACATGGTCAAATTCCCGGCATTGGGGGAGGGTATTTAGAGTATATACAGTGTTGTTTCATAGATGATAAACGAGCTATATCAAGTGATTTAAGACTACGATCAACCATCAAGCTTATACCTTAACTGTATACTCCGTAGTCGTCAGACTATAAGGTTATGTGGTTGACCCAACACGTCAGAGATTTCCCGAGCTTGCAGCTTCCTGTGCTCGGACTAACGGGCCATTGACCCTTCTGATGCACTTCGTTCCAACGCATGTTCCTCTAGCTTTCAGGGACTTAATTTAGGATTCTTAAAGAACTGGGGAAACCATTAGTGCCTTAAGTAATGTCACAGACGGTGGCTCCCTGCTTCCGGATGCCAAGCCTCGGTGTGTGTGCGTGAATTCCAGGGCAACGGGATGAAGCTCCCTCAACCACGACGCTAGTGTACAAACTTGTAGACATATGGGAGTTAAAAAAACCAGGAAAAATCCAAATCATAACATTCCTATAGACAATAATCAGTCAAGAGCTTCCCTCGTGGCTCAATGTCCAATGTAGTTCTCGGTTCATCACGGGATCGTCGGCAAAACCGCCCCGGAAAGGCTAAGGGCGACCAGTCCCCGTCCACCAACCTCTTCGCTCCCTCTTCTTCCCTCTTTTCCCGTTCCAACCTCACCTCTCCCTTTCCATCACATCACGCTCTTCAACACCTCCATCATGTTCAAGAGGTATGTTACTCCACAGTAGATGACTTCAATTTCTCTTCTCAATACTAATTTTCTTTCTCTTCTAGCGGTCTTGCCCGATCCTTCGGGAGGGTTGCCCGTCCGGCTCCCATCGCCCGCGCCTTCCAGCCTCTCCGCTCCTCTGCCCTGCCGGCTCTCTCTGCCCGCTTCGCCAGCTCCGATGCTGCTCAGTCTGGCAAGGTTCACCAGGTCATTGGTGCCGTCGTTGACGGTACGTGTTGTCGACTCCTGACGGAACGGGGACCTCGCGAAAATCTTTTCCCTGGACCCAATCCATCACCAAAACCATCGCAATAAACCCCAAATCCATCAACGAATCTGTGTCTGACATGCTCTTCGCCATTTTATAGTGAAGTTCTCCGGCGAGAAGCTCCCTGCCATTTACAACGCCATTGAGACCACAAACAACGGCCAGAAGCTCGTCCTTGAGGTTGCTGTACGTAATCGGATCAGACCAACCTTGAATCAATCGCATTAAGCTAACATACACTCTACAGCAACATCTTGGTGAGAATGTCGTCCGTACTATTGCCATGGACGGTAAGCTTCACCTCTCCCCTTCACCCCTTTCCTGGCCACCGTGTCGTTCTCTTGCCCAAAGCGGTGGAGAGAGGACCCACAGAGTGCGCCTCTACGCCATAGCAAAGAGCTTGAACTGACTTTATTCCAAAGGTACCGAGGGTCTCTCCCGTGGTGTCGTTGCCACCGACACTGGTGCCCCCATCACCATCCCCGTCGGTCCCGCTACCCTCGGCCGTATCATCAACGTCACTGGTGACCCCATTGACGAGCGTGGTCCCGTCAAGGCCACCCGCTTCGCCCCCATTCACGCCGAGCCCCCTGCTTTCGTCGACCAGTCCACCTCTGCTGAGATTCTCGTCACCGGTATCAAGGTTGTCGATCTTCTCGCCCCCTACGCCCGTGGTGGTAAGATTGGTCTGTTCGGTGGTGCCGGTGTCGGTAAGACCGTGTTCATCCAGGAGCTGATTGTAAGATTCCCGACCGAAAGATGTCTTGATGTGGTAAACTAATTATCTGCCTATAGAACAACATTGCCAAGGCCCACGGTGGTTACTCCGTTTTCTGTGGTGTCGGTGAGCGTACCCGTGAGGGTAACGATCTGTACCACGAGATGCAGGAGACCGGTGTCATCCAGCTTGAGGGTGATTCCAAGGTCGCCCTGGTGTTCGGTCAGATGAACGAGCCCCCAGGTGCCCGTGCCCGTGTTGCCCTGACTGGTCTCACCATTGCCGAGTACTTCCGTGATGAGGAGGGTCAGGATGTGCTGCTCTTCATTGACAACATTTTCCGTTTCACCCAGGCCGGTTCCGAGGTGTCTGCCCTTTTGGGACGTATCCCCTCTGCCGTCGGTTACCAGCCCACCCTGGCTGTTGACATGGGTGTCATGCAGGAGCGTATTACCACCACCCAGAAGGGTTCTATTACCTCCGTCCAGGCCGTCTACGTGCCCGCTGACGATTTGACTGACCCTGCCCCTGCCACCACCTTCGCTCACTTGGACGCCACCACTGTCTTGTCCCGTGGTATCTCCGAGTTGGGTATCTACCCCGCTGTCGACCCTCTCGACTCCAAGTCCCGTATGCTCGACCCCCGTATCATCGGTGACGAGCACTACGACACCGCCACCCGTGTCCAGCAGATGCTCCAGGAGTACAAGTCTCTCCAGGATATCATTGCCATTCTCGGTATGGATGAGTTGTCCGAGGCTGACAAGCTCACCGTCGAGCGTGCCCGTAAGCTCCAGCGTTTCCTGTCCCAGCCCTTCGCTGTCGCCCAGGTCTTCACTGGTATCGAGGGTACCCTCGTTGACCTGAAGGACACCATCAACTCCTTCAAGGCCATCATTGCTGGTGAGGGTGACGACCTTCCCGAGAACGCCTTCTACATGGTTGGCGACTTCCAGTCCGCCCGCGCCAAGGGTGAGAAGATTCTGGCTGAGCTCGAGGGCAGCGCCTAGATGTAATTTTGTCTATTTGCTAGCTAGCGCGCCGTCTTACAACTTCCCCCTCAACATCTTCAAGCCTCTTTCTTCTCTTTTTCCTCTCTCTCTCTCTCCCTCCCTTGTCCCCTCAATTTTCTCTCCGGTCTCTTGGTTATTTGTTCATTTAATTTCCTTTGTCAGAACACAAACTCCTGTCCTGTTTGTCCGCGATGACACCAATTTCCCCCTTTGAGAGACGTGTATAGTACCGATCTAAAAGAGAGAAAACAACCCAACAGAAAGGGACTTGATGACTCATTCCATTTCCGTTGCTTTGTCGCATTTCTGCGTGGGTGTGGAGCGTTCTTCGCATGACTTTGTTTGTGTCCTTTCTAGACTCGTCCGAGCAAGGAAACCCGTTTCAATCCGGGCTATGAATCTGGACTAGACACCGGAGCAGAGTTTTTCTGTGAGATTGGGAGGGGTGTGCTGAGAATGAGAATCGAGCGTGAGAAATGATGTGTATGTTGAAGTCGAGCTCGGGTCGTTCGTGGTTCGTGGTCTGTGTCTATCTTAGCGAGTTGATGGGATTTCCTTAAGCCGGTCTGTGGATTGGATACCAAACACACAAACCCCCTGGGCCGGCGTGTTTCATTATTTTGTGTATTTAGAGTTCAAAACCATGATTCTCGATCTCTTTTCCTTTGTGATTGGTTTTCGTCCTTTGTAAAGTGTCTTGTAGTGTTGCATGTAGCCTGTAGCGTTGTTGTATCTTGTACTGATACCCGTTCTCTGCTATGTAGCATGGATGTGATGGACCCGTTCCTCTGAATGGCTTTTAGTCCGTCCATCTTGCTTGATCCTCTTTCGACTGCATTGCCAACGAACCCGGAGTTCTTTCTCATTACGGCAAACAGAGGAAGGATGTCCGTATCCGGTGTACCAACCCATTTGCATCTACGTTGAGTAGCTTCAGCTTAACTTATCCCCAATGCACGACAGTATGCATGGCCTCCGGATAGACTAGACGAAGTAGTTCGAGACAGATCTGATAGGGCCAAATGCAACAGAAGGAAGAAAAGTAAATATAGTGACGGAAGAAATGATGAAGCTGTAGCTAAAGCTAAAGCTTCATCTATAGCTAAGAAATGCAATCTAGTGCTAGAACAACGAGATATGATTCGACAATTTGACAATATGACAATATGCATCAAGATAGCAATGTTTGGACCTGAATAGTCCAAGTCAAAGCCATGTTCATTACAGAGTGCTTTCCAGAGCGAGGACCTGTATCGAGAGAAAACGTTAGTACTGATCACAAGCAGCGACAGGAAAAGGAAAAAGAAGAGAAGAGCAAAACATACCAGAGCAGTCCTCGTAGGAATATAAACCTGCACGAAATTGGCCCTGCCATTCCAAGACATATCGGTAGTAAAGAAACGCGTCTCCTTAACATTACGCCCCAGCCCACCAAAGGCCACATCATCCGAGTCCAGCACAATGCGATAAGTACCAGCAACATCCACGCCAACGCGATAATCGGTAAAGCTCTGCGTGGGATTGAAATTGAAGATCCAGAGCAAGCCCGCCCGCTCAAAGACCAGGACCTTATCGGCCTCGTTCTTGAGACTGATGTAGGCCTGCGGCGACGCCAGCCAGCCGTATTTCTGCTCGGTGAGCTGCATGCCGCGGTCGAACTCGTTGAGGAACTTGTAGCGCAGCAGGTTGTCTTCGGTGAGATTGAGCTGGCGGCGCGCGTACCAGAACGAGTTGTTGTTTCCTTCGCGTGGGAAATCGAGCCATTCGGGGTGGCCGAATTCGTTGCCTTCGAAGTTGAGGTAGCCTTCGCCGCCGAGGGCGTGGGTTATTAGGCGGATCATCTTGTGGAGGGCCATGCCGCGTTCGATTACCGGGGTGAATTCTGTTAGGGTGGACATGTGTGTGTACATTTCTTTGTCGCAGAGCCACATCATTAGGGATTTGTCGCCGACGAGTCTGGTGCGATTGTGTTAGTGGGTTTGGTTGGGTGATGGGAGGGTGCTGGGTGACTTACGCTTGATCATGGCTCTCGGCGTAAGCGATGGTTTTCTCGCCGTGGCGGCGGTTGGTCAGGGTGAAAGAGAGGTTGCCAATGTCCCATTCGTCGTCTGTGGACTCCTTTAGGAGCTTGATGTACATGTCTGGGATGGCCATGGCGAGGCGGTAGTCGAATCCGACGCCGCCGAGCTTGTGGGGGAGACACAGGGCTGGCATGCCGGAGACATCCTCGGCCACTGTGATGCAATCGGGGTAGAGTTCGTGTAGCATCTCGTTGGCGAGAGTCAGGTATGTGACGCCCTCTTCATCGACGGCTGGGCCAAAGTACTCATGGTAGCCACCAGAGAAGCCTCTGTTTCGAAGTTAGTGAGATGTGAAGTCAAATATGATAGCAGTGGTTTAGACGTACGTTCCAATGCCGTGGTGCGTGTAGAGCATGCTGGTCACACCATCGAAACGGTATCCATCGAACCCGTACTCCTCCATCCAGAAGCGAAGGTTACTCAACAGGAAACGCAGGACCTCGTGGTTGCCGTAGTTGAACAGACGGCTGTCCCATAGCTCGTGGCGGCCCTTGGCTCCGCCATGGAAGTATAGGTGATCCGTGCCATCAAACTCGTTGATTCCGTCGATGACGTTCTTGGACGCATGACTGTGAACAACATCAAGAAGAACAATCAGTCCCATGCTGTGAGCAGTATCAACGAGCTCCTTAAGATCCTCTGGGCTTCCGTAGCGACTGCTCGCCGCGAAGAAGTTGTTGACCTGGTAGCCGAAACTGGCGTAGTAGGCATGCTCCATAATGGCCATCAGCTGGATGGCATTGTATCCCAGGTACTTAATGCGGGGAAGCATGTTCTTGGTGAACTCCTTGTAGGTCGCGACTCTGGTCTCTGGGGACGAGATACCGACGTGTGCTTCATAGATTCGCAAGCTTTCAGGCTTCTTGGGCCGTGAGTGTTGGAACTTGTATTGCTCGTTTGCGGGGGGTTCCAGAAAACCGCGTCATATGCAGGTGATACATTTAGGTCTTGGACAACACGCTTGATCCAAGCGGGGAGTCGGTAGATGCGCTCTCCGCTGGGGAGGACCATAGTGATCTGCCAAATATCAGCGGCCATAATATTTCAGAATACGGGGCACGCAGGACGAACCTTAATCTTGCTATCATGGGGAATCGCGTGCGTACCGTCTTTCGGCGGTACTGTTACGTTCCAGATACCGAAGCTGTTCCTGGTCATGGGATTGGCATTGGTGTCCCAGTTGTCTGCTAGTCTTAGTAAAGCACCTCAGATAGCTTCATCCCAAAACCTACTGAAATCTCCGACCAGAGAGGCTTCTTTGGCATTGGGTGCCCATTCCTTGTATGTGATCTCGCCATTAGGTTGCGCATGCAGGCCGAATGTTTCGTAGCCCTAGATCTAGATTAGTAGGGCATAGAGCTACGATCGCGAATCAATTCACCTTGCTGAACTTATCCAGACCACCCTCAGTCTCATTGATAGTTTTGGCCCATGTCTCGACCACCTGGAATCTGTGCTTCAGGACATCGCGATGGGGTTCCAACCAAGGATCAAGCTGGATGACACCTAGAAAAGTATTAACATGAAACCGCCGATCGAAAACCAAGCTAGCTTACCTGTTCCATCCATGGCGTAGTTAGAGCTTTCAATTGTAGAAGACATGAGTGAAACTGGAGAGGTGGAGAGAAGACGGGGGAGTCGAGATCAAGGAAATCCTGCGGGGGTCTCAACATGTGACATCAACCCCTCAACGCTTTGTCCTCTCAACTTTTCGAGTTTTTTTTTTTGCTCTTCTTTTGTCGGACTTGAGTTGCCTTGCATCCTCCTTGGATTGTAACTGTACAGTGCTAGCTAGGTAGCTTGGGTTCTGCATTGAGCTCCGGTGGGGATGTGGAGAGCTACCGGGAACGGATCCGCTCTGTTTCCAGCCATGAGGGCTTTGAGCTCAATACTGGGGATTGTGCTGTATCTTGGATTTTTCAAAAGTTATTGAATAAAAAGCTACCAAGGACTAGAGATAGAGGATTGTTCTTACTATGAGATCCATACTGATCAACCTGAAGGTGTTGGGTGGTGCCTGTCATGACCTAGACTTAGCTACCAGAATGTGGATATAGGCTAGCTTCAGAATAGTGATTGCATAAGATAGGGGACATTCATGAGTACCTTATACGATGGATTTGGAACTCTACTAGACACAGCTTGCCACTAGACGTTCCTTTAGGTTCACTTTCAGGTACTGACCATGCAGGTACCCTCCATTCCGAATGCGGACAAACATAAGTTTACCGGCTCAACCGTAATTAATCTGGTGTAAAATCGGGACGAGTAAATTAGGCTATACAGTCTTTTTACCTCACTTGATCCTACTTGTCTTTAACCTCAATTTCAAAATTTGCCGAGTTCCCTGAGGCCAAACGTATAGAACCCCCAGACTTGTCCATCTATGAACCCGATCTAGCTTTAGCACAATTCGAGATGATTCTGGACTATACTGAGAAGAGAATTGAACATGTTGGTACAATTGGACCCACAAATACTGAAGTCTTTGTATAATGCTATACTTGACAGGTATCATGGCTCTGATACCATATTGATTGAAATCGTACTTAGTCACGTACTGTATATCTCGACAAACTTTGGCCGCTCCCAGGAGACTCGACAAAGAAGCTCATAATTCCTTTGTGCTCCTGGACAATATTCTTTGTCTCGCTTTCTCTGATAATCCCTTGACCTCTTTTTAGTCATTGTAGCGTGGAAATGTCTTTGTCTGATAAGTTATACCAGTCTATAATAATGCGAATATAAGAATCTAAAATTAAGCCAGAATAATTAGCATTCTCGACTCATTATCAAAAGCTAAACTACAGATCTAGTCATCCACCTGACTCTCTATCACCATTCACGACCTGACCTCTAGCAATCAACCAATCCAACCAACGACTAAACACATCAATTCCAAGTCGCAGAAAACCCTAGACCCAATTTATCTCTCCACGACTCCAGATTTCCCCCGCCGCATTATTCGAAATGGCCTACAGCCTTCGCAATGAGAGCTACGAGACTGTCTTTGACCGAACAAGCATGGTAATCAAGGACATAATGACCATATTAATTAACCGCGCTGGTTCTGATGGGGCCATCACCGACCGGCAAATGACGACCAACATCATGCTAATCACTATGAATGAACTCTTCCCTCTTCTTGAGCACATGAAGTGCCTTGCACATCTGATTGGGACAGTCAACCCATATGGCAGAATTTCCCGCACATTCGGTGTCGATTACCTATTAGGTGAGTTTCTTGATGAAGTCGATGAAGTTATAGAGACCTTGAGGAACGTTCGCATCTGGCTCATCAGCGGTGAGATCACTCCTGTTGGTATAATGGTGGGCTTGGAGGGCATTCTTGGCTCCCTTCCTTTTTGAAATTTTTAGACCGATGCTAATTTTTTTGTTTAAAATGTGATAAGTTTAGATAATTTTGTATAATTCTTATAGCTAACAATGGACTGGAAATTGTAGATGGTAGATACTTGCAAGAGCTTGATGCAACTGTACGTGTATATCACCTAGTCCTAGCCACATTGGACAAGGAATCGACATGAATGTACTCTTCCCTATAATCGAGCATATAAAGTGCCATTGAGATAGACATGATGCCCATAGAATTCGGCCTTGGAGACCACCTGGGCAGCCTCGGCAGCCTCGTATACATCACATAAGGCGAACTAAACCCTTTGCAGGCAGTCAATGGGGGCCAAAACAAGCCCCACACGGCTCAGCCTCAATTCCTGGACCTCAACGGACTCAACTGAGAGATTCTGGGTAAAATCCAACCTGCTGGACAGCGACAATGTCAGCAGTGAGCTTATCCCTGTCTCACCAAATCACTGCTATCCGGCTATTGGCCGAATCCCTCAATGAGGCAACTCGCACCACCACTGCATTACCGAACCAAGCCCACAATGAGCTTACTTTACTCCTGACCGTTCTGAATGCAACCGAGACATATTCTTCATTGTTTGAAGCCGACTGTCCCCATTCGCCTGTCCTAGCCAAACGATTGCAGAGCTGTCATGGTGTTTTGGTGGACTTGCAGAAGCTTCAACTTCGTCCCGATGTTTTCGGTGCGCAAAGTCAGATCAATGAGATTCGGGGGAGCCTTTCGTCTCTCATATTTGCAATGAGCGATATCAACACGAATATGATGATGTTTGTTACTCCTACGTGTGTCTAGGTATCCGTATTAACCATGTCATAGAACATCTCAAAAAAGTATCAATGAAGCTCTGAAGAGTATTGATCTGGATTCATCGGCTGCATCTGACATATTGAATGACGATATTGCAAAAGCTGAGGCTGACCAGGCATGGGCGCAATTACAACATTGGTTGGACATTGCTGGTGTCAGCCCTAAATTGTCGACTCAGAATCGTGAATACATCATCTCGGCACTCCGGGAGATGATCAAAAGCGAGAGAAGAACTTCCATCGATACAGCAGCAGCTTCAGAAGATATCTCAACACCTAGCCATGAGACACTGCCTTCCAGTCACAGGACAAGCTTGAGTGATACCATTGACTCACCGAAAACCGAACTCAATGGACCTCGAAATATTCCTCTTCTACCAAGAGACACCAAACCACCCCGAAGGAAACCAGTGTATTCACATGGCTCTCCAATAACACCAGTCGTGGAAGAAAACCTCCCAATCCCCGTGCTCTTTCAAATCCAAGACTCCGCCGGTATCAGAGGCCAACCTCCACCACGCGAAGACCTCCCGATACCAACCTGGACAGAATCAGCAACAAAAAGCATGGTTTCATCCACAGAGCACACCAGCCAAACCAACACCTCTACACCCTCAATCTCCACCATCCCCGAAACAAACCCAACAACCCTCGACCCAACCCTCCCGACCCTAAAAGTAATCCAAAACAAAAAGACCAACCGGATGAGCCGCCTCATATTCCAAATGACAAACTCCAAAGAAAAACTCATAACCCCAATCCAAAAAGGCGACCTCCAAACCGTAACAGCCCTCCTAACAAAAGGCGCCAACACAAACGCCACAAACAGCTCAGGCCACACCCCCCTAATGGCAGCGGCCTCCTACGGCCACGAGCAAATAGTCCGCGTCCTACTCGAGTTCGGCGCAAACCCAGAAACTCAATCCACAACTGGCGAGACAGCGCTGGGTGCCGCCGCCGCCCGCGGCTTCGAACAAATCACACGCATCCTCATCGCCAGCGGCGCAAACCCCAACACCGGACAAGGAAACGGCAAGACGGCATTATCCCAAGCCGCGGCGTTTGGCCAGGACCGCATTGTGGCACTTCTCCTGGACTGCGGGGCTGAGATCAATGCGCTGAATGTTTTGGGCCGGACTGCGTTGGCGCTTGCGGCGGCAAATGGGAATATCAGAGTCGCGCGGGTTTTGCTGGATCGGGGGGCGGATGTTGGGGGTATGGGGGGTACTTGGCAGTCGCCTTTGCTTGAGGCTGTGAGGCGGGATTATGTTGAGATAGTGGTGCTTTTGATGGCGCGGGGGGCGAATCCGGGTGTTGTTGGTGTGTTTCAGAGTCATGAGACTGCGTTGGCTTGTGCTGTGAGATTGAATCGGGTTCGGATCTTGGGGGTTTTTAGGAGGTATGGGTATGAAGGTTGTCCTGTTCAGTATTTTTGATGCTGGGGCTGTATGTAAGTGGAATATTGGACAGGCTTTGCTTCTTTCAGGACTTTATTTCTTTGTCCTTTTTCTTTGCTTTTGTTGATGAGAGACTAACAGGGTAAGCTTTGCCCTAAAGGCCAAACAGTGAACTTGATGAACACTTTTGACTAGCTTGGCTTTTATCTAGAGCGAAATCTGACATTTATAGTCTGTCGAGCTTTCATATTTTCTACGCCATATATACCTATACTTCTAGCTAGCACCTTGTAACATGTTGTCTAGCTCTAGCAAACATACAAGAACTCAGTCACGGCTATGCCTACGAACACTAACCTCGTATAATAAGATGAGTGACCCCTTAATGACGAATGCAAAAGAATGGGGGCCAAACAAGCCGCAGCTTTGACCGTAAAGACTGACAGGTCTACCGCATGAACTAAAAGACTCAGCCTTCCAGGTTTGCCCTAGAAAGAGAGTGGATGGCCTGCGGAGCCTCACTGCAACGCTGATTGGGTTGGCGCCCGGGATCAACGCTTGTCTTGGGCGTAAGATTCCTAAACCGCCCCAAAGCCAAGATGCCATACGCAATGTATGATACGGGCTGTTCCAAGGTTTTGGCGATGACTGAGCCACGGCAAATATTAGGAAGTTCGTCTTGTGCATCCCATGTTTGACGTACTTAATTGACGTGTTTCAAAGGACTTGTGCATCAGAGAGAGCGGATTGCAAGTTCAGCTGCATCAGCTGCATCAGCTGTGTTATTTCACTGACACTGTGTAGAGCAAGATCGTAAGGGTTGAATCCATCCTTGATCTTGAATTTACTTTCCAAGTCATCTGACATCGATCTCGATTTCTTGGCTGCTGCCTCCCCGCAAAAAATGCGCGGGCAGTGCAGGTAGCAGCTCCACCTCCAACCCTGTATCGCAGCTCGTTCTCGTAGTCTCGAAGCTGGCTCTATTTTAGACTTAAAGCTCCAGCCCCCGCTTGTCTCAGAAATCGATTTTCGTGTCCCATCTTACACTCCCCTTGCATCACCTATCAAACTCAAGTCCAAGTCCAACAACCATCCCTTCACAATGACTGAACCCCGACACCAAAGTACGTTCAATTCAATCCTCTCCATCCAGCTACACCCCGTAACTAACCCAATCCCCAGCACCAGCACCCATGTATAGCGAAGATCCCGAGCCAGTCTACCCAACACCTCTCGCCCACCCAACCCCAATCCACGCAATGCATACCGGAGGCCCAGTGAGCCCAACCTCCGAAGCAAACACATACCAAAGCCAGAGCCAGGCAATGCCAGACCCTCTATACAACCCCGCTCCGTTGAACGGCCACCAAGAAAAACAATACCCACACCAGCCGGACGCGATCAGCCAAGCGCCAGAATATGGCATTATATCCGGTTCTCACGAAAAGGCTTACGAGGGTCAGCCCTTGCACCAGCAGGGCCCGTCTCAGCCAAATCAATATTACACGCCCTACGGCCATCCCAGTGGATATGCGACAGCGGTGCCGTTGCATAGCGTTCAGTCGGCGCCTTGTCCGGTTGATTGTCCGGTGTGTGGGGAACGCGAGATGACGCGTATCAAACCGATTTCTGGTGGGACTACACAGTAAGTGTCTCAAGAGTTTGCGATCTTGATTATTCAAATGAGATAGTGGCTAATGTTTTGATAGTGGCTGGGCGGCTGTTCTTTGCTTTTGTTGCTGCCTTGGTTGTATCCCTTACTTGATGTCTTCGCTGAAGGATGTTGAGCATTCCTGCGGCAAGTGCGATGCTAAGCTGGCGGTTTGGCATAACAGTGGACGAGTCCAGGTTTTGCAGAATGGTAAGAGAAAGTGAATGATTGTTTCTTTTCTTTCTTTTGTTGCCAGTCGTGATTTTTTGTCTTTGAATTTTCTCGGAATGATACCACTATGTTTGACGTCATTGATCTTGATACGACCCCTTGTGCTCATTTCTTCGCATCTCTCTATTTGAATGATATATTGAAAACAGAGATTCTATGAATGTCTCTTCGAAATAAGCAATACATGTCAAATGAGATGTAGAAAGAGTACGCCTGACTCCGCCAAGCCAATCTCGTATGTGATGAGGTCACTTGACCCAAGTTTTATCTCGACTCGACTATCAGACTGGACTACATTACTTTCATCTCGCTCTTCAATATGATGCTTTTCATAATTGCCGCGACGGCCATATTGACTGGCTCCTCGGTAATCTATTTCTACTTCTGCCATCAACGCTTGACATCCACTGTACACCATAAGATCCATTGCGGAACACTTTCCGCCTCAACCAACCCAACAAGGATAGAAACGGTCCCAGATGCAGTGTTCACCGAGAAGTACTTCACACGGGCAGATACTGCATCTAAACCTATTCCAAGAGCGTGCCTCCCCGGGAATGTGTCTACAGAGCAGCTGTTCAACAGACTATTGCGTCGCAACATGCAGGCATTCTCCAGGTTCCCACAGGCCCTCATGTTGAGGATGGGCGCTAAAACCACAGAAGAAAAAGACAGCTTCAGCACGTCGCACATCACGTCTCTGGATTTCAAAAAAGGTGATCTTGTCTGCGGAATCTATCGAGTCAACCTTCGCAAAGCGAATAAAGTTGAGTTTGATATGCAGATGAAAACAGTGGACTTTGCCAATGGTCGACTGGCAATCAGTTTCAGCGAGGAGGAAGATATGATTGTGTTCATGAGCGAAACAATCATGTGGAGGAGAGCTGACGAGTGTCAAATTATGCCGTTGGAACGGCCAGCTATACAATGGATGCATGAGACTGCGACGATGTGGTTGCTTGACTCTGGAGTGCGGTATCTGACCGATTTGGAAGCTTAGTGTTTCAAGTTGAGGCTTTCTTTGTTTGTATAGCTTGATCTTTCATTGGAGTTCAGACAATAGGATTATGGGAGGATCTTGACTCAAATACAATAAACTAGGTATCAGACTTGAAGTATAATGAAATCCATGAAAGAATTCTTCACTATGTCATTGAAACTAGTGGACTTGGCCCTTTATCAGCGTTTGGTATCAATGAAACCTAACAAATAATAAACAAAAGGAAGCTTGAAATAATGCCCTTGATCTGGTCATCGCCTGTGTGCAGTTTTTCTTTGTTCTGAGCTTCCCTCAACTTCTTTGTAACCATATGCCGCGAGGAGTCTGCGATGGCGTGCATATTGTATAAAACCAGACATGTCCTCCCAATTTCAGCCTACACCATCTTTATCTTCTACCCCCAAGTACATCCCTCACAATGTGCTACCACACCTATCACCACTACTGCATTTGCGGCCATATCTGTAACTGGACTGTCGATAGCTGCCAGGAATTCACCAATAAAATGCTCCTCGCAACTTCAACCCAAAGCTGTTCCTGTCCAGAGATTCAGATAGCTCACGATTTGGCAGATCCCACACAGTCCTACATGTGCGTGCAGTGCGAATACGAATGGACCAGAAACATATCCCCCGACAACCAGCAGGCTGGAACATACGAGGCTATTTCTGGTATCGAGGGCCTAGACGTTGCTGGACCTCTGGTTACAATTGAAGCTCGGCTGGTGAGCAAGATCCCATTGGATATTTTCGAAAATGCACCATCGGGTGATCTTAACACGGCTTTCAGCGCTGACAATGAGGATCAGAGCGATGCATTTTTAGAACCTTTCTACGACCTCGTTGATACCTTTCAATCCAGCCGGGTGCGCAGGACTGACACTCTTTCTAGTCGCGAATCTGGCTGCTCGACATCACCACTGTTGCATGAGAGCCGCGCAGAGACATATTCCAGCTCTTTGGACTTGCCGCCTGATCTTGTCGATTCTTTCGTCTCATCTTTGTCTACTTCTGACTACTTTACTTCCAGCTATGATAGCTCCGACTATGACATTTCAAGTGAGGGCAGTACTGACGAATCACCGGATAATGTTGAAGAGGAACAGACCTGGCGATATGCCCTGATGGAGGCTGGTATCATCAAGCCTCCTACTACCACTGACAGCCGCATCCGCAGTCTGGATGATCCAACAGACGATATACATGCCGAGCGACCCAACACCCCGGAAACCGATTATGAAAGTGACTGCAGTTTTGCTGATGCCCTTTCATATATCGCCTCAGAGGAGGATGATGATTATACCGAGACAGCGTTTGAAGAAGAGTATAATCCCACCTACGAGTGGATTGCTAACCTGGAGCGCACCTCAGCACGCATTGAAGCAACAGTCACGAAAAGAATCGAAGAAGACTACGAAAGGTACCGCCGACAAGCCATAATCTCAAGTCTTCTCGACAAGGCATCATTCTTCAAAGACCAGATTGACAAGCGCGACCAAAACACCGAACTAGGCATCGAAGAAGATTCCCATCTCTGGGATACGGAGTCCATGCTCGAAGCCCCAGTCACCAGCAGCAGCCCTCCAGCACTCAGGCCCAGGCCCATCTGTCTCTCCAATAACAAGGAGAATACAAGCCCAATTGCCAGAAGTCCCTGCATGCATGTATTCGATGGCATATTCTCCGCAAACTCCGACCAAGAAGCCGAGGAACAGGGTCTATTTGCTTTCGCTCCAGTCGCCAACATGCCCGGTGAGTACGAAGGCTTCATGGAAGGCCACTCGGCAGCAGATGCACAGGAACAGGGTCTCCAATTCCCGCAACATGCTCGTGGCTGCTGCGACAAAGTTCCTGCCCCATGGCATCTGTACTACGGCGCTGTATACGCCGCCTCCAAGGACGCAGTGAAGAAAAGGGGCATTGAGGAAGTCCAACCTGCGCTCGATCAGCTTGGAAAGTACTACGGTGTTATGAAGGCAGATTCCAAAAAACATGCTATCGAAATGGGTATGATGGATCCGCAGCATGCACGCGGATGTTGCATCGAGGCCTTCTTCTCCATCCCACCGCGTACAAGACATGTCTACTGCGGTGCTATGGATGCGGTTAGCAAGGTGGACGCTGAGAATATGGGGATGCAGCAAGCGCAACGGATGCCTGATAGACTTGATGAGTACTATGGGTTTGTTGAGGCGTTCTCTTTGGAGGAAGCGGTGGATATGGGGCTTAGGGATGGCCAGCATGCGAAGGGATGCTGTGCACTTGGTTGGTCTGCTGCTCCGGAGAGGAGTCAGTATCTGTACTATGGGTACATGTTTGGGCCTTCGGAGGAGGCGGTTGTGCAGAATGGATTAAGGGATCCGCTTCGCATTCCTGGCTCCAGGGATAAGTATTCTGGGGTTGTTTCTGCTTTATCGGCTGAGGATGCGCGCCAAATGGGTATGTTTGAGCCGTTGCGGGTTATGTGGGATTCGGACGTTGTTTTGGCGTCGGATTTTGAGGAGTGATGTTCTCTCTTGTAGTCCTTGTTTCTCATTTGTTTTGTTGGATATCCTGATAGGAATAGAATGACAGATATGTTCTTATATGTTCGGGTTTGTAGGGTAATCATAAGTGGCAGAAGGCTCTCTTTGGTGAATTCATTCTATAGCTTTGTAAGATTATTGCGATGAAGCAAAGACCAGAGCTCATGATGTGTTGGGGAAAACATGCTTGCTACATGGCTTTCTATTTCAGTCAGTTCTTTTGTTAAATACTCCAGCTCTATCAACAAAACACACAACATCATCATCCTTTAATGCAGCTGAGCTCCTCATCTCCTACCTCATTCTCCTACCTCACCTCACTCTTCACATATCACACTCAATTCAAAATGGCATCCCATCCCCTGTTCAAGATACAAGAAGTTCCAAGCAAAGGCAAAGGAGCAGTCGCCCTGGAAGACATAAAAGCCGGCACATTAATCATATCAGAATCCATCTTCTGCGAAATTCCTCTCGTCAGACCAGAAGCCTCAAAAGAACAAAGAGATTCTGCCTTCCAAGCCCAGCTAGAAGTGTTAGACCTCCATCAACAACAAGACTTTTTCAGCCTCGAAAACCGGTACCCCGAGTACAATCCAATCGAAGGCATCATGAGAACCAACGGAATTGCATTAGGACCCAAATCACCCCACGCCGCGATATTCCTCCTCTGTTCCCGTTTCAACCACAGCTGTTCCACAAACGCCGTCTACTACTGGAACGCCAATATGTCCCGCGAAACAATTCACGCCGTGAAGGAAATACAGGAAGGCGAAGAGATCACCGTCAGCTACCTCTCAACGGAAGACTGGATCATGTCGCGGGAGGAGCGTCGTCGGATGATATCCATGCAGCACCGGTTCTCCTGCTACTGTGTTGCTTGTATCGCATCCCCCGAGGCGGTAGCAGCGAGCGATAGAAGAAGACGCCGCATAATGGAGATGCAAGAGTCGATATCGGAGGGCAACTTGCTGGTTCACAATCCGAGACGTGGACTGAAGTTCTGTCGTGATGTTTTGATGTTGTTGCAGCTGGAAGGGGAGTTCGGTGCTATGGCTTGTGTTGTCTACTTTGATGCGTTCCAGTTCTGTGTTGCTAATTGTGACTTTGCCCGTGCGAGCTGTTTTGCGGCTTTGTACATGCGCAAGAAGATCTTTTTTGCTGGTGGGGAAGTGGATGATTATGAGGGTGTTCGTGCGTTCATTGAGAATCCTGAGAGACATGACTTGGCTGGGTATTGTTCGTTTGCTTGGAAGACCGTTTTGCGGGATCGTCGATCGCTGGACAGTGAAGGGTTTGAGCAGTGGCTTTGGCAGCGGGTTCTCGAGGGTTGATGTGCATTACCGTACGTACTGACACTGGGAGATGATTGGGGGGTTTGAATATGGTTTTCTTTCCATCTGCGCTCTCAGATAAATTAATCAACGCTTTAATAGCCATCATTTGGGATCTTCACTTGCATACCGTAAGAAGTAGCGCATTTACGAATAGCAATTGGTTCGAGTGAAATGGATTTAGAAAACCATTTGAAGCCAGAATAACAACTGACCTGGGTGGCATGTTTCTCATATCGAAAAGGAATTGAATCAATTGAATCTACAAAACATAGTGGTATATCTAAATCAGTTCCCAAAAATCTTCAGCACACTAGTACTCCCTTCAGCACCCAGACCCGCCTTCTTAGACAGGTACAGCACACTCAAAGCTGCATTGCCCAAGTTCAACGGACAGTGTAGATCCCGAGCCTTCTGCGAAGCTTTCTCTAGACGAGAGATAGCAGCATCGATTGTTTCAGAGCCTGCGCTCTGCCCAATACGCCCCTCTATCATCTCCAAGCCCTTTGTCACAAACTGCCGACTAGCTCCAGCAGCATCACTGACCAGAGTAAAGAACTGCTTCAAATCGACATTGAGATAGCGAGCAAATGCAATAGCCTCAGCTGCCGCAACAAGATTAGTAACCTCCATCAAATCCAGCACAAGCCGTAGAGCCTCAGCAGTCTCTTCAGCAGACTTCGTGCTGGAAACCTTCATAATCGGTTCCGCAAAGTACTGGCGCACCATAGACGAGTCATCCACAGCCGCATATCCCTGCAATAAAGCCGAGAGATAGACCTGTTCAGCAGCCGAGCTAAGAGGAACAGGGAACTGGCTCTGACGAGCAGAAGTAGTAATAATGCCCTGCAACCGTAAACTCCATTAGCAAATACCCCTTCCAAACCAAAACCCAAGCGAAGAGATACACACCACATCCTTAAGAATAATAGTCAAAGCACTAGCACCCGGATGCCAATCCTCCTCCAGCATACGCTGTAAGCGATTCTCATGCATCCAAGTCCAAGCATTCGAAGCCTTAATAGCATCCGCCGTCTGAACCGCATCAAGACCTAACTGCGCCGCAAACCCCTGAGCTTCACTAGCCCCAAGGATATGAATCCCCGCCAGAACCTGGTGCACCATCTTCATATTGCTGCCGGCGCCAATACCACCCGGAACGAGGTAAAGCTTCTTCGAATCAGACATAGCCTGCAACAGGAACCGCCCGCTCTCAAGCGCAGCTTCCGACGCCCCCGCCATAATAGACAGGGTACCATCAGCAGCGCGCTTCGCGCCCCCCGAAACAGGCGCATCAATGAACAGGATGTCGCCGCGGCCGCAGGATTGCAGCTCCGACGCCACAGACTGGGCGTATGTAGCTGGGACGGTGGAGCAGAGGAGGAGGGTTGCGTTTTTGGAGAGGGCTGGCCGAGGGGAGGGTTCAATGAGTGAATTGTTCTTTTTCAAGTTTGAGGGACGGTGAATGCTTCTTTGGCTTACCGTTGACAATACCGCCTTCACCGAAAAGCACGCTCTGCGCTTGCGGCGCTGACGCAACCATACACACGTAGAATTGCTTGTCTTGGGCGGACTCGATCAGCGAGGAGGCTGGGATTCCGCCGGCGGCCTTGAACCGCTCTACTGAGGCGGGGAAGACGTCGTAGCCGTGGACTGGGTAGCCTTCTTTCACGAGGTGGGTGGCCATGCCGAAGCCCATGGCTCCTAGGCCGACGAAGCCTACGGATGGTTTGGACATGGTTGTTTGTGAACAATGGGTATATAGATCGAGGCAGAAGATATTTACAATGTTTTGAAGTCGGATGTGTTGAGTTTTAAGAATTATCAGATGCGTGGGGGTTTTATGAGGGGAACTTGTCTGGGGGAGTTCGAGGCCCAGGGTTGATTCGGACAACGTCCGAGTGCCGCTTGCCTTGGCTTTAGCCTAAACCGAGCCGAGTTGGGATCTATTGGATTCTGACTTTCCGAGTTGCCGGGGAGTTTACAATTGAAAGGTTCCAGGGTCCATGTTGGAGTGTGTCAGGGTTGGGGTTGTACTCCTAGCTGTGGGTTCGGGGATTTCAAACGTCCATGCACGGGTATGCGTGTAGTACCTCGGCCATAGTAAGATTGACCAATACATGAGCAACAGGGTTTGAAAGAACAAGCCGTAGGTGATATCTATCCAAGCAAGCAAAAGTAAAGAAAAGCAGCCCTAATCGGAGAATTCCCCGAATGTTTAAAGTCCCCCACATGACGTAGCCAATACGGCCCAACTCCGAGGGTCGGACAACATGCGAGCGCAGGGAGTATATAACCAGCGCATTGAAAGAAGCACGAGCAGCGCATAAACCACACCCCTCTCACACAACTACAATCCCACAGCACAATGCCTCTAGCGCCACTCAAAGAAAACCGCGCCCTGCGCATCCTCGACCACGCCGCGACAAACCACTACGGCGTGCCCGCAATGTGCTGCTACAACGTCGAAGGCATCCTAGCAACCGTGCGCGCCGCCGAAGCCAAGAACTCCGCCGCAATGATCCTCCTCTTCCCCTGGGCAATCCACTACGCGGACGGGCTGCTCGTGCACGCAGCCGCAGAAGCAGCGCGCAAAGCGCGCGTCCCCGTCACCGTGCACATGGACCACGCGCAAACGCCCGAGATCATCCGGTACGCGGCGGACCTGGGCGGCTTCGACAGCATCATGGTCGACATGTCGCACTACGAGAAAGCAGAGAACCTGGCGCTGACGCGCGAGCTGGTGGAGTACTGCCATGCACGCGGGATCGCGACGGAAGCCGAGCCTGGGAGGATTGAAGGCGGGGAGGATGGGGTTGCGGATACGGCTGATTTGGAGGGGTTGCTGACGACGCCGGAGGAGAGTAGGGAATTTGTGGATACCGGGATTGATTGGCTGGCACCGGCTTTTGGGAATGTGCATGGGGAGTATGGGCCGCGCGGGATTCAGTTGGAGTATGAGCGGTTGAGGGGGATTAATGAGGCGGTTGGGGGTGAGGTGAGGCTTGTCTTGCATGGGGCGGATCCGTTTACGGAGGAGATCTTTAAGATGTGTATCGATTGTGGCGTGTCCAAGGTGAATATTAATAAGGTCTTGAATAATGAGTATGTGAGGGTGCAGTCGGAGATGGCTGGGAAGGTGCCTTTGACTACTTTGCTGGAGGAGGCGACGAATGCGATGCAGAAGGCTGTGGAGGGTTGTATTGATCGGTTGGGATCTGGGGGGAGATATCCGGCGACTTAGATGGGGTTGATGTTTGATTCAATTGGATTTCTTTGTTAAAATAGTAGCCTGGTAGCGAACGCTGCTTTTGAAATGCTGTGAATTAAATTTATTGGTATATAGAAAATTCCCTGAAAGTTTAGAAGCGCGCCACCAATTGATTGCCAAGGTATTCAGATACAAAAAGAGCGGAAGTGACCAACGGACTATTTGATACAAGGGGTATCCGACATTGCAGACATATCATCACTCCAATACTGAATTTAACGACGGAGGCCAAGTCCAGCAAGGGGTCCCTTAACGAGAGGTCCAACAAGAGGAAGGCCACCAACAAGGTTGCCAACGGGACCAGCAGCAGCAGAGGCGCTGGGAGAGGGAGTAGCACTGGAAGAGGCGGCGACGGAGCTGCTCTTGGAGGGAGCGTGGATGAGAGAGTGGGTAGGAGTAGCCATGGCTTGAGAAGCCATGGGCATCATGGAGGCCTTGGAGACGATGGGGGCTTCGGAAACAACAGGAGCCGGGGGCTTGGATTGCATGGCAGCTTGGAAGTTCTGGACAGAGTGGGTGGGCTCGGCCTTGATGGCGCTAGTAGGCTCAGCCTTCATAGCGCTGGTAGGCTCAGCCTTCATGGCGCTGGTAGGCTCGGCCATGACAGCGTGTGTAGACTCGGCCTTAGCAGAGTGAGTAGGCGTAATGTGGCTGGGCTCGGCGTTAACAGCAGGAATAGCTGGGACAGCAGGCACCAGTGGCTTAGAGGGAGGCTCGGGAATCTTGTGCTTGTGAGTCTCGGGCTTGGGGGCGGCCTCGAGCATATCGGCTTTGGGCTCGCTGGGAGCCTCCTGCACGGCGTGGGTAGGGCTAGGAGTGCTTGGGTTTTGGGCGGACATCTTGGCACTCTCGGCCTGCTGGTAGGCATCCATAGCACTGGAGATGCCATTGCCGAAGTCGCCAAATCCATCGTCTTTGTCTTCATCCGTGACGGTAGAAGAGCCGGATGGACCGAAGGGGAAGCCAGAGGTCATGTCGCTCATGTCGCCGAAAGCATCGGAGTTCGAGCGACGGGCAGCTGGAGCGGCGATGGCGCCGACGGCGAAGAACGCCAGGGAGATGTATGTGTAGTGCATGATGTGTGGTTGGTCGGAAGCCCAAGTTGAGGTCAATAAATGAAAGTATTAAAGGTCAGAGAAAAGAATGAAGGACTGGTTCGCGATCGGGAGGTAGGGATATAATGGCTTTTATGTTGGACAAGTATAGCAGGTCTGTCTGTTATGGTTTGCGATCTGCCGCGTCTTTCATGCCTCACGCCTATGTACATAAGGATCAGCATCGCTGGGCTGATGTGGTGACGACTGCAGCATAGCAGAGAGTGTACTATGTCCTATGGGTATGGGAGGGTTGGAAAAAGGGCTAGCTTGGGGACTCAAGTCCCGAACTATGTTTAATCTGTGGAATGATCGGCCGAATACTTGCCCCGAGAAGCTTGTTAGAGGTTCGGAAGAGCTTACATAAGTAGAAGCAACTGTCGATCATCGTTTCGCAACAATGGAAGCGTGCAACGGCACCTGCATGTAGAAAAAAGGTTGACATGGTGGCGCAATTCAAGCTCCTGGCTTCAATGCCAATTTAATTCTTGTGGAATATACCAGAATCACCAAAGTGACCAGTATACTCAAGTGACAATTGCTATTGCAATTGGAATCAAACCGGTCGTAGCTTCGTCCATCAGAAAAAGTGGTATTGATCCTAGAGCCTTAATTCAAGGGGCCTCTCGAGCCTTAGCAAAAGCACTTCATTTTCGCAAAGGCCTGTTTACAAGGTCCAACAAACTGCGAGTAGGGGTGTTCGGCACGCGAGAGGTATTCCCCTAGCAACCCTGTTCACCCCTTGCTTCCTCAACCCCAATGGCAGCATTATACCAGCCTACTTTGCACCAAATGACACTCGATGTTGTTATCACGCCTTTGAACAACATACTCTGTATATCGCGTCAGATATTGTCGCTGTCCAAGCACATTACTCTAAGCAAACTACGTTGCATCGTACATGATCCCCTCGATTAAAGGCCCTTCTCCGATAGATCAAACATCTTTGGCTCGATAGCTTTGGTAAAATGCTGACTATCGGAGCGGCTTTGGGTTACAGCCCTTTTTCACTTTGTTAAGACATGGCGGTACAAGCACTCTATAGCAATAGTGTCACTGTCAACACCGCCAATTCGAGTTGCGATCGGCCTTTTTTCACCCTCTTCCAAAGACTTTCAGATCTCCTGTGCGGTGCCGCCTTTTCGATTTTCCCTGCTATAGTCGTGGTTTCCCAGTCCCAGCTCAGAGTGAATGTCGCAAAGTATTATTTCAAAGTGAAGAAAGCCAAGCGTTACTGGATCTTTCTTATATGGAACAAGATAACAATGGCACAATATTGGGGCCAAATTGCTGGTGCATCAATATTTAGGCGCTAATTGATCTAAGAGATTGTCATCACAGCTATAATGGTGCGATATGCCCCCTCATCTCCAAACAATCGTGAGTTAATATACAAATTTGCACCAGCGCTTGGATGATTGATATGCCTAAAAGGCAATATTTAAGTCCTTTCAAATGATTGATCTGTTTCAGTACCAAAATCAGCGTAGATCAAGAAGCAGCATTACACAAGTTGATCATAGCTGCAGATGCGTCTTCTCTCACGACGATGATGCCATTGCATCCCCGACAGCTCCACTAACGCCAAATAACTTATTCCCAGCTTAAAGATAGCCATCCTGACCGTGATTAAACATTAGAATCTATTTATTTTCATACGGCATTATGATTCCGCGGGTCCTTCCAAATACAAAACATGCGACAAGCACGGTCACTTCCGTCCCAGAAACCGACCCAAAAGAAGAGCGAGCTTTAGTACGCACCTAAACTGTTTTCTCATAGTCCGAAATTCTGATGTCTGTATAGGTATGGCGTCTCGATCTATTTTTTCTGACGATCGGCTTTCTTGGCTACGCCTTCAAGTACTTAGACCAAACAAATATTGTGTGTTGATCCATAACCCCGAAAGCAAGTATCATTCTAACTATTTGAAGAACAATGCCTACGTTTCGGGGATGGAGACAGATCTAAAGCTGTATGGTAATGAGCTCAACTACTTCACAACTTTCTTCAAGTACGTTGCTCGTCAACGTTAAGGTTAACGTTATGCATTGTACTGTTCCCACTGACAGGAATAGCATCGGTTATATGATCATGCTATATCCCTCATGCATCATCATATCCCATATTGGACCATCCATATGGCTACCTGCATGCGAAGTGAGTAGTACATACGACATGATATCTAGATCCAAAGCTCTGACTGTCTGCAGGTTATTTGGGGTGTACTGACATGCTGTTTGTCCACGGTAACCACAGCAAAGCAGGTAAACGAATTTGTCCGTCATTCCAAGTTCTCCAACTCATTTTATCTCCATAGGTATACGGACTCAGATTTCTCATCGGCTTCTTTGAAGGCGCAACGTGGCCTGGCTACTTTACTATCATCAGGTGAGCTCTTTTCTTCGCTTGAACAGAAGCGCGTGCTCACTGTGTTTTAGTCAATGGTACTTGCCCCATGAAATGGCTCTGAGAATGAGTCTTTATAATATTGCCCAGCCTGTCGGGGCTATGTTATCAGGTGTGATGCAGGGTGCTCTTTCCACTAATCTCGAGGGTGTCCTCGGTCGAACCGGTTGGCGATGGGCATTTATCATCAATGTGAGATGTCTTCAGGTCTCTCCCCTAACTGTTAGCTATGTTCTGATATTTTAGGGTGTCTGTACTATCTTCGTGGCTTTGGTCGCATTCGTTCTTTTACCTGGCTTTGTCAGTACTGAGTTGTTACAACGCCTGAGTACGAGCTGACCGGTTTATCTAGCCCGATCGCCCGAATCCGCTTGCCAAAGTTTACCTCAGACCAAGAGATCTTGGTATGTTTATTCTCATTTGTTACGACTTTTGAGTCCCTTTGTTAATATTATGATATAGTGGTTGCGCGAGAACGAACTCGGCGAATAGGCCGTGATCCCCAGGTTGGAATTACCGTCAAGACATTCCTACGCTGCTTTAGATTCTGGCATATCTGGCTGTTTGCAAGTAAGCGGATTACGATAATTGTCTGCAATTGAATCGATCTAACCAACCTCTATAGTTGCTTGGTCGATCGGAACAAACCAAACACCTTCGAACTACTTCAACCTTTGGCTCAAGTCCCTTAAAAATCCCGACGGAACCGCGAAATAGTAAGAACTATCCCTTTTACAAGTGGCGAAGTCTAACCGGTACATCTAGCTCAGTTGCGATGCTCAACTACCTGCCAATTGCAGGTTATGCAATCCAACTCGTTGCCGAGCTGCTTTTCAGTGGGTTCAGTGATTACCTCGGAGCACGGCTGCCGTTTTTACTACTTCATTCAGTCAGTATCTGCTAATAAGAACCAATCACTTGATACTAACTATAATCAAAGACAATCAACATCACATCGCTGATCATCCTGATCATAAGACCTGCAAGTGAAAGTGCCTACATGGCCGGTTGGTATATGAATTATGCCGGGGCGTGAGTGTCCCACTTGACTTGATGTTTGGATATCCACTGACAAGAACAGGGTCTCAACTATGCTTCTCTGTGCTTGGGCAACTGCACATCTCGAAAGAGAACCCCAAGTGCGTACGGTTCTCTTTGCAACCGGGACTCTCTTTTCGTACCTTTTCAGTGCATTCTTGCCCATCGCTGCGTACCCCGCGTCTGAGGCGCCACATTGGAGAATTGGGGCGAAGTTATATCTCGGTCTTTCTGTTGTGGCTACTGTGCTCTTCATTACTATCTTCTTCGTTCTGAGATGGCAAGCGAAGAGGGATCGGAGATAACGAGTCGGCTAAGAGATAATATAGATTTTGGTAGGATTTATTCAAACAAGGTGAAAAGTAGGAGTATGGTCCGACTTTCGATCATATTCCTCGAATTGTTGCATAGTATACGTTGCGGATGCATGTAGACAAAATAATATCTGATAAATCTTGGCTGTCCCCGTCCGTTAAGTGCTCACCCTATGCCGCTTTTCGCTCACTGAATAGTCTAGTTCCCTCACTGAGCACGACCTAAGTCTGACGCAGGAGTACCTAAGTTAGTAACTCACCTTGATAGAATACACTACGCTAGCCTTGTCTAAATATAGTCAGTCACCAACTTAGAACTCTTAATCGTTAACTTAAGTTATCTATGTTCTACCCTTTGTTTTTCACACCGCCCCGCACCCTGTTATATGACCTGTTCCCAAGGAAAAAGATCTTTCCCTGTGATATTTCTAACTAGTTCAAGGTATAGACCTAAACTTGGCCCATATTTTTTGCTCGTCAATATATTTGTCCGCAACACTTCGTCTTCCATTGCAGAAGCATGGCGTTCCCCGAAGACTTGCAACGAGCCTCAGTGATCGCTTCTTGTGCAAATCCGTTGCCTGACAACATTATTAGCCAATACGGCAAACGGATTATCAGACATTCCGACCATCATGTCGTCAAATGGGGCCCAGATGTGACAAAAGAAGAATATGAAAATCAAAGGATAGCATATGAACTTGTGGACAACCGCATAGCTCGTGTCCCACGTGTGTATGATTTCTTCCTTGATGTACGAGGCTGGGGCTATATCGTGATGGAGTTTATAGAAGGGAAAATCATCGATCCTTTGGATGATGCTAGCGTTATTCAGAGGGTTGCTAGCGTGCTTGACCATTTCGATATAATATTCCTGGGTCACTTTATGGAGGTGCTTGTCGCGGCCTTATATTTCCCGAAACCGATGACTTGGTTTTCGACAGTCTTGACAGAATGGAGAAATGGTTTAATAGCCGGCTATTTGCGCACAACCCGATCTTGGCTTTACAGGGCTGTGAGCTCGTACTCTGTCATCTGGATATAGCACCTCGGAACATCTTATGGCCGGAAGACGGATCTCTCTGTCTTCTTGATTGGGCTTCTGCCGGCTTCTATCCAAGATTGTTTGAGTTCTGCGTGCAGTGGATAGTTGATAGAAAAGATGGAGATTTCAATTCCCTCCTCTTGCAGTTGGTGAAGCCTTTGTCAGATTATGAAATGGCGCAGAAAGACGCCATTCTATGTGCGTGGAGAAATATCCAAAAGTATCCATTGTAAGTGCAGGGAGCTCCGGGCATCACTCGATTATTGCTCATTTGCTTTCAGCCAAAATACAGAGTCAATGTCACGCCAAAGATTGTCGAGACATACAACAGATCTTCCCCCCGTTCCCGCTCATCCAATGCCAGAATACCCACTTGAATGGTGCAAACAGGCTGAGCGTGAATGCTCTATACCGACGAGATCCACCATTGTTGCTCCTCAAACGTCGGTTGCAGAAGATTGAAAACAAAAGTAGATTTGCAATCGTGCTTCCCGCTACTTACGCTCAGTACTCTCCCCACGCTCAAAGACATCTGAAATACCTAATATTGGAGCTTTTCTTGTGCGGGTATCCTGGTTACCTTTTTCCGGGTGCGCTCTGCAAAAGAAAGCCGACTCGAGAGGATCAGACTGTATACATATGACTACATCGATATGGCTTAGATTTGGGCACACAAGTGTGTTTTGGATGAAATTCTGCAGGGCAATTAGGGGACCCGTTTGAGCCCGATTAACAAGCGTTACAATGTTTATCATGTGCCCTCTACTCGTCAGCGGTAGATTTGTGACTCGCCATCATGTGCAACTCAGCCCTTTACCTGGCATAGTCACTTGATATTCAAAAAACAATCATTCTAACGGCAAGACCGTCAACTGATTCCGTTCAAGACTGATATTGCCACGACCAAGTTACAGTAATTCAAATGGCATACGAGAAATACCTCATTCCTCTGGAATCTGATCCTCAAATATCCACGAAAAGGCCCCACCCGGCAGACACTATCCTGTCTATTATATATAGGGGCATATAAAATGCACAATGCCTGTCCCTGCCCTAGCTGTATATTTGGCCGACACCAACGCTAAAACATATAGAATTTTGGTTCCCCAAAACCAAGATCAAACAATACGCCAAGAAGAAAGAATAAAGAAAAAGCAAATCCAAGCCAGTCCACAAGATCTGACATCAGATTCTAAGCCCCCTAACCCAAATAGGCATGAGACAGCTAACCCGACACCCTGGATACAGTATTGATTTCCCCAACCCCAATACGCACATGTGCTGTACACTAAATCCCCGCAGCGAATAGAAAGCACTATATGTATGCACCCAAATAGGAAGGACACTAGACCCCTGTCTGCATATCAGTCCCATTTTAAATCAGCCCATCCGCCAACCGTAACTCAAGAACATGTCAAAGGTGTACAGTAGTGGGAAAATTCTAAACGCTCAACCCATATCCTGAATCATGATTTAAAAAAAAGGATTATGAACCCATCCACAAAACAAATCGACTCGAAAATATAGACATCAGAACAAATACCAGCCCAACATCCCAATTCATTCTCACACCTTCACAATTCCCGATACAGTAGCCCTAACCCCCAAAAGACCAGTCTTGGGACATCCAATGCCCAACTCACGATAAACAGTGATATTATCAACGGTAGTCTCGTAAAGTTCAAAATCAATCCGACGCGCAATATGTGCCAAAGCTAGGTAAATCTCGGCATAGGCAAGACTATTTTTTCCCCGTTAGTCCAAATTGTACAAGTGCACACCGCAAGATTGTGGAGTCGATTCTTGCTAGGGGCGGGGATGAAAAGGGAAGTGGGAACTCACTTCATTCCGAGACATTGCCTGCTCCCCTTTGTGAAGGAGACAATGAAGCGACTGAGGTATTCGCCTTTCTCTGCTGCGCGCACCCAGCGCTCTGGATCGAAAGTTCCAGGGTCAGGGAAGAGTGTTGAGTCCATGTGGACGAAGTAATTTGATTGGCTGACTGGGGTCTGGATTTTGCATTCGGTCAACGTTAGTTTATGCATGGACATGTATGCGACGGAACAATGAGTATTGTTTACTTACTCCGGCGGGGATTGCCCAGTCCTTGTAGATCATGGGCTCGGTCGGCGAGACCCGCGCTAGGCGGGCTGTCATGCCATGGCTAAGGCGAAGACCTTCGTTTACAACGCCTGTCTAAGGAGCAGAGCATGGTGTTAGCTGTATTTCAAATACTGGCTCGAATTCTGTGATGGTGAAGAGCAAAACTAACCAAGTATGGCAATTTCTCCAAATCCGTCCACGAAGCCCTAGACAGAGGCGTCGGAAGCACACTCTTCAACTCAAGTCGCAGCTTGGCTAGAATTTCCTTATTCTTCGTGAGATAAAACATAGACACGGCAATCGCACGGGCAGTAGTCTCAGTCCCAGCGCCAAGAAGCAACGCCGATTCATCCTCCAGCCGATCAAGACCGCGTTCATTCGCCGGCACATCCAAGCTAGTCAACGCATCAAAAACGGTCGAGCGCTCCTCCTGGCCCTGGTCCACAGTCCCACTCTTTTCCTTGTCCTCTCTCTTCTTCCTTTCTTCCTGTTTCTGAACTGTCTCAGCAGCCTGTCGCCGCAACCGACTCTTCAAATCAAACAAATCAGCCATACAGGGCTGCAACCAACGCAACAGTGCCGGCGGTGCAGCCCTAAAAACCGTAATCAGGAACGGGAAGAATCGGTTAATATGCCACATAACCATCAACCCGTTCACCGCATCCACAAGATCATTCTTAAGACAGCCACTACTCTCATCCAGGTAGCCGTGGCTCCAGCCGTAAGAATAATGGGTAATGACATCAGCCGTCAAAGCCGCAAAATCCAGATGAAGCCGAAGGACCGTGCCGGCCTTGTGGGCGTTTTCAAAATTGCTAATTAGTTTGTCGACTTTTTCGTGGATCAGCGGCGTCAGGCTTTGCACGCTGCGCTTGGAGAAGTAGTTATTCAGGATATTGCGGCGGAAGCGGTGGTGGTCGTGGCCTATTGTCCCTACTAGGGAATAAGGGGCGCCAAAGGCTATGGCGTATTTGGGATCTTTTGCTCTTTTGCGCGCGCTGCCGGCGTGGATTTCGTCGTAGTAGTGTGAGTCTTTGATGTGTATTTCTCGTGGGTTGATGCGCACGATTGGTCCTGTTTGGCGTCAGATCAGTTGGGTGTTTATACTTCCAACCCATGGAGGGGATAAAGGTACCGTATATCTCGTGCATGCGCTCGATTTCCCAAATGTACATGCCACTCTTGATGACATCGTAGTAGAACTCATAGAAGAATGAAGCAGCGGCAATCTTCGGACCAGGGAATTTCGACAACGGATGGAAATATAAATTGTAAACAATGTTCAGCGCCAAAAGCCCAATAAGGGACGCCACCACGGTCCCAGTGTACTCCATCATGGTGATACACAAGCAAGATCAGCGCATGAGGCTCAACAGAGAGTATGGCAATGGACAGAAATAGCGAGACGAGAAAAAAAGAAGAAAATGGATCCAACAGGGGCCCTGCAGGGTAATATAACATAAAATAAAGCACTTGACCTACTAGAACCGAATTTCAAATCTAGAGCTTCACACCACCAATGCAGGGGCTACCTAAATCCAGATACCAAGACCGGGGACTAGCCAACGGTCCCCCTCCACTAGCTCACCACCACCAACCCACCAACCCACCAACAGAACAGGTAAATTATACAAAGGGAGCAACACGAATGGCTGCGGCGACTCGGTGAGTTGGTCATCCGATCTCTGGCCCCCATGCAGGCTGCAGGCCTAGGGCACATCGCACGCTTGGACTCAGGCTAAGACTAGGACTAGAACCGGCGCCCACCCCGGTAATTACAACAATGGACAGCGTATCTGCATCTGTATCGTATATCCGTACATCGGCTAGCCCATGCGAACACCAATGTGATATGTATGCAGCTAGGCCGGGTGTGCATGCTCCAGGTTGTGTTATCCACCCATTCATCCCCAATCCCTCGTGCGCGCCAGCATTCGAACCGGCCAATTACAAAGTTGGGCGGGAGTCGGGGTGGAATTCTTATGCATTGCATTAGACACGCGCGAACAATGGAATATGGAATTTATTTGTAGATTGACCAATAAGAGAGAGAGCGAGAGCGAAGGCCGAGATAGTCAGCAAAAATAAACAGAAAAATAAGAACAAAAAGAAAAAGAAATCGACGTGGACTATCTGGTAATCGAAACCAGGACCTCCCGCACGCTCGCGGATGCGAAGCGGGCGCACTACCAACTGTGCTAACAGCCCAGATTGGTAATCACGTGTTCCCTTATTACGATTTCTGAGCTCGTGGTTGGTTGACCGCTTTGGGGCTAATTATATAGCCGCCGGGTAAATGCTCGGGGGTTCGCTTATCACTATTTGTTTGTTCTGAGCTTTTATATAACGCTATACTCTGTAGAAAACATCTATAATATAGATATCGGCTGTTACTATATATTGTGAGAGTATTTTAGACTTGATTTACTGTTATACACGAAATTTAATTTACATATATCATGACATATAGAGCTAAGGAGCTGAACTCTGAAAAGTATCAAGTCTTTTTTGATGCTTTTCAACTCCCCTGACAAGTCCAAATACTCAATTCAAATCAGATGCCCCATTTAACTGAATGGATATAGCCATCACATTATTCGTGTCGTTGATATTCTGCCGGATGAAGTTCATCGCCTGTATCGTTGGGAAATGACGGACAAGGTTTGTCTAGATGATATGTTTCACATAGCCTTCAGACTCCGTTCTCCACGATATATGAGATAAAATGCACGCATTCTATGAGTACTGATGGATCCTTCCTCTCTCAAGAGGCGCTTCGTCGAAAAATCTTGTCACTACATATCCACTACCATCACGGGCAAGGCACTCTCTCTTCAGACGGTCATCTCCTAGCATTTGCCCAGCCAGCTCGGAAGGAGACGGGAACGAGCCTAGTGATCGTAGTGGCGTCAACAGGCCGTTGATTAACGACAGAGCACGATCATATAGTTGTCGGTTGGTGTGAAGTGACTGAAGATGGCGGAGGTAATTGTCACTCCCATCTACTGAAAGGCGGATGTAGAATGCTCTCAATGTTGAAACTTTCTTATCGTCAGGGCCAACAGACTGGTGTGTATCGTTTCTCTCTATGTTGGTAGCTGACGGGAGAACCCTCGACTGGGCTCTGGTCTTCGGATGTTATCCATTATTCTAGAATCTTTATGGACTTCGACAAATAGTCAGTTGCTAAAAAGCCCCTTCCACCAATAATTTGATGCCACTAATGAATTAGTAACCTATTAGCGTTTGAGTATTATATTTCACATCCTATCTTATCCCTGACATTGCATCAAACAGTTGGCATTCTAATGAATCAGGTGGATTATCAATCCTCGATTTGCTATGCTGCCACATAGTGAAACTATGGGCTGAGTGTTCCCTAATCCCCAAATTGCCACTATATCAGATTGATGAGAGTCGTCACTTGACCTATTCCATCTCAATAACAACATATCATCTCTGAGACATGCTCTGGTAAGTAGCGGCTGATCACCCATTTGGGTCCGTTCCAGGCGTCCTTTGAGCCAAAGGGAACGTTGCTGATATGCGAAGACTGCGATTCGCCAGGGAAGATCAGGGTTGTGGGTAGCTGTATGGTCCCATTGCTGTAAGTTACCTTAAGCAGGCAGGTTAGTCAGCGTGTGGAGTGCTTAGGTGGAGTATAAAAGCGCATGTTCAACAGACAAAGAAAGTGCATTTACAACAGGGAAAAAGAGTGAATACAACAAAAGTACAATGCCAAATGGACTACCAGTGCATTTCAGTAAGAAACAAAGGTCCACAATTTACACCTATGGAAACATCCGTAAAAGCGGAGAAAAAATAGAACAAGTATAGAAGAGAAACACAGGAAATACAGCTGGAAACACATTGGACAGAAAAGAAAATTCCGTACTCCGTTTTAGATCCAAATCTAGACAGCCAACATCTTCTTGACCTCGGCAATGGCAAGACCGGGGTTCAGACCCTTGGGGCAAGTCCGTGTGCAGTTGAGAATGGTGTGGCAACGGTAGACACTCATGTTGTTGTCAAGAGCAGCCTTGCGCTCAGCGGTCTTCTCATCACGGGAATCGACCAGCCAGCGGAAAGACTGGAGCAGAATGGCGGGTCCGAGGTACTCCTCGCTGTTCCACCAGTATGATGGGCAGGAAGTTGAGCAGCAGGCGCAGAGAATACATTCGTAGAGACCGTCGAGCTTCTTGCGGTCCGCGGGACTTTGGCGGAATTCGAGACCCTGGTAAATGTTAGATTTGCTTCGCTAGATACAGGAGCGATCAACTTACGTCTTCGGTGGGGGTGTCGCGTTGGAGGTATGGCTTGATAGACTTGTATTGCTTGTAGAAGTGGGTGAGATCAGGAACAAGGTCCTTGACGACGTAGGTGTGAGGCAGAGGGTAGATGCGAGACTCGGACTTGGTGTCCGTGGGAATGCGGCCTGGACGTGGGTTAGCTTTAGTCGAGACTGGAAAGATCGCAAAACGTACACAAGCAGGCGAGGGTGTTGACACCGTCAATGTTCATCGCGCAGGAACCGCAGATACCCTCACGGCAAGATCGGCGGAAGGTCAGGGTAGGGTCGAGTTCGTTCTTTATCCGGATGAGGGCGTCAAGCATCATGGGTCCGGTCTTGTTGAGGTCGAGGTCGTAGGACTGCATCTGGGGCTTCTCGCTGGGCTGGTCCGGGTTCCAGCGGTAGACCTTGAAGGTCTTCATCTTGGGCTGCTCGGTGGGAGTAGGCTCAACAGTCGCATAGGTGCGAGCGAAGGCAGGGCGGAACATTGGCCGCGACGCCGCGAAGAGGCGCGAGGTGGTGCGGAGGGAGGCCATGGCGGGCGATCGGAAGGTGAAAAAACACCTGGGGGAAGAGGAACAGATGGGAGAGAAGAGACAGCAATGAGCTGAGTAGAGGTAGAATAGAGCAGAAGAGGGGAGATGATCAAACAATCAGTACTGAAATAGGGATCTCTAGGGATCTTAGCCACCAGAAACCAGATATTCACGACAAAATGAAGTCCAAAGGAGTCTGTACACTAACCTCGGGTTTGAGAGTCGGCTACTTGCTGACTCATCCAGTTTCCGCCAATCACATCGAGGCTAATTGCAAGCGTCGGGCGGACACGGCGTCTCTCTGTGAAGGGAATTGTCTACTGCCGACACCTCTTCCGACTGCCTTTGGACTCAATTGAGTGGGAATGAACTATTGCAGTCTGGTTCAAAATACGATTGTCTTCCCCAATATCGAATCTACCCTGATCTCCCCAATTATTCCTGGATCCCCCACAATCCCCAAAAACTGCAAAGTGGCTGCCTCAGGCTCCAAGGCCACTTCCGGTTCGGTTGCCGACAGGGTAACTGCTTCTCCGCTACCTCGGAAACGTCATGTCGCCTCACATGTCATGGTCATTGTTGTTGTCATTGACTTTAGCTTGTTTTTATATACACATTCTGACTACTAATTCCGATTGACATAGTTCTGATGCCACTCATAGTCTCGATCCTTCATCAGGTCCCGTATAGCATCCCGTGGCGCCACGGGATCCCGACCTAGCAATTCCGCCATCAGAGGATCAATCGTACACGTCTCCCCCTTCGAAATCGCATCGTACCAAGATGTCAAGGCTTTGAAGAATCCTTCCGACTTGCCTCCCTCGTCGGTCGCTGCTTTCAAAGCGACGAACTCCTCCGGGGACACAAGCTTGAATTGAACCTGTCGGCCTGTCGTCTCATTGATCACGTCGACAATTTCGGAGAATGTGATGGTCTGCTGTGCGGTGAGGAGTACGATCTTCCGGTCATGTCCTCCACGCATCATCAATCGCGCTGTGGCCTCGCCTAGCTCTGATCGCAAGGTGAATGCTACTGGACCGTCGGACGGGAGGTAGACAGTTGAGGTGTTGGGATACCAACCCATAAACACTGGAAAGGCTTCGGTGTATAAACCCTCGCGAACAGAGGTAAAGTTGATACCGGCCCTGGCTGATGTTAGTGGAACTGCCGAAGCTCACGGTCGGGCCTGAACGAACTGTCTCATCATTTCCTCTGTCAATAGATGGGCTTGTTGGACGTCCGCCTTGGAATCTGAATCATATCCGCCGAATGCGAGAGATGTGTACCATACCTGTGACAAACGTCAGTTGGGTTATTTCATAAGGAAAGATGGCTTGACATACATGTTTGACATTCATCTTCTTCGCTGCATCCACGAAGTTCTGGTGCTGGTTGCGGCGCTTCTCGACATCAAAGGTATTAGTGCTCACAAAGAGCAGGTTCTCCACGTCTTCAAATGCAGCTTCTAGCGAACGAGGGTCCTCATAGTTGACCACCCGAAAAGCAATTCCTCGGTCTTCAAACTGTTTTCGGTTCGCATCTTTCGAAGATGCTGCTACAACCTCTGAAACAGGTACATTTGCGAGAAGGTGAGAGAGTACTCGTGACCCAAGGCCACCGGTTGCTCCTGTGATGAGATATTTGAGAGTCATGGTGGTAGGGTAGGATACGGTAGAGAGGTTGTTTATCAAGCGACGGACCACTACAGTAAGTCAATTGTAATATATTGAATAGACATCATATTTCAATGAACGCAAAGGCCTTTTATATTTTGCTTGATCACCACATGGAGAGCTCCTGGAGATGATCACTTGCGTCATATCTCGAAACGGCCCCCAAGCATTGGTAAGCACGTGTTATTGATAATCAGGCCATAACGTCCACGGTTTTCATTTGATTTCCTCTGCCACCTCTTGGAAATCTTGGCCTTCCCTTTCTGTGTTAGTACTCAGCCCTTGCCGGCTTTTGCTCACAAAGTACAACTGAGCAGCCTAATCCACTTACTCCGCACGACCTGCGCCGGGGGTAGCTAAGTCAGCAGCTCACCTTATATCAACCTTAGGAACAAAATGTGTGCACCATCATGATGCTAGCCCTATCTAAATGCAGTTTTGTTGCGAGGTGATCGAGTAAAAGCCAATCTCTCTACTATCCTTTCAGGGACTGACCATATGTCCGGCTCTGCCTCGTCGGTTGTCGTCCTCACTAGACGAGGAAGACTCAGTCAACAGTTGCTACAGTCGTCGCAGTAGCGGGTTTAGATGTATTCTAATCTCCTACAACAAATGTTGCAACATAGGATCTGCATCGCCTTCGCTACGAATACTTTAAAATGCCGCCATGAATGTAGTGGTATGATTATCTTGTGGGGGGATGGGGTACCTTTTTAGTAATTCCCTACATGGAATATAATGCGGAAAGGCTGCACGAAATTCATCGCAATCGCTTGACGCGACTCAAGATCTAGCTCCCAGAATTCCGCGCTTCGAGGCTCCCCGGGGACTTTTTCCCAGACCACGTAAGTGATATAACCTCCCGGACCGATATTATCTTCGCCTTGCTCTCCCTCTTGGTGGATCCGGTGGTTGTCTCTTCCCGGTTATACGGCTCGTCTTGCTCTGCTGGTGCTGGCTCTTAGTGTTGGACACTAATGACTGGACGGACTCGGCTCCAATCGCCTGAGAGATCAAGCTTGTATGCAAGGCGTCCGACACGCTCCAGCACCGTGAAATGTCCTGCGTATTGTCGGCCGAGCTTTCGTGTGAGCAGTTGGTTGACTGGAATGTTGTATCCACGTCCGATGCGGAGAACCTTGTCTCCGACTGCGAAGTGTCGCGGTGAGTCGTAGTACTTCTTCATTTGGACTGCTGTATAGCGTAAACATTCAGCTGCATCTTGGCGTATTGAATGATCTTGGTTTTCCACGTTTTCTATCAAGTTCCATGGCATACGAAGTTCCGCTCCGTATATAAGCATGTATGGTATTTGGCCTGTTGCGGAACTTGATGTGCTGTTTGACGAGGGATGGGATCGCCTCTGTCTATCCGCGTGGAAGGTGCGTGGATGTCTAATGTCGTAGCCGTATTTCCGCTTGCTGATAGGATCTTTCTGATTGGCCGCCCGCAATCATAATATAGCCGACAATGTTCTTGTCGAGCATCAAAGAGTTCTTGCTAGAAATGATGCATTTTTGAGGTAAAATATGAGGTAAAACATGAGGTGAATTTTGATACTGAAAATGCACTAATTCTAATGCCAATGTTATATATCCAATTAGTATATGACGAGGCGTGTATATTGATAAATTTGTAGTGTGTGTTAATGTATATCTCAGCAACAGCACATCCCAGATAACCCTCTATCAACTCCCCACACCCCGTTTAAAAAAAAAGAAACCTCTAAATTCTAAATTAAGTATATTACAGCGAAACCAAGCCCCCCAAATCAACTAGCCTTACTCCCAGGCCTCTTTCCCCCCCTCAATCGAAGACCCCGACCCAGTCCTAGACCCATCAGGACTCTCAACCCTCGTAACATCAATAACATTAGTAACCCGAATCCCAGGCCCCTTAACATTCAACCTCCGCGCACTATCCGTATCCGCATCCCTATTCCCAACAGAAACCTCACTAGGCATCATCTCATAATCATCAGCGCCAAGCTTCGACCAATTAAGCAACCGCTTATTATCCCGACTGCTCGACGCAACCCCACTCAGCGGCTTGGAATGGCTGCGCAGCTTGGTCGAGCGAGATCTCGAGCGCGTGTGACTGGATGTGTATTCCGTCAGGTGGGCGAAGAGGTTGCCGAAGACGGGTTTCAGGGCGGGCACAGAGAGCGCGACCAGCGTTCCTGCTATTTCGGCGTTTTCGATGCACAGCATCGGGTTGTAGGCCCAGCTGCCGTCGGATGCCCATTGTCCGACTGCTACTAGCCACACGCGGATTGCTGATATTACGATCACGCTGCGGGCGCGTTGTTAATTTTTGTTGTGCTGTGATGGGATGGGAGGGGGGACGTACAAGACACCTGGGAACATGACGACGGAGAGTTTGATCTTCTTCTCCAATGAGACGTGTAGCTCCTTGATGAGGAATGCGGGGATGGCGAACATGAGGATGTCGCATGCGAGGGAGAGTCCGGAGTTGACTGAGTAGACTAACCCCCATGTGAGGCAGTTGTAGGTTACAGGTTCTGTTTGCCATTCATATGGCCAGAGACCTGTGACTGGCCTGCAGTGGAAGATCAAGAGGAAGAGCTGGGGGAGGTATGCGGCGAAGAGCAGTGGGCCAGCGATGAGGATGCTCATGTGAAGTTTTGTTGAGCGGGCAGTGAGTCGGTAGTAGAATGCCAGACCGGAGAGACGACATAGGAAAAGGGCTGTTGTGTACAGGACGTGGGCGACAAAGTCGAGGACTTCCGTCTGGCGGACTGTTGGCATTGAGAGGACATATTGGATGTATTCGATGTGACGACCGCTTCCTAGGTTGATCAGGACGATGGAGAGGACGACGAAGATGATGTAGATGGTCTGTGGGATTTTGTTAGTATCTCAAGTATTCATTTCGTGGTAGAGTGCCTTGGGTGATTCGTAGGGCATTGCTGTCTCATGCAGTATGTGGGTGCGTGCAGATCTGGGGTGAATAGTGGAGGACGTACAAATGTCAAGATGGCCAATGCATCATCTAGACCGATTTTCTTGACGATGAAGGCACGGGCATATAGACGTATAACCATCAATATACCCGTGAAACATATCATGAAAATGATTCCCACAATGGCGGACCGATCGCGGGACTGGGCGAGGTATGCTAGTGAGACATTGCTTGGGATTCTTCCTGCTGTATTCGCAGCAAGAATGTCGGCCGGGAGGGTCATGATAGTGTCGTGTTCAAGCGAGTGACATTATAAGAGAGTGTTGTCTTGATCAAGGCCTCAGCAGTGCAACTGAAGGTGGGATAGTGACTATACGAATTAAAAGGCTCGATGAGTGTGAGCGCGTGAAGAACTCGGATCCGGAAGCGGGTCTGGTTTTCAATAATGGTTCATCCAATACAACCAAGGCGCTGGCTTTGGGCGCGCCGAGCTTGGTATATCAATCTATGCGGTGGGGATTAAACTCTGAGACTTTGCCAAATCGCAAATTTTCTTCTAGTAACATGAGAGGTATATTTATCATTGAGTTCCAAATTGAGACAACAAGTATCATTGACTTTTTTAGCGGAAGTATAAATGCTACAACACCAAACAAACCTCGCAGGTTTGGATCGAGCTTGCGTAGAGACCACACAGTGCACGCCCTCCTTTAGTGAGAATCGCTTCGAGGGTTCATCGCTTCAAAATGCCTGCCAAATCCATCTCTACGCGTCCAGTGGGGCGCCGTTGTTGCCGGCGGGGATTTGCTGAAGAATGTTGCACAAATTCCTCATCTCTCCTTATTTGTGATGGTTTGTTCTTTCTCAACGTGTCCGTAAGCTTGCAGGTCCAAGTGATCGAGAATGACCTCGTTATATCCTACTCTCCAATCGGAAAGCCTCAGCAATATCTCTAGAGAAATGCCGACATGTGGCCGAGCCCCAAATCGGCAGTCAGACCCACCTGCTATCTGAGCCAATCAGCGACAGCATCGGAGAGCAGATTCTGCGATCTCACGGAGCGAAACTTGGTTCCGATGTTGCCAAGTGGGTCTGCCCGGGCGGTTATGCGCCTAATTAGGCAGGTTGGAACCTCTAAACGGCGCTAGTCTAGATTGGTCTCATGGAATAATATCGGCATGTCGAAGAAACAAGAGTTGGGTCTCCGCTAAAAGAACGCCTCTGTGGAAAATGCATCCATCTGGAGCACAAGAATCAATAGTTTCATTTGAAAAGAACGCCCTAGAAGAATAGAAACAGAAGACAAGCGACAATCCGCTTAAGACGGCAAAGTTCGGTTCGAAAGATTAGTCACGGCGCAGATCCACCTGGGCGGTCTCTGTTGGCGTTGGACTATATCAGTGCCATAATCCCCCCAAAGATCATCATTGCCACATGGTTTTTAGTGGAGTGTGTGATCATCCTCATCATGGCGCCTTTACTCCAGACTCTAGTGAGCGGACTTGCCTTGGCAAGCTCTGTTGTTGCGGTTCCTCATCTGAAACAAGATGAGTCGACCGATACCTTGGTCGCGTCTCAGATCTTGCACAACCCCTATGCCTATGACTTCCCTCGTCTGGGCGCCCCTGGGGCTAAGCTGTTCCCTATGCGCCGTTGCAATGGCTTCAAGTTGGAGGAGGCCACCGTTGATCAGATTCAGGCGCAATTGACCAATGGAACCTTCACCAGCGTTGAGCTGTTGGGATGCTACATGGACCGTATTCACCAGACACAGCCTTACTTGAAGTATGTTGTACCCACGAACCCCTTTGTGAATTTGGGTGTCTAACCGTATTCAGTGCTATCCTGCAATTCAACCCGGATGCTTTCTCCATTGCCCAGAAGCTCGATGCCGAGCGTGCTGCGGGTAAGGTTCGTGGTCCTCTCCACGGTATTCCCTTCATTGTCAAGGACAACATTGCCAGTAAGGACCGCATGGAGACCACGGCTGGCAGCTGGGCTCTGCTTGGCAGCGTTGTTCCCCGTGACTCTCATGTCGTACACGGCCTCCGCAAGGCCGGTGCTTTGCTTCTTGGCAAGGGTGCTCTGAGCGAGTGGGCTGACAGGCGCTCCAACAACTACTCCGAGGGCTTCACTGCCCGTGGTGGTCAGTGCCGTAGTGCTTACAACTTCACCGTTAACCCTGGTGGTAGCAGCACTGGCCCCGGTGTTGCTGTTGGTGCCAACTTGGTTCCCATTGCCCTCGGAACCGAGACCGATGGCAGTGTCATCAACCCTGCCCAAAGAAACAACATCGTCGGTATTAAGCCTACTGTCGGTCTGACCTCTCGTGCCGGTGTCATCCCCGAGTCATTGCACCAGGACACGGTGGGTACCTTTGGTAAGACCGTCCGGGATGCCGTTTACGCCCTTGATGCTATCTACGGTATTGACACCCGTGACAACTACACTCTCGCTCAGAAGGGTCTGACCCCCAAGGGCGGCTACACCCAGTTCCTGAGCAAGAAGCATGCCCTCAAGGGTGCCGTCTTCGGTATCCCTTGGGAGTCCTTCTGGGCTCTCGGTGATGCCGACCAGATCTCCCAGCTCCTGGAGCTGGTCGAGCTGATCAAGTCCGCTGGCGCGACCGTCATCAACGGTACCGAGCTGCCTCACTACAAGCAGATCGTCTCGCCTGACGGCTGGAACTGGGACTACGGTTCCACCCGTGGCTTTGCCAACGAGTCCGAGTACTCTTACATCAAGGTCGACTTCTACAACAATCTGCGTGACTACCTCTCCGAGGTCAACAACACAAATGTCCGCAGCGTCGAGGACTTGGTCCAGTACAACACCGACAACTACGGCTCTGAGGGTGGTCTTCCCGGCATCCACCCAGCCTTTGGCTCCGGCCAGGATGGTCTCATTGCTTCCCTCGAGAGCAAGGGCATCATGAACGAGACCTACTTCCAGGCTTTGGCATTCTGCCAGCGCACCACCCGCGAGGAGGGTATCGACGCAGCTCTGAAGTACGGTAACGGTACTCTGGACGGTCTTTTGGTTCCCCCCGATGTCGCTCAGAGCATCCAGATCGCCGCCCAGGCCGGTTACCCCGTTATCACCGTGCCGGCCGGTACTAGCGATGTCTCCGGCATGCCGTACGGCCTTGCCATTATGAACACCGCTTTTTCAGAGGGAAGCCTGATCAAGTACGCTAGTGCTATCGAGGATTTGCAGAAGACTTCCGGCACTAAGTGGCAACGCTCTCTGCCGGAATGGCGCGGATACCTGGAGCGCAACTTGCCCGTCATCATGTAAAAAAAGGGGACTTAATATCGGTGTGAGGATTTTGATCCTAAGTTGTGTACTACCACTGATTCTATAGACTATATGATTATATTAATGAATAGATGAATCCGTTCGAATTGACATGATTCAAGGCTTTTAGTCTCTACAACCCGGAGATCATCCGGCTGTTCGAATACGAATTTCTTCTAGAAGCATGGAATCTTTCCCTATCGGGAAAAATAGCCGTTGATAGCAGTTTAGCAGTTAATATCGAGTGAGTCCACCTGATTTCTCCGAAATTACTGCTTAACGTGGTGGGTCGGATATGGGCGATGGGGGATGCTCAACCCTACTGTCTCCTTGCACGGGATCGACCGGCAGGAACAATTGGATCGTCGCAGTTCTTCCCATTGATGCGAAATTCAAGAACTCTATGATCGACAGTGTGCACGGAGATGGGAAAATATATCCTCCCCCCGACGGTTGCCAAGACGGAGAATCCCTTCACGGAGATATTCTCACCAAAACTCTCATTCTCCTCAGAAACCGAGAGCAGCCAACGACCTCAGATAATTAGGTCTCACCCCGGAGACCACGCTGAACCTAGACTACGGCCGACACTCCAACTGGATCAAGCTTACTCCATGCAGTTACATGGTGGAGACCTCCAGCCACAAGCGTGAAACAACCTCATGCACCAGTGCTGATCCTCTAACGCTGGCTGAAGTTACGGCGTCCCCAGCACTTGAACATTCTACTTCGATTCCTGGAATTGACTGCTCTTGCCGCTGCACAATATAGCCGTGGCTGAAATTGCCCATTTGACCGTTGGAAGCATCCAATCGGCAATCAATGCCACCATCCAAACAGCCTCAAACGCGTATCTCTCCAATTTCTTCCACCTTTCCCAGGCCTGCCACAAGCCCACCCCTGAGTGATATGATGCACTCTAAAATCTTTTCTCCGCCATAATGTGGTCCCATGGCCCCATAGTCAATACAATGAGGGTTCGGTCACCATTCGCCGGCCCACGAGCCATCACTCTCTCTCAAACAACAAATGAACCAGGGGATTGATCTATGTGGGGGTCGAGGCTTGGAGCTTCTTCATGCCAGCCTACTAGCTTGGAGCTAGTCTGGAGAAAGTGGAAGTCTTGGTATCCAAGTACCTCCGCCATCTATAAAAGAAGCACGCCCGACAGACGTATCACTTTTTTCTTCATCCCCTCCAACTCAATTCCCCGACAGTGCCAGACCTCAAAATGAAGTTCACTGCCATTCTCGCAGCTTTCGCTGCCCAGGCTGCTGCCGTTTCCGTCTCCGGCGCTGCGGAGGGTTTCGCCAAGGGTGTTACTGGTGGTGGCTCTGCTACTCCCGTCTACCCCAGCACCACTGCCGAGCTGGTCTCGTACCTTGGTGACTCTTCCCCTCGTGTCATCGTCCTCACCAAGACCTTTGACTTCCGCAACACCGAGGGTACCACCACCGGTACCGGTTGTGCTCCCTGGGGCACTGCCTCTGCTTGCCAGGTTGCTATCAACAAGGACGACTGGTGCAACAACTACGAGGCGTCTGCTCCTTCCGTCTCCGTGAGCTAGTAAGACCGCCTTTCCCCCATTGAATTTAAACCAACCACTCACCTAATCCTAGCGACAATGCCGGTTCCCTCGGTATCACCATTGCCTCCGACAAGACCCTGTTGGGCTCCGGTTCCGCCGGTATAATCAAGGGCAAGGGTCTCCGTATTGTCAGCGGTGCCAGCAACATCATCATTCAGTAAGCCACCCCATCCCCATCCCCCGAATTCCCCAATATCAACCAGCCCACTAACAAACAACCAGGAACGTCGCCGTCACCGACATCAACCCCAAGTACGTCTGGGGTGGAGATGCCATCACCATCGACAACGCCGACCTGGTCTGGATCGACCACGTTACCACCGCCCGCATTGGTCGCCAGCACATCGTCCTCGGCACCAGCGCCTCCAAGCGCGTGACTCTCTCCAACAACTTCATCAACGGTGTCAGCGACTACTCCGCCACCTGCGACGGCTACCACTACTGGGGCATCTACCTCGACGGATCCAGCGATCTCGTCACCATGAAGGGCAACTACATCTACAAGACCTCCGGCCGTGCCCCCAAGGTCCAGGGCAACACCCTCCTGCACGCTGTAAGCCCCTCCCCTCTCCCTCATCCCAAATGACCACCCGAAATACAGAACCAGCACTGACAAAAACCCCCGCAGGTCAACAACTACTGGTACTCCAACTCCGGCCACGCCTTCGAGATTGGCAGCGGCGGCAACGTCCTCGCTGAAGGAAACGTCTTCCAGAACATCCCTACCGTCGTCGAGACCCCCATCTCTGGCCAGCTCTTCACCTCCCCTGACACCACCACCAACGCCAAGTGCAGCACCTACCTTGGCCGTTCGTGCCAGGTCAACGGATTCGGATCATCTGGCTCTTTCAGCCAGGCTGATACCGCCTTCCTTGTTAACTTCGAGGGCAAGAACATTGCTTCCGCTTCCGCTTACAGCACCGTTGTTTCCAGCGTTACTTCCAACGCTGGTCAGGGTAACCTGTAAATCAATCCCAAGATTAAGATTGAGATTGATTTCAGTGGTCTTCTTTTATTGAGGTCCTTGGTGGTGGATTGACCTGTTGATTGGGTTTATCTGCTATCTTTTGGATCGGGGGTTTGAGATTGTGAGCGTTGAAAGGAATGTAATTTCTGTGTTGTATTATTCAATTCTATTCTGTGTCTATCATTTATTACAATACATTATACGTTTTTATATTCGTGAAGTGTGGATTGTTCCATTTCGAATAATCATTTCATTGTGGTAAAGAATAAGCCTCGAGTTTGTCCGACTCGGATGGAATGTAGTTAAACTACTCGCTGATGAGTTGATAAGAATATGAAAAAGTACACAGCTTTACCAAGGAGCAAGAGTCCCAGCGCAACCTCCAAGAGTACTGCAATCAGTTTATAACAAGAAGACCAGGTGCAGCAAGAGTTACCTTGGTCACCTCATAGGCATTCGCAAAAGGCCCATCAGTGGTGGTAACCGCAGCAATAGTCAACCCATTCATCTCGTGCGCCTCATAAGGGAACAAAGCCTCGGCCACAACCTCATTGCCGGTGCGAGTAACAACACGCAACGGCTCGACAATCGGCAGGTTCTGCTGATTGACATATGTCATCCACAGGGAACTATCACTGACATTCTGGTGATCGACAAACGAAACAGAAACATTTCCCGTTCTCGCGCCGGGAGCCCGAATAACATGCAGCGGCTCGAAAGACTCAAGAGGGAAGGTGTGGATGTTGGGACAACTGCCCGGAACAGCGAAGCTCTGCACTGCACTGAAGGCAAAGTGGACGTCGCCAGTCGTCGGGTAGGGCAGCTCACTCGGGATCTTGCCCTGCATGACGCGGAACCAGCCCTGTTGCTCGCCCTTTTCGCCGATGAGGGAGGAAATCTGGCGTGCCAGGGTGAAGTCACTGCCCAGGGCGTAGCGTTCCACGACGTCTTGCAGGACTCCTAGGGCTACGTCGGTGAACTTGACGGCTATCTCGATGGCTGCGTCGAAGTTGTCGACAGGGATGGAGTACTGGCAGGGTAGCATTGGCTCGATGCCGAAGTGGGCTAGGTGGTTGTTTGAGTCGAGGACTTGGAGTTCCTCTTGCTATAGAGCTGGTCAGTGACTGTCACTTGCAGGTATCAGGATGAAGGGAGATATACGGCCAGAATGACGCGCAAACCACGAAGGATGAATTCCTTGTCGTCGTCGCTTGCAAAGCGGTATCCGGGAACCTCTGCAGTGATGTTTTCAATTAGAGCGTCGAAGAAAGAGACTTCGAACATCGCGCTCAGGGCGATCATCTTGAGGTTGACAATGCCTCCTTCGCTGATGCCCAGAGGAGCTGGGCCATTGGGAAGAGTGCCGTGCGCATCTTCTTCGATTGTCTCCAGCTCGCTGGGACTCGGGGTGATTAGTCCGTTTGGTAGGGTTCTGTGGCCAGACGTATTAAGTGGGATTGCAATGACGTATGAGATTCCCAAAAGGATGGAAAAAATATGGAAATGCATGACTAGAATAGAGGTGGGATTTGTAGCAGTTGGTTTAGTAACAGTATGTGCGAGAAGAAGAGAGATACGTGAAGTTCAGATGTTCAGAAGGTCGGAAGGTCAGAGGTTGGAGTTGTATAGATGGCAGGGGCTATGCGGTGGAAGGTGCGCTTCGTAAAGATCGAAGTGAGGATTTCAATTGATGGACCTTGTAGATTATTAAACAAATATAGTCTCATTCATAAATATCATCCCGTTGCTGAACAACTAAGCACGCTCCACATAGGAGGTCGTCTCCTTCTCAGTGATATGAATCTCCTTCTCAACCTGGTGCAGATCAACATGTGCGACAACAGCTTCATCGCCATCAAAGATCCTAGCCAATTCCTCGAGAGTAGGTCCCCGGGTCTCGACGTAGAAGAAGTACACAAATAGGAGTTCAATGAAGATCCAAACAGTATAGATGAGAGACAAGTTCCAGTGATGAGGCAAGTCCTCCCAGGCAATGGGGTTGGTGTAACTGAATCAAACGGTTAGCACTATGATTTAAGCAGATAGAGATTTATTGGCTTACTTTCCAAGAACCAAAGCAGCCTGCACCGTCAAGTTCATAATCATCATGCCTTTCGCGCGCAGGCGATAAGGTAGAATCTCGAGCGAGTATGCAACAAGCAAACCCGACCAGGCGATGGAATAGAACACGGCGTGGAGCCAGACAAATACAACCTGTGGGTATCCTGCGCTTTTGACATCTTGGGTCTTCTCGTAGACAGAGGATACAACAGTCCAGGCGAGGAACATGAGAACCATACCTGGGAAGAACAAGAATGTTAACATTGACTTGATTTTTTTAATTGAATAGGTTTTTACACTCACCAACTGTAGAAACCAGGAAAAGAGGTCGTCGTCCGAACCGATCAACGAAGAAGGCACAGGTCACAGCAACGATCAAACTGAGTAGTGTCTTACCACCATCGAGCTATGGAAATCAGCATGTCACCCAATAATCACTTAAAAAGATGGCAAGATACGAACCGGAATCTTCTTGTTCTGCTCAGTGATACCCATGCTGTTGTAAATCAAGTTGGTATAATTACTGAACAGCGCATTGCCACTATATTGGGAAATGATTCCCAGCGAGACCAGAATTGCCAGACGATAACGGTTACCCTTAGTCTTCACAAAGTCGAGGTAGCTGCTGTTCTTCTCGTACTGCATCTCCATGCTGATTGTCTCCTTAATTTCGCGGTACTCGAATTGAACGGTGGCATTGTTCCTGTCTCCGTTTCCGTGATAGTAGGACAGGATTTCCAGGGCTTCCTCGTAGCGCTCTTGGGAGACGAGCCAACGAGGAGATTCAGGAACCCCTAATTATGATCAGATAATTGGATGATGCAGAGAGTTTCGGATACGTACACCAGATGAATGTGATTTGAATCAAGGCAGGGAAAATTTGGAGGAGAGCCAAGGTGCGCCACGACCAGTCGTTGGGGATGTACATAGTTCCCCAGGCAATCCAGGCGACAACTATATTCAGTTAGTTTTTGTTCATGTTGTGAGGGGGGGAGGTCATACCTAATGCACCAAAGTTCCATAGGCAGTTGTAGATAGTAGTAACGATACCACGGTGTTGAGGATGGCAGATCTCGGTAAGAAGGACAGGGGAAGACATCTGGGCCAGACTGCCACCGAAACCGAGGAACAATCTACCGGCAACGTACACTAAAAAGGGTCAGTCCACATCGTACTCTGAGGTATAGAGACACAGGTCAACATACTGCCGTAGTTCTTGCAGAATGCACCGAGCAAGCCTCCGAAAATCATCAAGACACATCCGATCACAATTGGAAGCTTTCGACCCCATCGATCGGCAACAAAAGGACTGTAGAAGTCAGCATTATATTGCAACAAAAAAAAGCAGCAGGTAAAGTCAGAAGAACTTACACAATGGGAAAGCTGACAAGACTACCAATTTGGTAGGTTGCGTTCATCAACCCCAGTTTGGAGCCACTGGGAGTGTTGAAGTAGGTCTGCCACAGATCAATATTCTGCGAGGTATTAAGCATCATTCTGTACCACTCTTGTCAGTTTCCTCCCATAAAATTCAAACCAAACTGCTTACCCATCATAACCAGTAGTCGCAGAGGCAATGCACAACACTGCAGCCCACCAATAAAGTTTGCGCAGACCGGGTTCATGCCACCAAGTGACCTTCTCCAACTCGGGCTGTTCATTCTGAGCAGCCTGCACCTCAGACTTGAGCGTCGACACTCCAACAGCAATGGGCATGATGGCTCAATGTGTCTGCTTAGACTAGCACGGGATAGATAGGGATTGGAATGTCCACCGAGCTTATGACACAACAATGCACGAAAGACTACGGAGAGAGGGGGAGACCACAGGTTTTAAACAGTTTGAATTTGCCATCTTAGGATATTTGACGATGATATTATCCGGTTAGTGAGAAGTGGCGGCCTTGGCTGGATTGCATGGGTTCATGGCTTTTCCCCAGATTAGGAGGCAAGGGTCGATGGATAATCAAAATCAAAGTAAATAAGCGAGGAATTTAGCACGCGGGCACAGATCTTTTGCAGGGCTAGCGGTTGAGATGGCTATTTGCCCAGCGGATGGCCTGTTAGAGGCGATAAATGCGTCCTAGTATAGTATCATCCCCGGGTTTGACTGTCTTAGGGCCTTGGCTCGTTGTGCTTAGGGGGTCACCGGGGATATCATTGGTGCGGAGAACGCCATTCCACTTCGCTTAGGGCTAGGCCACTGCTTCGATCTCTCCCCGGTTTGGCGGGCCGAGGCCCACCGGATGATCAACCTGGGGGAATTCTGAGGACACGCATTTAAGACGATAACATGGTCTGTCTGTGTGCAGAGTTGACATATCTCGCCATTGTGTTCTAAGCACCGAAAACGACTTGGGGTCTCAGTCGCTCCGTGCCCGAATAAGCAACCATCTTGGCCCGGAGGCTAATGGCAGTGCCAAGCATGCCAAGAGCCCCTGGAGTGCTGTTCATTTGCGGGGGACGCCATCTCCAGACTCTCGCCTGACAGCTTGGAATTTAGCCGGTATACCTTCTTGGCAATGTCAATGGCATCTTCAGCTTCAAATGGGAGGGAAAATGCTGACCGCCCTGGTATACTGCGAGAATGGTAGTTTGTGAGTGTTCAGGATGACGGCAGAATGGCATGTAGGCCACCTTCCTCAAGTATGCAACTGGCACTGTTGCCAACTCTCGTCTGAACATGGCTTGATGCTGCAGTTCGCCACAGAGTCCCAATATGTTCAAGTCTCACCAACTTTCCCAAGAGCAGATTGACCACTTCATGTGGTTTGGGTACGTTCGAGTCCCAGACTGCTTCTCAAAGGCCAAAGCAAACAAATGGACAGGCGACGTGTGGTCGAGACTCGGCTATTCACCAACAAACAAGTCAACCTGGACGAATGAAATGACCTGGATGGATGAGACAAGAGCGGAAGCCATAAAGACATTTGCCCCCAAGGCATGGGCCGCCATTTGCGAACTTCTCGGCGGCGAGGACCGCGTAGCACCCGAATCGGCCACCTGGAACGATGCCTTTATTGTTAATCTCGGCTCGCCCGAGACCGAAGGGACGTGGCCCAACCCTGCTGATCTGCCAGGGTGGCATGTGGACGGCGACTTTTTCACTCATTTCCTTGATTCGCCTGAGCAGGCTTTGCTGGCCATACCCCTGTTCTCCGATGTCCAGGAACGTGCAGGTGGCACTATGGTCTGTTCGGATGCACTTAAGTTTATTGCGCAACACTTGGTATGTGGTTAAGCCTCTCGTGTACTTGGCGTCTTTTTTGACTCCCTGTATCTAGTACAATCATCCCGAAGGAGTGACTCCATATATGCTCCCACGAAACGAAAAGCCTGTTGGGAATCCTATGGAGACTTCTTTCTATTCGGATATCGTGAATCAGTGTTTTGAGTTCCATCAAATGACTGGCAAGGTCGGCGATGTGATTCTTTTGCATCCTTTGATGGTTCACTCGGTTTCTGTCAACAGTCTGAGACATCCCCGTATCATCACCAATCCGCCAGCTCAATTGAGAAAGCCGTTTAACTTTGACCGCAAGGATCCCTCCAAGTATAGTATTGTCGAAAAGAAAACGCTCTCTCTATTGGGCAAAGAAAGACTACCGGGTTGGAAAATTCAAGGCCAGAGAGAGTATGTTACTCCCGACAGACTGAAGTGACCTGCCGGCGCATGAGACATCCCATGTCAGCCTGATACCTGTATTCCTTTTAGCCGAAATGACTCTTATGCCTCTACGAATCAGTTTTTAGCCTGAATGCATCTTATTGTTACCCTTACCTCTTATTTGAGGTGCTGGTGTATTATGACCTGTCACCATTCTGATTCGATCAGGTTAGCTCATCTCGTATTGCTTCACAGCTCGAGTTATGGAAGTCAAGAACTGTTTCATTTTAAATATTGGCTATGCTTATGCACGCCTACGCCACAGGAAAATAGACGTGAGTCCCCCAACGAAAGCAACGCCAGTGAGAACCTCCCACAACACTCGGAAAGCCGCGACCGAGGCAAGTGTGACAGCTTCTCTATGTTCGCTTGACATGCTGACCTGGTTCATCAAGATCAAGTATCCATTCGCTGAATTGACCAGATTCCGGTCCAATCCAATCCCTGTCAACTCGTGACTGAACATGTTCAACAACACCATACCACAGACAGGGACAGCAAACGCCATACCCATAGCCCTCATATAATTCGAGATAGTGCTTGGAAGAGACGATAGAGAGGGGTCTTCATCCCTGGGCACATTCTGGACTCGGACGTTATAACTCGCGAGCAGAAGACCGTGACCCAAGCCTGCTGTGAGCAATAAGAATACCCATCCCACCGCCGGTGTCGTGTTATCCAACAAAATGGAACAACCGCCTGAAAGTATAGTCAAGATCCAACCACCGGATATCACCCACTGCGTGCACCTCGACTCCCTGGCAAGAATTACACCGACAACCGCGGCAGGCGCAACTGCCATCCCAACCAGGGCGAGCAAGGTCACTGCTGACAGAGTGGTAGACATATAATGAGTAGACATGAAGTACAAGGGGAAAAATTGCAAGTGAGCAAAGACCTAAGAACGTCAGTACGTGAGAAGAATGAAGCCAGCACGAAAAGTTGAAAACGAAAACTCACCATGAAACCATGCAAAAAGCAACCGAGATAAGTCATAATCATCATCCTGGAGCGGAAACCCCTGCTGCCAAATATCGGATTCAGAGCCCACTTAGCCTCATAGAAAACAAGCGCAAGAAAAACAGCAACACCAACAGCAATCGGCACAATAGTCTGCCACTCCTCCCAACGATACAGACTTCCACCCCAATTCAACCCAACAAGAACAGCGCCCGAGCCCAAAAACGCCATAGTAGCACCCGACCAATCCAAAATCCGCAGCTTGCGCAGCGGAATACTCTTCGACACGCGCAAGTCCACCGCAAACGGAATCGCCAACAGGCCCAACGCGCAAAAGATGAAATTAAAATAGAAAGCCCAAGTCCAGCTGGTATTATCAACAAAGATACCCGAGACAAGCGGGGCGATGATAGCGCCGCACATGCGTGTGAGCAGGATGTAGCACGAATACCGGGAATGAATAGACGGAGGCGTTGACTCGGCCATGATCACGAAACAGAGACTCATTGCGCCGCCGCCGCCGATTCCTTGGATCATGCGGCCGATTATGAGCTCGACGAGACTCATTGACCCGCAGCAGATTCCTGTGCCGATTGTCGCGAATACAACTGCGATTATCCACACCGGGCCGTGACTGAAGACTTCGCTTGTCATGGTGAAGTATAGTTGGCTTGCTGCGCTGAAGATCAGGTAGACTGTGTTGACCCATAGTGTGCTTGCGAGCGGTTTTTCGAATGTATTTGCTAGTTCCTAATATTTGCGTTAGCTTCTTTCCTCCATTTTGTTATTTCTCTCTCTTTGAAATGGGTGTATCAAAGTGTCCGGCTTCGACATACTGGTAATGCCGGAATCAAGCTAGTCACATTGAAGGAATCCATCATAGACAAAATGACAATGCAGATGAAGACCAGCCATTCCCGCACGCCAAAACGCCATGCTTGGTCTTCAGGCAGAGGCTCGCTTTCGAACAGCTGGATCGAACTTCCAAGCGGTGGATAAGGCGTCACATCGTCGACAGTCAAGACACTATCGCGCACGCCAAAGTCGATCTTAGACTCATTGTCGAAGATCTCGGACGCTATCGAATGCCGTCCCATTTGATGCACAAGCTCGAAGTAAAATCGCAATATCGTAATATCTGGGGTAACCCGAGTTCGTGTGGAGGATATTCACAGTAACCAAATCATGAAGCGAAGTCTCAGCGAGAAAATCATAGCTCGGCCTAACACAAATCACGCGTTACTCGCATAAACGTGGGACAGGAGAACAGCTGCAGCTACGGTACTGTATTGACTTGCGTGGGGATAAGGGCAAGCTTTCTCCTTCCCCTCTACCCCTTGGGTGGTGCGGAAACCTGTCCAGGAGCGCCGTTGGTTGGATTCCTCATATCAAGGGATGGTCAGGGAATAATGTCAGCGCGGCGATTGGGCGGAGATCCGATCTTGCTTGCCAAGAAAGAGAGTTAAACTCCCTGCTAATGTGGGGAATAAAGGCTCCGAGCTCCTGGGAATGATGGGTTACAGGGCTTGCGGAGCCCTAGATGTGACATTCCAGCCTTCCCTCGCATCCCTTGTTGGATCTGAGTTCCATGTACAAGGCCGAACATTCCGTGTGTGATGCAAGGTATTCTTCTGCGTGACATAGCTCCACTTTCGGTCCTATGGCATCATTGTTTGACTGCGTGTGATGTGTGGTTGTGCATAGGATATACGGAAGGTTTGGGGCGAGTTGTGATATAGATGCAAATACAAGCTTTGATACACCTCCAGCTCTCAAACTCTAGTATTCCACACGACGGCAAGCACGGGGGCCAGAAACGGCTTTCATTGCACCGCCGTCCTGTCGCCCTTGACCGCCTGCCCGTCTCTGCCATCCCCTTGCCCTTTTAGGTTTGGTGCCGTCGTCCGCGCCCCGTTCGGGTTTAGTGCTACTTCTGGCCGCTTTCACCGTCCCCTAACCTACACCTCTGTCTATAAAACACCGCTCGTCCTCTTCACAGTTTTGTCGACGTACTCTCTCTTCTTTTTCCTATCTGACTCCCTTTCTCTCGGGCCCTACTAACTTCTACCTATTGGCTTACTACCTAAATATATCGCCCCTTTTATTTCCACTAGAGATACTACTTAATCTACATCGTTAAGTGTCAGAACCATGTATGGAATTACTGGTTTGACAGGGAGACTGCGACCGAACGGGACACAGTGGCCGAGTGTATAGGTCACGTGTGTAGCCGGACGGAGTGCGCTACTTGATGTGGTGGGAGAGCTGACTGCCTGACGGCAGTCATAGTAACCTTTTGGTTCAGTGTCCGACTTGCTCAGCTCTCCTAGTGGGTCGTAACAGGGTAGTAGAACGCTTCAATTTCGTGTATTGCAAGAAGCACAGCGGAACCCCTCATATATATACTCTGCACCCTTTATCCTCACATTAAAATCCTTCAAGCAATGCCGACAGCGACGGCTAGAGTTTATCTTTTGAATCAGCCCCTGAAAGATGTCAGATTCGTTGGGTCGTTTCACCATCCCGGTGCTGACTGATCTAGCAATAACCGAGGACCCAAGATATCCAAAAGAATCCAAGACATGAACTATCTCTGGGACTTTGATAAGGTCGAAAATATGCCTGGATAAGACGTCGGCAATAACTTCCCGAAGAGTTGTTTCATGTGATGGTACTGACGTTATAACCTTTTCGATCACTTCGTGGAACACTGGAGAGCCGTAGCTTGCGTTCGCCCATCGAGAGAACTTCGAGGTAGCCAGAGTCTTCAATGGAATAATTCCGTATTTATCAGCTGCGATAAATACTTCAATATTGTCAAAAGCAGGTTGATTCTCTGGCTCTATGTTTTCTGGCTCTATGTTTTCTGGCTCTATGTTTTCTGGCTCTATGTTTTCTGGCTCTATGTTTTCTGGCTCTGTGTTTTCTGGCTTGTTTACTGAAAGAGATGAGTCAGACTCTTTGTTGGCAAGCTCTGAAATGGGTTGATATTGAAATATGTGTCCATCCTCGCTATAATCTCTGAGATAGAGGAAGGACAGAACACGCTCAATGGTCTCTGGGTTGTCATCCTGGATATTGATAGCTTTCTCGGTGGATTCCTGGAAAAATTAGCGACCAAAAACTTCTGCTTATGGTTTTTCTAAGTGTACCTTGAAGCCATCACACATCGCACTATAGAAATAGCTTGACTGAGTACAAACAATAGCTTGGTGAACTTTGAAAGTAGTTCCTTGACAAAGAATCTTCATATCGGAGAATTGACTTTGCAAGAGTAAGTCTCGCATTACGTCCTGGAGTTCGGACATGGTCGACATGGATGGTGCCACTTCTGCTGATACTTGATCTATCATAAAAAGGAAAGATTTTCGACAGAAATCGTATGTGAAGCTTATATCCTACGTGAGTATTGTAAGGGCAAAGTAATATATATGAATCAAGACAGACCGAGTCATAGTGTATGACATCAGAACAGGACCATTAAGTATGGCTATGACACGTAGATTGTTCACTGAATAGGCTAAATGTCTCCACTCAACCCGATATCCAGGATTTTTACTGTGACATCTCCAACTTCCGGGTCAGTCTAGATAATGCGCTTTGCGCTGTATCACACGTTATTGGTTCGCTGCTACTCTTTTCTCCATATTGGAGTTGCGCCTGTCAGGCGGATGCTGCATGTGACCCATCATGCGTTTCTCTACCAGAGGTCCACAGCAGGAAGGATACTTCAGCGTATCTTATCCCTGAGACCCTATATACATTGCTGCGGTTAGGCTACCACTAGGGCGCAGAGAGAGCTACTTACTCACAGGAACAGAAGCTAGCTCTGAGATGGTTTCTTCCAGTCGCAGAGCACTACTCCATTTACAACATCTCGTTGGTTTTTTTTTTGAATCATTGGGTTATGAAAGCGGACCACTTTGTTTCGCTTATGAGAGCAGTTGCCACTCATAGCATGTTTCAGGGCTGGTTCGACGAACAAATAGAACATATTTTTGATTCTATACGACCATCCCTCCGGTTTGCCCTTCAGTCCGCTTCCCTCCGCCAAAAGTCACTATCATTTTCGAAATCATAGTCATCACTACAGTATAGAAATAATCATCTTCTTCAAAATCTGCCCAAGACCTTTCATCCCACTCTTCTTCTACCACACGAATTGTCCATCCGTGTCTCTCCATCCTCATTCTTGTGAAATCACTAAGACCGTCCTTGTAAACCTCAACAATAATTTCTTGTAGGGAAAATATTGCTCTGAAGTGAGCATCTATTTCCGCCAAGGCCTCGGCAGTAATTTTAGGGCCTCCATTCGCCCCAGTCTGGGTTCCAAGCCACCTTTACTGCACGGAGACGTGGCAAGCGTTCTCAAGTTGGGAAAGCCGCTCTGGATTTTTGCAAGGGTACGACGGCTGTCCTCCTCCATACCATCTACTTATCGAGATATCAGTGAACAGGAAAGTCGATACGGATATGCTGGATGTGATTTGCACTATTATGTCCGATTCTATAGAGGAGACGGGTTTTCATATGAGAGTTGCACTCAGTAAAATCGAAACGATTATGCCCGTAAAGTAGCGATTTGGCCTCCTTGTAGACTGTCTCATTTGTGCGAAGAACATTGAGCTCTGGGCCACGGTCTCCCGACCAACAAGGGTCTATCGGGTCTTCACGCAGTAAGACATAGCCATATATCTCGTTGCGGAGTTCACCAGGGAGGCTGAGGAAATTAACTGGCATACTATGTCTCACAACACAAGGCGGTACGTTTGGTTTGGAGTAACGCGATCACGAAGGCCATCGGGGCTTGTTGATGCCTCAGACACGAAACGTTTGTCGCAATTACCTTACGATTACAGCAAGAAACCGGGTCTATAGATGATCGGTCGGCATAGCTTATGTAACTAGAATGAACCCATGAGTAGCGAGAAGTAGGGGTAATGGAAATACAGAGTCATTGATATCTCCAATTGGCCGGATGTAGTACAGATCGTGACAAATCCTTCATCAAGGACAAAGGCGAGTTGTGACTGCGAAGTTAGATGGACACAGACAATAATGCCACACTCATTTCTTGATTATTATGCTCCTTGATATAGCATCAGATTATCTACGTTAGGCATCATCTACCGGCCGCTCCCTACCTGACCTCTTGTTGGGTTTTGCCTATGCTCTTCATTGCCAGTATTGACCTGTCTACTCGACCAGACTGCCATCGCAGCATCCCCATTTCAGTATTTAGATACAGAGTCAAGCATCTAAGTCCCTCATCCAAGCCCATAACCAAGCCCATTTATATTTTACACTGGAGCTCCTTCTCTAACCGATTTGCCACAGAGAACTCAATATTCCTGTGACGCGTAGGACGGTGAGTGGCTTTGCTGTAAGTAGCCTTGGGCTGCGTGTCCATAGTTTCCTCAGAGCGCTTCCTCAACACGAACCCATTCCACCTCATAAATGCAGGAAACAGAAATGTAACATGACAGTCTTAGGCTTGCCCTGATCTTACTTGGAATACTAGCCTGTCCCTAACATTATGGACTAGCATTCACCGCGGGCTGGTCATTGACCTGACCTAGCCAGAATTTTACAATAAAGGCACCACTACGATCAGCTATAAGGAACTGCTTAAGCAACACGTATGGCATGCTCTATCATTTTTTACCTACTTTTACTGCCACTCTTGCTCTGTAGGTGCGCCTAACTTGTAAGTAGGACCAGCGTGATCTGATCCGGTCATGGATTTGGCGCCCGATCTGGCTTAGATGCAGGAAGGATGATGAAGGTGAGATGATTCACACGTAATGATCAACACTCGTTTCTGGGGATAACAAGTCACTGATGTATGTACTAACTTCCCTGGTAATAATTGCGGGGAAACCCTGCCACGAAATCACTATAGAATATGGCACTTAATACAATAGATCGGGAGGACTCCCCCTCCAGTCGGCGAAATGGCGAAATTTATGCTATAGTCTGTCGACGGATGGGTCAAGTCGAATTTGGTTGGTTGTCTAGCCGCTGGACCCACTGTGATGCCCCTCCCAGCTGGACGGCGGCCGTTATCATCAGCCAGCCTTTCACCTCCTCACATCTCAAAAGAGAAGGCGTTTATGATCTAGTCCCGATCTTTTCAGCATCCCTCTCATTCCGGAGTGACAAATATAAATTGAAGGCTTAGCCCCGCAATTTTCCATATCGAACAAACAATTTTCAATCGTCCCAGCCCTACCCACGCATCATCAAGCGACGTGCAATGGCAGAACCCATCGGCATAGCTTCTGGCCTAGTTGCTTTGACTACGTTTGCATTCCAATCCAGCGTTACCCTCTTCACTTTAGTTCAAAGCTACCAATCTCATCCAAAACGCGTACGCGACCTGACAGAGGAGCTCGAGACTTTGAATGGAGTTCTTGGCGCTCTAGCAGAGACTGTGAATGCGAACAACGATACAAACCTCACTAGTCTCGAATATCCCCTCCTTCGTTGTGGAAATGCCTGCAAAGACTTTGAAGAGGAGCTCAAGAAATCTTCAATGCGATCTCGCGCCGGTAAAACGAGCTTTCGAGACTGGGCCAAACTAAAGTATATGGGCGAAGATATTGATGGCTTCAGACGAATGTTAGCTGGTTATAAATCAACTATCATTATTGCTCTCACCGATGCAAATCTGTGAGTCTCTTTGTGCACATTATATCCAACCCAATGCTGACGTGTCCATCTAGCCGACAATCCTCTATCGCAGCTGATAGCCTTGAGAATTACAAGGAAATGATTGAAACTACAACTGATGATCTCGAAACTCATTTGGAGAGTATCGACGAAAAGCTCGAGAATATTATCGCCAAGAATACACGAGACTCAAACACGGACGCTGGGGAAATCCAACTGATGGAGGAGGAACGCCTAAGCACCCAAAAATGTCTCGAAATATGCGCACAGTTATCGAGCCATATTGATCAGATTCAACAATTACGGAAAGCTCGTGACCACTCCACCGATTCTGTCGGTTCGAGCAACATACCCGAAAACGTCACCAACGAGGGTTTGCAGGAATGCAAAAAAAGCCTCCTTAACACCGCTGCGAAGCTGGAGAATCATCTAAAGATACTGATGGACCGAATTGTGACCAAGTCAAAGACAAGTACAGCCTCTCAGGAGGACATTGCAGAATTGCTAAGGTTACAAGAAGAGTGGGAAACAACTCGCCAGTGCATGCATATCTGTTCGAAGGCTGGAGATAATTTGAACGAGAATGCTAGTACGATCGATAATTATGCTACAGGCGATGCCATTCAATTCATGGTATCTACCAACGAGAAAATTATCCATGGCAGAAATCGTGGACTGGGATGGAGGACGAGGCAAGTTGGGGGCCATCTTAGTGATGCATCACTTCAACAGTTGTCAAAGGATATGACCCGGGTAAATTTTGCGAACATCGATCATAGAGGCTCGCCTTCAGGAGAGCATTTCATGCAAGACGAAGGTTCGGAAGATCCACCTTTATCGGAATTCAAAGATCGTTATGGTCGAGGCTTTAAGCTGACGACGGAGAGGTTCACGCCCAATGTGTCATCCACAATGTCGTCTAAAAGCGAACGATAGCGACACTCTACAGCCTGATCCGCAATTATTCTTTCGCTCTTATCACATAGTGCAGTGATAATTGTGACTATCTTTATATTTGATATATGCGGGCCTGTGTAACCTGATTTTATCGACTTCTAGTCTCGCGTTGCTCTATAGTAAAATAAGTTAGAGGCACAAATCCGCCAATTACAGCTGACAATGCATCTAATAGCAACACCGAAGCTTAAGCCTAAGCCAAGGGGCTCAAAAATCTCCCAGATGGAGAAAAGATCATCGACAGGATCGGGGCGTTCCTTTAAAGAAGCATATCACAGCCCCGATCAGCCTGCTTCTTCTGCTCCAAGAGGCAATTTCAAGGGCTTTGAATTTTTTGTTCTTGGGGGCCCTTCAGCCTACATAGTATGATGTCGATGGGTCTGATACTGTATCGATCAGTATTTCGGTACCCCTTCAATCACCACTGGTTTTGAAATGCACCAGAGTCAGATGAAATTTATTCGGAGCTGGTGAAAGGCTAACCGGCTTGAATTTACTTGCATATCTAAGGCCGCCCAAGATCACCTGGCTATACCAGCAGCAGAGGTAGATATCGAGAGACTGTTCAATGGTGGGAAAGATGTACTGGAAGTTCGACGCTTGTCCGTGAAAGGCAAGATTTCAGGGGACCCTAATTAAACTGAAAGACGCGGTTAGTTGGAAGGCGGAAATTTTTATT